AGGCTTGGTCTTTACAGGGGAAAGGTTCTCTAATTTCTTGGCAGAATTCGGTGTTCGGTTACATCATTCTTCACCTTATTATCCCCAAGCCAATGGACAGGCGGAAGCAGCAAATAAGATTATCATTGGGATTATAAAGAAGATGATTGAAGGGAACCCAAGAAAGTGGCATTTGTTATTGTCTCAGGCTTTATGGGCACATAGAAATACCAGAAATACGGCCACAGGGTTCTCACCGTACCAACTTACGTTTGGCCAAGATGCTGTTTTACCAGCCGAAATTCGAGTATCATCCGGCCGAACAGAATTTACTGATAGTGATCTTACAAAGGAATACCAACAACTTATGTTGCAGCAGTTAGAAGATTTGGATGTTAACCGTCTCCATGCAATAGATCGAAGTGTGAAACAGAGTGAAATCAGAGCAAGGAGTTACGGAAAGAAAGTTCTTCACAGGACATTCCAAAAAGGAGACCTAGTCTGGAAGACCATTCTTCCTACATATAAGAAAACTGATCACTTGGGAAAGTGGTCGCCGAATTGGGAAGGACCATACATTGTTCAAAAAGATATTGGAAATGGCGCGTTCATTATTGTAAATCATGAAGGTAGAAGAGTACATGATTGTATTAATGCTAAATATCTGAAGAGGTATTATCCTGCCTTTTCAGATAACAAAACTGCCTGAAACCACATATTATTCAGAACCCATTTATGGGGGTTCGAACCTACTGGAAGGTTCATTTCTGTTAGTCATCGTGTAGTTGTGAGAAATTTTCTGTCTCTGAATCAGACTTTTCATCCCAGTGAGTGGATATTAGCTCTGGTTCTTCTTCAATAAGATCTTCCAAGTCTGGTCGGTACCTTTCCCATTGGCTTTGCATGTCATCTAGATCTTGGTGGGTACGTGCTTGCATGTCTGTTAGGGCTTGATGTTCACGGTCAACAATGGTACGCAATCTTGAAAAGACTTTTCGTTGATTGGAAAATATGTTATCCCAACCAAGGTCTGGAAGTATGGTTGCTGCATGATTTTCAATCATTTCCATGTGATGATGGAGATCAGGGATGCGGCTGAGGATGTCACGAAGAGGTTCATACCCCTCAATGACTTTTTCCATCAGGCGGATGACGCGATGAATAGTTCTTCTACCTCGTTGGGAGAATCGGAATTTGAAGTCTAGTTGCTTGAGTATATATAACAAGTCTTCTGCATGGCCTCCAATAGGGTGATTACCTACAAAGAAGGGTTGAAGAACACCCTCCCAGTTGCTTGATGGAACATGAGGTCGGTCATTCGCCATGTTTGTTCACACTTTCAGTGTTTTGATTTTTAAAATATGCCTGGGAATATGTTTCTTAAAATGTGAGAAACAGTGTGCTTTTAAAGAAGGAGTTTGGTTCGTTTCCTATAAAGCTGGGAATTGAAAGGTGATCCTTGTTTTGAGAGAAGAAAGAAAAAATGGATTACTAAGTCAGTTGTTGTTACAAAGGGGGAAATATTACAACAGTGCCCCTAGGGCAGTTTTTATCTGTGTCCATTTGTTTTCATCCCTGGATAGCCTTCTGGTATTGGCAGCCGTCTGATATCTTCTGATGAATTGGGATCGGGTTTGGGTTTTCAGCTCTTGATCCAATTCAGCCTCATTTTTGGTATACTTCTCAAGCAGATGCTGTTCATTGGTAATTTGCTTATCCAGGGTAGACTGTTCTTTCCTCAGCTCCCGCAATTCTGCCTCCTTTTTCTGAATGGCATCATCAACCAGAGCTTTCGTGCTAAGGAGACCACCCAGTCTTCCAGTAGTATGCTGAAGGGATTCTCGAGTCTTGGCCAAAGAATTCTCCAGCGTTGTTTGATCGAAGTCGGGCTGGGGGGTTTCGGCTGACAGAAGGCCAATGACTACCACTTCAGTCTTGAGCTCTGTAAGTCTTTCCATCAGCCGATGCAGAATGGGGACGGCTGGTGATTCCGTTGGAGTGTAAAAAAGAAGGCCACCAACCGTCTGAATGAGTTTGTTCAATAAGTCGGACCTTAGTTCGGACAGGGGACGGTTAATGGCCTCAGTGAACACAGTCTGGGCCTCCGCTGGAACCGGAACAGTCGATAGGACGGCTAAGTCCGAAGGCCCCTGCAAGTCCTACAATGTCAATAAATATTCCAAGGGGGTTGCAAATTTGTTCAAAGAAGATATGTGGTACCTCTGGGCGGACTGTTGTCAGTGAGGGGGGTAGCAATGAGGTCGGTCGAGCTGGGCAGACAGCTGGTATAACAGCAGCCGACTCGTCGGCTGCTGCGAATGGTCGCTGAGGTGCCGACCTGGGTCCCTATGGAAAGTAGTATTGGAAACAGTTAGTGTTTTTCGAAAGAAAAGTTATGACCTGGATTGGTTTAATCTTACCAAATTCACAGAAGTCTCCGAATCGGATGAAGACATTTCTTCCATTTCTGGAGGTTGGGCTGCCACAGGTGGTTCTTCTGCCTGCCATTCGATGGCTAGGGGGGGCGCCGCTGCTGGTAGGGCGATTGCAGGTTGGACGGCTACATCTAGAGCCACTGCAGCCAGGATCTCTGGGGCACCTTCGATTTCGGGATCAGCAGCATCAGGGATGTCGTTCTGAGGGTCAGCTTCGGCGAGGGCGGCTGGTTTTTCCTTTGATATAGATGAGTCTGATGCCATGTATGACGGCCGACCCATCTGGGAAGTAGTCCCCTCGCTGTCAGAAGAGACCCCTGCTGCTGATGGGATGGGTGAAGGTGTCTATGGAAAAATCATGAAGATGTTTGTTGTTAAATATATTAAGGTTGATCATCCGAATCTTAAGTCTTGCTGATAAGGAACTTACTGGTTCTATAGGCACTGTTGGTAAAGATTGTTTCCTGGTCGGGGGCCTGGCCCGACCACTCCTCGGTACGGGAGGAGGGGTTTGCCTCTGCGTCGGGTCCTCCGCCCGACTGCTCATTGGCAAATTGGTCTGGACCAAAGGCCCGATTGAATGGTCGGTTGGTGCTGGCGTCGGTTGCTTGGTCGGTGTCACCAAGGTCGGTTCTGGGGAATGAAATGAGTGAAATCAAAGTTATGATATAGTGAATTGGTTCACGGTGTTAAGAAACATTACCAATTCGGGGTCGGGTCCTTGCTGACGTCCTAGTTATTCCAAGGTCTGCTAGTGTTTGCTGGTCGGTCTCCGAGGTCGGGGGTGTTTGCAGCTGGGAAGTTTTTCTTTTGCGCGTGGGACCCCCAGATCCGATTCCCGGGGCGGTTGTTTGTTTTTGGGTGCTAGTATGTATCGCCGCCCCTAGAACCAGTCCTTGGGGAGGGAGGAGTACGTTCAGCAACCGACCCTCATCAGGGGATATCAGGGACCATACGACCGACCACCATTCATTGAAAGTATCTACACTCTCAGGCTTGTATTGCGAAGAAGGAATAAACCAGGAGTGTTGCAGTAACTGGTGTAGTTGCTAAGGGAGTTTCTCGAGAAGGTAGTGCTTTATGAACTTCCAAACATTTATTGGCGTTTGAAAGTCCCTTGGCGGCGGGCAAGTTGTTACGTACGAAATTTAGAATTAGGTTAAAAGCCCAAGGTAAAACGAGGAATGGGCCTGGCAATAGGGTTGATTGAACTGGCTGAAGGACACCGTGAGGAAATCAAGGAAAATAAATTTATTTATTTATTTCTAAGAAAAATTCAGGACGGAAGGTCTTCAGGTCGAGAGGTCCGCAAGACGGAAAGACCTCAAGTCGGAAGGTCTTCAGGTCGGGAGGCCCTCAAGATGAAAGACCTCAAGTCGGACGGTCTTCAAGTCGGGAGATCCGCAAGACTGAAAGACCTCAAGTCAGACGGTCTTCAGGTCGGGAGGTCCGCAAGACGGAAAGACCTCAAGTCGGAAGGTCTTCAGGTCGAGAGGTCCGCAAGACGGAAAGACCTCAAGTCGGAAGGTCTTCAGGTCGGGAGGCCCTCAAGATGAAAGACCTCAAGTCGGACGGTCTTCAGGTCGGGAGATCCGCAAGACGGAAAGACCTCAAGTCGGAAGGTTTTCCGGTCGGGAGGTCCGCAAGATGAAAGACCTCAAGTCGGACGGTCTTCAGGTCGGGAGATCCGCAAGACGGAAAGACCTCAAGTCGGAAGGTCTTCCGGTCGGGAGGTCCGCAAGACGGAAAGACCTCAAGTCGGAAGGTTTTCAGGTCGGGAGGTCCTCGAGACGGAAAGTCGTTGAGATGGGATATCCGCAGGTCGGGTAAACTGTAGGTCGGATAGAAGGACGAAGTCGGGCCAAAAGAGCGGAAGGTCTGTGGTCGGCTCAAGGAGTGAAATATAGGGAATTTTGGTCTGCTGGGGACACGTGTCAGCATAAGAAAGGTTGGAAGACGGTTGAGAAGGAGACGTTGTAACCGTTCGGGTGACGGTTTTCAGTACGGTTTCCCAGGGAATATTTAAGGATTTGGATCATCATTTGGCAAGGCATCTTCAATCAACTTCAACAAAGCAAAATCAGATTTGGGGATCACCACTTTAAATTTCAGTCTTTTATTTTTCAGTTTATTTTCTATACCATACAGTGTTTAGAGATTCCTAATCTCAGGCACTAATTAATCAAGTTTAAGGATATTTTCTATATCTTTGAATTTTACTTTATTTTTGTTGAAAAATTACATCAACAGAATTAAATTAAAGGGAGGTGGAAGGAAGGATCCAACTCTGTCTCTGACTGTGAGTGAGGGATGCTGAAAGATATATATGTGGCTGGCCTGCCTACAGAGTTGGGTTGCGTGCTTGCTACACCACCCCCGGATGCGGTGAGTGACAGCGGCCGCCTAGCGTCTCTGCTAGACTTTATCAAGTCAATATTAATGAATGGATCTCTTTTATCAGCCCTACAGGCTAACCCCGGAATCCGGATAATGATAATAACAGCTAATTACTTATTCCTTATTATTTAGTGCAAGCAAATGCCATTCCAGAGTATCATTATTATATCTGGTTAAATACTTGAATATGGTAATCCGTAAAGAATTGGCATGGCTGTTTCAATTTATTATTTTATTTTTTCAACGTATCCTAACCGACACCGGACGACTAAAACATACATATGCTTGGTATATGCAAACCGTGGAAACCCCAGCAAACGGGAAACCTGGCTTCTCCTCGCATTCTAAAACGCTTGTTTCCCCTCCGTACGGCCCATAGATCTCACCGTTTGATCCCGTCTCCAACCGGGAGAGGCATCCCACATGCCTTTATGGATCTAAATCCCTTCCGTCTATGCTCCGGCCTCAAGTTCCTCGGCTACTTTATGATCCTACTCCTATTGGCTTTGATTGCAATCTCTTACGACGCTGTCATCGTCCTCACCTGTGTCCCGCATCTCGTCGACGGTGGCTTTAATACAGTATTGTATTTATTTGTCGTCACTCTATTTCACGTTCTGGTAACTGCACGGACTTATCACTTTCCGCCTTGGTTCATATTTTTGTTTTCATGTTGCTTCTGATCGAATAATTTGTTCCCAGAGCTTGTTGTTTAATCGTTCAGTGTTTTACTGGTGCAGTAGATTATCTGCTCCGAGATTGTTTTAGAAGAATTCAAGGGTAAGCAATTAGTGGAAACATGACGCAAACTTGAAAATCTTAAACTAAATAAAAATTTCAGTAGACTCGGTTGGAAATAAACAAAAACGGTATGAGAAACTCTTTGTAAAGGCTAGTGCTATGAGAAACGGTATGTTCAAATAAAAATTTCAGTAGACATAAACAAAAGTCAGTGCTCTAAACTTTTATTCTGTCCTTTATATCAGTGCCAGATCCTTGGAAGGGTATTAGATGTATGCGGACATTAAAAAGTTTCAGTACTTGATTTCTGAATGCAGGAATATTATAGTGTTTTTAGGAAACAATAGATTAGCTAGGAGAACTACTTTTCTATGACTGATAATTACTTGTTAAAAGGCCGGTGCTATGTTTAAATGAAAAATATTGTTATATGGTGTTAATCAATCATATTATAGCTTACATGTGCTAGTGTGATCCGTGAATATGGTCACACATGCCAACGTTATATACAACACTTCTGAAAATAGATCACTTATGAAGGATGTAATGTTTTAAATTCCATGTAGAAAATATGGAATGAAATTCTATCCAATGTGGCTTAAAGCCTGGTATTTTGACTGTATTTAAGGATCTTTAATTGGTCCCTCATCTTTGTGTTGGTACTACTGCCATCTCTGCTAAGGATTTTGATAAACTTGCAGCTTGTATTATTGACATGGAGCTATTTTATGGTTGCCTTCCGGGACCCAGGCTCAGTTCCTGCAAATTGGGGAGTGTTACCAGCACAGGATTCAAAGGATGAGAATTATAATATACCTTCCAATTCTTTCACGGATAATGTATCACCTCTATCTTCTGAGGGGATAGAAAGAATTACCGTTCGTTACTGTAATCTGTGCCAAAATGCAAAACCACCTCGGTGTCATCATTGCTCAGCCTGTAAGATGGTTTACTAATTAATTTAAAAAATATTCTTGTCCAGATTATTGATTACATTGTTTACTCCTTAGTAATTCTAATTTTACTCTCTTAATTTGCATTTTTCACAAATTTTCATTGATCTTATCACAGTGGATTCATGATATTTATGCTATTATTATTTGTTGTAATGTATTATTGTTGCCGCATTTCATCTCCTATTTTATGGTCATTTATGTTCTTGGAGAGAACCCAAATTTAAAACATGGAAACTTTTGAATTACCCTTTTTAGGTTTGGTATATGCTGCTCTTAATAATACGGGCATGCTAATGTTCACAATAGGTTTTTTTTTGGATACAAGATGATCTTTTAGGGTTTTATGCAGGCCAACGATGTGTGCTCAAGATGGATCACCACTGCATATGGGTAGTAAATTGTGTTGGGGCATGCAACTACAAATTTTTTCTCCTATTTGTGGTGAGTAAAATTAATTTCGAATCTGTTGTTCCTCCACTATTTTTGAGTGAATTATGAAACTATATATCTTTTCCCTTGTACTTGGAATAAATTAGATTTTGATATTTGTTCATTTAAAGTTCAGCAAATCAACTACCCCATATCTAGATTCATTTCCCACTTTCTGTGGATGTGTACCCCAAATCATACAAAGTTCACAAAGAGTTCATTTCTTTGTGAAGTATCACTCAGAGGCATAACTTTGAATGTATGATTATTACAATGTAACTGTTGTTGTGTCTTCCTCTGCTTGGGATTTAGTAGAACTTTCACAAAGGAATCTCTGAATTCTTATACTTGAATTACTTCATCTCGGTTTTCTTTTATTTAGGACAAGGAGCTAATATCATGATATGCTTCTTATTACCTTTATGTGGTTTATTCTTATGTATTATGTAGGCCAATGCATGAATTGGTATCTCACCTTTCATTTGCTGTTACAAAAGAAGTCATAAATTCGAACTACATATGAAGTAAATTTACCTTACACCTTAGCTTTAATTGGCTGAAGTTAATAACATACTGTGAACTAGTGCCTGAAAAAAAATGCTTTGTCTTCATGTGAAAGCTTATGAAATGCTGAGTTCTTTGCAGAAGCATTGGTTTAATTAGTTAGTATCTCTTTCCTGCTTATGTGTGAAACTAACTAATGTTCATGCTTTTGTAGTTGTATAGTTTTATGGAAACAGGGATGGATACTATTATTTTGCTTCCTGGTTTCATAAATTTTTTTCGACAAGCTGGGCATCATTCCAGCTCTCCCGGGAGGCTTGCAATCACATTTTTAGCTTTTAGTAGGTGTTTTTCTTTTTAAACAAATAATCATTCTTAAATCCTCCATATTATTGTTGCATTTTTAAATTCAGATTCCTCAATAGTCCATACAAATTCTATTCATTGGTGCAGTTTTGAATCTGGCTTTGGCGCTGAGCCTTCTATGTTTTGTAGTTATGCATGTCTCACTGCTGCTCAGTAATACAACATCAGTTGAGGTACTTGTGGTATCATAATTTGAATCACTCATTTCTGTTGAATATAAGTAACTTGGCGCACACACGTGAGATTCATTTGCCAGTCTAATTGTGCACGGATAGTTTAATGCCTAAGATGTCACACCTGTGTGAAGTATTAATTGAAGCATAACAAGCCTCAAAAGCAGTGGTTGTTCCAGGTTCATGAGAAGAAACAGGCTGCTCGTTGGATGTATGACCTGGGATGGAAAAAGAATATTGAGCAGGTCCAACAAAACTTGTATTTTTATTTACTTTTTTGTGTTTTCTCCATCAGAAGTGCTGCTAGTTATCCTTGCATGTTTCATGCTTCAAAGTGTTTATATTTCGTGATCATTTTGAATTTAAACATATCAGCAACGTTCTATGAATGATAATCACTTCACATAGAGTTGTGTTGTGACTTGTTGAAACAATGCCTGTCTGTCTGTCTTCTGAGTTGTCTTTTTTTTTTTTTTTTTTTTTTTTTCCTGGAGATGATGGTTGTTTATGTGATTTTCTCCACCTAAGGACTAGGTGTAAGAATTATGGTGTCAGTTGCCTTGTCTCTCTCTCCCTCTACAGCACTGCTATTACTTTTAACCATATTATCCCGTCTTTAATTATTCCATAATTAGGTTTTCGGCACTAGAAAGGCCCTGTGGCTTTTTCCAGTGTTCTCAAAGGAAGACTACGAGAGTGTACCGGCTTTGTATGGTCTAGACTTCCCAACATGTTCAGTTGTCAACGTATGAGGTAGTTCTTTGTCCAGATATCTATCATTAACTGCCTTATACCTGTTTTATACATCAGTTCCCCATTTTCCAACATTTTATTGTTCCTTTTGGTGTCAATTATTTTGTATATTAAGAGTTGATATTGCCATAGCAGTAACTTGAATGTTATTCCACATTGGCACCTGATCATAGTTTAATGTAAATGTCAACTTTGTTGTTTTTGAAAAGGAGATTTTATAGTATATAGCAGACCATCTTCTTGATGTAGTAGACAAAATCATCTTTTAGGCGTGGGCATGAAATGACTCCATCATTTGCTACATCACTTAGGTTGGTAAAGATTATAGATATAATTGAAATATATGAATTGGGGGAATTTGAAAGTTGGGTGCTACAAGAACAACTCCTAATGCAAAAATGCTATATTCGTTCGATTTTATATTTAGAAGTAGTACTCATATATACTAATGCAAATATCTCGTGGAAATTTTACATTCTAAACTTTTGCAATAGCACCTAATATATGAATTGAATAATGGATGTGAAAAAACTCTTGCCTCAGATGGAAAATATCATTCATGGAAAGTTCTTTTAAAATATTCAGTTTTATAAGGATACTAGATACATTATCTAGTGTAAGATAAAATATGGAATTAGTCACATTTTAGAAGTGTTTTGGAAATATAGGGTGGATATATTGTTAAAAAGAAAAAAAAAAAAAAAAGTTGATAAATAGGGCAAAAATAAAATTAAAAAATGTAAGTAGACAACAATATTCTTCTGCCACCAATCCAATACTTGTGAAGCTAATTCAACCATAGCATGTGGAGAAAAATATAGGTAAACATGTTCCTAGTGCGTGTGTGGGTTAATGTTTTGTTTTGAGTTTTGATATTTTTGAGATAAAATGATTAGTTAAGGGTGATGGTTCTTTTATTTTTTTTGGGAATGAGTGTTGAACTCAATGTTTTCAGAGGGAAATTGTGAAATTGTATAGTGAGAGAGAGAGAGAGAGAGAGAGAGATTTAATATAACTGTCCATGGAAGAGGAAGAAGTGTTGGTTGCAGAGAGAGAGAGAGAGAGAGAGAGGCCACATGATAAACCATGATAATACATTTAAGGAGCGTGGTGTGGGTGTATGAAGAGGGTGTTGGGTCTGGCATGAAAATGCCGTCAATGTATAGTGGGTGTGTTGAGTGGATTCATCTATAGTATCATCCTGAGCCACATGAAGGCTGGATGTTCTCCTGTGTTATGTATGAGAATACCCAACGCCCAGTTAATTTAATTCCAACTTGATGGTGCTGCTCCTTTTGCTTTCTTCTCTTCTTCCTCTTCGGGATCAAGAGATTATACTCTTGGAATTATATGAGGCGTCATTGCTCGCTCGCTCGCTCATGTGCAGTTTTGAGGAGTTATGTTTTGCATCCCAACCTATGGAATAAATATTATTAATGTATTTGCGTATAGTTGTGAGTTTTGCATGCTCTGGAGGGGAGGGGAGGGGAGGGAGGTGCGCATGTAAGTAAAATGCTGCTTTGTAACAGGCAGAGATGCAGCAGGGGATTGGTGGTTGGTATGCATGCCAGAGCAACAATTCGCCAGGTTTTGCAGCGGAGCTTCAGCTAATATCATACTGACTGATAATATTATCATTATGTTGTCGTGTGTCTGTATCTACCACACAGCTTCATCGGATACATCATCACATAATCATATTATCCATACGAATGGATACATTCATTCATTCGTTTGTTTCTTCTTTCTTTCCATTGAAGAAAATCAATCAAACCCTGCTTGCCTGCAACAACAGCAAGAGGCTGAAGCAGAAGCAGCATACCAGAAAAGCCTTTGCACACTGCCTTCTTCCTTGGGGCGGGGGCGGTTAACAATCATCTCTCTGTTTTTTGTTTTTTGTTCTTCTTGATCAATGAGAATCCAAATTACATTGCTTCTAATCTAGCACCACAGCACAACGACACCCCATCCATCCTAACCCTAAAAAACAGAACACACCCTTTTACCTAGCTGGTCTTCCTCCTCCACAGAGAAGAAGGCCGCACACAGACAGACAGCTCTTCCTTCCTCATTCGAATGCTTTCCTCTGCCTCTCTCTCTCCTCTCTCGCAGAATCGTTGGGTTGGGTTGTGCGCTCAGCATTGGAGGCCCAGAACGGCCCCTCGCGTGGCCTCAACCGACACCCCACACTTGACCCTACTCTCCACTCGGTGCATGAACACCTTCAGCACCCTAACCCTCCCCGCTAGCTTCATCCGCGTCTCTATCTCCATGGTCCCCCCCTCCACCACCCCGATCGCGGCCTTCGCCGGCGCCGGGAGAGGGTACTTCTGCAAGTCGAATTTGGCCGACATTTTCTGCCTTCCACCGCCCACGATCCTGCCCGCGGGGATGAAAACGACCCCCACGGGCTCGCCGGAGTAGACCAGCTGCAGGGAGCTGTCGTAGTGCGCGAACTCGTCGCGGTTGGGGTTGGTAACGGTGACGTACTGGAAGAACTCGAAGTTGACGGTGCCGTTGGAGACGGAGAAGGCGGGGAACTGAACGGCGTTAACAGCGATGAGAGGGGGCTTGGGCTTGAAGACGAAGAAGTAGACGGCGACGGCAGCTGCGGCGATGGCGAGTAGGAACACGGTGGCGACGGCACACGATGCTAAGTTAGTGCGGCCGGTCCTGGATTTGGCATCATAAGGATAGGGAAGGAGGGGGTGGTTGTTGTTGATGTTGTTGTTGGATCTGGAGAGAGCAGGAGGAGGGGGGAGGGGAGGTGCAGGGCGAGGAGGGCCACCAGGGCTAGGGACAGGGGCAGGGCCAGGTCCACGGCCATTCATCTCTCTCGTGCGCTGGCTGGCTGGCTCAAGTAAAACAGAAGGAAATAGAGAGAGAGAGAGAGGGGGGGCACAGAAGGAGAGGAGAGACGAGACGAGGGGGTCAGTGCGTAGTGATGGGTTTTGGAATCAAGTACGGATTACTCTACTCTCCCCTCAGCTCCTCTCAAGATTGTTGGTCGAAGAAAGAGGAAAAGGTGGGACCGTGGGGGAGAGAGGTATTGGAGAGGAAAAGGAAAGGAGAAAGGAAAAAAACCAAAAATAAGGAGTATACCGCACCGGTAGGGTCGATGGATCGGGTCGGGTCTCTGCCATCCAGCCAGACGTCAATGTTAATTTACTCTCGATGGATTGGTGTCTGTCCATCTCTATCCTCCCATCCATCCATCCATCTATCCATCTAATCTATCTATCCATATCTAGTTGAAAGGAGAGAGGGAGAAAGGGGGGCGGTGGGTACGTTGGAAGGAGCGGAGTGTGCTGTTCTTTTGGCAGGAAGGTAGTTGGTTAGAAGCTGCACATTCAAATCAGATCTCGATCAGATCACATAACATCACATCATAATTCATTTCATATCGGGCATACCGGCAGTCACTCATCCCGATTGACTTGTGCCAAGTTCAACTACATACATACATACATACATATTTAGGATGGCGTGGGTGGTGCCGTGCCATTTATGAGCTGTAAGTTTCATTCAGTAAATACAACGGTGCTGTTGTTCATCCTGATGTGGCCGCAGTAATTGGCAATGCTCGATCGAGGGATGATACACCGACCGCTTGATGATTGTCATAAACAGAGAGAGATAATAATAATAAAAAAAAAAAAAAAAAGAGAGAGAAAAATTCCGCTTGATGACCTCTTCTCATATTTTGAATGAAATGGGAAAAATTCAGATACTTCGAGTAATATCTCTGCATCTCATCTGTCATATCCTCACTTGCCGCTCCATTTGGTCAATGTAGAGGAATTTTATATTTTCTATGAGATTCTACAGGCGGCAAACATCCCAACTACTACTATTTGTTCGAACCCTAAATTCTACTCCCAGTGATTTGTTACAATGTGTTAGATCCTACCCTGTGGAAAAATAGATCAGGGGAGGTAAAATATTGGTGGTAAGTGGATCTGAAAGAATGCTATGTATGATTCCATTCCAGGACAGATTTCTCAAAGCGCACAGCGGAGGCGCTGGGTGGGTTCTGGGAGTCGGCTAGCTAGCTAGCTGTGGCCATACAAGTCCATATGTCATGCCACAACTACCCCAAACCTGCTTCAGCTTTGAATATTCAACTGTATTGTCTTCTTTCATCAACTAATTTGTTTCCTCACAACTCACTGAGATGGAATAATGGTTATCTGGCCTTCCTGTTAAGAACATCACATTATTAACAAAACAATATTACTCACTCTTGAGAAAGAACCAGACAGGTTTATGTGAACTAGCGGTTGATCAGAAAAAGATGGTAATACACACACACACACAAGTACAGCAGGGGCCTGCTAAATTGTCTAAACCTTACCGTTCAGGACGGGGGGAAGAAGGTTGATCCCGTGAAGTACGGTGCCCAAAGTTCCCGTGGGATCTGTGGTGCTCAAAAGCCCTGGTTTGTGTTCCATCATGCAGCTGTAACTGCGGATTTACACCTTGGAAACCTAGTGGACCCAAAGAACCAAACTCAAGCTGGTCACTATGAAAAACATAGGCTGCATTATGCCCAAACGGATATAGCATCACAATGGGTGGAGCTGACCCATTAGGGACCCCACCAGGATTGGCGACAGCCAATGAGTACATGTGCGCTACACTTCGAGGATTATTTTGACTAGAACTTGAGTGCAATGAACCATTCTGTGACTGGCTTGAAGGGATTGAGTTTTGCCCCTGTGAACTCCAAGAATGATCACCTCGAACCTCACTATGAGCCGATCCCTCTGTTCTTGAGTTCATTTTATCTGTTTGACTACGACTGCGTGCAGCAGATCGTGGTTTTGAGATACTCCAGTTTCCTTCTCTGTCGCCAAGGCTATCAGTTCTATCATGAGTATAGTATCCTCTTCTGTTACCAGATGAATGGCGTTCCCTTACAGAAACTTTCTGAAGCAACAAAGAGTCAACAATCACAAAAGCAGCAACAACAATAAAAGATGAATTAACATTGGTAACACTGAGACACACTATATGAAGCACATACTGTAGCTAGATAATTAGTACAAGCCACCCCTAACATAACTTGAAATTCAATCTCCTGATTGTTTGTCAAGCTTATGATGCATGATGCAACTTCTAGTCAAACTTTCCGGAAAATGGGCCTTCCTAAAGTTCTAATCTGAATAATTTTACATTAGCATATTGACACAACAGTGGTCCCATATCAAACTCCACATCTACTCTTGATCAAGGCATCCATCAATTTAATGTGTTTCTGCAAGTATAATACAAAGTACGGACCATGATAAAAACAGAAATGCTATGACAAGAACAATAAGCACGCACATATTTAACAAAAACGATTGCTACTCTGGAGCTGAAAATGGAAAATCACCATAAGATGTTATATTACCGGATTAGGCAAGTATGTTCCAGTTCCACCACGATATCTTGGCATCTCATCCATGAAGCTTTGATAAACATTAGAATTCCTGCTGGGAACTGACTGAAGGGGAGAAACAGGAAGCTGGTGGCCATAACTTGCCATGATCTGGGAGACTATATTTGAATTGCTAGGAAGGCCTCTACCAAAGTTGTCAAATGGAATGCGTCCTTGGACATAAACAGGTGGAACCATGACAGGAGAAGGATAGAGTAGAGGCCCTTGGTACCGAGGATTTTGACAGAACCTTCCAAACTGCAAGTTTTGCCAATGGCTAGAAAAATCGCTATTGAGAATATCAGGCTTCCGCTCTTCAGATGTTTTCATATTAATGTTCCCTCTTATGGAACTTAATGAATTTAAGTTCCCAGGGTGATCAAATTTCTTGGGACTGAAATTTGTCCCAGACTCATTAACCAAGGTCTCATCACCTCCAAATTGGTTACATGATGCATCAGGACTTGTCTCGGATGGAATGTTACATACATGAAGCATTGTTAAAAATGGAATTGGTGGTCCAGTTGGATAGAAAGCAATCACTCCAGAATTATCATTTGTTCCCTGCCTTGAGCCAGGACCTATGAACATTGGAGCAAATGGGATCATTGATCCTGATTCACTTGTCTGAGCAACTTCAAATCCAGATATACCGTGTCTTGGTATCTGCAAACGATTAATTGGATCAGAAAAAGGGTTCATTTCAATCATTCCAGTCCCAACATTTGATGATGAACCCCATTCCTTGTCATCATCCTCGGTGTCATTGGATACATGCTCAGACACAGCTTTTCCTTTTCCACGATTAGCAGCTAGATCAAAAGACACAATTCTCTTCCCCCTTTTTTCTTTCATAGATTTATGCACCTTCACTGACGATCCATCCCAGGAACTTTCTGACAGAGTTCTACTTCTCAAAGAATTACCATGAGTAACTGATGACAGCCTTGAACTTGTAGACCGTTCTTCCAGATAAACTTCATTACTTCTAATATCCTGAACTATAAAATTGTCAATACTTTCTAGTGCCCTTCCGTGTTTCTCCCCAGGATATTGCTGCTGAAATATTGCAGAACTGCCTGAGCTGCTTACTCGAGCTGGTGGAGGAACATATTTCAAACCAGACATTGATGCTGGGGGTGTATCATCCAATTGAAGTGTTTCAAATTTTCTCTCAAGGTCATAACCAACTGAGGAGCCAATACCCTGCCCATGAAAGCCAGAGCTTCCCACAGGACCAAAGTTCTCATTATTTGGCTCAACTGAATCTTTGGATGTATGCAGCTCAAAGCCAGGGAAATAGCGAGTCAGTTGTTGTGGAACCATACTATGAGGAAATTGCACATTTGAAAATGATGAATCCACCAATGGGATGCTGGTAGGGACAAATCCCGGTGTCTTAGGTTGAGTGTATCCCATCGAAGCAGCAAATGATGGTGGGATAGAGTAAGGCAGATGACTGGAAGCCAGATTAATTGGAACATTAATGTGGCCAGTCATACCTTGAAGTGAAGCAGAGGACATCATGTTCACAATATCTTGTTCTTCTTTCTGCGTTGACTGTCCCGATGAGGCCAATAATTCTTCATTAAAAGCATCTGCACTCATATCTTGAAGGGGTCTAATTGAAATGCTATGGGAGTCCGCAGCATCATGACTTTTCGGTGACGAAACACCCCCATACCATGAAGTATCTTCAACAGATGAATAATTGCTGTGACTTGCCATGCTTTCAGATTCAACATTTTTTCTCATACTAATAGAGTCCGGCCTAGTACAGGAAACAGGAACTTCGACAATTTCTGCTTGTCTATCACATTGTGCATGAGAAGATTCATCACAGAAGTTATCAGTGAGATCAGGATTGGATTGTGTTCTGGCAAAATGAAGCCTTCCAGGGCTGTCATTTACTAATGGATCTAATCTCGAGCTTCTGTGAGTATTCTCATTAACTACAGTGTGACCAAACTGTGCATCTCTTCCAATTTTTTCAGTGAACCTCAAACTTTTCAAATTGAATCGACTTTTTAAACCTTGCATGTGAGAGGTTGCAGGCAGGTCATTTGTTACTGGAATAGTTCTTGACCAATTTCTACCTTGTTGAGAGGATACACCACGGGCATTAATACCTTTTCCCTCCATGTCGTGAGAAGGGTTCTCTTTCACTGTTTTCCCACTAGTATGATTGTTAGAATTCCCAAATCCAGGAGAACTTTCCGTAATTTGTAATCTTAGGTGTGAATCAACTAATGGTGCATCAGGGCGGTGACCACTGCCATGCCTCTCCCATGTATTCAAAAAGAATTGATTCACTTCAAAAGTTAGAGCCTCTTTGGGGCAGTCGAGCAGTCTAGCAAGTTTTTTAGCTCCAAAAGTAAATGCGCTTCGTATTCGGAAAAAGTTACCTAGAGATAGAAGTTGACATTAACTAGAAAAATGAAGTTTATAAAACTGTATATCCATGTCCTAGCGTTACATGGTGGCTAACTTGCAACAGATAAAAGTATAAATTGAGTGAGATATCAAATTTGATTACCAACATATAGATTTATCTAAAAAAAATAATACAAGTCATGCAATTCTCGAAGAACAACAATGAACATGAGAATACACAGTCCCTCAGCTTAATATAAATTTCATTTTAAAGGATTTCTTAACAAACTTGTTTGAGGAAGTTTAAATTGAGTATCCAATCAAGCTCGTACGACTACTTAAGACTAGAAATTGGTCTTTCATCACCCTGATGACATGTCTAGCATATCATACTAAATAATCTGGCGATGACATAGCACATGACATTCTTGTTAAGAGAACAAAAGAACAATAAAAGAGCATAGGTCATGTTGGAAGCTTTTGATAAGTCAATGGCCATTCATTTCGACAATTTGACATTCATCATAATTAATTATGCAAACCAGAGTTCAAATTAAATGCCCAATAAAATCTAGCAAGCTCAAAGAGTTTGTTTCCAGTGTTTTTTTGTGGAATGCCAAGTCAACACTTCATATTTAAGATTATTAAAAGAGAAAAAGAAAAAACACTTCAGAAGAGTTACATGATTTCTCTTGCTTGGCAGTTGATGTGTAGTGTTCATATTCACAGATTAAACTAGGCTAAAGCCATTTCCTACGAAACTGGTTAAGAAGACTCGTAGAAATGAATGACCTACAACATTGATATTTGATACCATTTCTGTTAATAACATGAGCCCTAGGTGCCCTCCTCGTCTACTTTTAAGCTAAAACTACAAGACAGCATAATGATGTTGGGACCATGGTATCAACCAAATAAAAACCTTCAAGCAATAGCAACTCAAATACAGAAAACATTGAAATTATATACAATAAAAAGGATAAAACAAGTTTAATTTCTTCAGAAAATTAGCTTTCAAATGAAATGAATAGAGAACACAAACGTCTGAAGAGATCACCTAAAGAAAATGAAACTGTTAAAGAGGAGAAAGATATGATGGAGAAAGTTCTGAACCTTACCTTTACTAACACTTCGACCAAGATTGTTGTTCACACGTAAAGGATCAATTACGTTAAAATGCTTTGAAACAAATTGCTGTCCATTACTTTCCTGACCGCCAGGAAAAACAGCATATACAGAACTACATGCATCGAGAAACAGCTTGCTGAGCAAAAGATCCCCTCTATCCTTCCTAGGTGGTTCCGCTACAAACCAAAAGAAAATCCATCAAGGAATGCACCAGCATATACTACATATAACAAGACAACAGTTTCCAAAATACAATACCAGATACATCCGGTAATGAAATAATGGGCACAGGTCCCCATAAACTAACACAAAAATTGTCCCAATCAAAATTGCTGAAGAACTCCAGAAAACGATATAGGACCTGCAGCAGTTACATGGGTTGCTTCAGAAAATGAAAAAAAAAAAAAGGATAAACACACAATTGTAACACTGACAAAAGTAAGAATCAGTCACCTCAAGTGGCCCATGAAAGGAATTGTTGAACACATGAAAGATGTACAGAACGAGGGTTTCCAGAGCATATGTAGATATAAGTCCATGATGAGCACCCAGTATACGACTTTCATAATAGCACCATGCTTTTATCAATATAATACTACGCTTGAATAGATGATTCTGATTTATTAGATTGTCAACCTATGCAACCAAAACAATTTCAAAAAACCACATCAGACAAGTTCGTTATTTTGGTAATTTATATATATATATATATGTGTGTGTGTGTACATATGTAATAGAAGCTCTAACTGATGAAACAATTCTGCAAGTAAATTTAAAAACTACTTACCTCGTCAAGGAAGCAGAGAGTACATAAACCACCAACTTGATTAAAAGATATGTCCACCACAATGTTCTCCACTAGACACTTAATTATTTTCACCTGAAATAAAAAGTAGAAAATAAACAAATATGACGCACCCATACACATAAGAAAATGACACCTACTAGTGTTATGGGCATCTTAACCACAATGTCTATCATACAGCAAATTTTTATCATTTCTAATTATCTGATGACGAAAAATGGATGTAAACGGACAGCTATTACTGGAGAGTATTTCTGTCAAATGACAATTAATAATCACAGTTTCTGGAAGCAGGACAAGAACATGATACCACCCAAATAACTTGAAAAAAGACCAAAGCACATGGTTCAACCGTTCAAGATATTTGGGCAGAACAAGTGTTTGAATGTAAACGCCTGCAAATCAATCCAAAACACGTTGCCCTAAACATATAATCCATAAATAGATATTACGTCATCTTGTAATCACCCTACTTGTGCTTAATTATTTCACACATCCAAGATTTTGATAATTTCAAGGAAAATCATAAACATTGCAATATTTGGATCTAAAAGAGACATACTTCTGCTTGGATATACTGAACCTCCTTCACGCGAAACTCAGCATTTTTATTTTTCTCCTCATTCTCAAGCATATCTCGAACTTGGTTTGCCCAAGAATCTTTCAAACCCTGATTGTGACTAAAAGCAGTCAAATCAATGTCTCCATCAGGTAGATAAGTCTTCAAAGGTACAGAACCAAAGGTACAGACCTGCAATAATGGATAAGTGATTAGAAGAAGAGAACATTAGAAAACTAGAGATTATCTTTAAAATAATTTTCATATGCAAATAGATAGTTCTGCATTTCTGTTATGTTACACAACATGCTAACTTTCCACTTCCAAAATCAAATAATCAAAAGAATTATACCTATCATTCAACAAGAAAATATCGTCCTCAATTATCCCCATAATGCTACATGGTCGAAAATAGCAATGCCAGGTTAAATTTCTTTTTACCAACCCAACAATCACAGGTTTAAGAAGTGTCTGCAGAATCAAAATTTTGAATTGATCAATTTTATATGATTACAATGGATTCATAGTGTCCAGCCGAACTACAAATTCAAACCAATCATTTTTGGTTTCACCTTATGCTGTATTGTAGGTGAACCAGGACAGGTAACAAAAAAGGTAAAATAAACCTCCAGTCTTTCAATCCTTAATCATATGTATATGAGCATCAGGCAAAGCAAACTGGAGGTACTGCAAACATTGATCAAAGAAATAATTTCTTTCTATAGTTGAAGAATAGGTGTCCATATTATAATAATTTAGACCATGAGCATAACTCTAATCCTGTGTAATATAGCAAAATATAAAAGAGTCGTATACATAATTGGAATGAGATTAAAGCTTTCTTTTCTTTTCTTTCCCCCCTTTTTTGTGACAAATCTCTTCATGAAAATTGTGGACTTGACGCCCATGACACCAGGTAGATAGATGTAGCACAACAGTAGACAGAGGTCATGAATTATTTTGCACTAGTACATGGCAAACAGAATCTGCAGCTATATGCCATGAATAGGCAAACATGCATGATTGTAGTGATAATAATAATTTATAACAACAACCACAAGTAACAGATCATCAATGCGGTTTATACAGTCAGAAACCATTCCTATCAATGCGGGCATATTATTAGGAACTCATTCTCAATGCATTATCTGAGATACAAGTTCGCTTCTACCCGTATAAACTGGATGACAACATCATATTGTAAAAATAAGACGACGACGATACAAGCCCTATATCTAACAGAAAAGTGACAACCTGTTGAATGGAAACAGCATTCCAAATAGAAATGCATTTACAATTATATCAACTCTAGTGCCGCATAGCAAAACAAGCAAATATTAGTTGCATCATTTACAGCTGCTGAAGGAACAGTGTTCCATCTGCAAGAGATCACATAATAAAACTCCAGAATTATTCCAACAACCTGGCTGGGGAAGCATTTCATTATAAGCCGCTGCACATAATCTGCAACAGCATTCCTCCGTCCCTCAGACAGCGGATTGGGCTGAATGCAAGCAATGATCTCCGCAGTCCGTTCCTCAGCTTTCATCCATCTTTCTGTATCAAGGGGTTGCATTACAGGACCTGCCCCGGGTAAGAGTCCATTTGGCAATGGCCCTCGTGGCTCAGACGTTCCATCATTTTCGTCCATATTTTATCGACTCTCTAAAATCTTATAATTCTCGGAGTAGAGAAAACTCAGTTTCGATATTAGTATTACCGTGTATCGATAAAAGCTTATCAAAATGAAACACCAAAAGCAATGTAGTTCATACCAAAAAAATAGAACACCCTTTCCCAAAATATGGGGAGTTATACAACTGTGCCAAAACCCTAATTGAAGGAAATACACCGAGAAAGGCGTCGAAAACACGACAGATGCACCGTGTGCTCGTCGGAAAATGCAATAAGCATTATTCAGACTGCTAGAGGGAAATAAAAAACAGCGAGCTTTTTTAGCACTGCATCCCTAAAAGAGAGAGAGAGAGAGAGAGAGAGGAAATTAACAAGCGGAAAAGACAGACCAACCGAAAATAGGGCAAAAGAGTAGGGGGGAAATATAAGAAGGAAAAAAAGAAAAAAAGAAAAGGCAAGGAGCTGATCAAGCGATTGGAGACCAAAAAAACCCTAATTGGAAGCGGATTAGAAGGAAACGGATGCAATGCAAAGTGAATGGAAAATGCGAGATGCAGATGTAGTTGTTGGTTAAGGGCGAGAATGGGAAAGGGAAGCAGTGTTGGGAAAAAAAGTATAAGATGGTCAAATTTGAGGAGTTGGAGGAGGAGGAGGAAGAAGAAGTGGAGGCAGCGAGTAGCTTAGACGAGAGGGTGTCCTGAGTCTCTGAAGTCTAAACTGGTCTGGTCCGGTCCGGTCTGGTCTGGTCATTAGCAGTAGCTTACTCTGAGGAGTGGTCTGGCTCTGGCTCTGGCTCTGGCTCTGGCTCGGGTTGCTTCACTTGGTGTGGATGTGGGTGGGACTAGTCAGTGCGATGTGAATCGACTACAATTCATATGGGCTCGGGCTCGGGCTCGGGCTCGGTTAAATCAATCTAAATTAGGGATCTTTCATTAATGAAATATTGATTGTGTGAATGGAAAATTATGGTGCTCCATTTGATTTGGTTCGGTTTGGTTTTTGTTTCATTCTGAGAGTGTCTGATCTGAGACGGGGACTCGGTATTGTTTGTTTGTTCGTCGTCTTACTCAATCATTATTAGTATTTATTCTTTATGTGGAACTAATGAGTGATGGGCTTTTCAGGCCATTTGTAGTCAAGATATTCACCTAAATATTTCTTTATTTTTAATTTACATTTTTTTTTCTTTCATTTCATTTTTTTTCAATTCAACAATAAAAATATATATATTTATATTTATATCAAAATTATTTATTTTTAAAATATATATAATATAAATATAAGAATAAAATTTTATATAATAGTATATAAATATAAAATAAAATAAATAAATACAATTATAATAATTTTTTTTTAAAAAAAACACCAATCTCCTAACATTCTGGACATGATGGGTATGTTATTTTAGAGACTCTCGTTTTCAAAAAAAAAAAAATACATTTTTTTTCTCTCATAAATTATCGTATAAAGCATTATTTTAATATCAAATTCAAACAAAAATTTTATCAAATTTATCAAAAGAAATATACCCGACATGTCAGGAGATTTATGAATTTTTTGTAATCTTTGTTTACTTTTGTCATGGTCTTTTTCATTATTTTCAGTTATTATAACAAGATTTGTTATTTCTATTAAGAAATTCAGTTAATATTCAGAATTCATAAATTTTACAAAAATAATAAATAAATAATTATTTAATTAATTATAACTTAAAGTTTTAAATTTTACTCCCTTCATCTCACGTACCGTGTGTATAGACATGGTATTTTAGGAGGAATATAATTATTAGATAATTAAAAATGTATTAGTAAAAATAATTATCCAATAATATAAATAATTATTAATTAAGATTAAGATAACTAATTAGTTTAATTAAAATTTAAAAAAAATTAAAAAGTTTAAAATGAGATTAAATTGTGTAATCATTTTCCAAAGAATGAAAATAACATGCAATGTGGGACGAACAGAAACGGCAACGTGGACATGGTATGTGGAACGGAAGGAGTAAAATTTATGAATAATTTACCTATACGAATACAAATTCAAATTTATTTAAAAAAAAAAAAACTCACAACTCATCTACATATTTTTTAATATTTTTTCTATACATTCAATTTCAATCATTAAAATTTTCGTATTCAGGGCGTATTTGGCAATCAGCTGATAGTGGTTAGCTGTTGGCTGTTAGCTGATTCAATTAGCTGATAGTTGTTAGCTAATTAAATTAGCTGGTTTAACTAGCTGATTCGATTAGCTGTTTGTATTAAAATATTTGGTAAAACAATGGTTTGATATTAGCTGTTTATACGTAAAATGACAATTGAGGACATTTCTAATTATTTTTTTTTTCTAATATAGTCAATTATGTTCTTTTGAGTTTAGAATATTTAAAATTTTTTTGTTATTAGTTATTGAAAATTGTAAAAGTGCTATAAAAGTATTTATTTTTATTACAGTTAGATTTAAAAAATAATATATTTTTATTAAAATATATAAATAGTTTAATCTATTGAAAATGATGTAAAATATAAAATAATAAATTTTTCGTGTATATATTTATTATGTTAGTTATTGATTAGTTCATTATATTTATAATTTTCAATAAATTTAATTTATTTAATTTATTTTTAGTATAAAATTTATATAATGTAATTTTAATATAAACATAAATTATTAATATTTATATTTTATTTTATATTGATTTTAATAAATTTATATATTTTACAATTAAAATAACTTTTATATAAAAATTAATTATTTTAAATTTATAAAAGTAAAACTATAATATAATAAAATATTCTAATATAATTAATAAATAATCAAAATATATTTATTTGTGTAAAATCCATAATAAATTTTTAAGGGCATATACGAAAAAAAAAATTTTACAGAAAAAACTATTTCAAAACGTCGGGTAAGTTAGCTTTTCAGAAATTAGCTTTTTTGGGTCAAAAAGCTATTCCAAAAAACTAATTTACCAAACACCTAAATTAGCTTTTGACTGGTGAAACAACTGTTCAATAAGCTAGAAGCTCTTCGTCAAACACCCCCTCAATCTCCTTTCAACTAGCTATTAACAAAATGATCATAACTAAAAATTTAGAGAAAAAATCAATTTTGGTCTCAATATAACTAAAATTCATCAATTTTGGTCACAATATAAAAACTTCATCAATTTTGATCTCAATATAAATTATTTCAATCACTTTTAGTCCCACTATTTAAAAATAAATCTAAATTGATGACATGGATTTAACGGAAGTGCTAACTTGATATATAAATATATATGAGATATGATTCTGATTATGATATTGCTGCTAGGAAAGAATGCATAGAGAGAGTATGGTGTAGCACACAGGAAGGAAATGAGTAATGAGAGAGGAAGGAACCTAGCTAGCTAGCTAGGAGGAGCTGGAAGAAGGGTTGCCAAGCTGATGATGCACAGGCACAGCCGACAGATATGCTAGTTGAGAAAGGATATGTGAACATTTAAATAGTATTCTTTCTTGGCGTGGTGGGCCTACTTGTGTGTGTGTGAGAGAGAGAGAGAGGGGGAGAGAGAGAGAGAGAGAGAGAGAGAGAGAGAGAGAGAGAGTTGAGGAATAGCTTTTGGTTAGCTGCAATGCAGCATCAGCATCATCATTGTCATTACATTGCATTATTACCTTACAACAACATCAACACTGACACTAACTTGGGGTTTTTCGAAGAGGCGGCTGGCTGGGCTAGCTAGCTGGCAAGACTCAAGGGAATGGGAGCGGAGGGAGGGCCATCCTTTGGAAGTGGAATATATATACATCCTATCCTATATGCATACATCCAGATTCAGGACCAGGCCCCATTTTCACACGGTCATGGACTGAAACGAACGTAAATGGAATTGATTTGCTAATAACATGCATACATACATGCGTGCGTACGTACAACATGTTGACTGCTTTGCTTGATGAGATGGCGGTGACGGTGAGACTGCAGCTGCACTCACTCACTCACTCACTCATGTTCATGTTGGATCCCCAAAATTACAGATCAGATCTAGACCGACGATGTCCTCTACGGACAAGCACAAACCAACACTAGCGAGTACAACGAGTCTTCTTCATTCATTCGTTACCCCCCGGCCCCCGCTCCTGTCTCTGACGTCTCCGATTGAGCAACAGCATTTCCATCATCAGATCATTCCAAGTGTCTATGGGGCCCGGCAGGCACCAGTGTAGGCAGTCATTCTGAATTTTCGCATTCTCGTCTTTCCCCTCGTACGGATGGAACTGCCTGTACACTCCCGGGTGCCCGTCGGGCCTCATCAGGGAGAGCGCAGTTGTATCCAACAGCTTCAGTGTTACCCCATTCTCCGACCCTCTTGCTGCCGCTTTCCCAAATTCCTCAAGTTCTGCTCTCCTCATTATCTTGTCCACCACATTCAATTCAGCTTCCCCTGCCTTGAATGGCCTTGTCCTGTTGCAGTAGCCCCCCGTGTCCCACTCCCCATTCTCAAAGTGATCTGGGGTGGTGGTTCTGAACAACACAGACGGCCTGTGCTTCGATCCCGTGATGAATTTCAAAGTGGAGTTGAGCGCCTTGCGGTAGGCGTGCTCGAATTCCATCTCCGTGATGTTGTTGTTATGACAATTATGGCAGCCCACGACTGTCTTGTTCTCATAGTAAATTGCCGATTTGAGAAACCATTTCCCCCCAGCAATGATCACATGATCAAATTTCTCATACTGCTGCGTCCATGTTGTGTCCGGCTCATCCAGATACAGCTGGGTGATACCTGAAGAAACTCCATTCTCATCCTCAAAAGTAAGGGCCTTGGTGAGGAAAGGAGCCCACACCAGAGAGACATTGAAGCCATGGGAAGGAAAGGACCAACGCCTGTTTTTGTAGGTGGTATCATGGTAGACTTCAACTGATTGTTCAGCCTGCAAGATATATGTATGTAGTTGTTAAAAGCCTGCTTGCAGGCAACTATTTACAAGCATATCACCCCTACGTGCATATATTCACCCCTGTACTGCCAGATGGCTAGCTATTAATTCTCATTGCGTGCGTGTGTTCTATGCATGCATGTTGCTGTTTACTTACAAACTTCAGAAAGAATCCACATGACCAAGGAAATCAAACTACTTAAATAGATGCTAGAACCCTCTCATCTTATCAATGCACCTGCCGCAAATTGGATTAATCCCATGCCGGAATGGGGTGAACCAAAACCCACCTGTACTCTTGGCCCTTTGGATATCGAACACACAGCAACCTTTTATTGTGAACCGCAAAAGTCAAGAAGCTGTGATAATCCCTTCATTACGGACTTCCTGGGGGTGTAGGTGAAGGTGCAGCAAATTTAAGGACCCGCTCTCTAAACATGCCAATGCCATGCCCCCACCTTTCTTAACACCATCATAATAAAAATACTTGTCTGACACTCCAAGCTTTAATTTAAGATGATGGCACTCAATAATAAAGTAAACTAATAGTAGAAAATGAACATAGCCGACATGAGAGGGAATGGGAATGGAATTATCAAAACTTAAATTGGGGGGTGGGGGGGGGGGGGGGGTGGAATCACAAATTACTTGCATTACCTGAGAGAGAAGGCAGAGCAAAGACTGGACATGATTACGCATGATGGAATCACCAATAAAGGCAAGTGATTTGGCCTTCATCACGTCCAGAAATTTCTTGGGATCAAGCCTGGGCAAACTACAGCCTCTAGGGTTCCATCTCCAGAAAACATAATCCCGATCAGGCCTCCCATTTTTCATACAGTTCTGGGGAGGTTCAATTGTCGAGCAGCTAGTGTTGGTGTACACTGGGCCATCGGAATCCGGAACCCAATCTCCCACGAACAAATTACATCCTTCTGCAAATACAATTGAAAGTCTTCAAATCAACAACTGGAGACATTCCATTTAGATCAATGCATATCCCTCTGTATTTTTTGTCGGCAGGTACTGATAATGAATACTTATTCCTCACTTCTCTCAACATGGAGAGGTTAAAATGGATGTAATTTTCATATTCTGCACGATCTGGGTCGATCAAAAAATTCACCCAACTACCCAAAATACAAAACTATAATTATCCACTGAATTCAAATGCAGCCGAGAGAACTCGCGTTCCCTTTGATTCCCTGAAGGATACACCACACCAAACAAACAGAGAATAGATCATGGGACGCAACAAATGCAATATCACTGGATAAAGAGGGAAAAGGGGGTGGGGGGAATAATATACCCTGAGAAGCGTAATGGTCAGGATTGAACGATGCATCTTCACTGGTTTCAGCCGGCGGCGGCGAAGTGTTGGCGGCTACACTCAATTGGGGATCATCCTCAGAAACCACAAGCGGCGAGAAGTGTATAAAAGTCGAGGATAACAAACGGTAGCCAATAGTCAATAACAGGAAGCACACCGCAAATTTCACCAACACTGAGGACAGTATCTTCCTCTGGATGTTAGGGCTGCCCAATTGCTGCTTCATTTCTGCTCCGTCAGCGGAAAACCTAGCATCTCATCTCAACAGAAGGGAATTGGAGAAACAAGGGGCGGTTGGTGAAATCACGAAAAGCTTTAATTAATGCAGTGGGGTGTCGGGGTGAAATGACGTGATCAGAAAAAATAAATGTAGACCGAGAAAATAGAGAGAGAGAGAGAGAGACTAAAGAACAAAGATGGGGGGGGGCAAATGCTTTGCTTGCGACGCTTGATTTTTTTTGTTTTTATAATTTATTATTTTAAATACATTGCTTTTTTAATAATAATAATAATAATAATAATAGAGACCATATGGTAGTGATACTGTTATAGCAGTAGTATCGTCTCTCTCTTTCGTCCTCCTTCACATCACATTATTGTGTGTTTTTTTAAAGAAGAAAAAAAAAATCTTTTAATTTCAAGATAATCCAAAATAGTTAAATGGTAGTAACAAAATGTGGTGCAGCAAGAGTCGAATTTGATGGAATTTGTTTTTAAAAAAAATGAATAATGTTAAATAAATGAAAGTATACAAAACTCATATTTTTCATATTTACAGTGTCTCGTACTCATTCATTTATTTAATTATATATATGTTGTGTAATTCTTTTGCTTTTATCCGTGGTTGGTTGGGAGTTGGGATGTTTCTATTACACAGCTGGAGCTGGCCGACATATTTTCAGATCATAAGTACTTAAAATGTCTACTTGCATTAATTGCACGGGGATTATTCATCTCTGCCCTTTGCCCTATGCGGTCGTCGTCTATAATCACGATTGCATGCATTGCGTTGCCTTGATTCATTCATTGACAAAAACAAATTAATTAAAGGGAATGCACAGACAACAAACAAGCAAAAGGGAAAGCTAAAGATATTCATTCATCCAACCCAACCAAACCCAATCAAATCTATATAGCAGCAGCAAATTTACATGACAAGCGATTTCAACAATTACCCACCTCATTCCTTTGTTCGTTAGTTGTCAAAATAAGCCACCACACCGACCAATTAAACTGACTGTACTGTATTGTACAGGCCAGGCAAGGCAGCACAGGAAGGAAGGAACAATATATTATTAATACAGATATCGCCACCATCATCCAGCCTCGGACTGCTGATCTAATCTGATCTGATCGGCTCTGTATATCTGCTGAGGCCCTCGTCTAGTCAGTCAGTCAGTCATACAGCTGCTTGTGGGGCTAGCTCCCTCATGCCAAATCCACGCTTCATTCTCTCCACGCTGCAAATAATCAATAATATACCAAACCATAATATCATGCATACCATTTACATTGATATATGCAAATCAAATCTATTCTATCCTATATATATATATATTATATAATGAAAGTAGCTAGGTGGGAGGATGGGAGGAATACTGCACTGACGTGGGCGCAAGCTTGCCAAGACCTTGTAGCTCCTCGCCGGTGGCCTCATCCAGGACCCTTCCAGAGATCTCTATGATGTATGATCTCTCCCTTTCTTTCGGGAGCCCTCTACCCCCCAGCAAATTCAACTCTCTCTCGTTCAGTTCCCTACCGTTCACGTACACAGCCGTCCCCTTCCCTCCGCTGCATCTCTCCGGCATAGGGTAGTTGAACTCTTCTATAAATGGCTGCACCAACCAACCAACCAACCAACCAACCAAAATAAAATTAAAAGGAATTACTACTAGTATATATATATATATATTTCTCCTACTTACAAACAAATAATAACTCACTCATGATTGATGACACATACATACATACATACATACATAATTATAAGCTAGTTAGCTTGCTTGCTTGTTTGCTTACGTACAGGAATTATCCCAAGACATGGACCTCCGATGGCGCCCCAGAAACCAGCCCGGCAATCGTACCTGGTTACGCACCGTACCGGAGGCAGCAATATATTAATTGCCACCACTTCAAATCAAGACAAATACTGGCCTAACCCATTTAATTAATTTGAGACAACATATATTGTGCATACCAGTAATTCCCAGGGCTGATTGGTCCGGCAAGTTTTTGAGCTTTTTTAATCAATCGATCAGGAATTAGATGCCCATTTACGGTCACACTGGCCCGGCCTAGTTCCTGCTCAACACCTTCATTGAATCTATCTGAATCTTTAAAGCTCTCCTCTACAATGCCAGCAAAAAATGACTTAGCCGCTCTGCCGGCTTTAAGATCATTACCTCTTCCTCTGCTTGCTTCGCCAGAATCCAACGTTGTTCCAGTACTATTGAACTCATTTGAAGACAAATCTATCTCGGTGGCTGATGATTCTTTCCTCGAAATCTGTCTCGTAGTACTTGTCTTGTTTCCCAAACGTTTCTCATGTTCAGAGTGGTCAGATAATAAGCTCTGTTCATTAGGAGGAGGGTCCACTGCATGATACTTGTTTGAATGCTCAAAGTAATCTTGAAGAGATGGACCTGAAAATGGTGGCTGCCCTTTGCTTTCTGTTGAGTGGTCAGCCAAACTAGAATCTTTTTTAATCTCAGCACCAGCCAAACAGTCCCAGCGCTTGTCCTTGTCTCCCTCAGTCTCAGAAGCATACGAATTAGATGTCGTAGAACGATGGGGTTTCACATCCTGCATAGATTTGTAGACGCTATGCCCAGAATCTCTATCCATACGGAGGAAACTATCATAGCCGTCGGATGAAAAGGTTGTGTGGGGTGCATCGACGCTTGTCGCCATCACATGACCTGCAGCAGGCTTAATCTTGTTAACTTGTATAGGACCATTCTGATCAGCAGGCAATCCATTTGAAGAAACAGCTGCTAAGGTCTTCTTGGACAATGCAAGAACAATAAGTGTAGAGCATGCCCCGCATCTCACTTTATTGATATTCTTAGTGAGAACTTTCCTAGACAACAGCAGCAACTCAGAGCATTTATAGCACATTAAAAATGGAGCACCACCCGCAATAGGGCTGCAATGATTTCCACCGCGTGGGCGGCGGCGATGGTGAATATAACCACTGACCTCAGAATCCACAACACTAGGCCACCTAGCCTGTGATGATTGAGAATGATGAGATTTTAATGAAGGGGGGTGGTCCGAGAATCTTGGGTTATGATGTCTTGAATTGTGATTATAAGCGAGCATGTCAGAGTAGTTATGATTGGTGTAGGCAGTTGGAAGAATAGGGGGTGCTGCTGGAAGTAGTAACCTCTGGCTGAGGCACTGGTAGCAAGGACAGGAGGGATGGTGATGATGGCGGCGGGCGTGGGTGTGGGTGTGGGTGTGAGAGTAATTCACGGGATATGGCTCTACTAGTACAGTATTATCCTCGTCGCCCCCCTCCTCCTCGGTATCATTCTGGTAGGGTGGTCCACTTCCTGCAGATCCAGTCCTCCTCCTATGTGAATGAGGATGAGGTGGAGGTGGAGGTGGTAGTGTATGTGCTTGATGATAGACGACATGAGGCAGCGGCATTGGCATGTAAGACCTCCTTGATAGACCCCCCCAGCCGTGACTTGGAGGAGGAGGATCAAAACCGGCTGGGCAGGGTGGCTCTGCATATTGATGCTGGTATTGATATTGATATTGATATTGATGATGGTATTGATATTGATTTTGATGATGGTATGAGTTTTGCCGATGAGTAATCCACATCGTCTCCCCTTGCTGCTGCTTCATTGACGATGAAGATGAAGATGATGATGCTGCAGCAGCAGCAGCATACACTTTATAAGGATCATGATCATGATCCTCCTCCTCCTCGTCCATTATCCTGGGAGCCACCCTCATCTCTTGTTTAGCCTGCTCAATCCCAATCGAATTATTACTATCTTTCCTCACTTCCAACTGCTTCAAATTCAAAAGTTGGGCTCCATCTTGCCCAAACCCAACACGAGGACCAGCATCAAAAGGCAGCATGTCTTCTTCTCCTGCTGCTGCGTTTCTTCCTCCTCTTCTACTTCTCACGAAGCCTTCCGCTTGGCCTCTTCTGTCATTTCGTCCTCGTCGCCCTGGACCCCCCAATTCATTCTCCTCAGGCCCCCAAGCTGGATGCATTTTGGCTCGCTCCAGTTCCACCGCCACAGACCTCCTTCTGTCCCGGCTGATGACCTCAGCATCACCATCACCGAGTCTTTCCTCTTCACCGCTACTACTACTACTACTTCTCAATGTAGCCGTAGCCCCCCCACCCCCATTATTGTTATCATGCACAACTACTCTAGTGCCAGCGCCAATGCTCGGCCGTCTCATCATCATCATCGTCATCATCTTATCACTCTCAGCCTCTGAATCACCATCGCTCATCTCTATCTTTCTAATCCTCTCCGAAACACTCACCAATCTTTTCTCCGAACTCGCCGCCTCGGTCCCTCCTGTTCTAATGCTGTCCACATCAGAGTTGGAGTTGACCGGGAAAGCATCCAAGTCAACACCTTTATTCTTAGCTGAACCATTCGGCAGCAAGAAGAAGAAACACAGATTAGTATATCATCAATTATTCTAAAGAAAGCCTTGCAGTTGCATAAAGACGACGACGACCACGACGACAACAACAAGAAGTAAGATGCAATCTACACAGGGACTAGTGTTAAAAGAGTTCCAACTGCAAGCAAGCAAGCAAGCAAGCAAACAAGCAAACAAGCAGTAACACTAAGAATTAGGAGGAGTTGAAGAAGAATAAGTCAGTCGATACGAGCACATGCATCCTAGCTAGCTAAAAAGACATGAATACTGCGTACGAATCTGGCACATATTCTTGGTAGTGACTAGTGATAGCCCACCCTCCAAATCAACCAATCATCATTTTCTATATATAAGATGACATACGTACGTACCTTGGAGGACAGCGCCGCAATTGCCGCATTCATAAACAGAAAAATGGGTGATCTCCGGCAACAATTTTTGACAACTGGGGCAACGAATTAAAGGAACGCCGCCATCATCATCGTCTGCTGTTTCGGCCATTGTTAACAAGTTTGAAAAGGTCCTTCAACTCTATCTATCAAGGTGGGTCTGTATCAAAGCAATCAAAGGATGCAAGCATATACATTTCATTCAACAAACAGCGATTGTTCGAAGAAGAAATGGTGGGAACACAGGCAGGAGGAGAGGAAATGGGACTGAAAGGAGGAGGAGGGGAATATGATGGGGAAAGGGGAAGGGGTTAAGTTAAAAGACTTTTGGAAATAGAATAGCGCTGGCGCAAGCAAGGCAGTATTTCAGTTAGTCGTCTACCTACCACTCTGTCAGACTCAGTCAGGCGGCGGTTAATGTTAATGTAATGGTTGATTTATGAGGGCAGGGCTGGCAGGAAGCGTTGTCGTTGACTTTGGGCAATTGTCAGTTGTCACTTTCCCACACCCTTTTATACTAACTTGGTACGCGCACACCCACATTTCGCCGGCGGGCCCGTGTATCTGCAAAGTGCCAAGAATTGGGGACAATTTTAATTTGAGTGTTTATACTTTGTTCTTATTCTTATTAGTAGTACTAATATTATTTTTAACCTGACAATATGCCGTCGCTATTCATCGAAAATGCATTGAATAAAATTTTAAATCCAATTTACAGACCATGTCAGCCAGTACATTGGATAAACCACACTAAAAATAAATAAATAAATAAATATTATGTGTGATAAACTCAATTGAGTGTCCCATTACATTATACGACCCATCCAGCCTCGCCATTATTATAATTATAATTCTTATTATAGTACCTAATTGGTACGTGGCCGCCACCCCGCCATTCTTTCCTTTAATTCGGATTTTTTAAAAAAAGAATGACCAAGTCAAATGATATTATAATTCATAAATTATAAAAAAGTTTTCAAAATACGTTATCAATGTGGGGTAATTATAGAATTTGCCTAAACTTCTATAATTGATAAATTATGAGTTCTGAGAATTTTTTATATATAAAAGAGTCTAATAACTTTTATATTTTTAATTATAAAAGTTTTGAAAACTCATATATTTTTCAATTTACAAAATTTTAATTGATTTTGTTGTATTTAAAATTTTTGTATATGGTGTGTTCGTTTTTAAAGTAATTTTTTTTTTTTCAAAACCTTTAACTTTCAGATATTGTTGACTTAATTTATTTTATAGGTTTTGTACAATATTTTATTATATATCGTTGGTAGGCAATGTTTTCCTTATATTGTATTTGTTGTTTGATTATAAATTTATGGAAAAAAATTAATTTTGGTCTCAATATAATTAAAATTTATTAATTTTGATTTCAATATAAAAAACTCATCTCCCATTATATAAACATTTTCAATCCTTTTTTATTCCATTATAAATAATTTTAATCAATTTTGGCCGCATCGTTAAAAAATTAACGGAAATTGCTGACGTGGACATAACGGAAGTGACGTGGCAGCTAGCCTGGAAACTACATGGCCATGTACAATTATACACGGTCATGTTGTTACATGACCATGTATATTTCAGTGTATAATTATATATAACCATGTTGTTACACCGCCATATATAATTTTACACGGCCGTATACCTTTATGTTTTGTTATTTTTTTAATTTTTTTTAAAAAATTAGAATAATTGATATAGTTAAAATGGAAAAAAAAATAATCATAATATAATTAAAATGTAATAATTTTAGTTCAAATATAAATATTTATCGAGTCTGTTCTTTTAGAAGATTTTGTCTAAAATTTTACTATTTACGAAAAAAATAATAATTTAATACTACTATAATATACAAAATTAAAAAATAATTGTGTAATTGAATGTTTGTAAGATAATATTTTTTTATGAATAATAGAATTTTAGACAAAATCTTTAAAAAAATATCTTATAAATTTTTATATTTGAATTAAAATTGATAAATTTTAATTATGTTATGATTACTATTGATTTTGTCCATTTTAACTATATCAACTATTTTTAAATTCAAAATAATTTTTTAAAATAAAATTTTAGACTAAAACATAAATGTACACTACCGTGTAAAATTATATATGGTCGTGTAACAACATGACCATGTATAATTATATACTAAAATATACATGGTGGCCGTGTAACAACATAGTCATGTATAATTATACATGGCTGTATTTTCCAGGTCAACTGCCACGTCAATTCCGTTATGTCCACGTTAATAATTTCCATTAGTTTTTTTATTGGTGAGACCAAAATTGATTGAAATTATTTATAATAGGACCAAAATTGATTGAAATGGTTTATAATATTACCAAAATTGATGAATTTTCTGTATTGAGACAAAAATTGATAAATTTTAGTTATATTGAGACAAAATTGATTTTTTTTCCTAAATTTATTTTTATATGATATTTATTTTGACATTGTTTTTGATAAATTAGTTGTTTAATGTTTGTGTATTTACTTGTATTAACATCATAGTTTTTTATTTTGATATTATTTGTAAGGTTTATATTTATTGTATATTATTTATATGTATAATGTATTTATGTGTATTTTTTATAATAATATTTTTATATATTACTTATTTTTATATTATTTTTTTATATATTACTTTTAGTTTTACTAGTATGTATTTTTTTTATTTTTTTTTCAAAAATAAATGATGAGTAGTGGCATAGAAAACTACACATAAATAAATAAAAAATTATATAGAAAACTACTATAAGAATAAAAATAATATATTATTTCTCCGTCTCATTGAAATGTGATATTTGTTTTTGTAAATAGATTTTTGAATATTAGTATTATATTGGATTGTAGTAAAAAAAAAAAAAAAAGATAAAAATAACCCTATTAATATGGTGTAATATAAAAGTAATGACATTTGTGTAATATATTGTAAGTTGAAAGGGTATTTATTATATTAGGTAGATAGTACAATTACTAAATTAAGAAATTGTAACCTTTCAATGCGACGAAAAAGTATAAAAATAAGCAATACATAAAAATATTACTATAATAAATATAATATTGTTTTTGTTGCAGCTAATTTATCCATTTTAGTTGAGTCACACATATATTATTTAATTAGTAAGTAATTAACAAAAGTATTAATAAAAATAATTTTAAATTAAAATTTAGTGAACTAAGGGCATCCACAACGGGAGACGCTTGTTGAGAAGCGCCTCCCACGTCATCATTTATTAAATAAAAAAAAAATTAAAACACCAATTAACATAAGGAACGGTACATTGCGAGTGTACCGTTTCTTCCAATTTTTGTGGGCCATGGTCCACTTTTTTATTCAATAAATATTAAAAATAATATTTATAATATATACTTTTTTATTTATATTTATAATAATTTTATTTATTTAAAATATTATATTCTAATTTTGTTATATAAAATTTTATTTAATATTTATAATTTGAAATATATTTTTCAAGAAATAAAAAAATTAAATATTTAACTTTAATTATTATGCAAAGTGTGAAATTATTATTTTTATTTATTTTATTTATTTATGCTAAATAATTGTTTTATTTTTATTAAATATTATAAGAATAAAATATGATTGCAAAATATAATTTTATTTTATAAATATATAAAATATTTAATGATGCGGAAAAAATAGAGATATTAAAAGGTTCTTTGATGTGGATATAAAATATGATTAGAGTTCTTTGTGATGTGGAGGAGAGAGAAGCTGATGTGGCGCATGAAAGAGAATAGAAAGAAACCCTGTATGGGTATTTGGATTGAGGATAGCCTAAATAATTTAATTAAAATAAAAAATTTATAAACTATAAATTTTAAAATATAATTAAAATGTATATTTATATATATATTTTTTAAAAAGACAATTTATGTGGGACATATGCATGCGAAAAGAGTGGACAAATCGAGACAGTATAGAAATAAGAAATATATTACCTTTTTGAAAAATTATACGGAGAACTACTATAAGAATAAAAATAATACTACCTCCGCGGCCACATATGATCCATTTCTATTTTAAGTAAATTTATAATCTTTAAAAATACTTAACAACATAAATCAATTTAGCATATTCAAAATCTCTCTATTTTTATCTATATTTAAAACTTCGAATTTTTTATAAAATTGATTTTAAATTAATTATAAATAAATAAATATATAATTTTTTTATTTATTTATATTATATAAAATTTTATTTTCTACATATATATTACATATATTTTATTAAAAATATTTAAAATACAAACAATACTATTCATATAAAAATAATAAAATAATATATAACTAATTATTAATAATTTACTAATCTATACTGTCTCAAATAACGTGTCCTTATCGGTTCATCGTTTGCGGGAATGAGGAAGTATATTATAAAAATAGTACTCCTTATAAAATAAGTCATCTATAAAAATTATTAATATAAAAATAAGCAATATATTTACCTCTTTGAAAAATAGTAGTTGTCGGTTACAATTTTTTTTCCACAAATCCAATAGGAAATTAAAAATAGAGAGAGATGTGTATTTGTTTTAGAAAAAAGTGTTGAGCACAAATAATAATAATAATAATAATAATAATAATAATAATAATAATAAATAATGGTAGTAGAATTTTGGGGTCTGGATATAAGTCAAATGACTCAAAAGTCGGGAAAAAAGAAATCGGACAAGGAAAGATGATCGGCCGATACGGAGGTCGGACAGGACAAGATCGGGCACAGGGCTCGAACGTGATAAGGTCGGGCAAAGCAGAAGTATCAGTGGAAGCGGAGGTCTGTCAAGACGAAGGTCGAACAAGGAAGAAGTATGGACAGACGCGGAGGTCTGTCAAGAGGACAGTATGTCCATCTAAGGAGATAAGACAAATAGAGCCGGTCGGTTGCTCTGTGGTCGGGACCACAGTTGGTTGGTTTGCAGTCGGGACCACAGTCGGTTGGTCTGCGGTCGGGACCGAGGTCGGTTGGACCGTGGTTGGGACCACAGTCGGTTGCTCTGTGGTCGGGACCACAGTTAGTTGGTCTGCAGTCGGGACCACAGTCGGTTGCTCTGGGGTCGGGACCACATTCGGTTGGTCTGCGGTCGGGACCGAGGTCGGGACCACAGTCGGTTGGTCTGCGGTCGGTTGGTTCTCAGTCGGTTAAATAGGTCGGATGGTCCAAAGTCGGTTGAGCAGGTCGGACGGTCCGCAATCGGTTGAGTCGGACGACACGGAGGTCGGCTGATATGGAGGTCGGTTTTCGATCAGGGTTTTGTTTATTTCCGCACTGTTAGGGTTTCGTAAGTCGATCAACAATGTCTGCTTTCAACGTGAAGGTTGACAAATTCATCGGGAGGAATAGTTTTAGCTTATGGAAGATCAAGATGCGATATTTGCTGAAGCAGCAGAGTTTGTGGACGCCGCTATCTGGAAAATCGAGAGGTAAAGACGTAGATGATGAAGAGTAGGATATTGCAGAGGAGAAGACCTACTCAACAATCATGTTGTGTCTGTCCAATGATGTAATCATCGAAGTTGCCAATCAGGAAACTATCATTGACCTCTTAAAGAAGTTAGAGAGTTTGTACATGACGAAATCTCTAACCAATAAGTTGTTTTTGAAGCAACGTCTGTTCAAGTTACAAAGGTACTTGCGCGAGGAGGGGCAAATCTGAGGTAGAACGGAGAAGTTTGTTCATCTGGCATCGTAATGATGCATCTAGAAATGAAATTCAAGTCAAGGTGGAGATGTCTTGAAGCTAGTTTGCCACTTGTTCGTCTGGCATCGTAATAATGCATGAGATTCAAGTCAAAGTGGAGATGCCATAAGCTAGTTTGTCACTTGTTCATGGCATTGTAATGATGCATATGAAAGTGAGATTCAAGTCAAGATAGAGATGTCTTGAAGCTAGTTTGCTATTTGTTCATCTGGCATTATAACGATGCATCCCGATAGTTGTCAGAGGAGGAGCAAATCTGAGGCAGAATGGAATGGAGGAATCTATTCATTTAGCATTGTAACGATGCATCTGGAAGTGGGATTCAAGTCAAGGTGGAGATGTCTTGAAATTAGTTTGTCACTTGTTCATCTGGCATTATAATGATGCATCTTGGTAATTGTCCGAGGAGAAGTCTGTTTATTTGGCATTGTAATGATGCATCTAAAAGTAAAAGTGAAATTGAAGTCAATGTAGAGATTTGTTAATATGCCTTGAATTTAGGGATTTAGATATATGATTTAGATATTATTAACATAGATTTACGCTATAAATAAGATATGTATTTCCATTCTCACAGGCTGCTGTACGGCCAAGCCATACGGTTAGGCCAGCCATTGCAATAAAATTTGTTCTCTATTTTTGTCCGTGGAGGTAGTCAACACGTTTTTTGTGGAACACGTAGATCTATGTCTTCTTTACAATTATTAACCCGAATCCGTTAGTGAAAAACAAGTAGAACGAGTGAGTGAGTGTGAGTAGCCAGCCAGGTAGCCAGAGTATTAACAAGATAAAAAGATTGGATCAGACCAATAAGAATCCTCCATTTCTCCACGTGCCAGCCACCCAGCAAAACATCAAGAAAGGAAATTTATCCCCAATGGTGTCAGCCTGTCAGGTCAGTGAGGCGAGACGAGAAGCACGAATTTCAGTTTGGGTTGGGCTGGCCTGGGCTGTTCTCCATCACACCTCTCCCTCCCTCCCACCCCCATCCCGCCGCTTGTCTATTCTAATTCTTCTCCTTCTTCTCTCCCCCTCCCTCCCTAATCCCTGTCTCTCGTTTCAGAGGACATCATATATACCAACAGGCAGCAGCAGCAATTATTACTATTATTATTATCATTATTGGCATTGATAGTAGTAATATATAATGGCAGCGGCTGCATCCACTTCCATGGCGAGCACCTGCACCGCCGTCTTCACGCTCACGCACGGACGCCCCACCATTATCTGCCCCCTGCCCCAACGCCCTTCCATCTCTTCTGCTCACTTCAAAGGCAGGCATCACCACCACCACCACGGCCACGACCTTACCTACTTTCCTTCAATTCATTCTGTTTCTGTTTCCTATATACTCTCATCCATTTCTCCTTAATTCCATTTGTAGTTGCTTCTCTTGCCAGCATAGATAGATAGATAGATAGCTAGCTAGCTAGCTAGTTAAATTGGTTTCGTTTCCTCTGCATTTGCATTCTCACTTTTTAACTCCACACAAGCATGCATGCATACATACATACATACACATATGCACTCTTTCCCTCCACGGAATGTGCTGTGTTGTTGTCTTTTGTTTATTTATTCATTTTTCTGTATGGGTCGAGTAGAACGTGCAAGATTGCTGTTTTGCAATATTTGCTTGGATGGGTAACTGTGCTTCAGCTGAATAATGTTGAATTTGGAACAGCTAGTTGGGGCTGGAGTTCATCTTCTTCTCCTACTTGGTGTTCCCAAGTTGTAGTGAAGGCCTCATCATCATCAGACGAGAGCCCTGTTGACGCCAATGAGCTGATCGAGGATCTAAAGCAAAAGGTAGTCAGTCACCCTGCCTGCCTGCCAGTTTTATTATATTATTACGACTGTCATTTGTCAGTCGGTATGATTCTTCTTCATCTTCAAGATTGATTAATAGATGTCCTTAGTGTGTGTGTGTGTGTGTGTCTTGTAGTGGGATGCCGTGGAGAACAAGCCTACTGTGATCCTGTATGGAAGTGGAGCGATTGTTGCACTTTGGTTTGCATCTGTTGTTGTTGGTGCAATCAACTCTATCCCTCTGGTACCCTACCCTACCCACCCACCTTGGTTCTTCTTTTTCTCTGAAGAAGTGATCGAACTTACTCGTTTAGTGAGTGGGCGGCGGCTGTGGCTGTGGCTGTGGCTGTGGCTGTGGCTCTGTATAATCAATAAATCAATCAATCAGATTCATTGCAGGTTCCGAAGATGATGGAGTTGGTAGGGCTTGGATATGCTGGGTGGTTTGTGTACCGCTACCTCCTCTTCAAGGTGAATATACATATCAAATCAAATGCTGCTATTACTAACTAACTAATTAACTGCATCCAGTCGGGTCGGGTGGGTCTAGCATAGATTGATGGCATGGGTATGGGTATGGGTATGGGGATCCGCACACACGATACTATTCTATTATCTAATAGTAGAGTATCTATTAGGATTTAGGATGGATGGATGGAGGTGCGGTGAGGTAGGGATTACAGCAAGATTGGCTGGCTGGCTGGCTGGCTAATGAAAGCATTCATTTCATCACTAACTAACTAACGTGTATTGGGCTCTGCTGTGCTGTGCTGTGCTGTGATGCAGTCGAGCAGGAAGGAGCTGGCAACAGATATAGAAGCCCTGAAGAAGAAGATTTCCGGAGCGGATCAATGACTCCCTCCTCCACTCCACTCGTCTCTTCAACTTGTCCCTCTTTGTGTAAGGGATACATGGATGATCAGATCTTGCTCTCTCTCTCTCTCTCTCATCTGTGTGTGGCCATGCCCACTATACTGCAATTTCTCTCACTCCCTTCTCCCTTACTTAAGCACACATGACATACATAGACATAGACGCTCATAGTCTAGTCTAGTCTCGTCTAGTCAATCAATCATGTACAACAAAAACACCACCCAACCCCTTCCTTCTCCTTCTTCTTCTTACATTCATGCTCATATTCATACATGCAAATATATCTAGACCAGACCAGACCAGACCGGACCGGACCGGCGGAGGCAGAGTTTCAACACATACACACACAGTGGCACACGCAATGCAACTCTTCATTTTTATTGGATGCATCATCATACATTAATTCACAATCCAATTCCCCATCAGAATTCACTTTTAAGCATCCATTCATTCAGTACACATCAACATAAATAAAAGAACAATATACAGAATTATTTCTTGTATGCACCACCGCCCATTACATATCAGCGGAGGACTGTATCTTTCAAGACAACAGAGAGAGGGAGAGAGTTCAGAGCTTGTCAATCTCATCCTGAAACTCAATGTAATCGTCGCCAGGACCATCCTCCTCCTCGTCCATTCCACCAGCAATACCCTCGATCAGCCTCGTGCTCTCAGGCAGCTCTCCATATGCCTTCAACAACCTCGCCTCGTCTGGCATATACTTGAGGATTACATCAGCCTTGTCATCCTGAAATAAAACAAAAGCGATGAGTAGGCTAGGAGAGGGATCATACAGCTACACTAGTTACCTACCTATTCTTAATTCAGTTAATTTACCACAATTTTATTACTCCAGAGTAGGTCAACCCAACACCGCCAACACAAGTTAGTTCTTCATATGCACACACATTACAAACTATGATGGCTTCTTTCAACCAACAGCAATACACAGGCAAAATAGCTTACAGGAAAGGAAATCTCAGGCCAAAAGATACTTCTACTAATAAATGTTACTGTTATGTGGACATTGGAGTGTTTTAAAGTTAAAAGAAATTATTGTCCCAACATTGCTTGCGGTGCCAATTAACCATAAGCCTCTTCATATAAATTGCTGGCTTTGGATTGAATTTTTATGACACGCCAAAATAGACAAGTAGCATTTTCATATATAATTATGGCTTATAGCATTAAGAAATTTGAATTTTATAATTGTTATTCGAGCCTATTTTGTATACTTTCTTGACAGTGAAGTTTGCTTCGTCTTTCCCCGTGGATGTAGGTCATTTTGACTTAACCACATAGTATATTCTTGTGTCATTTAAATTTTTCGTTCTTAATTTTTATCGTCGATACAAATTTTGTATTTGAGCCCTATTTTGTATTCTTTCTTTTCTTAATAGTGAATATTTGTTCAGCTCTTCCCGTGGATATAGGTGATCTTGACCTAACCTTACATTCTTGTGTTCTTTAAATTTCTAAATTTTACTTTTGTCGTTGACAAAGTTCTGCAACTACAAATATTTTTTTAGGTCATATTCCTAGCCCGATCACATTCTAGCTTGTAGACAAAATAAATGATACAAATAATACCCGCAAACCAATATCTAAGGCAACAAAGACAGCCATCAAATTAATCTAGGATGAACAGAAGAAGAGGAAAAGTGAAAGTAAAAAAGCCTCGGTCTGTTGATATTTGTCCAGGTACTTGGACTGATGCTTACAAATAGCTTTTTAACTGTGACCAAATTGGAAAGAGTGAGAGAAAAAGTAAAAGTCTTGTGCTTGTGTATTTTGGTCTCTATGACTTACTTGTATGTCATATTTGGTTGAGAGAGAGGCTGGCTACCAATAACAGTACTAGTGTATTCGTTCTAAGATTGACACAGAGAAAGAGGGATGAACCTGATAATCGCGGAGACCGACGAGGATAATATCACCCGCGGCTATCCAAACCTTCTTGTGCATCTTCCCACGGATATGGCAGAGGCGTTTAACGCCGTCTATGCACATGGCCTCGCACCGGCCGTTGCCGAGCATGCGGAGCACCTGCGCGTACTCCTGCCCGTCCTCCTTGAACACGAGCTCTCTCTTCTCATCATCGGCTTCGTTCTTTCCCCTCTTTCGATTCTTACCTCCCTTACCCTTGTTCTTGGGCATGGCGCAGGGGAAATGCCTAGGATTCGGATCTACCGAGGCGAGGCCCTCTCTCTCTCTCTCTTCGGTTCTGGTTCTGGTTCTGGTTCTGTTAGAGCCGCCTTGGGTTGCTTCTTCAGTTAGTTTTTCTTATCCGCCACCGCCGCGAGAGAGGTGTGGTGGTGACGACGTGAGGTGATCGGTAATTGAAATTGAATTGGCTTGCACTCCTACTTTACTTTTCTTCGTGGGAGGAAGAAAGAATAGAAAGGAAAAAGAAAGGAATCGACGACTATAGAGCCGAGTCCAACTGTGTGAGATGCGACGGGAGGAAATAAAAGTTTGACGACTTGTTATATGTGTCTCAGATAGTGCCTGTACGTAACCGTGGCAGTGGTATCTATTCTTATATGTGAATGCATGGGATGTGCCTACTGCTGCTGTTGTTGTTGTTGTTGTGCGTGTCAAATGCTATCTTTTACAATTTCTTTCTTTCATTCACTTGTCTCCCTGACATTTCTAAGTATGAATTAATTAATTAATTAATTGATGACCCTGACTAACTCCTTCAATCTTCAGCAAAGTGAAGTGCTGCTAGCAACTACCAAGCAAGCCTGCCTTTGCATACCGGCCGGCAGTTAAGTTTTTCAAGTCTGATGGATCAAGATAATATAGATCAAAGCTTATCTACTATGTCATTTCTACTTGATGATAAAGACATCAATTAACACAAGCTTAGTCGTCATGGTGCTCTACTTCATGCCAAAGGGTTCTCCAATATCACAAGAGTTGCTCTTATTTCTTTGCCGCCATTTCCCGATTCCATATTCTTCACCACATATTTAATCCTAGTAATAGTAACTAATTTCTTTGGATGAAGATTCCAATTCTGGTGTGTTTTGTCTTGGGGTTTGAATTTTGAGCTAAGACATATCAGATTTGAACAGTATAAGTTTTTTAATTTGAATGATATAAATAGATATTGACATATAAAATTAAATTTTAGTATAATATAAAAAATAAAAAATAGGTATTTAATTTAATGTTTTTCGAAAAAAAAATTAATAAATAATAGAAATCTTGGAGAATCTTTCCAACGAACACATATATGTGTGATTGGAGGTTTGAATTTTAAATTTAAATTTTAAATTAAAAAAGATATTTAAATAATTATATGATATGATATAAATAATTGATAAATATAAATTTAAAATTAATGTCAATATAATATAAAATAAAAAGATAAATATTTAATTTGATTATTTTTTTAAAAAATAAAAACTAATGAATAATCAAAACCAAGACAAAATCAAACACACCCTTAGAAGGTCATTGTACTACTTTTCGTCCAAACATGAAATCTGGTACTATGAATTGTTCCATAATACTCCGTTCCGTTCGTCCCACACTTTTTTTTTAGAAAAAATTATAAAAAAGATGAAAATTTAAATATAAATAAAAATATTTATTTTTTAAAAAAATTAAACACATTTTGGTTTAATAAGTTTTATAAAAACAAAAAATATTAATAGCTATGAATACATAAAATTGGAAAAAAATATGATTTTAGATAAAACGAATAGAATATTAGCTCTGTTCACACAAAATTTTAAGAAGAAATGATTGTTGATATGTAGTATAAAAAATTATGTCAAATATATAAAATATAATATTATTTTATATTGAATATTTAATTTTTTTTAATGATTATTTGATTTTTATAATGAGTATTTTGATTTATGTACAAATATTATAATTATTATTATTATTATTTTTGGAAATGGCAATTATTTAATAATAGTAACGAAAGAACAAAATAATTATTTTTGATTATAATTAATTTGAATTTATAATAAAAGGTACTTATGCTTCTCAGCATGTATGTAGTTGATTTGGCGAAAGTATCCACCCTTATTCCTTCCCTCCCGTTTCACTTTGTTTTCGTTTCGTTTCGTTTCTGGATTGCAGTCCACACAGTTTAGCTGTCGCCCGTTGGTCCGTCTTTTCCGATTGATCCCAATCCCGATCCCAAGACGACTGCTGTACTGTACTGTACTGACTCGACTCATCACCGCCCTCCTCCTCTTCTCTTCGACTTCTCTTTAATTCATTCACACCAAGCAACCGACCAACAAGACTTCAGATAGGTGGTACGGTACAAGTACATTCACTCGCTCTCTCAGCTTCTCTTCTTTGGGGGTGGCCAGTCGATAATCCTTTAAGCCCATTTTTCCAGATTGAATTGAGAGGTTTTTACTGCTTTCCTCGATGGGACTACTGTAAATGGGGGTGTCACAGGACAACAGGTCGAGGGATCATCATTTGCGGCGTTCTCCCCACACTCGGATTACTAATACTACCACCGATAATGCCAGGTTTCCCAGGAACAAATCAAGATTTTGTGCAAGATGGTTTCGCTTCAAGAAACTTCACTACCTGCATACAGTTTGCAGTCTCTCTATTTTCTTTGCTTGTCTTATCCTCCTTGAGATGCTCTTGCCGGGGTTTGTGTCGGATGATGACAAAAAGTCACACCGAACCATCAGTAGTTCGTTCAGGTGGACGAAGGGAGATGTCGTCGATCACGGGAACTTGTCATTCTTGAAGGAATTGGATTTTGGCGACGATGTCAGATTTGGTCACTTGAGCATCGATACCAAGTTTCAAAAGCGAGACGCCGAAACTAGTGTTGCTTCAAGAAAGCTTGCTAGATACGGGTATAGGAAACCCGCCCTTGCATTGGTAAACTCTTGTTGTGGATCATATTTTATAATTGTGTGCGTTGTTAGTTCTTTTTTTTTTTTTTTTTTTTGTCATATAAATGTTTAGTGGCTCCTTTTTGGATTGGAGCTGGATGTTGAAAGTGGAGCTTTGAGTTTGGACTGTGCTGGCAGGTTTTCGCAGATTTGTTGGCCGATCCACATCAGATACAAATGGTCACTGTTGCTACAGCATTGGTCAAGATTGGCTATGAAATTCAGGTTATCATCCGACCATTGCCTTGCATAACTGAGTTCTCCCAATTGTTATTTTCAAACCTGTCCTGGTTGTATCTAGTAAATGAGATTATTATGCCTTCCTGAGTTTTTGGAAATAAAAATTGGATTCCCCTTGAAGGTGTACAAGTGTTGGTATGGTGGAGATGAATCATTTTTTTGAAGAAAAATTGAGTGACGCTAACTAATGTTACACTTAGTCACCCTGTCCGTCTAAGACTCTAAATTGGTTGTGGTGTCCCTTATCTGGTATGATGAATAGTTGCCCCCTATTTTGATTGGTTGCAATATCTGATTTAGCAGTGGATCTTTAGCTGACACTAGACTGACAAGAAAATTTCATCTCCAATTGTGAGATTTGGATGCCTACCTCATAAACTGAATATGATGATGTGGTTTGATCTTTCACTTTCTGAGGATAAATTGTGCGTGCATTTGAATATGTAGACCACTGGCTCATGGGTAAGTGTTGAGATTAAGGCCATCTCCAACGGGCTGCAATTTTGATGTTGCAGCCCCATAAATGGAGTTTTCTTACTCTAATCCTGCGCTATTTTTTACACCAAAAATGGTGTTGCACTGTAGCAATGATGGTGTTGTTTTTTTTTAAAAAAAATTTGTATATTAATTAATTAATTAATTTATTTATTTTTTTAAAATAAAATAATAATTGTAGATATAAAAAGTGGTTTAAAATAATATATAAGATGGAATATTTGAAGAATATTAGTTTTGGAGTAAAAAATAGAGTTGTAGGTTGGAGTAAAATTATTGTAGCAACTGCATTTTTAGAGTTATAACGGCGTAAATGGAGTTGCCCAGTTGGAGATGGCCTAAGGTGGTTATTCTGCTGACATAGCTAACTGGGAAGAGATTGAACTGTAGCAGATTGACTTCTGGAGATTCAAAACCTCAAATGAATGGACAAACTAAAACTCAGCAGTACCTGGAATATGGCAATTTCTGTCATTTTCTTCTATAAATAATTGATTTAGAATGAAAATTAACTATGGGTTAATTCACTTTGTGTTTTTGGATGGATGTATTTTTGTTTTTATGTTAGATATGAATAATTGTATTCTTAATGTAAAAAATAATATTTTTGTGTTGAATTGTTTTATGAGTTACTATGAAGTATATATATTATATATTATGTTAACGTGTATATTGTATTTTTCAATAATATTTATGGGAAATGCGTGTCACTAAAATCACTAAGCGAACAACCCTGTACATTGGTGAGGCTTTTGGTGCATAAGTCATGCTTGCCAATTAATCAAAAGGAATTTGAGCCATAGCATTTTACACTGCTTAATGTTTGCAGGTATTCTCACTTGAAGACGGTCCTGTGCATGCTATTTGGACAGATATGGGGTTTTCCATTCGTGTGATCAGAGCTGATGAGAGCATGAAGTTCAACATAGACTGGCTAAAGTATGCTTTCCATTCTTAAATTTTTGTACATATGAAGTTTTATCTAAATATTTAGATCTTTGTAAAGTTTGAGGATTTCAGGAGGCTGGTGGTGAACTAATTTCATTTTTGCTCAACCCATTCCAGACTTTCCATATTATATTTCTCCTAAGCAAAGAAAAACTAAATCTTGAGCCGGGAAACTCAAGACAAACTATATGCCTATTCATTCCTGCAAACTTAGTTATAATAATTTACTATGTATATCAGTCGATGTAGCATGGATAGGAGGGAGAAAAAAGAATTAACCTTTTCTGAAATATTTGTGCTTGTGCTTTGCAGCTATGACAGCATACTGGTGAATTCTCTCAAAGCTGTCGGTGTCTTGTACAGGTAAGCTTATCAGCAATTCTTTTGGACATCCATAATATTCTCTTACGAATGTATTTTCTTTCCTGTTTGTCATTATATAGTGTGCATAGGTGGCAGTTAAACATTTTTATTTTTCTTCCTGTTTACTGTTCCTTCGATCCACTGTCTACGAACTTACCGCTCTGTGCTCCAATTTTGGGGTGATTTACAAGGATGAGATTAAATACAGTAAAATAAAATAATAAACGAACTGATGAACATAAATTGTTAATTGTTGGTGCTTGGGTATGTCCAGCTTTTAGCAACACATGCTAATCATACATCATTTTTAATCCTGCCACTACTTGTAAATTGATATTCCCTGTATTTGGAGTCTTCTCTTGCAGTGTGAACATTCTTTTCATGTTTCCCGGGATTTGATAAATAAAGGACACATAACTTGATCCTAGGTGAGTGATTTCTTAGTTCACCAGAGTAAGCCCTTTGAGGCCGCTCAGATATTTTTTCATCCCAAGATCCATCTTTTCTGCCCTCTTTTGTATGAATTTGGCTTCGATTTTCTGTTTTATTAATCTTATGATATTGGCACCGTGCATGCCACCAACTGTTTTTCTCTCTTTGTTATGTCTGCTTACATAAGCAATTGTTTAGGTTTCGAAAAGGATTCTTGTATGTGTTGTAACATTTGCTCTTTACTCTGTAAGAAAGCATGCATTTTTTAGTACATAATAGGACTTCCTATAAAGTAAAAACTTTACTTGTTGCAGTCTCATGCAGGAACCCTTCAAATGTGTACCTCTGGTGTGGAACTTCCAGGAACAAGCACTCGCTGAACGATTGAGGCATTATGTTTTGAGAAATCAGTCTGAGCAGGTCGAGAACTGGAGAAAAGTTTTCCACAGAGCTACTGCTGTAGTCTTCCCAAACTATTTTCTTCCGGTATTACTTATTCACATGCTAGTAGTATTATACATTAAAGAATATAATCTGAAACTTTAAAAGTAAAGATCTTGATGAGCTAGGAAGTAAAATGATACAATGACAAAATTTCAATTGTTAATATTGTTAGTTGGAATGAACTACCTGCAGAATTCCCAATACATGTAAAATGGAATCTCTTTCCTTGCTATGGTTGAAGAATTCCTCAACTATTGCAATCCTATATTTATTCTGGATTAGAGAAACCTGAGTTATTACTGGAGAAAATGACAAAATGCATTGTGCTAGAAGAGAAAAAATTTCATATGAAGGAACTTGTTTTGCTTTTCTGTACCATAGCAAGATGAAGTGCACTCCAAACTTCTACGGATCCTAAAAAGGAATTGACCTTTATGTTCATTACCTGGTTATTCTATGAAAAGTTTGTGAAGTTTGAAGATAGCTCAGGTGCTATTGCTCTTTTCATATGCGTGATCTAGTTCAGGAAATGGTTTTTATTAGTGCTCCAATTTTGTCAATATCAGATGGCCCATTCAACATGTGATCCTGGAAACTTTGCTGTTATCCCTGGCTCTCCGATGGAAGCATGGAAAGCTGATCGGTTTCGGGCTTTTCACAAAGACAATACAAGGCTGAAGATGAGCTATGGGCCAGATGATTTTGTTGTCACGATTGTTGGAAGCCAGCTACTGTATGGCGGGCAGTGGCTTGAACATGCACTTGTTTTGAAGGCTCTGTATCCAGTGTTTCAAGATTTTAACAAATCAGATTATTGTCTTAAAGTAATAATCTTGGCTGGGGACTACATGAGCAACTACAGTCACGCTGTTGAGGTACGCAAGTTTCTTCTCTCTTCTGTTTTGATATTCCGACTATTTTGTTAATTAAAGCAAACGTTTGAGTATTTAGTTAAAGAAAAGCCAATTGGACGAAATAATTACATAGAACCAATACTACGTAAAACATAAATAAATCAGTGGTTAAAGAGGTGGAAGCCAGAGTACCATTTTGCTTATTGCTTTATATGTTCAAATGTGGTTCCACAGACCGTTGCACTTAACTTAAAGTATCCGAGTGAAACAGTCAAGCATGTGGTCGTTGGTGAAGATGCAGACGCTGTTCTAAGTGTTTCGGATCTTGTGATATATGGATCCTTCCTTGACGAACACATCTTTCCGGGGGTTTTGCTGAGGGCAATGTGTCTAGGAAAACTTATAGTTGCCCCTGATCTTCCCATGATCGTGAAATATGTGAGTATCTGTAGCTTTCATTCATTCATGTTATAATATATGCATATTATCTACCATGTAATTGAGATCTCTTACTCAATTTAGAATACCTCTGTATTACAGAAGTCTTTAGGATCCTTAAATGATCTACTATTTGCTTATGAACAACTCCTAGGTTACAGACAAAGTGACAGGATACGTTTTCCCAAAGGAGGACATTGGGGCTCTAACAGAAGTTGTGTTTCAACTGATTTCTTATGGTAGCCTTTCTATTTCGGCTTGCAATGTGGCATCATTTGGATTCCTTTCAGCTAAAAATTTAATGATATCCGAAAATGTGGAGGGCTATGCTTCACTGTTGGAAAATATTCTCATGCTCCCTTCTGAAGTTGAACTTCCCAGGACCACTAAAGTGGTTCCTTCAGAGCGGAAAGTTGAGTGGCAGTGGCATCGTTTTGAAGATATTACCAGTGATTCTGGCTCTCCATACCAAATGAGGATTAATACATTTTTAGACAGGGTCGAAGAGCAATTCAATTGTACACATGAAGAGCATTCCATGGCATTAGGCACAATCAATGATACATTTGTGTACAACATCTGGGAAGAGCAAAAATATGTTGACAGGGTTTACCTGAAGAGAAGAAGAGAAGAAGAAGAGGTTTGTGGTTTCTCCTTACCGGTTTATGCATGTGATAACATTAGACTGATTTTCTTGTTTCTGTGGAAATTTCCATATACATACATGCAGCTGAAGGATAGAACTGATCAGCCTCTTGGAACATGGGATGACATATATAAAAGTGCCAGAAGGCCCAGCCGCATATTGCGTGAAAGGGACGATGGAGAACTTGAAAGGACAGGGCAACCTCTATGCATCTATGAACCATACTTTGGAGAAGGAACATGGCCCTTTTTGCACCATACCTCACTCTATCGAGGTATTGGACTGGTGAGTGCTTTGCATCATTGTGCTGCATGCCTGCATATGCTACTTATATATGAATTCATATTATTTGGGGTACATTTGGTGGCAATCTTTTTTGATTTGTTTTTTCTCTGCAAGCTAAGTATATGAGATTGTTATGTGTTTTAAAATGGTTTACAATGCCCTCAATCTGATGTATCATGTAAATGTAAACTGTCTCATTGCAGTCCTCGAAAGGTCGAAGGCCTGGAGCTGATGATATTGATGCACCTTCTTGTCTTCCACTACTCAATAATTCTTACTATCGAGATGTCCTAGGAGAATATGGAGCTTTCTTTTCCATTGCTAATAAAATCGATCACATACATAAAAATGCTTGGATTGGGTTTCAGTCTTGGAGAGCAACTGCAAGAAAGGTATGCTAGTGGGTGGCTATTCTGTACCTGTGGATCATTTGCTTTACCTCCATGTTAGATAACGTAGCGAAACTCTACATTTCATTCAGATACATGTAAGGTTTCTAGATGGCCAAAGTAATTATGCCTAAGAAATTGCAGAAACCAATTTGCACTTATAATTTCGTTGTTATTTTATTTTTGTAAAGAAATGCTATTTCATGTTTAACATGGGCTATTAAGCAGGAATCATTGTCTAAGACTGCTGAAATATCATTGTTGAATGCTATTGAATCAAGACAACATGGCGACACATTATACTTCTGGGTCAGATTGGATATGGGCCCACGAGATGAGCTAAAGCAGGATTTCTGGTTAATTTGTGATGGTATAAACGCTGGAAATTGCCGGTGAGATAATTGGATCAATTTAGAAAAGCAGCTGTTGTCACTCATTATTCTTAGCCATCTTAGCTTTAGAACTTCTCTTTTACCTAACATCAACAAAGATGTTGGCAAGGCAAGAAGTTGGGGCGGGATTGCATGCCAAATCTTGTCTCCAATCTTGTGGTTTGTTTGTTATATATTGCAAAAGATTCTTGATATATGTAATAGCCTAACCGATATGTTTTCCATGATTGCAACTAGGTATGCGTTCATGGAGGCACTGAAAAAGATGTATGGTATAAAACATAACTCGAGTTATCTTCCCCCGATGCCTTTGGATGGAGGACTTTGGTCTGCCTTGCACACTTGGGCTTTACCAACTAAGTCCTTCTTGGAATTTGTTATGTTTTCAAGGTTTGAACTCCTGTTCATTTTATTTTATTTATTTTTACTTCTGTACCAGCACTCTATTGCAGCAGCAGCAGCAGCAGCATGTTTATTTATTTACTTATTTTGTGGCAGATAGTTGTTTGCTAACAAGAAATATATCTCTCCCATTTATAGGATGTTTGTCGATGCACTGGATGCACAGTTCTATGATCTGCACCGTAGAACCGGGAAATGCTGTTTAAGTTTCTCCAAGGTAGCCTGCCTGCCTGCCACCCTGTTTCCTGCTGCTCTGCTTGCACTTGTGGAACAGAGAGAGAATTAGGTTCTAACATATTTGCTCATTTGGCAGGGCAGGGATTGCTACTCTCGTTTGCTCGAGCTGCTCATAAATGTTTGGGCGTACCATAGTGCAAGGAAAATGGTGTACATCGACCCCGTGACAGGGCTCATGCAGCAACAGCACGTGCTGAATAGCAGAAGAGGGGTAATGTGGGTCAAGTGGTTCGATGTGAGCACTCTGAAGAGCATGGACGAGGAGCTGGCAGAGGAGTATGACTCGGAGCAGCCGCAGAGACACTGGCTGTGGCCATCGACGGGGCAAGTGTTCTGGCAAGGTATGTACGAGAAGGAGAGGGATCTGAGGAACAAGGAAAAAGAAAGGAAGAAGCAAAAGAGTAAGGAGAGGATAGAGCGGATGAAGAGGCGTGCCCATCGTCAGAAAGCCTTGGGGAAGTATATGAAGCCCAGAGACAGGTAAGACTCTGATCGATTGGTTGGTTGGTTGGTTGTGAATGGATGGGGAGATGGACATCCCCATCCCACCCCACCCCATCCAGGGGGGATGTAAAGTGAAGGTGGTCGGGAGGGGTAGTGCCATCCTTTCCTTTCTTTGGACTGACGGACCACCTCTTTTGAGGGTTGTTTTTGTGAGTGGTGTTTGTTTGAATGAATGAGCGGCGAGGTTTGTTCTTGTGTAAATAGTGAGTTTGATTGATTCTGAGTAGTTAGTGTGTTTGATCTCAATCATTGTTTCTTTCTTGGGGTGGGTGTATCATGATACTTGGAATGGATTTTGTGTTTGGACTTGTTCCCTTGTCAACAACAACAACAACATCACATCATCCCTCCTCCTCATCCTAGAGGTCTGATGCCTGATGATGTCCAGCCATCCCCATCCCCATCCCCATCCCGTGTTTGTGCTGTTTCACAATATCCCCTTTCTCTATTACGAATGAGGGATTCTCGAGACTTGCTACAGGAAAGGAATATAAGAAGAAAATGACAGAAATATGGAGTAGTGTAAATAAATACATCTGATCCAATCTAATCTCCGCTCCCAGATCTTCTTCAGGGCTTTGCGGGTAGGCATCATAAGTGTGTGGTGTGGCAACCAACACAGAGCAGCTGGGCGGTCCAAGGCGTCCCGAGGATCCCACAGCAGCAGAATCGGAGTACAAGCTCGATAGGGATGGGAAGATCTACCACAACATTGCTCTCAACACCCCTCCTCCAAAAGCTGTGGACCCGAAGCCAACATTTTATGTTGTAGGCTGATGATGGCAGGTACTGCTGTGTCATTCTTCAATCTGTCTGCTGTTAGCCGCCACTTGGTTGGTTTCTGTGTTTGCCAAGACTTTCAAGTCTGAGGCTGACTGACGGAGTCATGAGGGAGATGAGTTGCTCTCCTCAGTCCCCCCTACCCTGCCTGCCTTCCTCTATTCAAGTTTTGGTTGGAGAGTTGCCCGTGTAGCAGTAGAATGTGTGCAATATACATACATACAAACAAACTTGACTCTATCGAACAAGGCATTTGCTGTATACACACACTAAACTAGAATAAATTCTTTTCCTGTAGGGTATACAAAAACGACACAACTTCATTTCATGCAAATTTGTTGGTTGGCATTAGGCTCCATGTTGGGTGAGTGAAGAAGTTATCATTTGTGCCGAGAAAAGAAACGGTGGAATATTCAGGACGGACAGACAGACAGACAGACAGACAGACTACCAGAAAGCCATTTTTAAAGCAAGAGAGAGGCATGTTATATAGTCCTACCACCTCATAAACAAAACATACGTAAGTACGTGTGAGTTAACAATAATAATGTTGTTAATAATAATAGTAATAATCATAATCATACCCCGCCACAGGGACAAAGAACGTGGCATTAATAATGATAAGCAGCAGCAAATAACAAGGGTGATGAAAGCAAAAATATAGTAAGATCCAGGCAGGGCAGGGCAGGGCAGGGCAGGGATAGGATAACTTCTTTACCAGCCGCATTGGAAGTCCTCTGAGTCCATTTGTTAGCAAGCAAGCAAGCAAGCAAACAAACAAACAAACATTGGTGTTGGTATTGGTGTTGTGTCGGAAGAAGTTGTTGGAGTCATTGTGTGTGTGCGCGGGCGGTGCAGTTCTCTTTGCCAAGTCAGTCACTCACACACACACACGCTCACTCACTCTTCCCATCACCACCACCACCGCCACCCCCATCACCCGTGGGTGTTGACAGCCTCCCACAGCAAGTTCTTGGGAGCAGCAGGGGACGCGAAATCCCGGGCCTCGAGGGCGGCCGCCTTGAGCGTCCTGAGCGTCCAGAGGTTGGCCTCAATGAAGGACAAACTCCTGTAGGGGAGATTGTGCTTCTTGCAGAGCTGCTGGACGACAGGGGAGACTCTCCGCAGATGGCACCTGGGCAGCCTGGGGAAGAGGTGGTGCTCCAGCTGGAACTGCAGCCCCCCGAAGAACCAGTCCATGAGGGAGGAGCAGGAGATGTCGATGGTGCCGCTGGTCTGCTTCTGGAACCAGTCGTTCCCCCGGGGGGCGCCCAGGTACACGTCGGCGGCGAAGTGGTTGAGGCAGAACTGGACGTGCTGGACGGAGGAGACGCAGAAGCTGGCCAGGACGAAGAGCGCCCTCTCGCCCCAGGTGGGCAGGCCGCAGAGGACCAGGAGCGGGAACCAGGTCCAGAAGACGAGGATGCCCAGGATGTTGAGGGCGCGGTCGGGCACCCGCCGCCCGGGGGAGAGGAGGAGCAGGAAGGTCTGGAGGTAGAGGTTGAAGCGGGCCAGGACCATGACCGGGTAGAAGGTGAGGTGCTGGTAGCTGACGAAGAACCGTGAAAGGGCGTCGAAGGGGAGGCGCCGGCCGTAGAAGCGGGAGGTGAGGGAGCGGAAGAGGTGCGGGGAGACGGCCATGAGGGGCAGGTGCTGGAGGTCCGGGTCGTAGTCGAGGCTGTTGCAGGCGACGTGGTGGGCGTTGTGGGTCCACTTCCACCACGCGATGCTGATCCCGGTCAGGCAGTTGCCCAGCAGGATCTGGGCCACCCGGTTGCACCCCTTGCTCCGCATGATCTCGTAGTGCCCCGAGTCGTGCCCCAGGTAGGTGACCTGCATCCAGGCCAGCCCCAGCACGCCCCCGGCCAGCACGCGGGCCCAGGCGCCGCCGGGCCCCGGCTGGGGCAGCAGCAGCCCCGCGACGCAGGCCGCGAACAGCAATGCGACGAAGCAGAGGGAGTAGGCCACGCCGTGCCCCTTCCTCTCGAACATCCCGGCCTTGGAGAACTCCGAGTGCAGCCTCCGGTAGTCCCTGGACACCTCCGAGACCTGGAAGTCGGCGAGGTGGTAGCCGGTGAAGCAGCCGTCGAGGTACCGCCAGGCGGTGCCCGGGTGGAAGGCAATGAAGGCGTCCGTCACGTCCTGCCCCCCCAGATTCAGGAGCGGGGTCTCGCCGCCGGGGTGAATCTTGGCCCACTCCGTCACATTGTAGACCTTCCCCTGGATGGACAGCCACAGGTCGTCCGCCTTGTTGTGCCGCCGCAGCTCCTCCGACGATATGTAATTCCGCCGGATCCCGCCCTTGTCATCGCCCATTGATGTGATTCGATTCGATTCGACCATGACAATGGGTGTTATGGATGTATGGATGTATGTATGTATGTATGTGTATGCTAAAATAGAAACACAGAACAGAAACAGAAACAAACAAATCAACCTAATCTAATCTAACCTAACAACCCCCCTTCCCTCTCGCAGGTAGATACATAGATGGATGGATGGATGGATGGATGATCAGAATATATATATATATATATGTATGTATGTATGTATATGTGTGAAGGGGGGATTCCTTCCGGGATTTTGATAGATATATAGATACAAAAAAGAAAGAGAGAAAAATCCCGTCTAGGTCAGAAGAGGGAGGTAAGGTTGATTGAATGACGGATGTTTCTCCCAATCTCTAGTTTTGTTTCTTCGATCCAAAGTTACAATGGTTTTTAATTATAGCAAATAAAAGGAAATCATTTCTTTGATTTTTATTGGATCTGTATTTCTGGGGTGATTAATTATTGTTGATGCCGTAATAAGTGGAGAATCATTGGACGAAATTTGCTAGGCTGGCTGGACTCACTCTCGGTGGTAAAGACGAGGAGGAGGACGAGGATTGCCTTTAGGCTTGACCTGACCTCCTCATTTAGTATCTAGGCATCTACATTAGATCCAAATTGTCATAAATGCCTGTCTACGACCATGACAAGGAAATTTCTATTCCTATTTTTATTCCTATTCCTACACCTTTCCCCTTTTACACAGATGCATAACAACGCAGTACTGTAGTTGTAGTTGTAGTTGTAGCGGTATGCTCGAGGGGGACTCGTACAATTCTACGCATTAATCACTCACCGACCAGCACAGCACAGCCAACTAACTCATATGGTGGATGCATCGGTATTAGCATAAGAAGATTAAAGGATAAGCTACTGCTGCTGCTGTAGTAAAAAAAACAAAAAAAACAGGCCAGCTTTGCTTTTCCAATAGGAGCAGAGCAGAGCAGAGGAGAGGAGAGCAAGAAAGGTGGTTACTTCCATTTTCATGTTTGTGATGGAAGTTAGCTGTGTTAGAGTTGAAGGCAGGCAATCTATCTGTCTGTCTGTCTGTCTATCTAATGTCTATCCGCCACCATTTAGGTCATTTTATGGTCGCAGTAACACACCTGGATCTTAATCATTGCTCTTGCGCTCTCTACATCAATCTCTCACTCACTCTCTCTCTTATTGTCTATTTCCTGTCTTGTCTTGTTACGCTGGAAAGCTGTTATTCTTCTTCAACTTCAAAACCAAAACAATGCTCTCTGTCAGTCAGATAATCCCCACCACGGATGGATGGATGTTGGAGCCCTCCGTCCACTGGAAAAGATACGCAAACAAATAAATGAAAGCCACTGTCATGTTTGTTTGCCTCGACACGTAAATTAATTCATGCTAGTTTCATTTGAATATGCTAGATGATCCATACTATCTATTGGACACTCCGCCGCTTCACCGGATGCTCAATTTAATAAACACAGCACGTTCAACTAGTTACACCAGGCAGGCACAGAATCATATTTTTTATTATTATTATAATTATTATTATAGCTGTAGGCTAATCGACTTTAGTTGAAGTTGATTGGTACTATGCCAGATCATAAAACACAGGCATATAGACGTGCCGGCCTTCACTGAAAAACAAATTAGCCTCGATCAGGCCCAAGTTCATTCCACAGAGAAAAAGTGATCGAAGTTGTGCCACCTACCCTAATCTTCTTATATTCTGAAAGATACATAGGATGATATAACCCCAAGTACCTTGATGCTAATAAAACGACACAGCACATAGACACAAAGCAGCAGCACATAAAACAACTACTGTGATCACTATCACTATCGCTGTCATCTGTATATCACCATCACTATGCTGCAGCAGCAGCACTACGAGAAGAGCTACCAGCTTTTGGTGAGTTTTGTTCAGTTCAGGACAGGTGTCAACTAACTCTAGCAATTCATCTCGATGCTTCTAATAAAACAACACAGCACATATACACAAAGCAAGCAAAGGTTTCGCTTATACTTTACCTCTCCGGCATTCATTCATCTCCTGTTTGTGCTCAAGTGCAGTTTTGCATTACCACGTACGGCTTCTTCCTAACACAGAAACCTATCACAAAAATATAATATATTTAGTGCTGACATCAAAATATAGAACAACAACCACCACAACAAGTGCCAAGAAAAGTGGTGAAATGAAGAGCAATCCTCCATACTCACCTCACCTCACCTTTTGTATTGTTGTAAATTCCTTCATGCTGGTCCTTCCCCTTTTCGCCCCACACCTCTGAGATGAATAGGGGGAGGACACCTTTCATTCGTAATGTTTGCATGTATGTGAAGAAGATTGAAAGCACTGACCGCCAGCCAGCATAAATATGTTGGTAGTGGAGAATGCACATCTCTTCCTGGCCTTGAGGGGTTTCGCGTTCTGGCTGGCCTGCATATAATATTTGTTGCTCTGAAATGATACGATGCTGCTCATAGCTTGGGGCAGCCGGCAGCAACATATGACAAGTTGTAGTAGTTCTCTCTCAGGCTAGCGGAATTGGTGTTATGTGTTTAGAGTGCAGTGCTGGCATGGCATCGTCCCATGCCATGCATCTCCACCAAAATTACTCAAGCAAGCAAGCAAACTACAGTAACTCGTTGAATCAGCAGTTTGCTGCTTGGTTGCTTGCACTGCTTATTTATATAAACAAAGCATACTCACCATTCCTTCCCCAACCGGATCCCTTCTTAAGTTGGTTTTTCTTCCCCACCAGAAATGTCTCAACCAGACACTGGTAGATACTTTCTCTTATAGGTGCCCGATGCAGAAAACCTCATCATACCAACCGAAACTCCAGTCAAGTAGGGCAGAATTTTACATCAGTTCCTGCTGACCAAGTGAAGTGATCTCTGCAGATCTCAAATGTGGAGTGGAGTAGACCTTAAAACCTTCAAATTCTTTTCTTCCATTGCCTGCCTCCTCTTTCTTTTTCTTCATTAAGGATTCCCTTTCTCCCGAGGAATAGCCCAACCTTCTTGCTAGGATATGGAGAAAACTGCATACAGGGAAATGTGTCGAATTTATAAACCATTATGCATATAAATATAAAGTGTTCAAGGAAAGGCAGTAGAGCTGATGTAAAAGTTTTTGAAGTCAGTTTCCCTGACGCATCACCAACCCCTAGTGCTGCTGCTTATAGTCTTTGGATTGAAACTGATGTCAAGAAAGCATACAAACAACATGATCTGATCTTTGTCATGAACTGGAAAGAGTCAGGAGTTCAAGTCAAGCTGCAGCACATGTTAGCCAGTTGTCTCATTCTAGTAGCTCTTGCGACACAGATAGTTCCATCCATGAAGCAGATCTCTACTGCGAGAGATCAATGGGTATGGACCATTTCTCAGAGTTCCACTTTCTGAATTTGTTTTAAAAGCCAGGACTTCCATGATTAACATGCAATTCCCTAATTTTCAGAAAAATGAGTTGCATACAGAAGAAAGAAGAGGCTCCAGCGGAATTCCAGGACTCAGGACATCAACAATATGTGTACATGCCAACGCCATTCCATCTGTCAGTAGCACATACCCTGCCAGAAATATATCTAACCTACATTGTATGTATGCATGTATCTTCCACTCACATGTGCGCACGCACACACACACAGTGACAGACCAAACATCTAAACATGAGGTTACAATATGATAGGATGATGCACATGAAACAAAGCTGTAGTGTTGATTATTCAAAGCCACTAAACTAAATTAATAAACAGCCAAATGATGCATACTACTAAGGCAACATTACTCTGCCTCCTTTATGGTTTTAGTTTCTCACAAAAAGGTATAACAAAAAAGAAACATAGATAGATCATTATTATTATATTAAATTTGATTTGTGCTGTATTCTAATGTATGATCACAAAAGGAAAATTGGAAAAACAAATATAGATAGATTTGTCATGAAAACAGCTACTGTTCTGCTCCACTTAATCTTGACTTGAATGCTCGCAGTTGCAGTACACACAACATCACAACGAAATTTTAAAATCAATACATGATCAGCAGCTCATCCAAAAATTCCATCCATGTCCTATATGCGACCAAATTATAATCGACACAATCATCACCAGCAGCTCACGTTTACTTACCAACAGCTCCATGGTAAGTATATTGTCCGATCTGGGTATTCAAGATTACTTCATCTCCATCTAACAATTAGGCTCGTATAGACCTAAGACATGGCCATCAGGACACCTCATTGCTGCTACCTGTTAGTCAAATTCTGCCATTATACACGAATACGCTGGAGCTGAAGTTTCAAGAATATACTGACAACTAAATAACAGTTAATAATGTTACCACACACCCCATCCCATCATTGTGAATTTACTTACTGCTATTTTGTAAACAAGATAGAGTAGAAGAAGTTAATTACAAAAATAGCTTCAAATATAAATTTGATATCAGGTGTCAGTTGGTTACCTTGCCATGGGTTTCATATTTGATAGAACCATCCAGTTCTGCACCCAAGGCCATCAATTTATTCACAGTACTATTCACGTCAGACACTGTAAATGATAGGAGTGATGAATAATCCTTGTGCTCAACATGGTCCCTGATATATAACACAAGAAACAAATTCTTTCATTAATAATGAGGAAAAACAAGCAAACCAAAACAACAACCTCATATTCTTTACATGTCTGTATGTGTATGTGTAGTTATGCATGTGTGTGTGCAGCATGTGGTGTCCCGAAGTGGGTAAATTCATGCAGCAAGAAATTTCATAATCTGGCATTACGAGTGCCTAGCAAAGCTCAGTAACTTGTAAACAAAAAACACATGTACGCCACCAAGAGGTCAAGCAGGCCAGCAGATCTCATCCTTACAAGGCATGCCAGTCAATATGAAATATAAAATCCAAATAAGCCAGAGAGTTGGCCATTTCACTTCGGCGGAGGTTATGGATGGTGAGGAGTTCTTGAGAGCTAACAAATGCCTCCAATCTCACTTAATTTTAAGATAGTGATTTCACAACAGATCAAGGAACGTGCGACTGATATACACAATGACTAACTAATAAACGCCTCTAATAATCAATCAGTCATACTGATGTGTGTATATTGAAGGACATCTTCTAAGAGTTTTTTCCGCGAAATTTAATGTCCAAAACATGACAGCGAAATTCTTCAAACTGTGCACACAAGTTTTATCATGCCAACACAAACCGAATCAACCGCTTCTCCAGAATAGCCAGTCTAGAACATGGGGATAAATTATAATTCAATGTCACCAATCAGGAATGTCGAGGATTTAATTGTGGAACAATCCACTCCAATGGGATATGGGTGAAAAGGGCTGAATTCCAATTAGGCACTGCGGCCTTTCAACAGTGTTCGATAGCCGCCCAAAAATTTGAGAAATGGACAAGAAGTAAACAAACCTAGCGGTGGGAGAGTGCAAGAGAGCGAGTTTGAGCGGGCCGGAATGAAGCTCGGCCCATCGAAGGGTGCAAACGCTAATGGTGAATCCCAGGCCCTCCGAGTAGAATCTAGCCGCCTTGGGAACATCTCTGTGGAGTTGTACCAAGTATCTAAACGCCGCCGCTGCCGTCGTCATACCAAATGTTTTCCTTCCAACACAGGAACTGTATCAGGAACATCTATCTAAGCACGAGGATATGAAATGATAGGATGATGCACATGGAACTAAACCAAACTAATAAAACAGCCAAATGTGCGTGCATACTCAAAGTCAAGGCAGCATTACTCCTCCTTTCCACACGCATTTAGACATACACTTCAGCAATTCAGCGACTTCCCCACCTCCGACCGATTCACTCTACACGTTGATATTTCTTCGCTCATCAGTGTTCCAAATCCTACTGCTTACAGTCACCGACGAGCCTATAGTTTGAGACGGACACGACAGATCGTGTACGGGAGGAAGGAAGGGTTTCAGTCAGTAACCGTAGCACAGCAGCCAGCAGGGGATTAAACGACTGTTGCGGGCTGAAATGGGCCCAGCCCACATCTAATTTCATTATCTGGCTGGCTAGCCCCAATTCTAATTTCTTTTCTTCTTTCATTTATGAGTTCTCAAATCTCAAACCGATGAATGCCCGACCCTCTCCATCTCTCTCTCTCTCTCTCTCTCTCTTTGATTCATCGAAATAATGAGTTAAAAGTTTTTCTTCCTCTACTTTTCTCGAACTTCGTCGTCGTCGTCGGCGGCTTTGTAAGTTCGATTCTTGCACTAATTTTGAATTGCTTGTTGTCATAAATTTCAATGCCGCGTGCTTGTTTTAACATGCATCAAGATATGGCTCGAGTGTTTTGTATGTATGCTGTTTTGCTATTTTAGTTTATATTTATTGGCATTTAATAAGTGTTTGTTGTGATGCTTATTCAATTTATATTCATTCAGTGTTTCAAAATTATGAGTTGTCGTTCTTACAGTTTAGACAGTTTGCTGTGTTTAGTTTCTTGCTGGAAAGAGCATTGATGAAATTAAGAAGGATGCCACAATGGTAATAGAGAAGAACCTTACTCGGTTTCTCTAGGAAGTTCGGCTTATAGTTATTCGTCTTGGTCCAATCCCTAATAGACTCCCCAGAGCTCTATCCTTTCAATTACTTGGTCATCTTCCTGATTTATTTATTAGTGTGTCTAGTCTATTTGCTTCGACTACGCCTTCGTACCCCATTTTGCTGTTTTCCTTTTGCTTTTCTGGCAGGTTATGTCATGGTTGTTGCCTGGCTACTTTGTGTAGACTGACCATTGGTCATTTCAGTTTGCTTTCAGTTTAGCACTTAGCTTTCTTTTTTTGTGTCATCAGGAGCTTTGATTAATTTTCTCTTCCCGCTCTGGAAATTAAAATGAACTCCATGAATCCAATGGGGTTGGCTCCTTTTAATTCAGGCCCTCAGCTTTGGGCGCCTCCGCCGCCACGTCTAGCGCCTATGCCACCTCCATCTGCTGCCTTTTGGAATGCCGTGAATGTGCACAGTCACCTCAAAGAACTTTATGGTACCATCAACCTCGCCGAAGCGATGTAAGGAAATTTCTGAAAGTGTGGATTCTTCATTGCATTTGAAAAAGAGAAGAAAATTTTGATTTTAGGTTGGTTAAAACTTGTTGAACAAACTGATTGCAAGCCTAGTAGTGTTCAAGCAACATCATTTTATTTCACTATTAACTGAATCAACCTTACACCTGATATTTGGACTGGAATTTTTTGGGCGATGTGGATTTCCCACCCCTATACAAATATTTCACCGGTTTGGAAGATTACTCTCAAGATTCTTTGTTGTTCTCCTTTTTGCTATTTTGATATAGTCAGAGCCAAGCACAACATTTACACATGAATTTCATTATTTCTGGCTAAGATATGATATTTGTCCTGAGTTTCTAGTTTGGGGATATTGGTACCAAACAGGCAAAAGGAATTGGAAATGCTGATTTTGATGAAAGAAAGGCAAGTGAATACTGAAGATGAAAAGGAAGGGAGCGGTTGCATGTCAATTGATAGCTTCTCTACGCTGATGATGGACAATAAAATTGAATTAAAGTTTCAAGAATCTTTGTCCCTGGATGCTGTAAATGCTATAATGGCAAAATTAAGATTTCAGTTGGAGCCATTTAGGGTTTTGGCAGAGGACAATACTCCATGGGAGGAAAAGTCTGCTGCCAAAAGGTTAGCTGATAAAATGACAAAGAATAAAAGAAATAAGCTTTGGCGGAAAAGGAAGAGACAGCGCATAGCTGAGAACTTATCTAAGGTAGTTAAAATTATCTGTTCTATTGCCAATTAGCATATTTTTTAACCTTGTAAATATAGGTTTTTTATTGAACTGTCTAATTATATTTGCTTAAGGAGCATGAGAAATTTGATCAAATAGATAAAGACGTTGATGAATGGAGAGACAGAGAGATTGCCAAAGATATAGCTCAGCACAAGGTACAGATAATGCAGAAAATCTTTATTATGCAGTATGTGTTCTTTTGAAGGAAATTCTACAATGGCACTGGGTGTTCTTGAGTTTGGCAAGTACAATTCATTCTTCTCATGCAGGATTTGCTCGGTCTTTTCTCCATGGTATTAGTAGAGCGGTGGTGAGATCTTAATATCTTATATGCCTGAGCATAAAACTTTGATATTTTGACTGTTCAAAGAATCTAAGGCCTCATAAATTGCATTGTTTAGTGTAATGTTTCATGCTTGTAATTATATTCTTCCTTTGTATACAGTAACATGAATATGGTATGAAATGTTGTTGATATGCACTTTGGATTGTGTTTTCCCATGTGGTAGAATACAAGTTCTTTTTTTCTTTTTTTTTTTTTTTTTTTCAAATTTTTGTCTGCTGCCTGTGTGTATGCAATTTGCTTAGATATTAGAAGATATCTTTTTAGCCAATGATTAAGATAAGTGCCTTGGCTTACACCTTTGGCTCTAAAGAGGCATAGTCATTTTGCAGGTGGAAAAGATGAAGGAAATAGCCAAGCTTAAGGCAAAAGAGGAGAAAAGGAGACTGGAATCTGAGGTTAGAAATCATGGCAAGCATGGATCCTTTTTTTCCTTTAGCACTTACCCACCTTCCTGCATTCAGTTATATTTCCGCATTTGCATTGGTTTTTGTTTGCATCCTTAATTAGCGCCAAAGGAACATTAGCTAGACCTAGATTATTTATCACGTTGTGATTAACTCATTGAGAATTTTCATTTGTTCAAGTTATATCCCTGATATTTCAGTTTTAGTAATAGACAGGCACACATTTGACCATATTGGTGGGGGACTGCACCCTAAATTATTTATTCTTTTCTTTTCATAAATTTGTTGATTCCTTGTTCAGGTGTTCCTTGAGACTTTGCATCATAACTTTTACAAATTTGTAATTTCAGCTGGAACTGGTGTTGATCGTGGAGAAGTTGCAGGAATTACGATCCATGAGAATACAAAAATTGAAAAAACAAGGTGAAATAGAAATGATTTATGCCAAAACATCTAGACTCCTTGTGAAGTTTGTGGAGGCTTTTATCTTTCCTTAAAGAACTTAGCCTTGTCCTGCAAATGTTCTCATTGAGAGCTGATTGAGCTCAAGAGCTTATCTGTTCCAATGATGGATTTTATGCAGGTCATTTTCTTCCGGATGAGGATGACAAATTTCTTGAACGAGTTAGAGCTGCAGCTGAGGAAGAGGATTGCCAATCACTGGCAGCAGCCAATACAGATGCTGCTAAAGATGCCATTGCAATGGCTGAAGTAACAAGAACACACATACAGGATTTTGCACCACACTTGGAAGAGCAAACCTTGAATCATAACAAGGAAGGCCCATACCAGAAAAATGAGACTGCAAATGAAGAGGTTCCAGTAATATCAAGCAAGCTCAACTCTACTGGACCTGTATCTGGCAATGCGTATGATACTGTTGGTAATTTACCCATGGAATTTTACCATTACTATCATGGAAGCAGTTATGATCTGGGCACACTTATTGAGGTAATTCCTACAAGCGTACTCACCCACTATATTATTGTTCATCATTTGAATTTGTTTTTTCTTTTTAGGATTCCTCGATAAAGTTTTTTATTTGTTTTTGTTTCAATTATATACATAAACACAAGAGTCGTCGTGCACATTTACCAAGTATATATGTCGCGTAACCTTTTTTCGTTTTGCAGGTAAGAAGAGGTTGGGATGCATACATAAGGCCAGGAGGAAGGTATTCAAAGTTCCCGTGCATCAACTTGACTTGACTTATATTGCCCATTAGATCCTACTTATTATTTGTTGGGTCCTCCTTGAATGTTGTGTGTTGTGTGTTGATGATCCTCTTGAAGTGTGGCTAGTGATTGAAATTTGAATGTAGGCGTATCCCTGGGCATTGGGTTGAGGCGCCCCCTCCAGCAGATGAGGTGTGGGCTTCTTACCTATCTGGCGAAGGGAGAGGGAGAGGAAGGTGACTTGCCAGTGTCATGTATCTTCGAAATTGAATCGGTCCAACTCCAGGCAGGCAGGCAGGAGGGAGCTGTATGTAAGTAAAACAGGAGGGGAAGGTGGTGATAGGATAGGATAGCAGGAAGTTGGCCAATCAATATCTCTATGCTCTTGCTGCTTTGCTTGTTTCACTAACTAGCAGGGAGCAGAAGCCTTCATCAGCAGATTCATTATGTGTGTGCGTCTGTCCGTCTGTCAGATCAATCAATTTATAGATCCATTCCCTTACATAACATACGTGTCCGTGAAGAGAGATGCGAATTGGATGGATGGAATATGTTTTTTTGTACAATGGTTTTATTTAACAAGAGAAGAGTCTTTCCAAACTCTTGTCGGCGAGCACATCACAGCGATGGCGAATCCCTCCCAGTATCTTTGGAGAGATATTTCTGGCCGCATCTCAACTGCACTACACCAGGCAACATCCATTGTGCGGCAAAAATAAGGCCCAGAGAAGAAGACCCATGCGGGCCTGTGCTTTTAGACAGACTAGTTGGCCAAACAATTCAAATATTATTACTTTCTCCGTATATAATTTATCTATATTTTTTATCTCTGTCTGTCAATTTTTTTATAATTTTTAAATTTAAAATAATTATATATTTTCATTTTAATTTGAAATTATTTATAATTTATAATTATTATTTATTAATTATATCTTATAGGAAATAGAACAAATAGGGTTATACGTTTATCTTTTCTTTTGTTTTTTTTCTCTTGCACAATACTATACAACTAATTATAGATTAATTGTTATTAGTTTAATTTTCTGTCTCGTCCTAACTCCGACTCCTCTCCTCTCCTTTCCTTTCTTGCCATGGTTTGGGATGTAAAATAGTCTCTAGAAAGTCAGCAGTGTACGTTGGGGTGGGGTGCCGTCGTGCCGACGAAGCAAGGGCCCAATGGGCTTCGACAATAGTTCTTAATTAAGGCTCTGAATTAATTAATTAATTAATTGATTGATTGATTATTACATCATTCCACGAGTTTCGTATTGTGCTCTCTCTCTCTCTCTCTCTCTCTCTCAGATCTCGTAGGTGATAGTACCACCGCACGCACGCACGCACGCAGGCAGCGTTCAAAACCGAAATCTGATTGCAAAACCACACCGCACCTCGCCTCCCCTCCCATCCCCTCTCTCTATCTCTCCCATTCTCTTCAAATCCCTAATCCTCTTGTACCCATTTCTATTCGGATTTCGTTTTTTTTTTTTAAGGAGCACGAGGAATTGTCCCCAAGATTTTGGCGCGTAATCCCGGTGCAGTCTGCAGCAGATGTGGAGTTCGGTAGCTAATTTGAAGGAGAGTCTGCACAAAATTGCACTCGATGTCCACGACGACGACGATGAAGAAGACCTATCGATCTATACTACGCCGCAGCGGGATCAATTCGACAACAGCAATTCACTTTCTGAGCGGAGAGTTTCTCGCAATTTTAATGGCTCCCTTACCCCGACGCGTTCGCCTATCGCCAATGGCCTGGGCTCCCCCTCGAATCCCCAGGTAATTGAGATTTATATGCCTTCTGATTGGCACCACTTTAGATTTCGATTTCGCTTACGTCCTGCTTCTGTCTGCTTCAAATGATTTCTTTTGTTATAAACTGAGATGAGTTGCTCAATCCTAGATTTTGCTTTGAGGGTCTCGTATTAATATCAATGAAACACATTTGTATTGAATTTTCTCTCTTGAGTGTAATTTCATTGTGTATCTGTGGCGGCGGGTACCTTCGTTAGTATTGTCGGTGCCTTGAACCTTGATCTCTAATCTGGTCTTAGTTCTGATGAGTGTTATGATTCATTGGAAACCTTTATGTTAACTCTCTAAATAAGTATCTACGATCTGAACCATCCTTAACTGGATAGGGATTCAACAAAATGCATGTTATGGTGTAATTGAATTGGAATCTCCATACCTAATGGTCTCTGTCATTTATCTGGTGAAGCTATCATTTTCTTCTCCGTAATTGCAAGAGAGTCAGCAATCAGGCCTCCTAATATTTTTTTGATTTATTTATTTTTGGATTGGCAGATAGAGCAATACGTGGCAGAGATTAAGAGGCTTAAGGATTCCGAGGCAGAAATAAAGGCACTATCAGTTAATTATGCAGCTCTATTGAAAGAAAAAGAGGTGGATCTTCCTAATCCTTTTGTCTTTAGTAACTTGCTCTGACCTTCAATGCTCTTTAGTGGCATCCAAATCTTGTTAGTTTTGTGAAAGTTTCTCTCTTGTTGGATATAAAGGAGCGAACATGCCAGGAAAGAAAAATTGATTTTGCAAATTTACTAAGGCTTCAATATCAATGGCTCATTGTGTGCCTATGCTTCTTTGTAGCATATTTGCATGTGAGAATTCAATGAAAAACTTATCATTAATGAATGATATCCATACCACTTGTAAAATTACCTGATTAAGATAAATGAATTATAAATAATCAATAACAAAACTAAATCATCATTAATATTTCTGAGCAAAAGGAAAGTAGCAATTAGTGCCCTACGCCCTGTAACTATGGTTTTGGTGAAGCTAAGTGAAATAGTGTAAGAAAATTTGTTGCCATTATACTTAACATGCCATTTGATTCTAAATTTTTCATGCAGCTATGATTCAAAATTTTACATAAGACTGCTTCTAAGGAGTTGTTTGATTTTATGTTTTCATTACAGAATCAGATTTCAAGGTTGATGGAAGAAAATGACACCATGAAACAAAATCTTGTCTACACAAATGCAGCTCATAATTCATCTAGAACTGTCCCAAGGGTGGGTATTTTAAGCTCAGGATAATTGTTTCTACGTACATTGCTTTCTCTTTCATGATGTTAAGCATAATGCCTGTATTTGTGTGTGTGTTATGTCTATTTTTTTTTTCCTGATCACAAGTTGATTAAACTTTTATTTAGCATTTTGCTGAGTTAGTCAATTTGTACAGGTTCCCTGATTTTATGTATTACTTGTTCAGGTCGGTGGTGATGTTTCTCCCAGTCGCCACAATAAAGCTCAAACAAAACTTCGAACTTCTGGAAGCCCACTATCCAATGGCAATGTACCTAAACATGATGCAGTAAGCAATGGAACCACTTCAGCTCATTCAAAGGTGAAGTGTTACTTTTTCTCAGGTGTCGGTGGCAATTACTTACCATACCACCTTTTGACTTTGATTTTTCAATTTACTTTTAATGTTGATGTAATGAGTTGGATTACTGGATTGATTAGATACATTCTCCAAATGTGGCTTTTGCAATATTGTATTTTCTCCCGAATCTGCATACATATATAATTTAATACAACAGACTTTCATGCTGTCTTCTACTATGAGTGAGCTTGATTATGGCGTTTTAAATCCCTTCCAGGAGCTGTTAGATACAATAGAAGAGAAAAATAAGGCCCATGCATTGATACAAGCAAGTCATGAAGCACAACTGAAAAAAATAGTGGCGGACCTTGATAATGAACGTGATAAATTGGCAAGCATGCAGAAAAAATTACAAGGTACAAATATATTTAATGATCCAAATCAAATACAGCATTATACTCCATCGGATACTTGAGTTGACTCGTTTATTCGATTCTAGAGGAACAGAAGTTAAATGGTTCTTTTCAGCAAGAGTTGAGCTCGCTAAAAGATGAAAACAGCAAAGTGAGTGTTTTTTTTTAATAGTAATTCCATGAATGTTGTTGCATTCAGCAACATATTGCATAGTTTACTTATTTTGATAATGTTTGTGCATGTTCGTGTGCTCGATGCTCAAATTGCATTTTGGCTTTCATATATTAAACCATGATACATATTAGGGAAAATAATTTAGAAAAGTTATCTGTTTGTGCCATATATTTTCATTGTCTGCTCATGTTTGTGTGATGACTTTTTTCACAAGTAACAGGTATGCACTGTAGCTTTTTTTTTACCCTCCACACACTCAACATACGTATGCTCCGGGATGAACCGGAGTCATAGCCCCGAAGCTGGGGATGCCTTACCACTTGATAGGGTTTGGTCTGTAGCTTGTTAATGTTTCAATGTTTACTATAGTTGGACTCAATTTTTAAGATCAAAAGTAGTTTTTGGTCTTTGATATCACTTATATCTATTGATATGTATCAATACTACCTACTTTAATTGAAGAAAACCATTTGCATGATTTATTACATAAATCTGTTTGCTATTTTTGTATACCTACTATCCAGATGTTGATTGAAATACACAAAACACGCGATGAGCTAAATAAAAAAATGTCAGAGGTAGGAAGACTGCAGGAAGAGTTGCAGAGATTGGAGCGAAATGAAAGGAATGGCTCTATAGAGAATTTGAGAAGCGTAATTGCTACCTTGGAGGATGAAAACAGAAGTATTAAGGTCACTTTCTTATCATTATCATTTGATGCATGTTTATATAACCATATTTGTGCTTTACCTTTTTATTTTTGCGTGAGCTTTGGACACTTGTACTTAACCTTTTTCATTTTTCCAACTGTAGAAAGAGAAAGGCGAAATTGAGGCTTCCTTGAGAGCATCCCATTCTTCTCGCAAAGATGTACCTGATCAAGATAATCTCTCAAATGGCTTGAATAAGGTAAGATTGACTATTTCTATTATTTTCACCTCTCATCCTATTTTAAGGTGTCCATCCACGAAAAAAGCCTTTCCTGTCTTTAAGCCTAAAAGAAGAAACTTAGAAGTATCTATGTTATTGAATTCGTTGAGACAATCACACTTAAATTTAAAAGCTAGACTTCTGCAGGTGTCGCCTGGGATGGAGGAAATGCAGCAATCCTTGAGTAATCTGGAGAAAGATTTGAAGGAGACATGCCGAGAGAGGGACAAAGCATTGCAAGAATTAAATCGTCTTAAACAACATTTATTAGAAAAGGTCTTTGCTCTTTGCAGCGTGCGTGTGTGAGCACTTTATCAGTGCATTGTCTTCATGGGAAATTCATGTTATCATATCTAATTGATGCTGTTATCCTTGTACCATCTGCTAAATATAAAATATCCCACCTCCTTTATACAGGAATCTGAAGAATCAGAAAAGATGGATGAGGACAGTAAAATTATCGAGGAACTGCGAGAAACAAATGAACACCAAAGATATCAAATATCTCGTTTAGAGAATGCTCTTAAGAAGGCAATTGGAGCTCATGACGAAATAAAAATGTCCAACAGTAGTGAACTTAAGGCGGCTAAAGAAACCATAGATATGCTTAACAGAAAGTTGGCTGGCAGTATGAGCACACTAGATGCGAAGAATATGGAAGTTCTTAACCTGCAAACTGCTCTTGGCCAGTATTATGCAGAAATTGAAGCTAAGGTAAGAAATTTTGCAGCTATGGTATAATGACTGGCTGAATGCGTTATAATATCTCGTTGATATCTTTTTCAGGAACATTTTGCTGAAGAATTATCAGTGGCAAAAGAAGAATTGACTAGACTTTCGAAGCAGTTAAAGGTGAGAGTTTGAGTATCATAATTGCTTCATTGCTTTAAGTTTTGAGGAAATCTGAGATTGACTTGCGACAAGATTAATCAATAGTTAACACCGTACGTATATGTCACGTTTCCTTGTTATCTACTCAGTATAAGCAGGTCTGCACTTTGACCTCCCATATAGGATTTTTATTTTTTAAGCCCATAACTGTTTGACTTTTGAACCTTGCAATATTCCAATTGAGTTAATCGTAATGTAAATACTCTAAGGATTTGATGTTTTGAGGAGTGCTAAATATCCATAATTCTGCCAGGAAGCAGATCAACAAGCAGAAGCATCAAAGAGAGAAAAAGAAGAATTGTTGGGCAAGCTTTCACAAGCTGAGAGGATGCTTGCTGACAGTAAAAGCAGGGTTAAAAAGGTTGAGGAAGACAATGAGAAACTTCGTCGAGCTCTTGAGCAAAGCATGACAAGGCTAAATAGGATGTCAATGGACTCTGATTATCTTGTTGACAGGTTAGACTATTTGTACTGTTGTAGCCGCTGGAAGCAACCTTTAGTTGCTCCCTTGAAAGCAGCAAATGAATCATACAAGGAAAATGGATATTTTGTACTATGTCCATTAACTTCAATGACTATTGAAGCAGGTCTTTATGAATGTTTTTCGTTTGCCGCAGGCGTATTGTGATAAAGTTGCTGGTGACTTACTTTCAGAGAAACCACAGCAAGGAGGTGTGTGTGCTTTATAAAAGGAAGAGCTACAAGGAAACGATAATCTATTCAATAACAAAAAACAAAAAAAGTCAAGTATAACAACTTGTATTACTCTCCTTTGTGAGTAGAATCTTCTGGTCTCACTTGTTTGAGGAGGTTCTTTCTCCTCCCAAGTAACACTGGAGAGCCAATACATGCTCAGAAAGTAGGTTAACTTAGAGCTGAAACTAAGCAGTAGAGACTAGACAAGCAAGTGCAAGTAGCAGCATAATTGTCTCCTGGAAATGATTCAGATTTTTGACGGTGTTTTAACAATTCATTTCTCCAGGTTCTTGATCTGATGGTTCGCGTGCTGGGATTTTCTGATGAAGACAAGCAGAGAATAGGGCTTGCACAGCAAGGGAGTGGCAGAGGTGTAGTTCGCGGCGTGCTGGGACTTCCGGGTAGACTGGTTGGTGGTATATTGGGTGGCAGCTCAGCGGAAGCTAGTGCAGCTGTTGCATCCGAGAACCAGGTAAGTAATTCTTATGATTGTGTCCTTGTACCAGCACTGGCTCAGTATGTATGGGTTGGTCTGTAGTAATTAATAGTATTGATTTATTATTCTATTGCAGTCATTTGCGGATCTATGGGTGGACTTTCTTGTTAATGAGGCGGAACGAGAAAAGAGGGAGTCTGAGTCTGCTGGTGCTGGTGCTGGTGCTGGCAGTGGTTCCACGCCTGCTGCTCATTTCAAACATGCAGGAAACAACACTACCCCTCCGGCAGCTGCAGCATCAAACCATAGAGGAGGAGGAGGCTTTGGTACTGTGTCTACAACAAGTATCCCTCTCTCACACCACCACAACCAAAACCAAAGCCACAATTTCATGCATCGGGAACACTCTGACTCAGAATTTTCTACGGTTCCTCTCACCTCTGAAAGCAATTCCCGAAGCTCAATATTGATTGATTGATTGAACGACTGAGTGACGGTGCTGTGCCCGCCTGCCTGCGAATGTACATAACAAAGTACAGATTGAATCTTCCTTGTAGAGGCCGGCTGGCTGGCTGGCTGGCTGGCTGGCTGTGTTCTTTCAATTCTTTCTTTATGTATGTGCGCTGTGGGATCAGCATCATCATCATCGATAATGTTATTATTATTGAAAGTGAATGTGAATGTGATTAAAGGAGGAGGAGCATTGAGCATTTATAGAGCCATGCATGCATGCATGTATGTCTGTCTGAGGCCGCGGGCCATGTAGAAGAAGAAGTTCACTTTTTGACAGGTTGAGTGAGAGTGAGGTGGATACTGCCCCCGCTTCTTCGTTTATATCCTCAGTACTCTCTCCACTTGATATACCTCATACTCTACATACTGCCTACATATATATATATTAATATATGATTTGGAACTACTCGGTACTGTATGTATGCATGTGTGTATGATTTGTAATGTATATGTGATTTGGCATGAATTCGCGAGGACGGGGAAATTGAATTGTATTAGGGGATGGGGTCCTCACTCCTCAACCACCTGCTGCTCTGCTCCTCTCCTCTCCAGCAATCTCTGGTTGCTGCGCTTCTCCATCTCTCTCTCTAGATCTCCACCGCGTTCAGATAGATCCCAATTCTCGCCTTCTTCATCGCTCCACACACCATCACAAACCAACCGACCAACCAACAAAGGCGCCGGCTGACTATATCACTTCTCCACAGTAGATAGAAAGTATAAACACATTGGACATAATAAAACTGGCCGGGGGTGACCGTTCGGATTTGGCAAATCCGAATTTTTGGCAAATATCAATCCAATCCGATTTGAAATAACCGAAATTTAAAATCGAAAATCCAAATTAAAGATCCGAACCGATCCGAAATTTTATGTCTTTTTGTTATTTTTTTTAATCTTATATTTTATTTCTTTTTTTTTATAATAGTAAATATATATAATAAATAAAAATAAATATATTAAAATCTAATTAATAATGTGGACAAAAAAATTGTGTTATTTTTAATAAACACAAACGGATTATATTTGATTTGAATTTAAAGCTGGTCTTATTATCTAAATGGGCCTTTGATTCTCCTTCCAGGTCGATTTGTTTTCCAACTTGGTTTTCGATGGCTTTGAAGAGATTTGTTCTTCGGTTTGATTTTGCCGGACTTTGGGGGCTTTGGTCTTCATGCAGGCGATTTAATCGTCAACTTTGGATTTGATGTCCTATTTGGACAATCCGAGGCTTTGATTTTTTATTTGGCTTTGCTGCCTTTTTTGAGAGTTTTGGTCTCCGTGTAGACGATTTGATCATCAACTTTGGATTTAATGTCCTATTTGGACGATCCGACGCTTTGATCTTTGATTTGGTTTTGCCGCCTTTTGGAGGGCTTTGGTCTCCGCGTGGACGATTTGATCGTTGACTTTGAATTTGATGTCTTCTTTAGACGATCCGCGACTTTGATTTTTGGTTTGCTTTTTCCGTGTTTTGGAGAGCTTCAGTCTCCATGTGGACGATTCGATCGTCGGCTTTGGATTTGGATTTGTTGTCTTCTTTAGACGATTCGCAACTTTGATCTTTGCTTTGGCTTTGCCGCTTTTGAAGAGCTTCGGTCTCCATATAGGCAATTTGATCATCATCTTTGAATTTAATGTCTTCTTTGGACGATCCGCGGCTTTAATCTTTGGCTTAGCTTTGCGGCCGTTCGGAGGTCTTTGGTCTCCGCGTGTACGGTTTGATCACTGGGTTTGGATTTAATGTCTTCTTTGGACAATCCACAGCTTTGATATTTGAGGAGGTGGATTTGGTGCTCCATAACGCTTTTGGCGGCGTGTCCCTTTGACTTTTGGATTTAAGAGGGCCTAGTTGATGCTTTGTTGAAGAACGCGATGGACAAACTTTGAGAGGAACTTTTGAGACCTTCCCTTGGCTTTGACGAATTCCTCAACGGCTTTGAGAGCTTTGATCCTTCCTCCGACTTGGACATACAACGAAGAACATTAACTTCATCGATTCGTCAACCAATATTGGATAATTTGTCCAAATTAGTGACTTTCGATTCGATGAAAAACGCTTTGAAGGACACGAAAAACACAAAGAACAATACAGAGAGAGTCCAGAGACTTACCCCTTTACTTGAATCTTCGATGTAACTTCGGTGTGTCAAATGGACTGGCCATGACTCCTATTTATAGGGGATGAGTGGCTTCGGCTTCCCTTTTTAATGGTGTCACGTGGCGCGTCTTGATTGGCCAATAGGAAGATTTTATAATCTTTCCTTTTTTCCATTAGATGCTCTTTTCATTCTTGACTTATTTGATTGTGCACCTTCCTTTTATCGCCAAGATGTTTATACTATTGCCCTTTTTCGGAAGATACTAATTTATATACTTCATTTATTGACAAGATTAATTTATTTTGCTGCCAAATTTATTATGGCTCTATTTATGCACCTAATAATATCTTTCATTTTAAGCAGATTTTTGCATTAATGGTTCATATTTATTGTACAAAAATTAACATGTGTGCATAATTAAATACTATATATTTATTTCATTGAAATTTTTATTTTCCTACAAAATACATGATATTTAATTGATTTAGACATATATTTTTAGTGTCTACAAATATTTTTTAACTCTTATGTTTATTAGTATATTAAATATATAATTATAAAATATATTAAAATATTAGATTTTGGATTTCAAATTAAGTTCGATTTTTAATAACCAATTCGAATTTATTGGAAAATCTAAAATTTATAAAATATTCAATCTGAATCCAAATCAAATTTGGGTCGAATGGAATTTAGGATATTTTGCACACCCTTACCAACGTCTAGAGACAATGGTGAATGCAATGTGTATATATATATACACCTCTATATATACATGCGGACGTGGGCGGCTCATGCATACGTTGCGTTACGTTACGTAGTTTGTGAGTTTGTGCATACGTGGGGATAAGTCGAGTGAAGTCACAGTTATTCCTCATCCAACTAACCCATTTTTTAATGGGCCGGCCCGCCCAATACTGCTAACTATCCCCACACCACCTTATTTTACTACTCCTAGTATTTTCTATGGGCTGGGCTTACCTTTCTCGATTATAAATCATGTGCCGAATTTATAATCAATCTACATTAATTAATAAATAATAATATATTTTATATTCTTTTTTCTTTAAACCTTCTTAGTAATATTTCCCCGCCTTTTCTCCCCTCATATTTGAGATTTTGCCCTAAGTCTCAGCACCTTCCCTCCCCCTCCATAACTCATTCATAAATTAAAAGATCAGGGGGCGAGCGACGACGAGGAGGAGGAGGAGGAGAAGGGATTCGGATTCTGGGCAGATGCTGCTGCTGCTATGCCGACGCATCAGGGTACAAATTCCTTCGCGAAACCTATATGCTCCATCTGCTACGAAGACCTCAGACCCGCCATCGAACATCTTCAGTCCATCTCCCTTTGCGGCCATGTCTTTCACGAGCTTTGGTCAGTTCCACCCTCCGCTCTTCTATTCTATTTTCTTGCTTTCCTATTCTATTGCCTGCCTGCCTTTTAATGATGAAACTCTGCTCAAACCTTTTCCATCCTTTCATTCACTAAAATTACAGCCTTCAGCAATGGTTTGAGTACTGTCCCAATCTGAAGAAGAAAAGCTGTCCTATATGCAAACAAGCATGTACCAATGCAAACGTTGGCCGTCTTTACTTCCAGTCCGTTGGGGATCCTACTGATTGCACTCTCCCTCAAAAATCAAATAATTATGACAGGAATCCAGAGGAACTGCAGAAGGAGGTCAATAGGTTGGAGGGCAAGGCTCTGGCTCTGGCTTCCTCCTTGGAGCAACAACAGAAAGAATTCAAGCAAGTTAACGATCAGGTGATTGATCAGTAATTTATTTTATTTTTCTTCAGTCTTCTCTTTTCGGTGAAATATTACCTGTGTAACTCAAACGTTCTACTCCAGCTGCTTTCGTGCAAGGAACAACTTAAAATAGAAATGGCACTAAAAAGTGAGGCCCTCACCCGGATCGCAACCACTCAGCAGTTGCTTTGTGTGAAATCGAAGGTAAGCTGACAGTATCCACTATCATTTATGGTGTGTGATTCACTTGTTCGAAAAATATATACGATTTATACTATTCTAAAAGAATCTGATACATTCTCTGGGAAACTGTAATTAGATATAATTCTCATTTTCCTTTTTTCTCTTGTTCTCTGATCCATTAATACTAAGGTTTTGTGTGAGCTCACTTGATTGTGCTGCAGGAGCAGGATATATTGACTTTGGAACACAAAAGATTGCAGGAGAGAAACATGGCCTTGGCCAAGGAACTTGCAGCACTAAAACTGTGTGTAAAGCTAGCTTAATTCTGGTCGGTATTCTTTATATGGTTTAGTGCAAAAGAACTCATTTTTTTATTTTTTTTTTGGTTTAAAAAACTGCAGTGCCTCTGATTTAGACTTGGAAGAAGATGAGATTGTAAAGCTTGCTTCATTAGGCAATGAAATTGGCAGCAGAGAATCAATTGATGTTCTGAGAAAGTCGTTGGTGATTCGTAACAAGTAAGCATCATGGCATAGCGTCCTTCCTCTGCAGCAAAGCATTTATATTGAGTTATTTTACATTTTGCTGTAGGAGTTACAAGGAATTGATGGCTAAGTGCAACACGTTGGGAAGGGGAGAAGCTCAGTGCCTTCGCAAGCTTGAGAAAGCTAATGAAAAGATAAAGAAGCTCAAGGTAAGCTTCATTCAGGGTTCAGATGAAGGTCTTCAGTTACAAGTTCATTCTAATCTGATGTCCATTGTTTTTCAGTCAAGAGTCCAAGCACTTGAAGCATCTGTTGAAATAAAAGAAAATGAAGCATTGAGAGTGCTAAAAGATCAAGGTATTAAATCCAAGATGGATTTGGAAGAAAATGAAGCGAAGAGACCGGTGAAAAGAACAAAGTTAGCAGACCCCAGTGACATGCTTGACACCATGCTCCGTTCCAGGAGGACAGCAGAACCTTGTGAGCTTTTGACTGGGAAGAGCATGATCGATAGTAATGCGACTGGGCATGGTGATGGCCACAACAGTATGGAGAGGGTTCTGTGTGCTGGAACAAATCAGGGCAAGAGTGCAGCAGCACTGTGCCCTTGTACCTCTGTACAAGGATTCTCGAGCAACATTTTGAGGCCGCATGCTGATTACAGTCAATGTACACAAGACATGTCAGTTGGTGCCCAGAATGATGTCAAAATTGGTAATTCTAGCTACGAGGATAGAATCCTTGGATCTCTCCTGCCCACGGAAGAAGAGTGTAGAAAGGAGGATCAGGTCAAAAAGCTACCTGCTAATGTGGATGGTGAGGGGGTCCGTTGCTATGGTGACACCAATTCAGTGCAAGCCTCATTTAATATCAGAAAAGAAACTGCACCAGATGCACATATTGTGTCTCCCCAACCTGGTAAAATTGTTTGTGTCATCTGTTTGATCAGTTAATAAATAATTGGTGGGTATTGCGTTAGATTCATAATAATGTTACTATATATATATAGGTGGGGAATGCTTCTCCGGTGGTGTATTGGGTGGTGATGGAACACAGTGGCACCTGGGTAAATGGAGCAAGAAAGGGCAGCAGAGCAAAGGATCATCGTCAGCATCAAACTACTCAAGATCCGGCGACTTAATTGCGGTTGGAGCGGATGGGAGAGGAGGCCAAATAAAAGTGATGAGGTCTGTCGATCGGTCGTTGCAGGTGGGTGTACTTGTTGGTTATCTATGCCTGCTTTGTTTTGTGTTGAATGCAATAAGAGTGAATGAGAACAACAATACTAGTATCAATTAATTTACTTGTGGTACAGGATCAGGACGTTGAAGGTAATAATTATTCATCTAGGGCCAACAGAAAGCGCAAGCCTGGGCCTGGGGGTGCAAAATCAAAAGCAAAAGCAAATAAGTTGCAGCAGCAGGGTCATCTGCAGATTGAACACTTCTTTCACAGGACAAGTGGATAGGCAAGGCAGGCAGGCAGGTAATTACACTCCAGTATACTATACTGGCGTTGTTGTTTTATGGAGTACTTGTTGGTGCTTGCAGCAGGATCATGTTTATTTTACTTTACTCGGCTTGACTTACCCAATGATGGCCAGGCAGGCTCACAGCCTTCCATTGTTTGTTTGTTTGTTTGTTTTGTTTTTTTTTTTTCTTTTTCTCGATCATGTTTTTGGTTATCCCAATTGTACACATGACTTTTTTGTTTTTTTGTAAGTTTTATAAAAATATTTGATTCCCCGTCCCGACTATGATAGTCTATTTTATTGTAGACATTAAAATTTAAGAAGAGTATAATATCGAATAATTAAAAATATATTAGTGAAAGTATAAGTAACTAATTTAATTAAAATTAAAAAAATTATAAACTAAAAAAATTTAAAATAAAATTAAAGTGTATAATTCATTTAAAAAAACAAAATGATAAAATAAGCTGCAAAAATAGAAAAATAAACACGATACATTGGACGGGGGAGTAATTTATTTCTATTTTTACTAAATTTATTTATGTTACATCACTCAAAATTTAATTATTTTTTATCTAGAAAGTGGATCAGGTGGATGGATGCACTACCAATACCATGCTGATAGAACATAGACCGTAAGTAAATTTGAAATGATTTAAATTGAAGAGGAGCAAGATTATTTTTTTTAAGTTTAAAAAAAAGTTATATGGGTGAATCTGTATGCACGTAAATCTCTCTTTCTCTCTTTCCTTCCTTTCACCGACAATCGCCACTGCCGGCCGCAGCAGCGCCTCCCCACCCTAGCACCTGCGGCCCTCTTCTTCTTCTCTATGTATTTCTTCTCCCTCTCTTCTTTTTTCTCCGAACAGTTGTTCATCGGTTGTCTAGATCGCTGATGAAAACCGCCGTTCTTCCACCAACTCAGGACCCGCCGCGAACCACCACCATCGCCCAATTGACACGCCACGAACCCAAGTTTATTTCGGCATTTTCTAATATGGTATTTTGATGCTTCTTTTTTGTTTGGATATTAGTTTAAATCAATAGTGTATATGAAAACATATTTATAGTGTTTTTTGTGTCAATTTTTGGATAAGACTCATAATATTTGATAGTACGGGAGATGTTTTTCGTATTAAATAAAATATTGGGTACATAATATCTAAATACTTATTCATCATTTTTCTATTTGTGTTAATACGTTTTCGAAGTATGTTTATAATTTATTTTTTGTGAAATTTTTTGGATAATATTTATAGTATTTGATAATACAGTAACATGTTAAATATAATAACAAATACGTTATTAGTATTCAATAAAATGTTTAGTTTAGTATATATAAATGTTTATTATACGATGTTCATAATATTTTACAATTAAATTATGTGCATAAAGATTAATATGCTGTTGGCATTGTTTCCTTTGGTTCTGGAGCAATAGCCAAATTATGATCCTTAAAAATAGTTTTTGGTACACAACTACTCATGTTTTTTAAAAAAATATTAAAAATCCACTTGAATGAATAATGTGTTTCTTCGTACAACAACGTTGCCTCAATTATAGATGTTCGACGGTAATTATTACATCACACGAAAATACATAATGTTGCATTATTGTTACAATTCAATATATGGAAACAACTTACGAGATACTTACGAGATGTTGTGTACATTGTATCAAGATGTTAATTTATAGAAGATAAAATGCTGAATAATAGAAGATGAAATGTTGATTACCGAAATATTGTATAGGATGCGAATAGTTTTTGAATAATGGATAATTGATTTTGTTGGTCTCCATCAATTTCATCCATTAATTTTGTTGAAAGAGTTTTCGTAAGTGATGATGGAAAGAGAATGTAGGTCTAAGTTAGTTATAAAAGTGAAATTTGAAAATTACCATTAAACCCCTAAATTAATACAAAGCTTTAGAATTAAAAATTGTAATCCAATGTTCATCTATTATATATTGTATCATAACAAAAAAAATCATCTAACCCGAGACGGTATCTATTCTCCCTTTCTTAATGCTATAATGTTGTCAGGTATCTATTCTCTCTTTCTTAGATCATCTCCGACCTGCAGTCAATTATAAAAGTTGGTGGCATGAAATGGAGATGATTTTCTTCAACCATCACCATAACTGGTGTCACTGCTATGGTACAATACAAAAAATGGTGTTGCACTGTAGCAATGCCATATTTAGTGTTATTATTTTTATTATTATTTTTTTAATTTTTAAAAATTTTGTATATTAATATTTTTTTTAATTTTTAATTTTTTAAAAAATAATATTAATTGTAAATAAAAAAATAATCTAAAATAATATATAAAATAAATATGTGAAAAATATTTTTTTTGAAGTAAAAAGTAAAATTGTAGGTTGAATTAAAAATAATTTAATAACATTTTTGGATAAATAGAGTTCGTATTGTCAGGTCTGTACTAAATGCGTGTCGTGTGGTGTGATTGTTGTTTGCACACACGCACGCACATTAGTTGCAAATATAAGTAAATAAATAAATAAGAATTGAAGAAGAATAACAAATGAAGGGAATTAGCGGGTGATAAAAATAGCTACGATCTAAAAATTTGATTCAAATTCGGCATAAAAAAATTTATGCTTGAACCTCCAAAAATATGTTTGAAATTTTTTGGGTTATACCTAGCCCGACCCATTTGAATTTTACTGTATATATATATATATCAACTAATGAAATTGTTATAAAAATTAAGATATAGTTTGATAGTAAAGTTTTTTAGATATATACATCCACCTCGACCCATTTGAATTTTTTTTAATGAAATTAAAAGTTAAAAGAACGGGATAAAATTATTTAAAATAAAAATAAAATCGATCAGTTTGGTATAGCCAAATTTTCAACTAAATCATACTTGAACCTAGTTGCTCACGCTTGTTCAAAATGATGTTGTGCGAGTCAGGCTAGACCGACTGGGCCATCTCAAATTGCATCAATGTATTGGTAGAGCTGAAATATTTTAAATGAATTAAATCATTTAATCCTAATTTGTTGTGTCCGTGTTGACTATATATAATTAAGTCAAAATTTTTAATTCAAATTTAATTATTGTTTGAAACTTTGTTGTGTTGTGCTAATTTTTATTGGTTACAGTGAAATGTGTATAATGAATTATGTTGTTAGATTATTTAAAATTTAATTTAAATAAATATGTAGGCTAATTATTTTGGTTGTATAATAAATATATTAATTACCAGTAATATATTGTTATTGTCAAATTGAAAGCTTTAACCCTAATGTCCGGAGTTGTATCAAAACGTTATATAATCGGATTGATTTATTTTTCATCGAAATCCAATCATTTTGTGTTAAATTTCGTATGAAGTATTGAGAGAGCAAACTTGTTTGTAGCTGTAGGAGGCTTGGTTATGACATGTTATCTTCATTCAGCCTCCCATCCCTAACGCAGGATTAGATCTGGGATGGGATGGGATCGACAATCGATCTGTTCCTAGTGAGCGGGGTTTCTCTTTTTCTTTTTCTTTATACATCTCTCTCTACATCTTTCAATCTTTTGCAGATTCGGATGGGCTGTCATTGTCCGTCCGACGTGCACAGGCCAGCCAAGTTCCCCTCACATTAGATTAGTTAAATAAAGATGGGAGCAGCAGCAGCCTAGCCTAGCCTGCAGGTGAATCTGTCATTCTCTCAATTGCTTCACATTATATATCCTATCCTTGGTCTCAGTAAAGTTATCTTCACCATCATGGATTCATTGTCGATGGAATGAATGGGGCTGGGCTGGGCTGCCCGTGCCCATCAATTCAATTCAATCCAACCCAACCCAACCCAGTTAAAGGTGAATGAATCCCCAGGCAGATGCAGATGCAGATGCAGTACTAGTGTGGATAAATGGTGGTGGGGTTTGGGTTATTGTTAGTCAAATTACCATACTCCACTACATACATAGATATCATACCCCACCCCACCCCACCCCGCCGCACGCAGCGCCTACTTTGTAGTCACCCATTTTGGCTTGATTGGAGAAACTCCTAATTAACAAAAGCCATTCTGCAATTGAGTCATCATAACAACAATCCTAATAGGTCAGGAAAGGGACAGGACAATCTGGACTGAAAACCCCAAGAAAGTCCATATTTTACAGCAAAGCAGCAGCAGCAGCAGCAGCCCCTCCCTTCCAAATCTGTTACGTTACGTTGAATGGATGGATGGAAGGCTCTATCTATCTATCCTACTTTGATTTTAGTACCTCCTCCTCCTCCTGCAGAATTCAATTCAGAGTTGGTGTTCTGTTCCTTGAATAAGCGGCAGGTGCAACCTTTGGGGAAGAAAAAGTAGCTGATACTATTCTTAGTAGAAAGATTCCTTTTGTGATAGCAAAGCAATCTTGTCCTAACATAAATGCGTGTGTGTGTGTGTGTCATTACTCATCAGCACATTCGGTTGCCCCTAGAGACTTTTTTCTTCTTCAGAGAAGGGAAGAGGGGAGGGAGGCACAAACAAAACTACTACTGCTACTGCTACACTACATGGCATCTTTCCAGTAAAGCTTTCAATCGTGGAGAATGACCAACTGTTATTGTTGTTGCACCTGGGTCATGCATGATTTTTAAGGCCAATGCCACCCACCCATCCATCAACAACTAACTTAGGAACTTGGAACCACCAAAAATTCTTATTATGTAGACACACCACAAAATCTTAAAGAGGACACCGACACAGTATGTATGATGAGGGGGGTTGCATTCATAAGCATATGCATAAGCAGAGTTTTTACCCCTGGCTTTGTATTGTATTGTATTGTATTTGTATAAAGAAAATTCTCTACAAACAACCAACCAACCAAGGGCAAGGGAGAACAAAAGACAGACGACTTAACATTAACAGATAGCGCAGGCGTTGGGGTTCTCCTCCACGCCGTGATTGTGATGCACATGGTGGTATGTGTATGCATTGATATGATTGTTAGGATAATAGGAGGACCTGGTGCTGTAGCTGTAGGGAAGGGGAAGAGCTGTTCCCACCACAAGTTCTTGCTCCGGAGGACCCTTCTTCTCCTCCTTCTTGCCCTCCACTTCTTTCTTTACGTCTTCTTCTTCCTTTTTGGGCTCTTCCTTCTTCGCTGCTGCTGATTCCTCCTTCTTCGCCTCCCCCTCCTCCACCTCTTTCTTTGGTTCCCCCTTCTTCGCCTCCCCCTCCTCCTCTTTCTTCGCTTCTTCCTTCTTCGGCTCCTCTTTCTTCTCGGGTTCTTTGGCAGGACCGACTGAGATTATGTCTGCTTTCCAATTCTTCTTGCGCAACTTGCTCACAACACTCACCGGGTCGACTGATCCAATCACTGTAAGCTTCTTTCCTTTGACATCCACATAGATTTCATCGATTCCTACATGTGGGATTGGAATTGGGAAGGTGAAGCAAGCAGCATGCATGCCAACCAGTTTCGAAATAGAAAGATAGTAAATAGCATGCACCCCACCCCACAAGTTTGAATAGCATGAATAAATGAATCTGCATTTCATTTAACATCTAGTCTTCACTTCATCAACTAATCTGTTATTAATGGACACTACCTACGCAAGCAAAATGGTCACAACATAATCCCACCCGACAGGTAATAATACTCAATGTGTGTATGTGTGTGTATTGAAAACTAAGATGACAAAAGAGAGCAATCTACAGACAGATAGACAGACAGACATCCCATCATTAGCAATAATAATCAATCAACTAGGCAAATAAGCTCAGATGAACTTAAAAAAGACAGGAATAAACCACTACCACCACTACTAATACAGACACATCAATACCAACAAGAAAAGATTAAACAAAAACTCTATAATTTTCTGCTGGGGTCTGTAATAGAGAAGAAGTAAGTTGTGGTTGCTTATGTTATGCCTGGGAGGGAAGACACTGTCTTCAAAGCCTTCCTTTGCTTTTCCTTGTCATCCTCCAAATCCAACTTCAGCACAAACTTCTGCCAAACAAAATCGAATCAAAACCAGTCAATTACCACAGAAATTAAAATAAACAGAGATACTCCAACAACCAAATAAAGAGGGCCAAAAAAAGCAGAAGTTCAGAGTTCATGGTGACCCACAACAGAGACTTGGGGTCCTCATCGTAAACCAAAAACCCTTTTTTTGTGTGTGTGTCCCCAGAAGGAAAAGAGCATTCTTTCGAGTTCTCAAAAAAAAAAAAAGGGGGGGAACTGATGGAAAGGATAAACAGAGTTAGAGAGAGAGAGAGGGAGAGAAACCCAAAGAAAATCAAGGGAAAAGGCATAGAAGTGCATCATCGTCTAGAAGAAAGAATGAAAGAATGGAGAGAGAAGTCACCGACCTTCATTTGCTTGATGAGGTTCCCAAACGCACCCTGCGATCAGATTCTGGAAAAAAAGAAAGAGTAAAGGCAGAGAATGCAAGTAAGTATTGGCGCAACTCTACAAACATCAACAATCCAACAATCAACAACAAGACAGAGAGACTGAGAGAGAGAGAGAAGTAAAAGACCAAAACCAAAGAAGCAGAAGGGTGATGGGGGTTCAAGAAGACGAAAAGGACAGAGGTGATTGTACCTTATACAAACAAAAAGCACAGAAATTTACAGCCCACCTCTCTCTCTCTCTCTCTCTCTCTATGGAGTTGTATATATATAGAGAGAGAGAGTATAGAGAGAGAAGCGTAGATTGAAAATGAGCGCCCCGCGAATATGACCTCACCTCACCCCACCTCACCTGCCCTCACTGGCAAGAAAACCCAATACGGCAATAACATTACCAAATACCAATTACCGATTACCATTACCGATTTACCATTACCATTTATGCATAATGCATATATGGAATTTCTGATTGTGCTACTAACTAAATTCACTCCCTCACGGCTGCCTTAATTCATTCCGTTTTGAGACCCCCACCCCACCCCACCCGTCTCTGACCCTGACCGACACCCCTCCAGCCCGGACCACTTTACTTTACCTTTCACAGGTGAGGAGAGGAGAGGAAGGAGAGGACTGAGCGATCATTTGGACGTCAACGAGAGACGACACCTCACCAATTGTGCATGCATTTGAATTTCGGTGCGCGCTCTCTCTCTCTCTCTCTCTCCTAAGCACTAAACTCAATTGAGTTCAAGCGTTCCTCTTCATGCCTGACATATTTTTAAGATAATACTCCATCCTTCTGCATTTTCTTGTTTCATTTCTATTCTGTTTTTTTTTTTTTTAAAAAATTTATACTTCTCTTTCCCAGAATAAACTTTCTATTTTAATATATTAGAATCAATTTTTTTTTGTTTATCTTTTTTTTTAGAAAAAATAAATTTATCTAATAAAAGATTTACTTTTGAACCAAAAAAAAATATTTTTAATTGTATTTAAAATTCAAAATTTTATTACTTAATTATTTTAATTTGTATTTACATTTTACTATAATTATTTTGCTAATATAACTTTTTCAGTATTTATTATTATATCATTTCTAAAATATTAAAATTCTATATCTATGGTGAATTTTTCTCTCTCATGAATGGCTCTTCTCGAGTTAATTTTCGTTTAATAAATTATGTATAATGATATACTTTTTACTTTATGCAAAATTAAAAAATATTTTATTATTGATATATTATTAGGTTTACAATAATTAAAAATTATATTTTCAATGAACAAATTAAAATAATAAAAAGACAATACTGTTTATACTTTCATCAATTTTTTTTTTCACTTGAATTTGTATTTGAAATACTTTAATTTTACTTTAATTGATTATGTCTCACAATAATTTGTATTTTTCAAAAATTTAAATATATTTAATAAATATAAAATAACTTAATTAGCTGTATACCCTATAATATATTGGCTCCGTCCAATTTAAAAAGTATTATTTTTACATATTTCATCCCTCCCACCTCAAAGTATTTTTTTTTATTTTAAAAAAAAATAATAATGCATTAATACTAAAATACTTTGAATTTTTTCTTAAATTTCACGTACAATAACTTTGAAAGTCAAATAACAAAATGTTAAAAAATAACTTTTGAAATTAAAAAATAATAATATTTTACTCCCTTGTTTCATAAAAAGATGTTTTATTGAAAGTGGACACATAAATTAAAAACTATACCCTTGTTTTGAATGATTTTAAAGTAAAATATAAAAGACTAAAATACTTGCTTTTTTAATTATTTTAAAAAACAGATTAGAGTAATATAATTTGAAAAAATAGAAATTATTTTTGTTATACAATGAGGACTACGATTACTGAATAATGAAACAAGACAATTGTTTTGACGGACAAAAATAAAAAAATAAAATAATTCTATTAGAACGGAAAGAATATTTTGACATTTTTACGGCAAATCAAAATAATGAAAAAGTATTTTCGGTTGGCACAGACGAAGTATATTTTTTATTATCACTAAAATATGTCCATGCATATTTAAAATATTTTTAATATCACAGAAAAACAGCAATATTTTAAGATGGAATAATAACGAGTAGTATATTGGGAGCCGAATTGGAATATGCACCAAAGCTTTTTATCATCTTCTGCCCGGTGCAGATATTATATATATATATATATATTTATAGAAAGAGAGGATAGAGTTTTCCGTCCGTCCTTTCCTACTCCCTTTCTTCTATTCTACTCGCCACCCGGCGCGTTTCATGACGCGCGGCAGTTTCTTCCATTCTTCCTGTGAAAGTGAACCCTAGTTTCCGTAATTTTGAAAAGAAATTGTGCGGGATTAGATGATCCCTCCCAATCCCAATCCCAATTCTGGACACCGTCTTGTGTGTTTGTCCCTATTTTGAGTCGGGGAGGGTTGCGGGAATATGGACCAGAACGACAACCCATTGCAGCTGTCCATCTTCCGGCCGCTGCCTTTCTCCGGCGGCTGCTTGGAAGTTCGCCTATTCTACGTCCGCATCGTGCCTTGCGCGCTGGACAGCCCCCCGGACCACCTCATTCTGCGCCATCTCCGCCGCGAGTTTGGGGTATTCCTGGAAGTCAATGGCGCGCGCATCCCCTCATCCGACGCCGTTTCGATTTCCCTTCGCCGGGATCGCGTCGATAAGGATTCCTCCGAGGTCACTTACGTTGCCACGGACAGCGTTAAAATCTGGGGCCCTCTGGAATTCGAGGTGCTCCATGATTCGACTTTGATTCTCTGCGGTTCGCTGCAGAGGGCTGCGGCTGCGGCTGCGGCAGCGGCAGCTGCATGGACTAATGGGAGTGCCGGTTCTGACACTGGGTGGGATATGGATTGCTACGCGGCAATGGCAAACCGCCCGTCCTCCTCCGCGACAGGAATCTCTTCTTCTTCTCCTCCTCCCCCCTCCATTGAGGTTTACGTTGCCGGGTGTTGCTCCGGAATGCCGGTGATTCTGACGAAGACGGTTTTACTCAGTCCGCGAAGGAAGGTATCGAGCCAGGCCCAGGGGATGCTGCTGGATGCGATACCAGAGGACGAGGAGATGATGGGAAATGGATTGATTCGTCAACGGAAATTGCAGGTATCATTTATTTATATATTATGTGCGTGCGATCGCTTTCCATGAATCCTTCCTCCTACAACAGCCGAAAGAAGGGCTGCATTTCGTTCATTGTTCTGCATACTTGTTGGTGGTTGTAAAGTAGTAATGCGGAATAGGAACTTGCAGTTGCGTTGAGTTTCAATTGCATTGCATTCCACCAGACTGCAACAAGATCATCATCAAAATTATTTATTTGCACATACGTGAGCTATTGGGATTTACATATTTGCTTTCAGAAGAATAAGCATTATCAGCAGGCGTTGTGGTTGCTAGTTAGTTGTGCAATTATACCGAAACTCAATTGTATTGTATTGTATTAAATGTTGCAGTATGCACTCTCTTTGGTGGATGGTGTGCTTTTGGGATTAGGATGAAATTTGGTTAGGTCAATGTATGTCTTTATTATTTTCCCATCCCATCCCATGCTAAAACAACTTACTCATGCATCTGATGAGCAGCATCTAGCATTATAAGCTAACGGGTACCTTGTGCAGCTGGTGGAGGCAGATGTGGAAGATGATGAAGAATCAGTAGATGGGAAGTATCTGCTCTCATATTACTCTGAAGATGGTGAGCTCTCATGGTTCAATGCTGGTGTGCGGGTTGGCGTAGGGATAGGACTGGGGATGTGCCTTGGTGTTGGAATTGGTGTCGGTCTGCTCATGCGCTCATATCAAGCTACAACTAGGAGTTTCAGGAGGAGATTTTTCTAGTTCTCGACCATGAATGAGCGGATGGTGGTGCACGCACAATGGTTCCAGTGGAGGTGTGCTTGTGCTTCCTTTCAGGGGGGGCAGCTGAAGAAGCAACAAACACTCCATATGTCATGTTTAAGTTGTTGCTCTGTGCTGCGAACATCTTGCATATTGTGCTGTGCAACTGAGGAAGCAGTGGCAGGAGGAAGGAGAGAATGGATTGGTTTCAGGATCATCATCATGTATCTCTCATCTTCTGGGTAACCATCCTTCATCTAGGATGAAGTTGTTGAATGTCTGACGCGGTGCTGTGCTGATCTTTCTTGGCACAAGTAACACTACTACATAGTTGGTGATTAAAGTGGGTTTTGGTTGTTTAGAGAGAGAGAGAGAGCGAGCGGCAGTCATGATCATGATAATGAATTAGACCTTCTGGCTGTATTAGTATATTTGGTTGGTGGGGATTATTCCAATTCCACTCCCCAATTTCTGTTGCGGTTGGGAGGGAGATCTTATGAAGGAAGGAATGTGTGTGTCTCCTCCATCCATTTTCTTTCTGTGCATGAAATGTGTCTCCATCTCCATTGCCTGAGAAAGGCAAGGCAGTCAGTTATGTGCAGCAGCCATTATAATCACCCACACTTCCATCCATCCATTATTTATTTATTTGTTTTAATCATACCTCTCAACTACCCTACCCTACCCTACCCTACCCTGAGTTTTATCCCTGCCTTGTCTTCTCACAATATGCATGCATCATGGGTCATTAGAACGCTTAATAGATTCCTACGTAGTTTTAGTTTGATTGCGGTCATAATGAGTCTTGTGTTTGTGACTTGTGAGTACTAATATAAATATCATTATCAGATGTGTCTCTGATCGATCTTCTGCCAGGGAATCATGAAGTTCGTGTGCATAGTAAGCTCTACACAGAGGACACATCCCACCCGAAGAAAAGAAGATATGAAAAATAAACAAAATCAACAAAGAGGGCGAAAATGTGGAAAAGCAGAAAGACACGAATGCATTCATTCATTCATATCCACGGCGGTCCAGTTAATTCGGGATGCACTTATGTGTTCTCCAGCAATCCGTCTCATCTACTCAAGAACATATACAGAAGTTTAGTCACGAGACAGATACTATGTATGTATGTATGTATGTATATTCCCTCGACAGCAATGGCATTTTGCACGGTAGATCAAGATCGGGGCGGTGGTTTCACTGGCGTTTCACTGGCACTGAGTAACTTCGCTGTCCATTTTCATCTGTATTGGAAACCCAAGTCCACCTCATGACCATACACCCCTTGGCTAGGATCGGGGCGAAAAGGGTGCCTTTGATTTGATTTTGCTCGGAGCTCCATCTCCATAAGCCTTTGAAAGGCTTCGGGGGGATTGCCTGAAAGAGTATATCCACACAGATCCGGTTAGTTAATTCGATTTTAGTAGCTTTCATTTCAATGTAGCCTTTCTCTATCATTATGAAATTTCTAATTTGTGAGTTTGCCAGGAATTAAATTATAATAAAAAGGCCGCACCAGCAGATTTAAGCAGTCCCAACCAGTCATGCTCAAGAGGACAATAGAATTATAATTAATTATAAGAGGCTTTCTAGGAAACCCCCAATGGCCTATGGGACAATATCTGGAGTGGGAGACTTTGGGAGGAAGAACATAATAGTGATCAACAAAAATTGGAAACTGCATATCCCAGAAAGCCAAGGCTAACAACACAGTCCACATCACATTTAACCAAGCAAACAAGCAGCCACAACCTTTTTAGTTGACTACCGTGACACAGCAAAGAGCAGTCGGTAAGCGACCATAGTCATTGTAAGCTGATTTGAAAAGAGTTGCAGATATTACTTGTTTCCTTGGAGATTATCGTTGACCACATAAAGTTATAAGGGTTAAAAGAGCATTGTTTTTTACCAGGCATTAGAATCCCCCGGCTGCCAGTGTTAGGCTGGTGCTGTGGCCCAAAAGGGAAACCTTGCATTTGGTTCACTTCCTGGATAAAGCCATTCGCTTGGTTGATGTGATGAGGGACGGGGCCTCCCCTTGGAAAGTCCGTTAACATATGTGGTGGAGGATGGACAGGCATTTGCATCTGATGTATCACTGACTGTTGAGAAAGAACATCATATCCAGGAATCCCCACATTTGGGCGCTGAAATGGAGGCCGGGGCATACTTGAAGAAAATTGCTGAATAGGGAGAGACTCATGATTGAAAATACCCTCTGGACTGAACATATTCATCTGCGAGCTCAGTTGAGAAGGGTGAGGTTCCAAGTGAGGATACAATGGACCTACTTGAGTCATTTGTGGAGGCTGAAACAATGATGATGATTGCTGCAACTGAAGATTTTCAGGCGGTTCTATTTGGTTGTAAGAATCAAGCGTCAATGGAAGAGTATCTGAACCTCCCATTCTCCAATTGTCCTTAACAGAAACTAGAGCTGCCAGTTTCTCAGCTATGTTGACAGGTGTATCCGAAGAGACTTGTGAAGCATTGATTAAATTACCAGCTGGCACCTGAGAAACATTGATGTTACTTAAAGAAATCAGGTTGTCCTCTTTAGGCGGTTGAAAATCATCAAAAATTTCAGATCGACCATGTCTAGGTACTGCTACGGTATTAACGCTTGGTGGAGAAATCCCAAGCCAGTTATCAGCCTCATTCAGCTTTATGTTTTTTCTATCGTTTAAAGGCATACTATGGTCATAATCTGACTTTTGAAGCCCACTTCTATCAGTTGGAAAAGAAATGCCATCATCTGATATAGGAAATGCAAGTCCAAGAGACTCTGATGCATCCCCTCGTGGAGAATCACTTGAATCCCTTTTCACAGAAACAGGCGCTTCAACTGATTGCAGCTCCTTCATAAAAGCAGTTCCAAAAAGAGTTTCAAGAGTGAGTGTCTTTCCCAAGTTATGTGAAAATTGAATACCCTCATGTCCTTTAGGCTCGTTAACTGCTGCTGCTGCTGCCATGTCATGTTCACCAAGAACTAGCCCTTTATCAGCTGAATTTGTCTCAATACCAGAATTTATGACCAGGTTTCCATGGCTCGTGTTCTTCTGCAACATAGAGAGAAGGCGTAGAGAAGCATGATCATCAACATGTGTACTTGGTTGTTCCATATAAGCACCAGTAGAGCTCCTACTTTCAAAATTGGACTGCAGTTTTGTAGTATTTGAACTGTATTCTGATAAAAGTGATTGTTCAAGGTCTTCACATGTAAGTACAGATGGAAAGGGCTCAGCCTTTTTGTTAGCGGATATTTGGTCAGGTTCCTCATCAGCTGCAATAGTAACCCCAGTTCAGTCTTTTTAGTTTAAAACTCATGTAGAAGAATCATGTATAAGAGCTCAGCTGCAACAGCAGCGGCTTGATACTTGCCTTTATCACTGCAAGCTATTAATGATAGCAGGTCATTTGGCCTTGCAGAAGAAATGTCATTAGACCCCTTTGGTTCTGCAACAATTTGACCATAGATAATTAGAACCATACAAGAATGCAGCACACTCTCAGATGATATTCATACAGAAGAACAAAATCATACCCTCCTCAGAAAACCATTGAGCAAACTTTGATGATTGAGCAGGACTAGGGAACCATGGATCTTTGGGTTTACCGTCAAGAGTCTGGATGAAGTACAATCCAAATACATAAGTATGAACCAACACACATCATTCAAATCAGAGAGAAAATAACAGGGAAACTCTAAATAGGACAAGAAAAACCAAGCAGCAGAGAAAATCATATGCCACCCAAACAACTAAAATAAGCAACCACTTCAAGATAATGCAACCCTCAGATAATCAGTGAGTCCTAAAAAGAAAGGTTGATTCTCATAATGAGTGGCCAAAAAAGAGATCAAATGGGCATGGCAAAGGTGCCACAACCGAACTAGTATAAAAAAAACACTTTTCGCCTAGCTGTTTAGATTACAGTCAAAATCCATTATCCACTATGTCAATAAATCCTAGATGTAGGTTACTGTGGATTGAAAAAATCTACCAAGTTCCTCGAGCAGTTTTTCTAAAGTATGATATTGTATGTTTAAATTTACAACTAGATACTTCCATAGAATTTTGCGGATGCACATATTTTGAGAAAAAAAGTAGTCTAAAAGGATACCTGGCGAGAGAGGAAAGAAACAATAAATGCACATAAGATAGTAGTACTTGCCTCAGCTAAGCTAAATTTGTCATCATGAAATGACAGCGTGCTGCCAAAAATATTTTCCAAAATTGAAGTTGAACTTTTGTTTGCAACAGTTTTATCCTCCAATAACCCAGCATTGAGTTTGGGAATTCCAGAGTCATTGTGGGTAGCAAGAGAATCCAAATGACCCGAAAGTTGGCCTGATTGATCTTCCATATAAGGTATCTTGTTGGGCTCATCAAAACTACCATAAAAATTTGCAATTTTTCCTTTGTTCAAAAGGAGAGCGTGATGTGTCTTTTCTGCAGGCTGCCCCTCAACTAAGCCTATCTCTTGAGATAGCTGTTTCTCTAAAACACCAGTGGCATTTTGGACGACATTTCCTAATACAAATCCAAGACCATCCCCAGCTACAGTTTTGCCCAAGGATTCCACCTGTAAGAGCAAAAAATATACACATTCAAAAAACACCATAGTATGGATCTGTCTATGAAGTATAATTATAATCCATTTTACCATTCTTCATATTACAAATTCAATCAAAGAGAAAGCTACATAGAAATCACAAACCTCAGTCAAAGTAGGATAAATTTGAGACTTCAACGCGGAACTCTTCTCAAGAGAATTACTTTTAAAACCAGGTGGAACAAGTGGTCTCAATGCAGGAGACTGTGAAGTAGAAGAAGGTTTCTCTGAATCAGTGGTTGACATGGAAGTTGCAGCAGAAGCTATCAATTCATTGTTCCTGATAAGAAGTCCCTTTTCCTCTTTACTATCCATGACCATCTCATACAAGTCTGAGAGAACACCAGCTTTGTGCTTGTCCAAAGTTAATTTCTGCTTCTCTTGGAGTGATCGTTGCTGTTCCTTTCTCATAACCTCAAAAGAAGCTGAAAACAAGTTACAGTTAACACAAGAAGCATAACAAAACTGAAGAAATGTGATTATTGTACAAAAAATTTAATACCTCTCCTCCTCTTCTCCTCCTCAGCTCTATCTGTGCTAGTAGAGTCTACGGAACCAAACGTTTCATCATTATAGGAGTCAGTATCTCTTCTTGAATGAGGTACCGCCTGAAAAGTTACAAACTACATTAGAAGCATTAAACAAATCACATAAATTTCATTATTGGCAAATATAGGATTGGAGCTCATAATAAGATTGAAATCAAGCATCATATATGGTTAAAAAGCAATAGCACAAAATGCATTATAAGATCACAAAATAAAATAAAACCTCCCTAAAACAAAGAAGAAGAAGAAGATTGGGAGCTCGGAGCTTCCTCAAAAAAACTATAATTGTTAATTAACCTTGAAAGGCCGTGGAGGATGATAGGGTTCATTGCTTCGGCTCAGTTGATTGTGCTCATTGGTTTGCAGCTTTGGACCAGTGATACCAGTAGAATATCCAGATGGTCTGGAAAATGACCCACTTCCAAGAAGCCCATCATGTTCAGGACTCTGCCAAGATCGTCTTGTCTGATGGCTGAGTCGCCTTCCAGAATCTATAGGATAATCATTTAGAAGTATAAATATTATGCACGTGTCAAAATCTTGATATAAAAACTACCAAAGTAGATATTCGCACATTCAACAGATCACAAGGACATTGTATCGCATATCCAATATAGTTCAAAGAAAAAGAATATGTATTGCTACAAGACACTTGAGATAAACCAGCAAAGCACAGGTTGGTTTTTCCCTCCTGAAAAAATGGGAGTGATTTATGTAGCATGAATGCCAAGCTGAAGGCATCTAATGTAACTCAAGATCAAGCCTCATCTGAATAAAGGATTCGCAAGCGATCATCATAAAGGATTATGGTTTGTTTCAAATAATGAAATCCAGTTTAAACTTTTGAGGAAAATATTGTGGCCGCAAAACAGCAACAGGCATAAGCATGGTTGTGTGTGCATTATGCGTATGAAAAAACTGAGATACAGAACCAGAATTGTCAGACTGAGAGTCACTATCCCGCTCGCTCTGACCAGATGATCGGTTTTCCCATTTCCCATACGTGCCCCTAGAATAACTACCAGCATCTGATCGAGTAGGAGGGGATGAACCATAATCATTTCTTCTGAAACCTTGAAGAGGGAAGCTCCCAGGAAATCTTGGCCGATCAGTTATTCTTTGAGAGGCATCCTCAAATTCACTGTCTCAAGTCCACCAGATATACAATCAAAACATAGGGTAGGCTTCGGATCAAAAAAAAAAAAAGAAAAAACATAGGGTAGGCTTATAAATGCAAGACCATGTGATCGTTAATGCTTTCATGTTTTGGCAACAATCATGCACAGAGCTGCAGAGAATCTAGTTTGTTTTGGTTACCTTATCAGTGACTCATCAAACCCACTAGGCAACTTCTTGCAGATATCCAAACTGCTCAAAGACAGCAAAAATACTCTGGAATAGCAGATTTTCTTCTTCCTGTAGTATCCAAACAACCCATTTAGGTACGGACCATAAACACACCTATAATCTATAACACTATAAAGTGCTCATTTGAGAAAAATAAAGGGTTCTTACAACAAAACTTCATCGGAATTGTCAGAACCGTTGTCCAGGGACCTTGGATCTTCATCTTCGAAGCTCATTATGAAATTTCCAATGATAGTTACAGGGAAACGAACGCAAATTTCGCCAATTCCACAAGACTTAACCCAGCCTTCTATGTAGGATACAAACGAAATAATTCCACAAACTCGGGTGGAAATCTCCAAAATTCCTGGCTTTCCAAATTACAAAGCTTAATGTGGCGAGCTCGCGCGGATTGCATACAAACTCTAACTCATCTCCAAATGAAAAAGTAAAATTGCAGAACTTGATTGTGCTAAATCAAATCAAAACCAAAGTCGTAACCCTCCAGGCTAGAAGAGAAACAGGGTTAGGATCAATCACACCTCTTTTTCTTGTTATAATTGCGAAAAATACTAAAGCCCCAGATACCCGAGCAAGCTTCACCCCCTGGGTTCCTTGAGAACCTAATGTACACAAAACCAGAACCTAAGCGCTTCCACCACACATGGGTCGAGAAAGAGAGACGAAGAAAGGCAAAATTAGGGTTCAAGATGCCCGCACTCGTGTAGTACTCCGATCGTCCGATCAAAATGGGGGGGAAAACATGATCGGGTGGCTCCAGGCACGTATATGCAGAGATACCAAGAAGAAGAAGTGAGAGTTGTGTAGCCCGTAAGCATAGAACAGAAGGCCGTATTACAACAGAGCACGTCTATCTAGAATCACGAATCAACAGCTAGCTAGCTCTCTTCTTATATGTATGTATGCGGGTGCGGGTGCGGGTGCATATATTTTTTGGGTTTGTTTGGTTGAAGGGAACGGGAAGGAAGATGCAGCAAGACAACAAGTGATGTGAATAACCATAATAATTAGTAGTAGTAGTAATTATAAGAGTAATAATGATAAATAAGGGAAGGGAAGGGTGAAGGGACTGAGTCTGTCTGACTGACTAAACTGGCTGTTGGCTGCTGCTGTACAACTTCAGCACTATTCCGAAAACGCGATTTTACGTTGCACGCAGAATCAAATCGAAGTCGCACTTTATTGGACATGTGTCGCGCTTTTCAGCAGTGATTAATGAACGAATGATTTGATTAGCAGCTGCAATGCAATGGTAGTCGTTGGCGTTACTTGACGACAAGGAGGAAGAAAGGAAGGAACGAGGGACTCTGAGCCTGATGATGGACAAGGTGTGTCAGTCTGTGCCTCACTGACCTAACCTAACCCACCCCTTAATTTGAAGTTACAGTTTCACCAGATCGATGCGATGTGAGAGATGTTCTTCCTCCTTCACTTAAACATATGATTGATTGATTGATTGATTATTACTACTATTATTAACTTGTCCTTGCCCTGCCCTGCCCTGCCCTGCCCTTTAATTGATGATCACTTTCTCCTCCAACACCAACCTTGTTTTTCCATTTAACCTCTTCCTCCTTTCTCTCCTCTCCTCCGCAGACAGACAGACAGACGCAGGTAGGTACACCTTATTTTTCAAGATTTCAATCATAAATCCTTCCTCGCTGCTAAGTTAGAAGAATCCTTTTTATTTGATCTTCTTCAATTGCTTCTTCATCCTTGATTTTTGGCTATATTTTCCCTCCCCAGATTGTGCTCAACTTTGCTTGCTTCTTATCTCCTACAACATTTGTCCCGAGGCCCAGGATTAATTTCAAAATGCGCGTAATTCGAATATCTAGCTCGACACTCCACCGATTTACTTATTCCCTGAAATCTGCACCTACAGTTGACATAAGGCCAACTTTCACATGTACAACCAGCAGATTCCATCACTCTACAGAATCGCCGTATGTGCAGAGCTCCCTTGTTACTCACTATTCCACTGGGGCTCGCTATGAATCGAATTTTGCGAATAAGCTGTTGGGGAACTCAGGATTTCCCAGGTTTTCTCTTCTTGGAATCGACCCTGTGGTTCATCGCCGCTTCTTTTCATCTGCTAGCGAATCCAAAGGCAACGCTGCTCAAGTCTCAGAGATTATAGCCGAGTCCAGTGCACGTGGTACTAGTGCTAATGTGACTGATGGTGGTGTTGGAGGGGATAACTGGGTCCTGAAATTTAAGCAACTCTGGCAATCTACCGTTGGGGCTCTCAAGTACACAGAAGAGAAGGCCAAAGAGGTGTCTAATGAAGTGGCACCTCATCTTCAACAATGGCTTGACGGCCATCCATATCTTAAAGATGTAATTGTCCCAGTAGGTGGTACATTGATGGCAGCATTGTTGGCATGGTCTTTGTTGCCGAGACTATTTAGGAAGTTCCATAAATACTCAGTGGAAGGCCCGGGTGCTTTGTTATCCAGGAGCTCATTGTGGGGACCTGCTCCTTATGAGAACAGTTTCTGGGGTGCATTGGAGGTTCCAGTTCGATATTTTATAACCCTCATGGCAATCTTGGAAATGTTAGTTTTCATTTGTGTTGACTTGCTTTTGATATGGTGGGGCTTATTTGAGTATATAGGAACCTCCTGTTTGATTTTGTTGTTACCTTGTGCAGTGGTGAAATGGTTGCACCAAATGTAGTTGCTTCACAATATGGTGCTCAGGCATGGAGGGGTGCTCTTGTAGTTTCACTTCTCTGGTTTCTGAATCGGTGGAAAACAAATCTCATTGCCCGAGCTTTGGCTGCTAAAAGCATTGAACGGATCCAGAGAGATAAGTTGCGAACTTTGGATAGAATATCATCAGTTGGACTTTTTGTCATTGGGACAATGGCATTAGCTGAGGCATGTGGAGTTGCAGTGCAGTCGATTCTGACTGTTGGAGGTGTAGGAGGTTAGTGTTTGTGGAAATAATGTTACCACACTAAGGTATTAATTTTTTTGTTTAGATGTGGGCATGCAATTTTCTGAAAATTTTGAGATTCGGTAAAATCTAAATCCAAGGGTACCTCTTTGATAGTTTCTGGGACCAAAAATGTAAGTGGAACTACCAAGCGCCAGAAAATGATTTAAGCATTTTTAGATTTCTTTGGTGTAGATTAATACCTCCTGCTGATTTATGATTGAAAACAAAGTATATATAATTGGCTAGGAAACTGTTTTCCTTGTTCACTGGTACTGGTGGAAATTTTAGTTGTCTTAACTGTTTTCATTGGCGTTAGAGATTTCTGTGATCACAGTCTCTTCAACCTCACAGGAGTTGCCACTGCTTTTGCGGCTCGTGACATACTTGGAAATGTTCTTAGTGGTTTGTCTGTTCAGATTGCACAGCCATTTTCAGTTGGTGACACGATCAAAGTATGTATTTGGTTATATTAGGCTCTGCTTTTAGATAGATTGGTGCATGGTGATCTTTAATGCTCTTTGATTTTTGCTGTAGTGTAATGTTCATCCATTGTGCTATTCTGACTTACATATGCAGTGTGCTAGTTTAAGGAAGAAACAAAATATTAATGCTTCTTTCGGCATGTTTGTATGTCTTCAATTAGTGTCCTGATGGTGCTTGAACAATCCAAATGTGTTCTTGGTATAGCTAAGAATGCTTGCATGATGTAGTATCTCCATAAAACTTAAATAAGAAGAAATTTGAAATGTTATATAAATAAAAATAAGTGTCTTTTAGTGAGGTGGCTGGTAAAACCTGAAAAAGAACTGTAATGAAATTTGAGGCTATGAAAACTTTCTTCCTTGGGATGAATGTCTGTAGGTTACCACTTAGCCATAGACGGTAGCATTGTAGTTTCATATGCTTGCTCTCATTAGCTAACTGTTCTTTACCATCTCTTTTCCCTGATTCTTCTCCTTTGTTGCAGGCTGGGTCTGTAGAAGGCCAAGTGGTGGAAATGGGTCTGACAACTACATCATTGCTGACTTCAGAAAAATTTCCCGTCATTGTCCCAAATTCTTTGTTTTCCAGCCAGGCATGGATAATATTAACTCAAGTTTCTAATTAGAGTCCTTTATGTGTTTCGGTATTTTTGTTTCTATTTCTTGCATGAGCACCTTCACCCCAAATAGGCTAATACTTGGAAATCCTGGGTGCTGCTGCCCTCTGTTAGTATCAGCTCTGATAGATTGAACAAAATAGCATCTGGACTTAGTAAATCAATTTACAAGCATGGGCAGCTGAATATTGATGACGTTATGAAGTGATTAAAGGCGTGTGTCTCCTGTGATCTGTAGATTATTGTGAATAAATCGAGGGCCAAATGGCATGTGTTGGTCAAGAAGATCCCTTTGCAAGTAGATGATATAGACAAGATTTCCCAAATAACAGAGGATATTAAGTCCATGCTCAGATCTAATTCAAATGTATTCTTGGAAATGGAGGCCCCTTATTGTTACCTTTCTCAGATTGAAAGGTCGTACGCTGAGCTCACAATTGGATGCAACCTGAAGCAAAAGGTATGTCTTTTGGTTTTGTCGCCATCTCTTATCTGATGGTGTTGTGGTGTTTAATAGTTGCAATATGCATTCCGTTGTTTATTTAATTTTGGAGCTAATTACTGTTGTTATCTTGTTTTCTTCACCGTGGATGTATGAAGAATGTGGAAGCAGAAGAAGATGTTCTTCTAGAGGCGATTAGGATCATCAAACAACATGGCACTCAGCTGGGTAGACGACATGAAGACTCCATGAGTTGACATGGACAGGAAGAGTTGTAGTGTTTTTTGAGGTTAGATTTTTACCTTTAGCAGCACCACAGGTTTACATGAGGAGATACAAAATGCGACAATGCAGACTGGTAGTGGTAGTTTGTTTGCTGGAAATAGAAAGAAATCTTTGGAAGCATTATCTTTGTTTGTTTGTTTGTTTTGGAAGTGAGATACTTGAGATTTGTGGTGTTGAAATGAAATTCATCAGGCAGGCAGGCAGGCAGGCAGACAGACACATTGTGAAAGAGCGCCTAGCCTGATGGTATGGTTTTATCATCTGTCCTGGCTTTTCTCTTCCATTACTTGATTGTTACTGTGGGCATGGAGAGAGTGAGAGTACACATAATAACACAAGTAACTGTAGTTTGTTAGGAATGGAACAGAACCTAGAGACAGAGACAGAGACAGAGACAGAGACAGAGAAGCTCTCGTGAGTGAGTGAGTGAGTTCATTCAATTCATTCATTCATTCAATTCATTCAAATTCATTCAATTCATTCATTCATTCCATTCATTCAATGGGTCTGTGTGTTTGTGACAAATGGGAAAAGGGCTTCGATTAGGATTAAGATATTATTCTTCAGCACGCCCCGCCCCTCCCCTCCGTCCAAATCCAATCCCCTGGCTCTGCTGTCTTGGTGGTTTATTATTATTATTATTATTAATAATGTAGTGTAAATTTTGTAATGTTGTGGCGTGTAATATTCTTTTTCCGTACATACATAAATTCAGACCAAGTCCCCCCGTGACCAAACTAAAATATTCATCAGTCATATATCCCATGATACTTACAGAGGCAGAGGTGCCCACCCGTGATCTCTGGGAGAGAGAGTGAGAAAGTGAGTGGGGGCGGCGGCATTTGCAATAATGGACTTAGACTGGATTGGTTGGATGGATGGATGGAATGAAGATATATGTAGTGTAGTATGTACTGTACTGTACTACCACTAGTACGTGTGTCTGTAGTAGTATAATAATAATAATAATAATAATAATAATAATATAGTATGAGAGGACACGACACACCACAAGACAAGACAGGACAGGACAAGACGACATTCAACAAAGCCAAAGCCCCATCCCCATCCACTTATAACAACATTAATACTAGTAATTATTAAATTAAATCACTAGCTCACTAATCTCACACACTAATACATACATACATACATACATACACCCCCCTTCCTTCTTCCCACTTCCTCTAATGCTATTATTGTATTATCCCATGCGTACATATATACATTTCAACTTCCCTCCCAACAAATGCAAACCCAACCTGGACTATCCCAACCCTCCATCTATGCTCTGTTCTGTTGTTGCTTTGTGTGACCAGACCAGAGCCTCACCCTCACCCTCCCTCTCGTGTGTCCCCCACTCGACATTGAACACAGTTTAGTTACTTATCATGTATGACTAGAGAGTAGAGAGTAGAGAGAGAGAGAGAGCAGCGTCACTGTGGTGTGGTGGGGTGGGTGTGCTTATCTAATAGATTCTCTATAAATAATAATAATAATAACACCAGTAGCACTACTTGCTAATTGCTACTGCCAACGTTCAAAAACCGCATGTGACTGTGGATGCGGATGCGGGGCAGCTCCTTTTAGGTTTCACCAATCACCAACCCAACCCAATCTCACCACTACTACTGCTACTACTGCCTTAACTTATTTATGTTTCTCTTGTCAGCAGAGCAGATGATGATCAAGGCAATGGCGATGGCAATTCATCAGGTGCAGCAACTTGTGGGGGTGGGGGTGGGGGTGCTGCTGCTGCTGCTGCTGAATGCAGGAGGAGGAGGAGTTGAGTGCAGGAAAGGCCGTGTGTTGGAGTCCTTTGATTACTCTGCCATCAACTGCAGGGCTCACAGTGCTTCAATAGAGGAGTTCGGAGGAGTCGGCGATGGGGTCACCCTCAACACTCGAGCCTTTCAAGCAGCAGTCGATCACCTGAGCCGCTATGCCTCGGATGGCGGCGGCCAGCTGTTTGTCCCTCCTGGCAAATGGCTCACTGGTTCCTTCAATCTCACCAGCCATTTCACTCTCTACCTCCACAGGGATGCTGTCCTCCTTGCTTCCCAGGTACGTACGTTCTTCCTATACTACTGCTTTACTTTAATTACCACGCAGCAGAGGCAGAGGCTAATTATAGACACCCAAAATCTTAATGGTTGGTGACTTGACTTGTTGTTTCAGGATATTAACTCCTGGCCTGTTGTGGATCCCTTGCCCTCCTACGGCCATGGAAGGGATGCAGCAGGGGGTAGGTACATCAGTCTCATATTTGGAACCAATCTTACTGATGTTATTGTCACCGGTAAGTAAGTAAGAATAATAATGTGAAGGAATGAATGGCTACAGCCAAGTAATTGTGGGAGGGAATCTGTCTTTTGTTGGGGTTCAGGTGAGAATGGCACAGTTGATGGGCAGGGCGATGTGTGGTGGCAGCAATTCCACCGGAAGAAGCTGAAATACACCAGGCCTTACCTCATCGAAATAATGCACTCGGACAACATTCAGATATCCAATCTCACGTTTCTCAACTCTCCCTCCTGGAATGTCCATCCTGTCTACAGCAGGTCCTCATCAATCAATCTCTCCATCAATTCAATTCGCATCCACATGTCTGTCTCTGTCTCTCTTCTTGTTCAATATCAATCTCTCTCACTCTTTCTCTCAACTGTTGCAGCAACATAATCATTCAGGGTCTCACCATCCTAGCCCCTGTAACTTCTCCAAACACTGATGGGATCAATCCAGGTCAGCTCAGCTTTGTCCAACGTGACCATGTATGTCTCTCAAATTTCAATTGCAGACTAAATGGCTTGGCTTCGTGTTCCAGATTCTTGCACAAACACAAGAATTGAGGACAACTACATCGTGTCGGGGGATGACTGTGTGGCAGTGAAGAGCGGGTGGGATGAGTATGGGATCAGCTACGGCATGCCTACGAAACAACTAATCATCCGGCGCCTCACCTGCATCTCACCTTACAGTGCTGCCATAGCACTTGGGAGTGAGATGTCCGGCGGGATCCAAGACGTGAGGGCGCAGGACATAACCGCCCTCAACACCGAGTCGGGGGTGAGAATCAAGACGGGGGTAGGGAGGGGTGGCTATGTCAAGGACATATACGTCAAGGGCATGAATCTGCACACCATGAAATGGGTCTTCTGGATCACGGGGAACTACGGCTCCCACGCTGACAACCACTATGACCCGAATGCGCTCCCGGAGATTAAGGGGATTAACTACCGGGACATCATGGCAGAGAACGTGTCCATGGCAGCCCGGCTGGAGGGGATATCCGGCGACCCATTTACTGGCATTTGCATATCCAATGCAACGATAGGGATGGCCAGGAAGGCTAAAAAGTATCCGTGGAGTTGCAGTGAGGTGGAAGGGATCAGCAGTGGTGTGGTGCCGACGCCTTGCGGCCTATTGGCGAGCCAGGGAGAGGAGACTCAACCAACCATGTGCGATTTACCTTCGGACACCCCGCCTACGCCTATTGATTCGATACAGTTACAGAAATGCTCTTACAGGACGATGAACTACTTGTAACGGCCTTGTCATGTCATGTCATGTCATGTATTACTAGTGTTGTATGCAAGCAATTCTTGAGACAAGGAAATAGAAAGACAGCCACAGCCATGCATGTCCATATAAAACCTTAACAGTCAGTCAAATGAAGAGCAGATACAAAGCCTAAGAACAATATTGCTGCTGCATATCACTGATAACTATAAAGCTCTGCTACAAATTATTTCTCATTTCCATGGAATGGCATGACAGAACTTTTACGTGTGTGAGTCAAGAGAGTATAGGCACATAAGTTACACAAACACAAACACAGCCCTCAGTGAGTTGGGTCTGGATTGAATTTTACCGATTCCCTCCAGATAAGCTCCTTGATATTCTCCTCAGTAAGAGATTGCTGCTCAAAATCCACCACAAAAGGCTGGGGACAGACCGGCTCCTCGTTGATGTTGTGAAGCGGCGCCAAGTAGGGGTGGCAGAGAGCCTCATCAACTTAGAGTGAGATACATCAAAGCAAGCAGAAAGCAAAAGAAATGAAAATGTGAGACGAGGAAATGGAATTGCATGAAAAAACAAGTAACTAAAACTGAAAATAGGCTCAGGCTCATACCAGTGATACGCCTGCTAGGGTCGAAAACAAGCATTTTCTCTAGTAAATCCAGAGCTCCAGGGGAGGTGTTTGGAAATCTGGCAGAGAACTGCTGCCTCGGGTATTGGGGGAGCTGCCTAACGTATCTCCGAGCATTGTTACTTCTTAGAAACCCAAGACTGGCATCATCCGGGGACCCTATGAGCTGTTGAAAAAGAAAAAAACACAAAGGGGGGCGATGTGAGTGCTTGTAATATATCAAACACGGGAACGGATGCTGATACAACAGATAGTCAGTGGTCAATATACCTCAGTGATCAGCCTCAGCTGATGAACATAATCTTTGCCAGGAAATAGAGGCCTTCTTGTTAAGATCTCACCAAATATGCAACCTACAGGCCAGATATCGATTGCAGCAGTGTATTCCGAACAATTCAAGAGAAGTTCTGGGGCCCGATACCAACGAGTAACAACATACTCAGTCATAAAATCAGTCTCAGATGTTGTCCTTGCCAGCCCAAAGTCTCCGATTTTCAGGTCACAATTAGCATTAATAAGCAAATTGCTTGGTTTCAGATCACGGTGCAAGACATTGGCGGAGTGGACATACTTAAGTCCACGTAGGACTTGGTAAAGGAAGTACTGCAAAGTTTGCACAAAAGTTAACAGTGCTGTCTAACGCCCATAAAATCAATTTCAACAATGCAGATATAAATTTGGCTGCACGAGTGACCTTGTTACGTTCAAAACGGCCGTTTACCCTTTTAGTTCACCAACAGGAGAACTTCAATATCAAACATTGCTGTGATATATAGCAAACACTCCATCCAATACTTAGCAAAAAATAATGGAAGATCAGCAAACATTCCACATATTAGGGGCGTGGTATTTCCGTTAAAGCAGCTTTTGATTCTTTGAATATCATAATATTTGTTGTTCCAATTCAATTCATGCCTCAGTTTTTTGTTTTCTTGCTCCTAAAAGAAGGGATGGGAGGAGAAAGAGGGAGATATGGAAGCTAAATGATGATGCACAAGATATTCCACAAACTATCAATTGAAGAAAAATTCAGAATTAGATAAGAAACTTAGGCCAAACCCGACAATGGTCATTGGTCAGTGGTTGGTTGGACCGAATAATCTGATGAAGATCGGTGTCCATGAGTTCATAGACAATGTAGACATCATTGAAATTTTCTTTTTGGGGAGGTCGTATGATGTCTTTTATTGCAATCACCTGTTGCAGAAGAAAAATCTATTAGTTAAATTTCAGAAGATGCCTTTTGTAGGTTAGTATACAATCATCATCTTTCGTGCATGCAATCCTTCGACAAGCTTCCATTCGGTATTTTTTTCATTCATCACATTTGTAAAATCATATCATTCTGTCAACATCACACACACACACACATCAAAAGAAAATCCACAGCCAAGAGCTTGTCTCTACTGAACATATCAAAGAGAATTACATTATCATGATTCATGTGGCGCAGGAGTTTAATTTCCCGAAGTGTCCGCTTTGCATCAATTATATTGTCAAATGCATTGCCAATCTTCTTAATTGCCACTTCTTCCCGTGTCTCGGAGTTCACAGCAGCACTGAAACGAACAGAACCATTACTTGAAGTTAATGTTATGCAAATAAGATATCAAAGTAATTGAAAAAAAAAGGGAAATCCCATTTCAAGTTCTGTTGGATTCCCCATATTGAGGGCCTTCAAGGAACACACAAGTTGAAAAGGATTATATGTTATAATGATTCACCGGTACAGTGACTTGAAATGCAGTGAGAAAGTCTAAAATCCGTTGCTCATTAGTGCAAGGTCTAGTGGAACATTAACAAGCATGTATCTGGAACATAATTTCCAATGTGACTTTACGAGATATATGAACCTGTACTATATCTGAATGCATCTCTTCACATTCAACCAAACTAAATCACTACTCCAGAAGCAAGTTACACGTTGTACATGGGGAAACATTAAATGGTACTACTGTGACAGTGCATAGAGCCATCTTCTATATGAAATATACTAACTCATACAGCGACCAACGCCTCAAACTTTTACATAACATTGTGCGAGTGAAAATGTTTGTTTCACTCAAATCATATTTTATTATGCATTTCCTTTTCATTGTTATGTCTCCTACAATTCATACAAAAACTCCCCAATTACACGTAAAGCAGCAGAGAAGTCAAATAACTGATGAACTTTCAGAAAATGAAAGATCATCTAATCTCATATCCCTTGGATATGAATACATATTATGTTCACAAACTCATTTTATGGATTATGTTCTAAGCTAGACGTTAACACCTTTTGTATTACTAAACTAAAAAATATGGACTGAAGGGAGCTTCTTCATGACATTAGATCCTCACCAATACTGTTCCTTCTTACCAAGTTCGGCAAAGATACAGAACATGAGTTCATTTATTTATGATATAGGCAAATCTACAACCAGTTTTAAAATTTATAAACAAGCAAGCAAATCCAAAACAAGAGTACAAATTCCAGGAAATATTCCAAAAATCACTGATAATTACCAAACAATGCCAGAAGCTCCACGGCCTACGGGTCTGAGGGGGACATACTTTCTTGAAACTTCAAAGAGATTTCCATACACATTGTACTGAACATATCTTCCGCCATGAGTAGGAACCCCTTTGATGTGTCCCCCATGATCACCTGAACCAGAGCTTGATTCTGCGGACATAGCTAAACACACCTTCATAAGTCAAGAACAGAAAATACGAAGGTGAAATTTTTCCGGAGAACCCAGCTTGAAGAATGAATCTTTGATCAAGTTCTTGGATATGTTTGGGTGAGTATTAGGTGGCTGATAGCAAAATGTGAACTCTGTTATTTATTGCCCCTCTCTGCCTTCTGTGATGGGGTGGTGAGTAATTGCCTTTATCAAATTTCTCTTTATCTTTTCTGGGCTTCTTTCTCTCAATTTCTGGAGAGAAAATAGATTTTGCGTGAGAACTTTTGAACTGGAATGACTCAAGATTACCCGTGAAGAAAATAGACTTTAGTGAATCCATGAATCTGCAACCATACACCTGGTAAGAGGTTTGCTCTTTGAAGAAAGAACAAATTAATAAGGCTGCTCTGAATTTTAATGTATATAAATATATTATGCATATTCTAGGCTTTTCCTTTTTTAGCTGACATATAATCTCCTCATTAGAAGCCCTTTCTTTCCTTTTCTTTCTCCTACATTTCAAATGCTTTTTGTAATGTATCAATATTAAAAATTAGTCCAAGAAAAGCATACCTGGAGCTTTCTGTTCTAATTTTTAAGCCATTCCCATCAGTCAGAATTGGCTGCCTTAATTTGTTTTCCAACTACAACTCCATTTTTGTAGTTCAAAGGCCAAAATTTTAGATAATCTTCATGGAACCACCGAGCAAGAAAGGAGGCATCGGAAAAAACATGCTTGTAAGATAGGATGAACATATTCATGTAGCAAATATAAGCAAACAAGATTTATATTTCATCAACACTATTACTACATATGAGTTCAAACACATCAATCAACGCATATCACCACTGAACATACATTGCTACTTGAGCCTTATAACTACAATACACTTCCAAAGCAACACAGACCCACGTATTATTCACCTAATCGCTGGACCTAATTTTTTTTTTCTAGTTTCGACTTGGTCAGAGATGCTATCACCAATTCTGGTCCTAATGTTACCGAGCAAAGCATCCCGGCCTGTTAGAACAATTTGGAAGAACCTGTCCACCTCCTTTGCAAGCAGATCCAATCCTAGTGAAAGTTTGTCAGAAAACCTTCCCAAGTCAGATGCTGAGTTTTGCAGTATTTTAGCTTCAACAGGATCAACCCCATCCTGCACAATGGGATATAGCTTCTGGACACCTGTATCAACAGCTTCAAGCTCTTTCAGTACAGTCATCCTTCGACTAGAGTCTGTGTTCCTAATTTCAGTATTTACAAAAATCTGGAGATCACTAAAAGCTTTGGCCCACAAGTATGTCTCGGAAACCTTTAGGTCCATCAACTTCTCCGTGGAACCAGAAAATGCTGCAGCAAATACACTACAGATGAAAAGAGTAGCCACCTTAACACCATACATAGCTTGCATCAAAACCTTGCCCTTAGCCGAGTTCTTAATTTTTGGTAGCTCAAGCATTTGGGCAAGACCATCCATGACACAGAAGCAGTTATCAAGTCTTGGATTCTTTGAAGTAATATGCTGCCTCCATCCATCTAGCGACGACCGTGCACGCACAAACTGCTTTGAGGAGTCAGCACCCAAGTTATGCAAGGCACATTGAAGAAAAAGCTGGCCCTGTTTCATCCGAGAAATCTCCGAGCTGAACGAAATGCAGAGATCAAGCAACTTTACACTATTGTCTAAATACAGGTCAATCCACTTGTCATCCCAATCACAAACAGGGAATTCAAGGTCCGTGATCAAAGATTTTATGTCGCTATGAATTCCACATAGCAACTCCACTGCACATCTCATCCAAGATAAGCTGAGAATATCTTCCTTGGCTGCTGGCTTAAGCATTTTAATTCTACCTGCCAGTGTCTCCTCAAACTGATTCAACAGACGAAGAAGCTTTGGAGAAAGTTGTGAACCTTTCGGTGATATCATTCGGAAAGGGTTTCCAAATGGCAGAAAAGGCTTTTGTGGTTCTTTCGCACGGCTCATTTTCAATGCACTAATGTTCAAGAAGAAAGAAGACAAACAATATGAGATGACTGAAAAATAAAAATTTAATTTAAAAAGAAAAAAGAAAAAAAGAGCATGTAAGCCGCCATCCAAATGAACCACTACACTATGGCCACTTTAAGCCAATATTAAAAAAACTAACTAAATATGGAAATTGTTTACCAAGTTATTTCGTTTCAAATTGACCATTCACTAGAATTTACCAAATCTACCAACTAAACAACTCATGTTCACATTTCTAAGTGGAAGATAAATCAATATATAGATACTTTTGGCCACAATGTGATATCTCAAGTCTCATGGCTGTTTAATTGAGAACAAAGAAACAAAAACAAAGTGCCAATGACCCGTTACCAAATATATTATTTTTTAAGAATAAAAAGATGAAGACGAAGAAGGAGGAGAAAATGAAAGAAAAAATCCTCAATTATTCTATTAATAAAGCCAATATTTTTATTGACTCGTAACGTTCTCAGTCAATCAGTCAATTCTGCAGCGGATTGCTAGGGTTCTTAATCAGTCGAGCTCCACTCTGAATCAAACAAGCATACTAATATACAATGAACTGATGAATTGATGGGTTGGTACAAGGGAAAAAAGAATATGCAAATTTCAAACATATGAAAATTTATTTCACAATTTTCACTGATATCAAGAGTGCAGCTTGCAACACATCGACCAAACTCAACTGTAGTGAACATAATCATAGCAGAAGAAAAAAAATCCAAACTGCAAGATCATTCTTCAGTAACATCTATAAAAAAATCCCATCATATACACCATAGTAAAAAATGAAAGCACAAGCAAGCAAACATCACATGTCAAGGTTTAAAGGTAACAAACTTCATGTGCCACGATTAAGAAGCCAAAAGCTAGCATCGCTTATGTTTAAATGCTTAATAGAATAACATTCAATCGATCCAATTTTTCACCAATCATGAGATTCGGCAACCAAATAGTTGATTAAAAAAAAAATGTTCCAGTAAATTATACTAGAGTAATCCACAAACTTGTAATAAAAACTCCAGATCTACGCTGTTTGCAAGAGTCAACACAATAATTTCACAAATTACTTCAAAATTTTTCTAGAAAACACAAGTAGTACTTGAGATTTCTTTTGATCTAATCTTACAACCTGAGATAACAAGAGGAGACCCAGTACAGCTCGTTATGGAGTAGATTAACACATAGAAAAAGTCATAGCATACAAGATAAACTTCTTGGGCAAAAATAAAGCCAAAACTCATTAGATCCACGAAAAATAAACCGGTCAAAGGCTAAATTAACGCCGATCGTCTATGTAAAGCATAAACCCAGTAATATTACACCGAACAGCGGTAGAGCACAAGCATACATACATATATACACGCCCACAGAGACACAGAAACACGGGTGTACGTCCCACGGAGACCGAAAAGGAACTACCTGAAACAGTAGCTGGAGGCGCTCAGAGAAGCGATGGAGCAATTGCAGAAAAGTCTGAAGCAAAAAGGAAGGTAGGGTTTCTGGGAATCGTTGAACGTGTATATTGAATTGAGTAGTGGGAGTGGTGGGGGACACGTGGTCGAGTCTAATTGGAGAATAGTTGCTGCCTAGGGTGCAACTTCTGACGGGTGGGGAGGCATGTAGAGGATCAGAGTTGGCGAAATCTGACCGTTGATGTTAGAAATGAATGATGTCAAATTAAGGCGTGGCGTGGCGTGGCGTGTCGTGTCCGCTGGGGAAAATTAGGGGCCATTTGTTCGTTCGGTCGTCCGTTGCATGTATGGAGTGTGATAAATAAATAAAATTAGGGGACTTTCTCGTACGGATTAGGAAAAAAAGGATTTTTCATTCCACACTCATATCCTCGTCCATGCCTTGACCCTTCCTTACTCGCGAGTGTTCATTTTCTGTTTATCTTTGTATAAAATGAATGCAATCTGGGCTCAGATTTGGGCTCGGCTTGGTGAAGGAATCTATAGTTTTCATCTGGGCCCACGAGAGATTGACTCCTCCCCAGTCCTCTCTCTCTCTCTTGTAGTTAATTATCTTCTTTCTTTCTTTCTTGTTCTCGTCTCGTCTCGTCTCGTCTCGTGTATATTGTATTGTATTGTATGTAGAGTGGATGCAATAATTGATTGAATGATTTGTTGATAGATATTAGACACATTTTTGCGTGTGTGTTGTGACCTGGACCTGGACCTGGAAACTCCAACAAGTGGGTGTGGGTGTGGGTGGAATAAAAGTTTCCCAATCCAGATGGAATTCTTATCTCTATGTCTGTCTGTCTGTCTCTGTCTGTTTGTCTCAAACAAGACAAAGCCAACCATTCGTCCCTTGCTATACCCATTGGCCATTGCCATTGCCACTGCCGTTGCCAGCCCGAGAACACAAGGCAGGCAAGCATTATTGTCATGGAGAGGGAGGAAGGGAGGGAGGAGGAGCCTTAGATAATGCATCCAAGGCCCACTGCCAGCTAGTGATCACACCAGCTACACTACACTACACATTATGTGTGAGTTTGAGTTTGTGTTTGTGAGAGCGTATCCCTTCTTCTTCTTCTTCTTCTTCCTCTTCTTCTTTCCAAAATCCGGTAATTGACTAACAAACACGCCATGCCCATGTGGAAGCCCAGCTTGCCATGGAGCCAGCCAGCCAGCCACCATCACCATCTTAGTTCCATCCAATCCATACTGGTCCCCTTTATTATCATCCATCCATCCATATCCGCCCTCCTTATTCTCACTCAAGTCACTCTCCCCCCTCTCTCACTCAAGTCACTCTCCCCCCTCCGTATCACTCGCAGTCCTCCGTCCAAATGCCAACACATGCACGACATGACATGTCTATTCAACAACTGGCATCTCATCTCATCCCATCTCTCTCCCTGTCTGATTGCATAACGACATACAATACTAAAGAAGAACAACAACAACAACAAGATGATGACGCAGGAACATTACAATTTTGTGTAGTTTCTATAAGAGGAGTTACGGGAGAGTCAGATGGATCGTACACTTCACAGACCACTACTAATGATACACATTAACTAGGCAGCTACTTGGACCAAAAATAAATTAATACCCCCAAGCAATCAATATAAGCTAAAGCACAAGATCCAATGATCAATCGAATAAATATGCAGAGGAATAATAAAAAAATAATAATAATAAAATTGTGTACCCCACCCCTCCAAGTACATATAAAACTATCTCCAGTTGTGGCTCCTACTGCTTTCCCCTTGGTCGCTGCCTTGTTTGCTGATAGGTTCTTGGCGTGAATGGTTTTCTTCTCGGACCGAACTGGAAGGCTCACGGCCTATTCGTTTTTCCTGGATTCGTGACAGACATCAAGGGAGTGGAGTGATTAATGCAAACTAGGTTGCTGTGTGAGGAGGAGGAGGCTGGCTATGTTTTGGGCATACCTCGCGGGACAGCAGATCCTCTGATTCGAGCATATGTAACACATGCCCCATTTTGGGCCTCTTTTGGGCATCAGGATCGACACATCGAAGAGCCACAAGGATCAGACGCTTCAAAGCTTTTGAAGGTGGGCGCTCCGGCAGCTTAGGGTCCACTACTTCCTCTGCCTCCCTTTTTGCAACCATCACCTTGAGCCAATCAACCAGATTGACCTGTACGAGTTTTCCATTAGTGCAATGCTGCGGAATCCCCCTAACAAGCTCATGCTTCTTAGGCTAGCTATTTTAAGCTGTTAAATTGAAAACTAACCTCTCCCTGCGGACGACCATAATCAACAGGAGATCTCCCCGTAATGATCTCCATAATCAATATCCCGAAGCTATAAATATCACTCTTCTCATTCAGCATACCAGTGCAAGCATATTCTGGAGCAACATAACTAGCAAGGCAAGGAACAGTCAGTTTGCCAGACCACAGCGCATGATGGTTTTTATCTAATGGTGATAATGAACTGACCCGAATGTTCCCATCACTCTAGTTGTCACATAAGATCTCTCTGAGTTCAGGAGCTTAGCCAGCCCAAAATCCGACAGCTTAGGATGCCACTGACGATCAAGTAATATGTTGCTGGACTTGATGTCACGGTGGACGACCTTTGGTTCCAGACCATCATGGAGATAAGCCAAGCTGCACCAACCAAGAAAGTGTCAAAGATGAGCATGGATCATCAGGACAATGTAACCGAAACAGCAGATTGCTGTTCTACCCTACCCTTTTGCAGTTCCTATGATTACATTCACACGAATCTCCCATGTCAACGGGCTGACATCCCCCACATCTCCATGAAGCCACTGGTCTAAATTTCCATTGTCAACATATTCGTAGACAAGCATCCTACACAGAGAAGATAAACATGCCCACAATGAAAAACCGATCAAGTCTTGGTGCTTAGTAGAATACTTAAAGCCTGCTGCTAGGAACAAAAAGTGCATCAGCAATACCTATAAGCTCCTTCAACACAGTATCCCAGCAACCTTACAAGATTCTTGTGTCGAACTCGGCCAATTGCTTCAACCTCCACCTTGAATTCCTTTTCAGCTTGACCCCTATATATTGCATACCAAGACCATGGATGTTTAATCATTCCCACATAATGAGAATTAAGATATATAGAAATAAAACCTTCCACATTTTGATCAAAACAGGCTTAAAAACATTTTTTCCACATTACACATCTTCCTTGGGAAGGAAACTTGTCTTAAATGCAATGCTTATAAATGTAGAGAAAATTCAGTGCACCAAATTGACCAAATAAATTGTCTAGATTCTCTATGTCAGCCAACAAAACAAAGCACAACCAATAAATTTATAAACCCAATTACAGATTATGTGATCTAAAATTCCCAAATGTAATAATTGATATCTATCACGCCTACAAAAATTGAGGAACCCGTATATTACCTGTTGTTCAACAAATTCTTTATGGCAACTCGAGTGTTATCCGTCAGCACACCATAATACACGATACCATATCCACCTTCACCAATCACATTCTCATCAGACAAGCCATTGGAGGCCGCCTCAAGTTCTCTCAAAGTATACCACCTGCCCCATCCCAGATGAGACACCTCTGGCAATGACCCACTGCCTCCATAAGACCCGGTATCAGCCCCACTGGTAGCCCTGCTCTCACCACTCGATGCTCCTCTATCAGAGAACACCACTCTGTGCTCCACCTTCCCCATATCAATCTGTATTTCTGGCACAGCCTGAAAAATTCAATCTTGCCATTTTAGAGAGAAATTCATAATAGATTTGTAGTAGATTAAACAGGAGCCCACCATCAGTGTCTTTACTGCAACAAAAATCGATTCAATTTAATTAAGGCCATCGATTAATTTACACGAAACAGCACTCAAAAAGAGATCCTCACCATATCATCTTTTAGCATATGTATTCCAGTTGGATTAAAATTTCCACAGAGATACAGAGCTAAACTCTTCTCTCAAATCATAATTCAAGACTTAGGGAGAGGAAGAATTAACAAGGCAGCCGAAATTTAGCTAAAAAGTACAGATCTTGAATGTATACCGGCTGTGGGCGGTGCTCGGCGGCGGCTGAGTCGCGTGTGATCTCCTGAATTTCCTTGGAGACGACGGGCGTAATCTCGAACCCCGGGCGCTTGGGCTTACCCTTGACGGTGCTGCGGCGGCGTGAGGCAGTGATGCAAAGAGATATCAGGAAAAGGAAAATCACAATCACAGCTCCGACGACTATTCCGATGACGACCCATAAATGTAGCCCAAAGATCGAGGTCTTCTTCGAGAGCTCGGTGTCCACAAACGCAGTATCTAACACAGACATCTCCGCTCTACTTTTAACACTTGCCAAATTAATCACTTGGGTGCCTCCAATCTAGAATCAGACTGTAATATGTATAAGGTCTCGCACTAGTGACTGAAGGGTGAAGAACAAAGCATGTAAGGACAAGATTGAGATGGGTTAGACGGTTCTTCAGCGGTGCGGAGCTGAAAAATTAGGGGAAACTCAGTGCGTCGAGATACATTCATGTGCGCATATATATGTATGAGAGCGCAATTGGTGGGAAGACAAATGTGATTCAGAAAAGATTCGATTTACGAGTTGGGCTGAAATAGAGAGATCGAAGACGTCGGATGCAAGAAACCGAGCAGAAAATGGCTTCCGCCGGAAAGCGATTTTCCAGCGACGGAGTGTGTCAGAGGAGAGTAGGGGGGAGAGAGAGAGAGAGAGAGAGGGGGAGAGAAGGGGTGTCGTTCAGAGAGTTGCTCACTTTTATCAATTGTGCTTTCTCTTTTTCATCAATAGTTAAATTAATTAATAAATATATTCAATCTTTATCATTTTTTATTATTATTTTTTTTTTTTACTACTTATGCGGAACTTATATCTCTCACTTTATGAATTCCAATGAAATTGTTTCCTAAATAATTGTATCATTGCAAAGGCTGTATTAATTGTATCATTGGATGTTTAATAATGTCAATCAGAAATGTTTGTTTAATAGTATTTTTAAAATTTATAGTTTTAATGGTTTTTTTTTAGTACAGTTGATTTTTCCATATAATCTATTATTTTTTAATAATTAAGGTAATAGTTCAATGGTTTAATCCGATGTTAATATTATATTATTATGTAGTTTTAAATAAGTAAAATGACTAAAATCAAAGTCTATTTTGAAAAAAAAAAAAAAAAGTGAGATGATGAGCATCTTTTTGATATAATTCAATTATATTATTAGATAAAGTAACTAGACAGGGGAGTTGAGTAGATGATGAGCATATTAATTTCAATTGAATGTAATTATAGTAATCAGTATATATATATATATATATTAAAATAATCAATCAAGTAGACTATTATTATATATACTATTGAGGCTGGGGGTACGTAGAAAGTTGATGTTAGGCCTTGAACCGGTCCGATTCTATTATATTTATATTGTATTGTATTGGTAAATCAATCGTATGCAAGTGAAAACTAGTGGCATTAGTTACACTAACAATTGCAAGTGCTGTGCTGTGGACCCACTCTCCCAACGGTCGGATGCTCACAAAGCTTGATCTAATGACACGTGTCGTGGGTATTTATTCACTCGGACACGGGCCGGCAGTGGAAATAGAAATAGAAATAGAAATAGAACTAGAACTAGAACGAAGAAAAGAGGGAGGGCAGCAGAGCAATAGGCATTAATTTGGAGGAGGAGGATTTAATCAATTGATATACTAGTATATGTCAGACAAAGTAAAGGACCAGCTCATCTCCTATATACGACTACTAGTGTCTTGACCCGTAATTATATATAGGAGTACACGTAATTATTAAATTTATGTCGTATAAATAATTTATTATAAAAAAAAATATCAAAAAATTAAAATATATTTTGAATCAATCAAAATATTATATAAACACCTATACTACGAAACGTACCTGAAATATTTACATCAATATTTATCTATATAGCTACATATTTTAAATAAAATTATTCACTTTTCATGCGATAAAGCTAATCAAATTGGATTAAGATATTTTTATATTTTATATTTATATTTTTCTTATTAAGTACTCTATTTTTATAAAATTATATTTAATTTAAATTTATATTATCATCTACTACTATTTATCTTAATTATTATTCCATAATTTACGTCAATTGAATTTATTAGTTGATTTAGCATAATTTATTTAATGTATATAACATTCAATACTTTTTATGTAATTAAATTTATAATATTTTAATTAAGCAATTATTTTATATATAATTATATTTAACTTAATATTATATTATTATCTACCATTTAAGTCTATTATTATACCATAATTATATTTTAAAAAAACTTATATAAAAAGAAAATTTGAATAAACTTATTCATATATATAATTCAAAAAATATAAATAAATTTATATATATAAATGAATTATATATATATATACACACACGAATGATTGCTATAAAATATTTTTATAATTCTTTTAACTCGGTGGAAAAGTCAATAAATAATAAAAAAAATTATAATTTGCACAAATGTAAGAATTTAAGATTGTAACTTTTTAAATCAAGATTCTTTTAATACAATTACAGTCTACAAATAATGCATTTAAAGAGAAATAAATAAAATTAATATGAAATTGAAATCTATAAATATATATATATATATATAAAACATATGTTCATGTTCGAAAGTAATCACAAAATCAAACAAATCACAAAATCAAATAAATCTATTAATTATAATACAATAAATACCATAATCGACAAAAAAAAAAAAAAAAACTATTATAAATAAAGATAAAAGATCATGTATATCTTAGTATCAATCCAAGACCACAAAATGTACATAACAAATATCATCCGTAATATCTCCAATTTGTGGCGCATTGATCCCAAAAATATAGTAACTTATTCGTCTCCAAATTATATGATATTCCAATATTCTAAAGCTTAGACAAACTAAAAGGGGAACAACAGAGTTGTATTGCATGAAGTGAGAATTGCCGGAATATCAATCGGAGACTCACCGGAAATAATGCCGGAAAAGGAGAAAAAAATAATAAAGGAATATGGGGGAGAAAAAATAGTCATGGTGAGTATAAAATGGATGGCTAGAAAGCTTTTTTCATAGGCATTGAAACGAGGATTGTCATCAAATTCGTCATTAATACCGACGTTAATATTCATTAACCTCTTTCCATAAATATTAAAATTTATTTCATTCATAATTATTTCAATTTATTTATATTTAAGATAAATTTTATTATTTAATTGTAACCATTTTTATTATTTATTAAATAAATTTTTTTAATTAAGACATTATTTAATTTTAAAATGAAAAAAAGTACTATTATACTATAGATATAATAATTATATCAAAATTTTTATTTTTAAGAATATTTATTAATTGTATTAAATAAATTAAAAATATAAAATAGAGTGATGTGACAAATATATAATATTTATAAGTATTGTAAATTTTAAATTTTAATAAATATATTTATTAATTATGATTGCATTAATTATATCCACTGTAATAAAATTGGTTTTTAGTATAATATAAAAAATAAAAAATAGGTGTTTGATTTGATATTTTTTTGGTAAAAAATTGGATGAATAGTGTAAATCTAATCCAAATCCCAAAACAAACACACCCTAGCAATTAATATAATAGTAATTATTATTATATTTTGTATTTAATTATAATAATTAAAAATTTATTCAAATAATATTGCAAAATTAACATTTAAATTATATTTTATGTAAAATATATTACTCCCTCCGTCACATAACAAACTATCTATTTTTTCATTTTAGTTCGTCTCATAACAAAGTATCAATTTTCTTTTCTTCAGTAACAGCACTATCTACCAAACATTACAAATATCCTTGCAACTTATAATATATTACACAAATATCGTTACATTTATATCACACAATACTAATACGATTATTTTAGTCATTTTTACTTTATTCATGCTACATCCTAATATAATATTAATATTTTAAAAAAAACTAAATAGATACCTAACTATACGATAGAGAGAATATTAATAATTAATTTTATTTAAAAATATTAAAATAAAAATATTAAAAATTTCAAAATTCTCTAAAAATTCTTTAGTTAATATATAGTCATAATATAATAGTTTTACATTTAAAATTACTTAATAATAATTTATAATTTTTATATAAATATATCTGTATAATAGAATATACATTTGTAAAATAAATTAAAATTCTTTTAAATTAAAATAAATCATTTAATTTTAAAATAAACAAAGAATTGTTATATAGTATTATATAATAGTTTTAATAATATTATCTGTTCTTTTAATTTAAAAAATATTCAAAAAATCTTGCAAAATTAACATTTCAATTATATTTTATGTAAAATATATTTATTAATAATTATTTTTATTTAAAAATATTAGAATAAAAATATTAAAATATCAAAATTCTCTAAAAATTATCTAGTTAATATATAATTTTAATAATATAATAGTTATATATTAAAAATTACTTAATAATTATATAATTTTTATATAAATATATCTGTATAATAGAATATATATTTGTAAAATAAATTAAAATATTTTTAAACTAAAATAAATTATTTAATTTTAAAATAAATAAAGAATTGCTATATAGTACTCTTTCCGTCTCACTTCTCATGTTCATATTTTCATTTGCGTCAATCTCATTTATTTTGTCACTTTTATTTTTTGAAAAAAATTATACACGTTAATCTTAATTTAAAAAAATTTTAATTTACAACTTTTTAAATTTTAATTACACTTAATCAATTATCTTAATCTTATCTACAGTAAAGCGGACAAAATATCCGGGGACGGATGGAGTACTATACAATAGTTTTAATAATATTATAAATTCTTTTAATTATTAAAATATTTATTAATTTTATTAGTTATAATATTAGTATTAAGTATATTAATTATATTTTTATTAATTGTTAGTATTTAATTTAAATTTAATTTATTAGAAAATTCAAAAAAAGAAAAAAAAAATAGTTATTCGGTTCTGTTTTATATATAGATAATATAATAAAAATTATATTTTAAAATTATTAAATTTTAATTACCCTTAATTAAAGGTATAAATGAACATAAATTATATTATAAATTTACTTTAATCATAAAATTAAATAAATTATTTTATTATCTTTAAAAATGTATTAATTATAATTTTATTAATTATGATAGATTTAATAGTATTTAATATATTTTTATTTTATTAAAAAAATCAAAACAATGATAAAACAAAAAAATAGTGAAATGGACTCCACCGATCTCCTTTATATAATAATAATAATAATTATTATTATTATTATTATAATTTACTTTAATCATAAAATTATGTAGTAATTTATTTTAATCATAAATTATCTTTAAAAATGTATTAATTATAATTTTATTAATTATGATATACTTAATAACATTTAATACATATTTATTTTATTAAAAAAATAAAAAATAAAAAATAAAAAAAAATTGATGAGGTGGACCCACCGATCTCTTTTCTATATATATATATATATATATAGATAGATATAGATTATTCTTATTCATATTATTATATTATTATTTGGAAATGATTTACAGGTAAGGCTTAGGCGAGGCAAGGCATCTTGACATTCTGGATCTAGCTGTCCTGTCCAGATATGGACATGGATATTCATGTCACGTACGGGGAGCCGGAGCCGGAGCCGGAGCCGGAGCCGGAGCCACCCAAATTGAACTCACTTGCTCGCTCGCTCGCTCTCTTCTTAAATAATAGTAATACTCCATGCCAGCCAGCCAGCCAGCCCATGGGAATGATCTTAATCTTGAATTAATGATGATTGTCAAACAACGTAACCCCATTCTTTTATTTATTTATTTATGATAGTAACAATTATTATGTTAATCATCATTATTTGACATCTCTCTCTATCTAAAGGTAAAACTGTAATTAGTCAGTCAACTACCGCGTCCAATTAAGATCTTATGTATGTAATCAATCAATAACAAATTAAATTATTACATGCCCGGGCGACTCTTTTATTTTTAAAAGTATTATTAATTCTTACCGCATGCGAAATGATTTGACCCTACCCTGGAAAGAGGGAAGCACGACTCTTGCCCCAACCCAACCCACCGAATAGTAAAAGCGTGTTTTTATTCAACCGCGTTATTATTACTTGTCTTATTTATTTCTGGGGCCCACCCGCGGGGATTTCTAAACTGCGAACAAAGTCAGGTCAGGTCATGCTCCGAAACCGATATCCATCGAAGCTCGCTCCAATGGCGACCACCCTTCTCCTTCTCGTGTTAATACTCGCTCCCTTCCCCAGCGTTTCCCCCTTCTCCCCTGTCGACTACGACCTCATCAACTGTGGATTGCGCGCCGGTGATGTAGTGGACGCGGATCACCGAGTCTTCACCGGCGATGGCTCCCGATTCCCTTCCTCCACCAGGACCGTACAGCTAGAGAGCACCGATTCGCGCCTTGCTTCTGCTTCCCCGCTCTACAGCACTGCCAGGGCCTTCCATTACCCCACATACTACGCGTTCCCCATCAGAGATCGGGGCCAGCACCATTTGGTACGCCTCCACTTTCATCCCGTTCAAAATGATTATTATAATTCATACGAAGCTGAATTTCACGTTGTGGCCAATGGATTTCTGCTATTGCGCAACTTTCGCATCAGAAAAGGCGATACTTTTCCGCTAATTAAGGAGTTTGTGATCCCGATCGCTTCCGAGAAGCTTGAAATTGCATTAATGCCCTCGGGAAAATCAAATTTTGGTTTCGTGAATGCGATAGAAGTAATTTCTGCTCCGGCTGACTTGATTGCTGACGTAGCGCAGTTCATTGATGTCGATAAGAACGAGAGGATTGATGGGTTATTGAAAAGTGGCTTTGAGACACTGTACAGAGTGAATGTTGGTGGGTTCAAAGTGACTCCCTTTAATGACTCCTTATGGAGGACTTGGGCGACGGATGATCAATACTTGGCCACAAGCCAAGGGTCTGAAAAAATCAACTTTGGGGGTCGGATTAAGTATCGATTGGGTGGATCAACACGGGAAGTAGGCCCGGACAATGTCTACAATTCTGCAAGATTGATAAGGAGTTCTAATGGATCAGTTCCAAGTGTGAATTTAACATGGTCGTTTGAAGTGGAAAAGGGTTACAGGCATATGGTTAGGATGCATTTTTGTGATATAGCAAGTATGGCAGCGGGCATGATTTATTTTAATGTATATTTGAATGGAAACTTAGCATGTGCGAACCTGGACTTGTCACATATGACAAATAGACTGTTGGCTTCACCATATTATGCTGACTTTGTTACTGATGACATGAGCTCGGGAAAGTTGCTGGTGAGTGTGGGGCCATCGAACATAAGCTTACCTCTTGCTGTTGATGCCATTCTTAATGGGATTGAGATATGGAGGCTGAATAATTCAATGAGTAGTTTCGATGGAGAAGTTTGTGCAGAATTTGCATGGAGAAGTTGGAGAACAGAGCATAGAAGCGGTGGCTTCTTGTCCCTGGTTGCTGCGATGCTTCTCCTCCTATCGGTATCTGTTTATTTCCAATGGAGAAGGACTAGCTCTGCAGGATGGTCAAGGTTGCCTGTGGACATCTCTGAAGTTAGTTTAAAGTCCGGCAGCCAATTTTCATCCATCAAAACTTGATCCCTTGCAGAGTGGAAGAGCCGCGCCCCACAGGTTTCCTGTGTTTTATAGTTCTGATTGAGCTAGCTATATTGTGTGCCATGAAGATGCCGCTGTAAGTTTGAGGTGATGCTGTATTATCCTATCCTGCAAGTAAATGCCTGTAATCCTGATGTTTGTGACACGACTATTGTATAAACTGTGCTATAGTATGCTATACCATTCGAACCATGTTTGCTTCTGAAAGATACTTGGAAATGCTAGTGGTCCTCTCCACTGTTTGTTTTTTTATATGCTCTTGTAGTTTTCCATTTTGACTCTGGATCAAATTGTTGTAGTTGGAAGTGACCAATCTGTACGAATGATTTTCAAGTGTCTTTCAACTTTCTTCTGAGTTTTCATCGCACTGTACCTTTAAAGTCATTAGAATTCTCCTGATTCTTGCAGCATCTTATGGTGTTGTTCAAGTTCAAAAATACTAAGACTGACAACCTTATGGTTAGTTCTGGACGGCAGAAAACCATATATATAGTAGTTGTAACATCCCGACCGGCTCAAAATATTCCAATTGTCAACATTTAACCAAACAAAAATAGGATATTAGATCCAACAAGTTTGCTATAATCTCTTTATTTCACCAAATAAACATTTGAATAATATATCAATGACAATAGGTATAGTCTAACTCCAAAAAATCATAATATTTAAATATAATCGTAAATCTTTATTCAAAAACCATAACTGGGTTAGGGTAAAACTAGAGTTTCAAACCCATCCCATAAATTTTACGATTTATAATAATCTTCGCATAATCAACTTTTTAGAAGAAATTGGCAAAATCTTAAAAGTTCTAGGAATTAGAACATATTGTCTATCTAAAATGGCAAACTTCTGACTAGTATTTATACGGGACATTGTAGTAGTCTCTACCTATCCTTCTAATTTCAATTTGTTCCATCTGAAACATATATCTGTGACTGGGCATTAACCAGCCCATGAGCTAAACCAATCATCCTTTGGGCTCCTCTAGGTTTAATTATGACATCACTATACGTGTGCCTCACGTCAACTTAAGGCAGAAGATTCTACAGAGTCAACTCCCACTGCACTATACCCACAAGGGTCAACAAAGAATCCACCAATCGATCTATCTATCTATCACCACCCCTCATATCATAGCCCATTATCCTGAAGCCAGATGGTGGTTTTCATCTTTTATTCCTTCATAGCCACATAACCCACACCGGTTTATCTAAGAAAAATGATACATACATATATATATATATATTTCTTTCTTTTCCCTTCCACAAACGTACTTTATAAGTCACAATTAATGGCTATAATTAAGTTTATAACATCTTGACTAATTACAAAGAATAGAAAATTCGTTGCATTCTTTTCTTTATGCCATTCCCAGTGCTTGATGAATCCATTCCAGTACAAACTTAAATGGGAACAGGGACGGATGATGCTGTCCATTCCCAACCCCTCCTCCTCCTCCTCCTCCTCTGTTCCATGTTGCCATTAAATAAAGAAACCAAAAACCCTCAACCAACACGAAGATGGTGACAGCCACAGACGTCATCACCATTAGGCAAGAAGAAACCAACCCCTTTCTATTGCCATGTGGCCACTGAGTAAAATTCATTAACAACTCCCACAACATATGAGAAAATAAGCATTACCAAACAGGCTTCGTTTTTGTTGCCACACACACATACACTGCCTGCCTTGGCTTCTTGACTTCAACTCCTTCTTATACGGCAGCAGGACTTTCCTTAAGAATCAATTATGCAAACATAAGTTAGAACGTCCAGTTATCCAACAAAACATGTCATTATTGTTATACTTTCTCTAAACAGGATCTCTTTCTGACAACAGCAATATCAGGTTAGGATCATAAGCGAAATAATATCTCTGAACATACAATGCTTCGCCGAATCAGCTAAGTTGCAAGATCAGTAAGAAGACTTAATCAAATAGTCCGTTATATATGCATTACCATCATGTCGACTATTACGATATACCATACAAACAATAGGAAGTTAGTGCATTCTCACACACTTAAAAAAGAAAAGTGATGCAGTGTATGAGAAGATCCCAGAGAGATGGGATGGGATGGGGTCAGTGGTCCATTACAAGTTGCAGTAACGTTATCGAACCTCACCAAAACTTCCAACAGTCTCTATATATAAGAGCCATTTCGCATACTCACCCTCCTTCCATCCGAAAAAAGTCCTATTTTAACTCCAAGGAGGTGATCTGATAGAGAGAAATTAACAAGAAAAGAATTCATGGCTTCTAGTGGAGGAGTACTGATCTCCACAGCCCGGTGGGCGATCTTGTTGCTCTCACTTGTGGTTTTTCTGGGGAATATTATGATGTGGATCATCATGCCAACTGATACTTACTACAACGATTGGCTGCTTCACATTCTTGCTGATACAAACTCAACCTTTTTTGGCATCCAGGGTAACGGGCACTTTTTGATCTTCTTCCATTTTCCTTTCTTCTCTTGAAGATTTCACATTGAAGAGATGTTTGTGTTGCAGGTCCAATAATGCTGGATTTCACATTCCCCATTTTATTCATTGCTGTAATGGGATGCTTGTATCTGCATTTGGGAAAGAAGAAGGCTGCAGTCACAGGAAGGTAAGAAGTATATATCTTGATCATACTCTTGTTTTGTTTCACCAACTTTGTTTTCCTTATGTTTCTTACGATCCGATGACGAATATACCTTGTTTCATGAAATTAAAAAAGTACAAAGGACAGAAAGATGAGGTTCATGAGGAAGCCGATGATCGTCAAGGGACTTGGAATCGTTAACCTCACAGAGCTTGCCTTGTTCACAATGTTCATTGCTCTCTGTGTCTGGTATTTCGCAGATTACGTCCGCCATTGGTATAAGCAAGTCCCGATGCTTTCCATGACCAGAGGTGAAAAAGCGTAAGAAATTCCTTAATACCAAAGCCTATGAACTGTTTTTTCTTGCTACAAATTCAACATGGCAACCCCTTTACTGATTCAACACTTTCACACAAGGCACGTTGATCCTGAGAAATTTATTAAATCTGCACAATAGGTTCCACGACATAAAAAATCTTGAAAATCTTCTTGCAATTGGTTGGTTGTTTGTAGGTGGCAAACAAGGCTGGATAGAGTGGCTATAGTGACAGGGACAACAGGGAATTTGTGCTTGGCATTTCTATTCTATCCAGTGACAAGAGGCTCATCCATTCTGCCTATGTTGGGGCTAACATCAGAGGCCAGCATCAAATACCATATTTGGATTGGAAACATGGCCATGGGACTCTTCACTGCACATGGACTTCTTTACATCATTTATTGGACCCTTACCAATAGGTTATCTGAGGTATGCTTACACTGTTTTTCTTCTTCTTCTCCAAGATTTATTATTATTTATTTTAAAGAGGAAATTATACATATCTTCTAAATCTTTTTTTTTTTTTGGGTTTTTTTTGATAGAGTTGCTTGCTTCATAATGAAACAACTAGATAAACGAAGAAGTGTAGTTCATAACTGCAGAGGAAAGAAAATCCCGTCCTTCCCACCTCTATTCTTAGTTTCTTCTTTCATGACATAAAGAAGCAAAGAATGATCATTGCAGCGATGAAGGAAAGAGATATAATTGAGGTTCCACTTATAAGTGAAGTTAGGCTAAGTGGGCATCACTTAAAATACACATATTTTTGATCAATCAATATGAACCTTTGTTTGCAAGTATGACCACATCCTCTTCCATTTTTAATGTTTCCAATTAAAAGAAATGATTATTGATCTCCCCCCGCCCCTTCCCCTCTTCGCTTTTACATGAATGGTTTTTAACTTTTTTTCCAATTTACTTATCTCCACCAACAAATTCCATCCTGATTTTGAACAAAAAAGACAAAGGATGATATACTAACTATACAAATGATTCGATTCCTATATGATGTCCTACTACTCATCTACTATACACATAGAATTTTTTTTCTCACAACTTGCTCTCTATAACATTAAATTTTATATTACGTGAGTAGCTATTCATATAAAGTTTTCTGCAGTTCATTGTAATCATATTCTTCCTTCTCATTATGGCCTGCTATATTTCAATTGGAATTTATTCTCATCGTCATTATTAACGCAAATAATTGCCAAAAAAAATACGTATCATTATGGTGGTACTAAAAAGACAAAGGAAGAAGATGACGAAGAAAGTGACACATGTCCTTAGAAAATTCAAAATTCTCAATCCATGAGAGGACCACCTCAATAATGTTATCCCTTAGTGCTCAAAACACTACTTTCAGACATTACCTTTACTTCTGTTTGGTAGTTGCATTGTCAAAGTGACATTTGGGTAAATACAAAGACCTTTACTTTTTCCCCTAGCATTTTCTCCATCACGAATTCTGTGGTGGGACCATGAACTTGGGTGTATATATATGCATATGGGCGTGAGTCATCAATCAGCATGTTCACTATGGAATCAACACAGATCCCTTTTCCAAAGATTTTGTATGGCTGCAAGGACCACAAGTTTTTTATTATCACAGAATCTTGGACACCAGAAATCTCAGTGTTAAGTTGCGTCACGGTGACATTAACATTACATCACATTTTATCCTTGAGTTTCAGGGGAAACTATGTCTATGTTAAATCAAAGATATTAATATTTATGAGTTTCTGAACTTTTTGTGGTTTAAATTCTTGCAGATGCTGAAATGGGATGATCATTATGTAGCAAATGTAGCAGGCGAGATTTCTTTGCTATGTGGATTGGCATTATGGATCACTACTTACCCTACCATCAGAAGGAAGATGTTTGAGATCTTCTTTTACACTCACTATCTCTACATTCTCTTCATCATATTCTTCATCTTCCACACTGGCATTGGCTTTGTCTGCATTATGCTCCCCGGTTTCTATCTATTTGTCATCGATAGATATCTGAGGTTTCTACAATCTAGACAGAAAGTTCGGTTGCTTTCTGCTCGTGTCCTACCATGCAATACTCTGGAGCTAAACTTCTCCAAGAGTCGAGGTAATACGACCTATCAGGCTAGCTCATTACATGCTTAACAGATTATTTAGTTTGAATGTTAAATGACATTTCTGATAAAAATTCTGAAATGCAGCGCTGAAATATAGCCCAACAAGTATTATGTTCATAAATGTGCCGGGGATTTCCAAGCTGCAATGGCATCCATTCACTGTTATATCCAACAGTAACTTAGAACCAGAGAGGCTGAGCGTAATGATCAAATCTGAGGGCAGCTGGACTAAGAACCTCTATGACATCGTTTCATCACCTTCATCCATTGATCGTCTTCAAGTGGCTATTGAAGGTCCCTATGGTCCAGCCTCAACTAATTTCCTCAGGTTAAATAAACTATATCATATGAATGTATGCATGCCAGCTAGCTATAGATAAATTTTGTTCTTGATCATTTACCTAGTTGGTTAATTGACTTTTGCAGGCATGACATATTGGTGATGATTTGTGGAGGGAGTGGCATTGCTCCCTTCATTTCAATAATCAAAGAGCTTATGTTCGTTAGCTCTACACTGAAATTCACGACTCCAAAGATAATGCTGGTTAGCGTGTTCAAGAACTCTTCTCACCTCTCCATATTAGACCTGATCCTTCCCATATCTGGCACCTCTTCAGATTCCTGCACCAACTTAGAGCTCCAGATAGAAGCCTACATAACAAGGGAAAAAGGGAAACCAAAGGACAAGCTCTTGCCTCCACGAACTGTGTTGTTCAAACCAGATCCATCTGACACACCCGTTTCTCCCACATTAGGCCCCAACAGTTGGCTATGGCTTGCTGCCATAATCTCATCATCTTTCTTCATTTTTTTGGTCCTCTTGGGACTTTACACTCAATACATCGTCTATCCTATTGATAAAAACACAAACAAGCTCTATTCCTACACCAAGAAAGGTGCAACAAATATGCTGATCATCTGCTTCTCCATAGTAATAGCAGCCAGTAGTGCATTCCTGTGGAACAAGAAACAGAACACTAAGGAAGCGAAACAGATTTTGGACATGGAGGAGTCTTTAACAAGCAGATCATCCAACACATCATTTGATCGAAATGATATAGAGATGGAGAGCCTTCCAATGCAATCAACCACCAAATCTATGAATGTGCATTACGGTCAGAGGCCTAACCTAGAGAGTAAGCAATCTCCAAACCTCGAAAATCAATCTTGTCTTGAACCTGGAAACTTACCAAGATGTGGGCTTGTCTTGCAGGAATATTGCTAGGGACAAAAGAACAAAGCGTTGGAGCACTTGTGAGCGGACCAAAGAAGATGAGAGAGGATGTTGCGGCCATATGCTCCTCCCGGAAAGCAGACAATCTCCATTTTGAGGCCATCAGCTTCACTTGGTGAATGTGAATATTGCGGATTAGTATAATGATGCAATACATGATGTTTGATTATTATATATACATATGAAATATTTGAGGCGTATTGTATTTGAAGCATGACAGCATAAATAAACACATTTTGTAAAAATATATTTTGATGTATGATAGCTACACTTTATATCTTGGAATAGTTGACCAAGAATCAGCTTCTTCCTTCCCTCATGTCCTAAAGTGTTTCTAAATAGAGCATATCCACAATCCCTCTTGTGAGTGTTCCAAGTACATATAAACCTAAGGAAGGAGTTCATGGAAATGTAAGAAACAAATGATGACTTGGTTCGGGTTGTGAAATTTGAAATTCCGAGATGTGGAATTTTCTCTTCTAATTGTCACTTCCTAGCTCCAAGTGCATTGTATTCTTCCAGTCTGTTCTGTGGTAGCATCCTGGAATTTATTGGCCCTTCTACGTGACAAGGGGCCAGGTCTGGTGCATGAAGACAACATCAATTAGGAAAAATACAGACGTACAACATTTGTGCATTCACACACTTAAAACAAACAACAATATTCTAAGAACACAGGAAGATCAGAGAAGGAGCATGAGATTAGTGGTCCATATTAAAGGTTGCAGTATTAACCTTTTATTGACTCAGAGAAATTTCCAACAGTTGGTTTATAAGAACACGTTTCCATACTCACCATCCTTCCATCAGTACAAGTTTCATTCTAAACTTCGAAAAAGGTGATACAGAGAAGTTTTCGGGATTTGATCAATGGCTTCCCGTGGAGTACTAATCTCTGCTATCAGAAGGGCAATCTTGTTGCTGGCTCTTGTTGTGTTTCTCGGGTATATTATGATGTGGATCATCATACCAACAAGAACTTATGTAAGCAAATGGTGGCCTCACATTTATGCTCATACAAATTTCACTTTCTTTGGATATCAAGGTATCAGCCACTTTCTGATCTTTATTTTTCTTCTTCTATTTAGACTTAAGAGTTCATACAAACGAGACATGTTAGTGTTGCAGGTACATATATGCTAGAATTCACATTCCCCATCTTGTTCATCTCTGTGATCGGATGCTTATATCTACATTTGGGGAAGAAGAAGGCTGCAGGAAGGTGTGAATTAAGTATATACTTATAGTTCTTTGCCCTTCAGTTAGTATTAATCAACATATGATGATGATCTATATGCCTTATTACATGATATCAAAAGCAGTATAATGGATAACAAGATGAGGTTCATGAGGAGGCCCATGATTGTCAAGGGGCTTGGGATCGTCAACCTCACAGAGCTTTCCTTGTTCATCATGTTCATTGCTCTCTGTGTCTGGTATTTTTCGGTGTACCTCCGCAATTGGGATAAAAAAGTTCCCACACTCTCCAAGACCCAAGGTGAAAAAGAGTAAGACCTTCACCCCATACAAATTGCCTATGGGAAGTTTTTCTTGTAAGATATTCAACACAGGAATCCTGTTACAGCCTTGGACCATAACAACTGTCTTTCTTCCATTTCACGCAAGACATTATTTCTTGCACGATCCTTACATAAATCAACCTCAGAATCTTCAAAACAGAAATCTATTGCAGCAGGCTTGGTCAAGTCTGTGTTTTTACTCTTGCTGCTTTGGTTGGCTGTTGCATTGGCAGGTGGCAAACATGGCTGGATGGAGTGGGACTATTCACGGGGTTGACGGGGAATTTGTGCTTAACATTTCTATTCTATCCAGTGACAAGAGGCTCATCCCTTCTGCCCCTGATAGGGCTGACATCGGAAGCCAGCACCAAATACCACATCTGGATTGGAAACATGGCCATGGCACTCTTCACTGCACACGGACTTATTTACTTTCTCTATTGGGCCCTCACCAACAAATTATCTGAGGTAAACTTTCACTTTCTTTTTCATGATGCTACCATTTCTTAACTGTACCATCAGAGGTTGGGAACCACTCCTCCTTAACTATACCATTTATTCTTAGTCTTGGACTGTATCCATCATTATCCCTTCATCTATTATTGTGTTTTCCTACTGCCTTCGTTGCATATTCACAAGTATGTCTTCTTCTGCAGTTCTTTATGTTCACATTATAGTTGCTTTGTCATGAGGGCCTCTTATATTCTGATTGGGATTTATTCTCATCCTCACATGCAATGCAAATCAGAGCCATGCAACATGTGGTGACAAAAGAAAAGATGAAGAAAGAAAAGGATGTAAGTCCCATACAGTGGGATAGCAATTCAATCTTTTCAATCCAGGGCAGGCCCACCTTAATAATTTCATCCCTGACTGATGGCTGATGCTCCCTACCTTTTCCCAACCATTGCATGCATTTTCCTCCATTTTTGGTAGTTGTGATGTCACTTAAGTTTCTTTGGGAAAGATACAAAAAATGCTTCAATCATTGTCGCAAGTTTTGTTTTCCACAACGACTTATACCATGTCCAATACAGCATTCAAAGATTGTGTATGAACGCAAGAACTGCAGATATTTAGTCCTCGTATCATCTCGGAAATTAGAAGTTTTTAATGTCAAGTAGATACATTATGATTTAAGCATTACATCATATTCTAGTACTTAAATTTAGAGGCACTAAATCTATACGTTTTGATAAAACAATGTAGTTACATTTGATTATGGTTTTCTTAATGCTTTTTTTTTTTAACCAATGCAGATTCTGAAATGGGATCAACATTCCGTAGCAAATATACCAGGAGAGATATCTTTGCTATGTGGATTGGCATTATGGATCACAACTTACCCTACCATCAGAAGAAAGATGTTTGAGCTCTTCTTTTACACTCACTATCTCTACATTCTCTTCATCATTTTCTTCGTCCTGCACACAAGCATTGGCCTCGCCAGTATTATGCTCCCCGGTATCTATCTTTTCATCATCGACAGATATCTAAGGTTTCTACAATCCAGGCAGAGAGTTCGACTACTCTCTGCACGCGTCCTACCATGCGACACTCTTGAACTGAACTTCTCTAAGAGTCGAGGTAATAGTTACTGAGGCTTCTACATGTTTCATTAATCTTGGATGCCAAATGCACTCTCAATAAATATTCTGGCATGCAGGGCTAAAATACAGTCCTACAAGTATTATGTTTATAAACGTTCCCACGATTTCCAAGCTGCAATGGCATCCTTTCACCGTTACCTCTAGCAGTAACTTAGAACCAGAGAGGCTGAGTGTTCTGATCAAATCTGCTGGCAGTTGGACTAAGAACCTCTATGATGCCATTTCATCACCTTCGTCAGTCGATCACCTTCAAGTTTCTGTTGAAGGACCCTATGGTCCAGCATCAACTAATTTCCTTAGGTTAAAACTACATACGTATAAACACATGCATTCATGCCCCTATTGATGATCATCCACTTATTCACTTAACTACTGCAGGCACGACGTATTGGTGATGATCAGTGGAGGGAGTGGCATAGCTCCCTTCATTTCAATAATCAGAGAGCTTATGTTCATCAACTCTACACTGAAGTGCAAAACTCCAAAGATGATGCTTGTTAGCGTCTTCAAGAACTCTTGTCATCTCTCCATGTTAGACCTTATCCTCCCCATTTCAGGCGCTCCTTCAAAATTGGAGCTCCAAATAGAGGCCTACATCACAAGGGAAAAGGGGTATCCGATGGACATGGGGAAGACGCAGACCGTGCTCTTCAAACCAAACCCATCCAATGCACCCATATCTCCCACATTAGGCCCCAACAGTTGGCTATGGCTTGCTGCCATAATCTCATCCTCATTCCTCATCTTCCTCGTCCTCGCAGGAGTTTACACTCAATACGTTGTGTATCCAATTGATAAAAACACCAGTAAGGTCTATTCCAACAGCAAGAAAGGCGCAATGAACATGATGATCATATACTTCTCCATAGTGATAGCAGCCAGTGGAGCATTCTTGTGGAACAAGAAACAGAATGCCAAGGAAGCAAAACAGATTCTGAACATGGAGAATAGATCATCATCCAACTCATTGTTTGGTGGAGAGGACATAGAAATGGAGACCCTCCCAGTACTGCAATCAACCATCAAATCCATGAATGTGCATTATGGTCAGAGGCCTGACCTAGAGAGTAAGCATTGAAAGCCAATCTTGAACTGATCTGCCATTGATGTGGGGCTTCAATTTATTTATTTTTATCTCAGGAATATTGCTGGGGACGAAAGAAGCAAGCGTTGGAGCACTTGTGAGCGGGCCAAAGGAGATGAGAGAGAGTGTTGCAGCGATATGCTCCTCTAGCCTGGCACGAAATCTCCATTTTGAGGCCATCAGCTTCACTTGGTGACTCTCTGATTTTGTTGCGATTGATTACTGCAGTAATGCAATGCAATAGGTCGATCAATATATCTACACACACATGACACATCCATATATATATATATCTATAATCCATCGGCTGCTTGCTTAGGCCTTGGATTGGCTTTTCGTTATAATGGGCTCGAAGTTGACCCAGTCTATATGTATTCTGTGGGCTTCGATCCATCAAAACAGAACGGCTCGGACCAGATGGGCCCAAAAATAGAAAGAAATAAATTAGTTTTATATTTTATACACAACCCACTGCAATACACTTAAAACTTAACACCAACAGACAGTGAGCAGAGCAGGGTAAACGGGGGACCGGGCGAAGATGAGTGTTACAAACTATAAGGATGTGTATATATATATTCTTCATCAATAAGCAAGCTGTTATAGATAGCACTTCTATTATATTAACTTCTGTAGGAGTAGGAATGTCGGATAGGATTCATAATGGGTTTTCATCAAAATGGAGATGGACCAAAATCAATGCAAAGTTTGTGAATAATAAAGTAGTAAAGTAAACACTACTTTATTTACGGGGCTTTGCTGATATGTGAATGAACTGAACAAAAATAAAGAAAGAAAGAACGAAAGCGAAAGGATGTCGACGACAACAACAGTAGTCAATGCGCAAATCCAGAAATAATACAGCTGCAAATCCGAGCTCTCTATTATGAGAGTATAATATGCACTACTACGTCTTCTAATAAACAAGTAATTAATCATGTGAACAGGGGGAAACCCCACACACCAGGCTACAATAATTTATTCACATAGAAAATACTCTACTCTCTACTACTTACAATTGCAGCAGAAACATTCTTGATATTTCCTCCTTTTCATGCTCCTCCTCCTTCTCAAGAATCATGATTCTTGGTGATGATGATGCAGCGTGAGAAAACGAGGCAGCAACAATATGGGAAAGAATCGTATTCTGGGTCATTCTCATCTGACCTTCTGTTTCATCCTTTCTGTGTTTATTTATGCGTGCGATTCGCAAGATGAAGCGTTCGATACTTCCACTCTTTCCAGTTTCTCCTATGCAACCACCCGCCTCAACCCCTACGAGTGGCGCTATATTAGAGGTAAAATTCTTGATCTTTTTTACTGGCGATGGGGTTTGGTTGGATGCTTCTTTACTGCTGCTACTACCTATGATTGTGGTCATTTGGTTGGATTATAGTTATCTCTTACTTGTTTTCAGCATTCTGAATTGTAAGGCTTCGAATCGAGGGCTGTCTTTACATTTTTCCCATTTCTTTTTTAGAATAGCTAGCAACCTTTTTGCGCGGTCTCACTGAATGTATGCATTCAGGTTAGTTATCGATTTTGTGGGTTTTCTTTTGATTGTGATGGTTGATTCTTTTCACTTATATCTGTTTTAGAGCATTGAGTTGTTGTTGGACTCAGTGGTTAGGTCGCTTCTGGTTTACTTAATCAGAGTGTTGTGATTTTTCCATTGCATTGACACTGAATACTGAAATGAACAGTATACCGTTATGGTTGTTCTTAATGTAAAAACTGGCGATCAAGTATTTTTGCTTGCTTGCATTCTTGTTCCATTGCAAATATCAGTTACTTCTTCATAGTTGTTTCTAATGGCTGCCCTTGATATTCTAAACAATTGGTGTGATTTGAAATGAGCCCATATATACAAAGGAACTTCGGAGCTTAGTATTGGTGGATTGCAGTGTAGCCTTTTGATGTGTTTCAAGTGTCTCATTGTTTAATTTAGTTAAAATTTCTTTTTCTAGTTGTTGTTGACCTGGTTTACTTTTAGTTAAAACTTCAATTTTCTTCTGTTCTCTTCTCTTCATATTTGAGGATCACAAAGGATGGAGGACTCAAACACTGGTTAATTAAATGTTTCAAGTGTACCCAGTGAATTACACCTTCTTTTCACTAAAATTGGAGCTTGGAGATCCCATTAATCACCTATTCAAACTGGATAATTATACAGTGAAAGTCGTAATCTTCTATATATTATGATCATCTACTGTTTCTCTGTCGCATTGCAGTTGATTTGCCACCATGGTTTTCTTCAATATCTTTTGCTCTGCAGTCAGATGCTAACCTCGTAAGTTTCCATAAAGTTTTGTCAGACATTTAAATCCCTGAGAGTGAATATATCATGCTGTCTTCCAGTTTCCGCGAAACAAGATGACACAATGACTTCTCACCACCATTAGTTGTATTACATGTCCATCTGCAGGATCTCCATAAAATAAAGAGTGTATCACCAAGTTCTCTGCAAATAATATGCTTTAGGGAAGGGAGCCTTCCTCTGCCTGATGTGTATAACGCATCTGTAATGGGTCTAGGTAAAAGTTAGCAGTTGTTGAGTTCAATACTTTCATATTGTCCAGTATAAAGAGTGGAGGAACTGCCATGATTAATACTCCTCCAGGCATTCGTTATCTGGTTGACTACAAGAAATATTGCTAATGCAGTGATGGATTACATATCCAATAGTTCTTTTTCTGGGACACGAAGCCTACAGAACATTGAGAAATGCTATCCAATGCAGAAGAACCTGTGGCTGAGAGTAACAAATGAGCAGGTTTGTTTTAGAGATATCAGCAGCTTGAAAATTCAACAGTTTGAACTAATGCTCCATACAGATCTCTCCAGGTACATGGTACTTTGGGATTTTTAATGGCATTGGGCATGTACGGACACAGTCGAAAATGGTATTCTTTTTATTCTCTATCTCGGATTGTCAATGGGTCTACACTAATTGCTTTATGATAGTCTATTTTTGGTCATGGTTACTATCATGATTCCATAACTGTTTGTGACTTGACTGCTGCTACTTTTGATGACTTTAATGAACTCAGATGCCATGGAATTGGAAATATCTCTTTAATCCCATGATGTACATGTACAATCGCAGATAGATCGAGGCTCGGCATTATCATTTAGCGGCAATCTTAGTGTGGAGGGTTGTATGACCTCAATGATGTTGGGTCAGTTTTGCAACCAAACGGTTTATATGCTTCCATGTAAATCCGGCCATAACTTAACCGGAATTGGTTTGGACAATGAATTGTATAGAAAATTGGAAAATAGTGTTCTTGCCTGTAGAAATGCCAATGGAATAGTTTGTCATGAAGGTGGCGAGCAAAAAATATACTTATTAGATATAATAGGAATTGTTGAAGAGCTACTCATTGCAGTAACAAATGTGACATTTGATCGATCACAGCCTTCAACTATAAATGGAAGCCAGTCGTTAATGTGTTACGCCAGAAATGGTGCAGTTCCCCTTGAAACAGTTTATGATTTTTCTATTGACATTAGTAAAGAGCCTCTGGTCATTCACTTTCCTAAAGCTGGCCGCTGGTTTTTTATTGTTCGGCAAATTGATACATTGAATACTAGCAGAGGACCTCAAAGTAGGAGCTTGAAAGTGTGCTATTTGCTGGAATGGCAAGTGCTCGAGTGCCCTGCCGCCAAGGCTGGATTGAATTGCACATTGGAAAAATACATGCTTCAGGTAGTAATTGATTATATGTGTGTTTGATTTAGGTTAAATCTAATATTACTGACCTAAAATGGTTGTCTGCAGGCCATTGTTAGGACAAACCCATCCGTCCCTTTCGAATCCAACTATATCCCAATATCAGAAAAGATCTCATCCACTTCGGCTAATTTTCCTCTGGAACCCCTTACAAGCAACATTTCGCATGCAGAAAATAGTGAAGAGGCTTGGACCTTTTTCCTCCTGGATATTCCAGCTGGTGCCGCTGGAGGAAACATTCATGTCCATCTAGCGTCTGACGGAAAGATAAATTATGAAATTTATGCAAGATATGAAGGATTACCTTCTCTTAGCAGTTGGGATTACTTTTATGCTAATAAGACAGTCAACAGCAATGACTCCATGTTTTTTAAGCTGTATGATTCAACCGTGAAGACGATTAGTTTTTATATGCTGTATGTAAAAGTAGGAACTTGGAGCTTTGGGTTGAGAAAGCTTGATCCTGCCAATTCTACTACTCGAACTGACATCTCCATTTCAATAGAGAGGTGTCCACACAAGTGTTCATATCACGGAACATGCCGATCTGTTTTGGATGCTAGTGGGCTTACATTATACAGGTATTCACATTTCTATTTCAATCTACATTTCACACATACGCCAACAAACTTCTAAGTTGTGATTGTCTTGTCATTATATCTTTTCCTTCAGCTATTGTTTTTGTGACCGGAACCATGGTGGTTTTGATTGTAGTGTTGAGATTGTCTCTCATCAAGGTAACTTTAACTTGTGTTTCTCAATAAATCATTCTGCATGTTTAAGAACTGGGTTGATCCTATTTGCCACCGTGACAGTTTTTTATTTCGGATTTAGATCATGGATTTGGTTGTTTTTCACATTGGTTGGATATTGTGTCTTTGTAACTAACTGTTTGTTAAAGAACAAATGCTGAAAACTGGTGCAGGGCATCTTCGGCAATCCATTTTCCTAATAGCATCAAATGCTGCAGCTCTGTTCCCGGCGTATTGGGCGCTTCGCAATCGGGTACTGCCCTGACTGACGACCACTTCATGTTTCTGGGACTAATGATTTAGCTGTCTTCATTTGAACTATTCGGCTTCCTTTTCCAGGCATTCCCAGAATGGGTTCTTTTCACATCCAGTGGTTTGGCAAGTGCCGTGTATCATGCATGTGATGTAGGCGCCGGGTGTCTGCTGACATTTCGCGTCTTACAGGTACAGGTTCTGGTAATAGTTTTTTCTTCCTTTAGCTTATCTCTAACCTGTGATTTTACCCTTCAGTTCTTCGACTTCTGGCTTTCATTCATGGCTGTGGTGAGCACATTTGTTTACCTGACCTCAATTAGTGATGCGTGGAAAAGGACAATATTCATTGTTGTGGCACTCCTAACAGCTCTTCTGGCTCAAACCAAACCCACACAGTACGCCTTCACCCCACCCACAAATCTTACTTTTCTGCTGGAACCAGAGTTGATCATAACACATTTTGTAGGTCGAGAAACATTGGCTATGTGATGGGCTTAGGAGCTCTAGGTCTTCTAGTTGGGTGGCTTGTTGAGTTCTTTGCACGGAATCGAACATTTCCTTTTTCAAGAGAGTTCAGTTTTAATTTTCTTTACAGGTAGGTAGTTAGAAGCCATTTCCATCTTCTAGAGGGATTCACTTTTATTTAAGGAATCAAGTGGTTGAGTCTTCTACAGCTTATAAACTATGTATGCCTTCGTCTGCTGAATGCAGATGGGAAAGTGTGAAAGGCTGGATTCGTAATACGATCAAGATAATCATACGGCGGTTCCGCTGGGGATTCATTGCGGCTGGAGTCATCACACTGGCCCTGGCTTCATTAGGCTGGAGAATGGAGACCACTGCCAATTACTGGATTTGGCACAGGTATGAATTGAATTTGATTGAATCATGATCAAATAAAAAGAATCAATCCATTGCTGATATCTGCTTGTCCTGCCATGCGCAGCTTGTGGCACATATTCATATACACGTCTTCCTTCTTCTTTCTCTGCTCGAAACCAAGAGTGCAGAACCAGCAAGCCTCCAACGGACGCTATGAGTTAACTCATCAAAATTCACTCAACAATCATCAACAACATTCGCCCAGGTAGGTTGGAACAAGGTTCTTGTCTACATATAGATCGATCCGAGACATAGATAGATAGATAGATAGATAGATGCAGATGCAGGAACACAATAACAAATGCTATGCTTGTTCCGTCCAATCAGTTGAAACCGCGCTGGTTATTATGATCATACTATCTTGTATGTATAAGTATATGTGGTGTTGTGTGAGTTAGTGTGTACTTTGGGTGTCATATCACATGCCCAACAGAACAAATGGGCAGGCCTCCAACTATCAATATTAAGTGATATGCAGTTAGCTCCTCCCACTTTAGGGTTAATTCATCTCATCTTTACCAAGAATAATTCTTGACATTGATAAACGATCGATATAATCCATTCTGTGCACGTTGCTCAATTTGGTCAAAAGGCACCCATTTCCCAAACCCGGACCAAACACTACTTTACTTTCCTAGATTAAGACAGCTAACAAGAGCAACAGTAAAACCACTAAAATAATTGTAATGATAGAAGAACCAAAAGTGTTGCTAGGTAGCTGCTTTTGTGGGGCTCTAACCTAACTCTCAAGACAAATGAAATTCATAATGCACCTTCAAAGTCAATCATTCACCCCCTAATAACTGATGATTAATATATATATATATATATATTACATACATTTGTGTGCATTTATTATACTTGTGTTTTTATTATTTTATGTAGTCCTGCGCCAGAACAGAAGTCTGAAGTGTTTGAATTTGGTTGTAGGGAATCCAAGATCATAGATGTCTCTCTGCCACAACATCCCATGATCCTCCGTCATCCACCATTAATAGTTTTTATACTCAGCTAGCTACTCCTCCGCAGTCCGCTTTCTCTCTCTGCCAGTTTACCAAAATACTCTTCTCTCTCAACATTCCACCAACGATAATTACAAGGGCGTTGATGTCATTCTTGACAACCTGACAACTACTTTTGTTCCTGTCCATGACCATGAGTGGCAGCAGCCTGACTTTTCAGATATCCATGAAATCAAAAAGTCTCTCTCTCTCTCTCTCTGCCACTGTGCTTGCTTTTGCAATATCTCAAGAACAAAAAAGCACCCCATCCTGCCTCCACCTCTCCAAATTGTCTGCTTAATCTACTGAAATGCTTTTACACGAGTATAATTCTTCGACCACAATGGCTATGGAGCATTTGGCCTTAGTTTTCCTCCTCTTTTCCTCCTTCTCATCGTATATCCTGACCGCAGCTTCTTCAGCGGAGTTCGGTGAAGGGGAGATTAATGGCGGCAGAAAATTGGAATCTTTGCAGAAACCGAAGGTAATTATTAGAGGGAACGCTTCAGTTACCAGTGTGAACAGGACTTTCCGGCTAGGGTTTTTCGCCCCAAACGCTGATGAGTTCAGATGGTACTTGGGGATTTGGTATGCCTCAATCCCTATCAGGACTTACGTATGGGTTGCGAACCGTGAAAAGCCCATAGAAAATTTGCAGTCGGCGAGAGCGGAGATCAACGAGGGAGGGAAATTAGCTGTGGTGGACGAAGGTTCTGGAACCATTCTATGGGAAACGAACAATGTGGAGAGAGCAAGCGACTTAGTTCTTCTGGAGCAAGGAAACCTGGTGCTGCTGAGCAGCGACGGCGGGATTGTGTGGCGGAGCTTTGATTTTCCGGCGGACACGTGGCTTCCGGGCATGAACCTGACCGCCGAACGGCGGCTGGTTTCCTGGAGGAGCTCCGTTGATCCATCCCCTGGAAGGTACTCTCTGAGACTGAATCCTCCTGGTTATGGCGAAATAGCTCTTTTCTATAGCAACTATAGTGTGGACGACGTCCATTCATATTGGAGTACTGGTAATTGGAGTGGAGATGCATTTGATGGTGTTCCTGAAATGACCATTCCTTACATATATAGGTTTAAATTCTTGTATCCTTTTACTCCAATGGCAACCTTTGGGTACTCCGAAGTGCCATTGGAGAGCGGCGCGCTGCCGCCATTAACTAGGTTCCTGTTAGACCACACAGGGCAGCTGAAGCAGTTCACTTGGTCTCAACAGAGTGAATTCTGGAGCATGTTCTGGTCTCAGCCAGAGAATGTGTGTAGAGTGTATGCATTGTGTGGCAATTTGGGGGTATGCAGCAGCGGTGATTCGTTGAATCCGTGCCGGTGTTTGAATGGTTTTGGACCCGTTAACAGTGTGTCCTGGGATAAGGAAGATTTCTCGGGGGGTTGCTGGCGAGGTGACAGTGAGACCTGTGGGAAAGATGGGTTTGAGGAGGTTGGAGTTGTTAGCTACCAGGCAGCAAGTGTTGTGTCGTTCAGTGGGAGCCGCAAGGACTGCGAGAGCGCTTGCCTAAGAAATTGTTCTTGTGTTGGTTTGTATCATAATGCAAAGAGCAATGCATGCAGCAACTTGTACGGTTCGCTTTTGAACCTGCGAAACTTTACGGCTGATAGCACTATCCAGGATACACTCTATGTGAGAGTGCAGTCGGATGGGGCTGCTGCTGGAGGGAGGAAGAGGAGGACGGGTGTTCTTATCGGATTGATTTGTGGTGTTCTTGTGATTTTGAGCATAGGAACTCTGAATTTGTTGTACTGGATGAGGCGAAAAGTTAGGCGAAGGAAGGGAGAAGAAGAGGGTGTGTTTCAAGTGTCGAATCTACGGGTGTTCTCTTACAAGGAGCTTCACGCAGCTACTAAGGGATTTTCCGAGAAACTTGGTCATGGAGGGTTTGGGGCAGTTTTTCGTGGGGAGCTGCTGGATTCATCTACGGTGGCTGTAAAGCGGCTTGAGAGACCAGGCGGCGGTGAAAAGGAATTCCGAGCAGAGGTTTGCACCATTGGGAATATACAGCACGTTAACCTGGTCAGACTGCGTGGTTTTTGCTGCGAAAGCTTGCATCGTCTTCTGGTATATGATTACATGCCGAATGGACCTCTCAGCAAGTACTTGCGACAGGACGGTCAGTGCTTGAGTTGGGATGTGAGATTCCGGGTGGCAGTTGGGACCGCGAGAGGCATTGCTTATTTGCACGAAGAGTGTCGAAACTGCATCATACATTGCGACATCAAGCCGGAGAACATCTTGTTGGACGAGGGTTTCGCGGCGAAGGTGTCGGATTTCGGATTGGCGAAGCTGGTGGGCAGGGACTTCAGCCGGGTGCTGGCAACAATGCGAGGCACGTGGGGATACGTGGCGCCCGAATGGATATCGGGGGTTGCCATCACCACAAAGGCCGATGTGTACAGCTACGGAATGACACTGCTGGAGTTGATAGGCGGCAGGCGCAATGTGGAGGGGCCGCCGTCCTCCAATGGAGGGGGCAACCAGACGGAGAAGTGGTTCTTCCCACCATGGGCTGCACGCCAGATAATCGAAGGCAACACCGCTGCTGTGGTGGATCACCGGCTCAGCGGCGCATACGACGAGGCAGAGGCGGAGCGTGCTGCATTGGTGGGTGTGTGGTGCATTCAGGACGAGGAGTCTGCGCGGCCGACAATGGGGACGGTGGTGAAAATGCTGGAGGGTGTGGTTGAAATGGGGGTGCCACCGCCGCCAAAGCTGCTGCAGGCGTTGGTTTCGGGGGAGTCGTTCCAAGGGGTCGGGGAGGAGTCGAGGAGGAGGGCACGCCAAGCATGCGGCGGCAGCAGTGCGGACGAGGATGAGGACGACGTCTCCAAGGAGTTGCCGATCGGGCAATCAGAATTGGGGCAGAGCCGGTACGCTGATACTGGGGCGGACGAGGTAAACCACAATACCGATGCGGATGCTCATAGGTTGCATCGAACGGAACAGAAGATACACCTATCTCAGGTGCTAATTAATGCCTGTCAGTCAACCACATCTGAGACTGAGAGGCAATGAAGGAAAGCTTCTTGCTTTTCTGACTTGACATCATCTCAGTAGATCGAGCCTCGGCCCTGCACGGCACTGATCATCATCATGCGGTGTGGTGTGATGGACCATTATTCTAATCAAATTATTGACTGTTGATTAATAATGCTCATCCATTAAGTACAGTAGTAATGGCTATGCTTCGCTGGCTGTAGCCTGTAGGCCCTGCCCCTTCCTTCTTTAATCGAGTAAAAAACCACCAGCAGCTATAGCTATAAGCTTGGATTCAGAATTTGGAGGGGAGGAGGGAGGAAGGGAGCAAGCAAAGAAAGCAATCTTATTCTACTTACTAGGCTTACCGTCCGTCCTTTCATTACATTCTCCGACGGTCCAAACCTGTTCTTGATTCCCTCGTTCGAACAAAGGCATTAATATTGAACCCGAGTCAATTAACCATGGTTAACCTATAGTTCCAGCTAAAAATCCTCTACCATCTCCGCTCACTTTCCTTTCCTTACACATCATTAATATTTTTAGATTCAACTCAAAAATCCCCATTTGTTCCTTCCTTCTCGTCCTCGATTTCGAAATTTGATTTATCCGAGAAAGGAAGAAATACGAAAACTTTCTTCCCTATTTCTACCCTTGGCCCAGCTTGGTCGACCCCTCGAAGATTCAAGAACTGGTACGTCCTTCTCTTTTCCCTATGACCCGTCCCGTCCATCTATTCACCTCGTATCATAATTTCTTAGATTTAGTTCCACGTAAGGGTTTGCTTCTGTAGCTCTGTACTTTCTTTCTTTGTTTCTCCCTATCCCTCTCTACTGTAGAGAGAGTAAGAGTACCATTCAAATATATGTTCAACCCTCATCTTTCATCCCGCCAAAACCCCACAAGCTCGATGGCTTTAATCGCTTAGCAGAGGTCCGAAACTTTTATATTTTAATCCGCAGGTTTTATTTTGAGTTCGATGGCACTTTGCCATTGCTGTTTTTCCTTTTCTATAGGTTTCTTGGTTCTTGATCTTAATGTGCTTGTTGTGCGCTTGATTTAATTTCCTACGTATCCGTTTGATCTGTAATGAATGTAATTTGCTTCTGAGGTCTGAATATATGTGGAATTCGATTGCAGGGTGGCTGAACAGATAGCTGGTGTGAAGTATCTATACTGTTCGTAAATCTCTGAAGCACTTGTTCTTCGACTTCACAAGGCAAACAAAAGTCTTTGGTGTTTCCTCTTTCACGCAGATGCTTCTGTTTATTGGTGAAGGGTTGTAAGTTTGTCTGTCCAAATAAGAATGAGGTGCCGATGTCATATGTTAAATTAGTACTATCCAGTTGACGAATTGGTGATGCAACGGTGCTTACGTTACGTGTTTCAACAAGGAGGATATTCGGAACGAAATTGCATTCTGGTTTATTAAGTTATTGACCACATTGGAGTGACATCTAAAGGTTCCGTTGAGTGGCTTCCTGTAAGGAGTCAAGAGGAGTGTGTGCATTGGAAAGAAGTGATGAGAACATGGATTTCTTGAACCTAATCGTAGATGTTAAGAGCATTGAGAAGAAGTGGACTAACGGAAATATAGGGAGTACTGTGAATGCTGATGAAAAGCATTTTGTGGCTGATAAGGTTGAAAATGTTGATGATTGTACTGCTGATAATACTTCTATTAATAGGAAAAGAAAATACGATTATTATGCGGGCATGCTGAATTGGATTCGTAAGGTTGCAAAAGATCCTTGTGATCCTGCTACCAACCATTTACCTGATAAGAGTAAGTGGAAAAATTATGGAAGCGAACAGCCCTGGAAGAAGATTCTTTTGGCTCGTGATGCAATGCTTCTGAAAAAGAACCTCGGTGCAAGTTCTGAACAATCAGTTTGGCAGGTGCAGTGTGTTTGATTCCAAAGATTAAATATAGCACCATGTTTAACTGTTCTTTAATTTGTATGATTTCGCCTAATGGTTGATATGTGCTTGTGTAGACATTATCTTCACTGTTTTGGAGTCGGTTTGGACACAATAAACTTATCAAAGTTAAATAATCATTGTTTTAGATGAACATCTCAGATCAATGAAATAGAGGTGGTACTGAAATTTATGCTGCTAATCTCTCGTCAATGGATATTGCAAATGAAAATAGTTGAATTGTATTATTATTGCATAGATGTTACAGTGTTCAAATAGATCGCACTACCGGGAAAGAAATAATAGTGAGAAAGTATTATGTGCTAATCCTTTGATCTCAGGTTGAAATAATAATCTTTTCACTTTAGAATCAAAACTTGGCACGTAATGTTTCTGTGGAAATGTCGACTAATTGATTTCTATACCTTGCAGAAGAAGCAAAAGATGCATCCAAGCATGTACAATGATGATCAATGCAGTCCTGTAGGGTCAAGATGCAGCCAAAGGCTCCTTGGAAAGGAATCTTCTCTCAAATCTCATGAACAGCTTGTAGCAGATTCATCTTCCTCAAGTTGTCTGAGTGACGATGATTTTACTGATAGACAGTCTGATGCAGCTGGTGAGTCTCCAGGATTTTGGGCTAAATATCGTCGCAAGAAGCGAATTCGCATAGGGGCTCCTTATCAAGGAGATTTGCCAGATTTGTGTGGAGTTGATTACAGAAGTGATTCTAAATGGTTGGGTACCAAAATTTGGCCACTTGAAGAAGGAGAATTGAACCGAAACTTAATCGAAAGGGATCCTATTGGTAAGGGAAGACAGGAATCATGTGGTTGCCAGTTTCCAGGCTCTCTTGAGTGCGTAAGGTTCCATGTTCGGGAGAAAGCCATCAAACTGAGGCTTGAGTTAGGCCCGGCTTTCTACAGATGGAAATTTGACAGCATGGGGGAGAAAGTAGCGTTTTCCTGGACAAACACTGATCAAAACATGTTTCAGGACATTGTGCTGTCAAACCGTTTGTCATCAGATAAGTACTTCTGGGATGAGCTTTTCAAGTTATTTCCTAAGAAAGGCAGAGAAGTTCTGGTGAGCTACTATTTCAATGTTTTTCTGCTCCGGCGCAGAGCCCAACAGAATAGAAGCACTACAAGTGACATTGGCAGTGATGATGAAGACTCAGAATTTGGTCCCATTGCCAACAAATTCGGTCAATTGGCTTCGAAATCTCCAGGCTCCATTTTTCGCTCCCCAACAAAATCTCATTCAACTCAAAGATAGCCTCGATACGCATTACTACTACCTGCAGCATTGCAGTATTTTGTCTTTCACGGTATCCTACAATCTTGAAACCACTTGAGGTGTTGTATATTGGGTGATCATCCACAAAATGTCCGAGCGAGGATGCATAGGAGCATATGACCAACGGATTGTACTAACTTCTGCGCTGACGGCTCTGTACATCAATGCCTCTCAAATCAACTTGGCATGAACATCAACAAATTTTTGGCAAGTGTCTCCAAATCCTCATATTTACTGTAGCATTCTTATGATCTTGGATTATTTATCTCTCTTGATATTGCAACTCGGATTTAAAATGATGATAAGTTGAATTCTTGAAGCTGTGCACATTTAATAGAAATGATATTGTTGGGTTTATGTATCAATTTATCAATGTATATTGCCTTGTTCTCCTACTCCACAATTAATGAATTCCTAGTATTTGATTCTTTTAAGGCTGAAAGGAGCCAATACTTGCATAGTTTTTGGTGAAGTTAGTGTTTGTCTAAATAAGTGAATCTCTAGGACCCCACTTGAGAATATACACACAGGTACATACAGTCTTGGGTACATCACATAAATTTATTCAGTTGCAGGTAGAATATGTCTAATATATGTCTATATATATATATATATGGAAAAGAAAGCCTTATTTGATGTCAGAACTACATTGATCATGATCAACTTTAATGCCTCAAAATTCTAAAGTCTCATTCCCCACCTCCAATAATTGTTGCCTGGCTGGTTGCAACTTCAATTAAAAGTCTGATGACAGGGTTCAATTAAAACTTCATATTTTAGTCTCTTGTTTAGGACACTGACAAGTCCTTATTGTAATAGAGCAACAAGTGGTTGGACTTAAATATATTTGCAGTTCTGTCATGTAGTTGAGATATTACTACTTGTATATTTTGATGATGCAAGATTTGGTCACTAATAAGCATTCTGGTGTGCTTTTGGAACATATAAAAGGATGGCTCATCATTCAATTCTGTCCCTTTACTGAATGCAATCAATCAAACACATAACAATTAGGGGCTTTCTTGTGGTTGGTGGACTTTTTTTTTTCTTGTTTCTGGAACAATTACTGATTGATGGAATAAAATAATACTGGAAAATGTGGTAGTTTGATGAATAAAAAATTAAAAAAAGCTTGTATGCTTACCCACTATTCAAGCTTACTCGTATTTCCTTCCAATATTATAATCAGTTGCCTTGCCTAAACTTCAAAGCAATCATTTATGTCATCAGGGATTTATTTTGTGTGAGTATATATATATAGATACATTTCACAAGATGCCAGAACTCCTTTTAGTTACTTATTTTCTTGAGCAACATACATGCACATATATCTGTATATATATAGAACCAAGTACATATGCGGGCCCACAAGATGGCCCAATTTCCAGCCCACTGAGCCCAATTTCCAGCCCACTGCATGCATCAACATTGAACGCCACCCGGAAACGCAGCTATGGGATGAACTGATCATGTCTGGATAATGATACCACAACAATGTGTATGAATTGTAGAAATCATATTATAAACGAACACAAGTTTTTTGAATACCTGTCCATGTATTAAATATTAAAGTAAGAAATGAGTGGATAAGACATGGAAAAGTAGCCCTTATGCAGATTATGACAAAATGATACATTTACCGGCCAGGACAGGAATCTTGAAAATTGGGAAACTACAGTATAATTGAAAACTTGCCTAAATATAGAGAGCTGATTGATTAGATAGGATACAGTTCATAGGTGTCTGATCAATACACATATACAGACGTATATATAAATATATACATATATTACTTCACACGCACATCACACACGCACACCCCCACAATACCCTTGTGCCTTGTTTATCCCATTCCTTCCTCCTCTCAACTCTCTTCTTTCTCCACTTTTAACAAACATCTCAAAATTCTTGATTTATTTCTCCACCACTTTTGCTTTCCATCACTGCAAAATCACAGGTGAAGAAGAAGAAGCCCAAGAGTTTGAGACACAGATTGTAAGGATGTCTTCCCCAAGCAAGAGGCGTGAGATGGACTTGATGAAGCTGTAATTTCCTGAACCACGTTTTTTCTTCTTCCCCTTTTCTATGGGTTTGCTTGTGATTTCAGGCAATTTCTTTCTTCACAGAAAGTTTTCCTTTCCAACTAATTTCTGAGTTTTCTGCTCTGATGAAATAGGATGATGAGTGATTTCAAAGTGGAGATGATCAATGATGGGATGCAGGAATTCTATGTCCATTTCCATGGCCCCAACGAAAGTAATAAAATCTTCCAAACCCACTCCTCAATTTTTATTTTTATTTATTTATTTTTCTTCATCTTTAGCTGTCTAATTGAAAGTTGTTTGGGGGGTTTGTTGAACTCGGCTGGAAATTTTAGGACATATGTTTTGTTAAGAATCTTGTGCAGGAAATGGGAAAGCAACTCTTTATATGTAGCTCTGTTTGATGTCTCACTTATGGTAAAGAATTAAAGATGTTTCTTTTTCTTTTTGATGAATTAAATGTTGTTTCAAGGGCTTGACTGGATCAATTATTCAATTTAATGAACCCTAAAAGATATGATGCATATGTTGGTGTTTTTGCACAACATTCTTGTTCAGGAAACAATGCTGAATCCTTGTTTCTGTCTGTTTTATTGAATGCTCCAAACGAGATGTAATAATAGGTCCTTACCACGGAGGTGTATGGAAAATAAGGGTGGAGCTTCCGGATGCTTATCCATACAAATCTCCATCCATTGGATTCATTAACAAGATCTATCATCCAAATGTGGACGAAATGTGAGTTGTCTGTCTTGCTTATTTTGGTTTCCCAAGCTGTGTTATCTTTCAACATTTACTGTTGATGGATCATTTGATTTTGTCATCAATTTGCAGGTCAGGGTCGGTTTGCTTGGATGTCATCAACCAGACATGGAGTCCTATGTTTGGTAATGTGGTATTATATTCTGCATACCGTTTTTTAGGTTTCACTGAATTTCGATGACTTGTTGTCTGCTGTCCAGACCTGGTGAATGTTTTCGAGGTGTTCCTACCGCAGCTGCTTCTGTATCCGAATCCATCAGACCCGTTGAATGGGGAGGCTGCAGCGCTAATGATGCGTGACCGAGCTGCTTATGAGCTGAAAGTAAAAGGTACTGATAATCTCCATTGTATTACAAAAGCAAGATTTTTGTCTATTAATGTTGTCTTCTTCATTGCAATTACACCTTCTTGAATGTCGTGTTGTATTTGGATAACATTATTGCGTGTGTGCCGAATTCCCAGAATACTGCCAGAAATATGCTAAGCCTGAGGACGTGGGGCATGTCCCGGAAGAAGAGAAATCAAGTGACGAGGAGATGAGCGAAGATGAATACGATTCCAGCGACGAAACAGGGGTGGTCGGGGCAGTGGACCCGTAACATGGTCCATCCATCGTAATGTCTTCCTCACAGGCTGTAGTATTTTCAATTGCACATATTGAAAGGAAAATGGTGAAAAGGAAATGGTTGTGTCCATCAAAAGAATGATTATGATTATGATTATGATTATGATTATCAAGTAATCCTACGATTGATTTCATACTCTCTCTCTCTCTGTCTGTATAAACTGGTGTAGTAAGTAGTAGTAGTAGTAGCTGTATGTGATTCTGCATTATTAATGTATGTCTTCCTAACTGACTTGACTTGAGTTCCTCATTTCATCTGCATTTGTCTGCCGGTTTTGTTTGTTGCCTATATACTTTGATTCATCAGATAAAATTAAAATCGGCAGTTACCGCGACTATCGACAATACATTATTATAATCGTTAAAATGGTGCTTCTGTATATTATTATCACATTGCTCTACTACTTATATTTCAACTAGTATTAAATTGGGGCATGTTATGTTCTCAAGTGCGCAGGATAAGAGGTTCCGTGCGCACCCACCGCCACCGCCCATATATCATACATACATACATACATAGACAGACATGTGCGTCTGCTTCGCCAAATCTCCGCTTCAGTTCCGACGCCGTGGCATGGAAGTCAGTAATGCCGTCCTCCTCGCCCTACTCCTCCTACTTGCCTCCCGAGCATCCATTACTTACAGATTTGCCTGCGCATCTCAGAGGAAGATCCATATTCCGGACGAATTGGACGATGTCGTTGACGATGAGGAGGACGAGGACTGGCGGGAATGGGGAAGGACCAAGACGGAAACCGATTTCGACCCTCCGCCGGATTTCACCACAATGAACCTCCAGGAAATGCAAGACGAAATGATGAAGCGCCAACTCGGACCTGTTTTTGGATTTGTTAAGCTCCGACCAGGACGCCGCCGCACTCCGGTAATGATCTGGCTCTTCCGTTTCCTTTGAAGTTAGGTTGTTCTGAAGCTAGTGCTTATAATAGGTTTTTGTACTGCATAATCCATGAATTTTCCGAGAATGTGATCTGATAGACGTGCACAAACGCTTTAGCGTACCAATAGAGAAGTGAGAAAACCAATTTGATTTAGCAATAATTGCAAGAAAAACTAGATTAGAGTAAGTCACAGGGGTGCAAATATGTCCACTCTACGATCCATCCCTATCTGTCTGAAGAAAATTTTATTTGCAGGAGATGGTATCAGAAACTGCCATGAAATGGACTAAAGTTGCAAGAACCGGGGCGATAGAGGCAAAGTTCTCAGGCGTAGATGTTAGCACCATTATGTTCACAATGCAGAGAGGTCAAGATGCATTGGAGGTTCGTTAAACTTTCAGAATTAAATTTGTGGATTGATTCTGATTCTGATTCTGGGTAGGTAAAACACCATTCTCGTGTGTTGAAATACGGTTCACCTAACAAGGGGATTCACACTGATGACACCTCAGATGGGGTTTTGCAGCACTGGTAATTCTGTCTTTCACTTGTACAATATTAACTAGTGTGTTCTTCTTTCCATGGCTGCAGTTAAAAGAGTTCCTATTAAATCAGCCTGAGGCTTACGAGGTTAAGATGGGTGATCAGTTGTTCAGAAGGCCAGGGGATCCTTCATTTGATGAAGTGTTCCAGAAGCTCCAATCTGAGAAAACTGCAGGTTCGTCTACCCACCATGAGCTTTAATCGTGCAGAATACTACTCTGTTTCCCCGATGATTTCCTGCACATTCATTGGATACACACACATTCAATCTTGGCAACTTCCTATACATAATGAATTAGTACACGGCTCATGTTGGCAACTTGATCCAAATCCAATGCTCCTGAGCTTTATCCAGTGTTCTTGTGCTAATTCCAGCACCAGGATTCTGTTTAGAACTCACTCTTTGCTGAATTCAAAATGAAGGAATAAATATATCACATCCACTCGTATCGTGTAGGGAAGAACAACAGTTGCTACTGTTATTGTAATTTAGAGCAATACTTGAATCTGAAATAATACATCACTTTAGCTTATTGCTGAAATCCAGCAACTGGATAATTTGAATTCGAGGAATGCTAGCTGCTGCCTCTCGCTCTTTTCGAGTGTTATAACCCCAATCACCTGTTTTAAATTTACTCAAGTTGAAAATGCAGCTGAGCAAAGCCAAACAACAAACGTAAAGATCAGCAGGGATAGTCAATTACCCAGATACAGGTTCCATTCGTTCAATTCAGGCTCTTTAATTACATTCTTCAGCGTTGCCAGCCGGTCTTCAACAAAGCTTTTGAACAGAGAACACCATTAGTATTAGTCTCTATGACTTGTACCCCAGAAGCAGCTAGTAATGAACTATGTTATGGGTTCTTACTGAAGGGTTAGACCTTGGTGCTCTGGCATGTCCTGAAGCTGTTTCAGCACTTTCACTTTGGGACTGACAGACATCAAATTCAACATCAAACACAACTCCCGCACACACACACACACACACGCGCGTTGGATATATCCTTTCTTGAACATCTTTACTCTTGCAAAAACCTACCCAGTTCCCAGACCGTAGATTCTTTCAGGTGGAATACTGACTCCAGCAAGCTCTCTAAGTAATGCATCCGCAAACCGGCTCTGCATACAAGTACACTTTCAACAAGCTGACAATAAGAAACATAAGCTTCCTTGCCCGATTAGGCGTTAGTGTTACAGATCATGAGGTCCAGGTATCCTTTTTTTTTTTTTTTGTTTGAACAGAATGCAAGTATGCGGATTGATGTCATTTCTTGTTAAACAGACCTGCTTTGTTGTGACAATATAGAGCTTTGAGCTAGCAAACTTCAGAGCATCTGGAATACCAGGATAAAATCTGCATATTATACATAGTAATGATCAACATTTTCTTCTACATCGATCTAATGCGAGTAGGAGTGACTACTACATGAGTTCATACAACCACAAAGGAGAAAGTGAACAAAAAAACTGTAATACTCTCTACACACACTTCTTTCCGAAAATCAACAAACTTACACAACTACGTGAAAGAGAATGCCATACTGCAACAACTTCATCTGAAAAACCAAAAAAAATTATACCTGTTGGCACCTATCCAGGTAGCCAAGTCGTTGTCCATCCATTCATCCCTGACCTTTCCGAAAAGATCAATTAGCTCATCCCGAACCTCCTCCCACTCTGTCATAATAACAGGCTTTATCTTCAACCAGTTCTCCAATATATCCTCAACAGTAAGCCCTTGGGCAACCTAGCACACAAACCATGAATATAAAGTCATGCATCAGCCATTAACAACAAGGTACCAAATATGTAATATGTTGGAGGCCTCAGCTATCAATAATAAGACAAGGAGTACATATCATGGTTAGATACCCACTGACGACGTCCGAACACGAGGAACTTGGCTCTCCAACAGCAACCTCACAAGTAGCACATTTTCGTATCCGGTTTCTACCACCGGTCGAACCTGAAAGCAGCAATCAGTCAAAGACTAATTACAAACAAACAAACAAACACACCGAATCATCTTCTGATATACTCAAACAGAAATAACACAATTACTATGTGCATCTGATCGACAATCCAATCCTCCAAAGGCTTTTCCACACCATCAAACAGCCTTGGCCATCTTACTTTAGCAGCCTACAGCAATTGCAACACCAGTCACATAAATAAAAATTTTTTAAAAAAAAAATGCACAAACAAACATCTCCCCGAACACGAGAATATAATTCTCTTCAGTCCACATCCAATCGAACTAAACAAACACAAGACACAAACATCTTTGACAGTGCCACAACACGAGCAACCGAACCAAATGCCATCGAAACCAATTGAAGCCGAACAAGCAGCATCATACGCATGACATGCATTTGGCAATTATAACAATACCTTGACAGCAGAGAGAGAGCTCTCCCCACAGCTGTCACACAGAACTCCATCAAAATCCAGAGCATAAAGATCTCCCATCACTCCGCCACGCCACGGTCAATCGCAAACCAAAATGCAGATAACGCTGTGCTCGTTATCTGTCACAGCGAAGCTCCATCATCATAACCTAATTGGACTCAAATAGTCCCAATCTTAACGGTTCATATATATTAGCCCAATTTCGAAATTTCAGCCCAAAAGGATTTCTTTACATCAAAGGAAAGAACTTACGCACTCTTTTATCTTCGTCTTATTTATTTTAATGTCACTCATATGGTCAAAGTCAAGACAGAAGCGGGTGTTCCAGGTAACTGTAGTCCGTAGGACTTAGCAGCTAAAAACGACGCCGTTTCTCTTTTACAGTCGGTAAAACCACTCTCCACGTCTTGAAACCGCAACCGGCCATCCCGGTTTCCGGCGCCCACTTTTTCTTTTTTGTTTTTACCCTCAATAAATACACCTGCGGGCTTTTGTCCACCTTTGTCTTCGTCGATTTCCCCGCGGAGCTTTTCTACTCTTTGGTTGTTTCTTCGGTGTAATCAGTGCGGTGGATGTGAGTATTTGTTTTGATTTACGATTGATTAGTGTTTCTTCTCGATTGCTTCGGTGATTTAGGAGTTGAATTTCGGTTCGTTTTGTGTGTTTGAGGCTTTTCGTTATTGGAAATTGGTGGTTGATCTGTACGAAGATTGTAGAACTTGGAGTGTTGAGGAGATTGTTTCTAGGCGAGGTTTTGCTTGAATTTTCTTATTTATGTTTTTGGTGATTGTGTGCACCTCTGAGTTCTGTTATTTAGTCTTTCATGTTGATTTGAAATTAGAGTTGGATTCGATTGTGTGATCTGATATTAGGGTTTCGTGCTATTGGTGAGAAAGTTTTATGGACGGTTGTTATATTTGGAAAATCGTGGTTATTGGATTTATTGGATAGGACTATGCACTCTTTTTAAGATGATATATTGTTTTCTTATCTTTCTTATTTGTTGCTATATGAAAACAAAAATTAAACCCCTGCAGAGGCATGGGTGCAAGTGAGTTAGGTAAATGTGTCCATACTTTGGTGGATCCGTGGCTGATGCAACAATTTTACTAGAACATGCTTGTTAAATGAATAAGAATATATCATAAGTTCAATTTTATGTAGTTGAGGTTTGGCTGGTTTGCAATTAATAATTTTTTAAGTATCAATATGAAATTTGCTAATAAATAATAGTCCTATCATTAATTGAGTTCTTATGATATTTCATGTTTGTATCATTATATTTATCTGAGTTTAATTTTGATTGGATGGATGATATCAAATTACCACAGCAATCAACACACGATCCGCTACGGTACCCATTCTTATTGGAATATCTGATTTGCATTAAATTTGGATTCATCCTTGTGAACTATTCTGGTCTCCACACAAAAATAGTAGTACCCAATTATCTCAAGGGCTGAATCATATTTTGAGCTGCAAACACTTGAGACCTTAACTAGCAAAAGTGCTAAATATTTTGACTTATGATTTGAAGGCTTGATGTTGGATTTTTTGTAGCATCTATTCTCCTTATACCACCAGTTTAATCTAAACATCTATAACAAACTTTGCACAGTACACTTGACCTATGAACAATCATATGAATTTTTCATATTTGATTATTTAGCTGAAATTTATGCCTGGTAGAACTTGCTTCTGCAGATGTCAGATAACAAGGAGGACGAGACTGTCCCTAAAGGAAACGAATGGGAGGTTGTAGCTCTTACAGAATCTGCATACGCTGCTGCCCCTGGTCCCAAACAGAACATTTTTGATGCAATCGGGGATAATAGTGCAGAGACAGCTGATGCACTGTTCATGTCTGGCCACTTCAAATATTCACCAAGCATTCATGAGAACATGCTAGTAGAAGCTGGTTCCAAGGAGAAACCCAGTGGAATGGGCAGTGATAGCATTCCTGAAGCCATCGCCTATGAAGGCAGTAAATCAGAATCAAAGAGTGTGGATGATATACACCTGGAAGGACTCATTTCTGAGGAATTCCCTGAAGCTCCAAAATTCAAGGAAAAAGGTGGCAGCGGGTCATTCTATAGTTCTGATTTTGAAGATGTTGCTTCCTCAAACCTGATGGTGAAAGAGCAGGCCATGTACAGGGCTGAGAAATTCAGTTCTTATGATGATGAAGCTACTGCAGGGAGGTCGTACGCTACTGATGAGGACATTGGAGTTGCTGAACCCTTTGAGCCTTTGGACCATGCAATTGATCCATGCCTGTCAAATGTGCCAAAACATAATGAAGATGATAAGTTTGATGAATTGCCTGGTTTTTCCTGTGAGGGGTGGTGGAAAAGGCATGCTTCTTCCTTGTATGATCATGTGAAAAATGTTAACCCGTATTGGTCAATTGTTGTTGCTGCAGCTGTTGTTGGGCTTGTGATTATTGGTCATCGGTGGCAGCGGGATAAGCCACCAGTTTTAAAGCTGAAGTCTCAGTTGGTTATTGATGATAAGGTACTTACTAAATTCTACTTTGAAAACTCAACTCAGTTGGAGCTTCACTGCATAACTTTCATGTGGCATATAGACTTTTTTGTTTTTTTCGGTCCAAGCAAAATGAGCAACTTGCAAGGTTCTTCATCAAATATTTCATCTCTATGTGATCAATATTCAGTTTTGTATTCGTGCACTTACCATAGTTTACTGTTTTCTATAGTTGGTTTATTCAGTTGTGACTGTCTCCTTGGTGTTTTGAATTTGCTTTGCTATCTGGATGATAACCCTTCAATATTACCTGATGTTAATATGCCTACACATCCATTGTAGGGATCTCACTGGATTCTTGGTCCTGTGGCTCGACTAAAAGATGTTAGTTTGGGAAATCAAAACGGCTCATACCTGAGAGCAAGCACGTCCACAGGATTATAATTATTAAGTTCAAAATGAATGGTGAAAAAGCGTTGCTGGATGATTGACCAGATTTGATTTGTGTAGTGAGTGATTATGTTTGCGTTGGGTTCTCAGCAATGCATAAACAATCATGAGGATGCCACCGATGATCTGGAAGTCATGGATGTGTATTACCACCATTATTGATGTGTGTTATTTAGCTGTGTATAAACAAAGCTCTGTAAGCAAGCAGTCGTATCAACAACACCGGACAGACAACACCCCATATCCATATGCTGCAAAACTACATGGATTACTGTAATTAAGTATATGGCATCTCGATGCTTTGCTACTATTGCTGTGTGTATGCTGTTTTTATGTCTTTTTCAAGTTGTCCCTTTGTGTGGCAATGTCACCCTCTGCTATGTTTTTTACTGGTTCTAGGCGATGAACTCGACTGCAATTTTAAATGAATTCCTTTAAGTGCAATTGCCAAAAACAGGATCTCGATCAATCAATCAATCAATACATACATTATTATGTGTTTCCACTCTAGAGTAATATACTTGTAGCAGCACTTGTACATTGGGCATCGCCTGAAAAGATCCCAGTCTTTCTTTTTGTTTTGATGATGATGGATCAAGTTCATGGATTTACTTACCGCCCGCTCATTGAAATCTTTGTCTGTAAGAAATCTGGTCTTCCATGTGATCCCATCACTTGGAAGTTAAACTTACTACCAATGTCCATCTGCATAGATGATAGTTGATGGGGTGATGACCAGAAAAGCACAAATGGAACAGAGGAGAAGAAGAAGAAGAGAAACAGATTGATTGTTTATCAAATATGCTTTAAAAATGGCTTGTAGGAGTCTGAAGTTCCCCTTATCAAAATACTTGTTAGCAAATCGAATGAACAACCAGCCAAATTAAACTTGAGTTGGTCCTGAAAATGGTCCAATTGTTAGCATGATTTTGCTGCAATTAATCTAGTTGGTAAACTGTTGTTTATGGATATTATGATAGGATTGGATTGTTGTTTCTTTGCCTAAGAAGACTTAGGGACCTGAATTGCCCTCTACTGCAACAGTATTTAAGGTTCTAACTGTTAACCAATTTTGGCCTTCATATTTAAAATTTATATATATATACTTCCATGTGAGGACGATTCAATGCTATCTTCATCTCATTGCTCTAGCTAGACCAGCTGATGGAATCATTAAACTCATATTTTATGATTCCTAACTGGACATGACTCCTATAGTAATTAGTAAATGCTCTCTGTATTTATTTATTCATGTATAAGGAAGGAGGGGTAAGCAAGAAGCGACTCTGGCCTGTTCTCAACCAAGCTGCTCTGTTTACAAGTTAAATTTTTTATGCAGGAAATAGCCATAGCCAGCTGCATATATATTTTCTTTACTAAGCTGTGCCTGTGTGTTAAGGATTGCGCATTTATTAATCCATACTAGTGCTTTTCTTGGTAAGCATTGCATTGAAGTAGTATTATATTTTTGCAACCTGAAGATGTTTCCTCTGAATTAGCACAATGCGATGGTCCCTGAAAGGGAAGCCACCGAAATCAGGTGACATTTTAAGCAATAAAAAATGTTGAATAAATGAGGGGTTTGACTTTGTTGTGTTGGCAGGAATATAATCAAGGGTTGACTTTGGGCACCTCTGGCTCTACCGCGCGCATTGAATTCTTGGTCTTAAGAGATAAACATCACGTGAGTTACACAATAAAAGATTTTTGAGTGGCGCAATAAAAGGTGAGGTGGGTGATTTGCATAAAGAGTCGTTGGTGAGCTGCTCACCAAAATGTTAACAAAGAAGGAACAAGCAAGCAAGCAAGCAAGCCATGTTTCAGTTGTGAGTCAAAGTATGTATCTAATTAACAGTCAAAGTACTCCCTCCCTCAATTTCTGGTAATCTCTCTCTCAACTAACTTCATTCACCTCTCCCTCTCCCTCTCCCTGGTACATATGATACACTATTTCTCTGCCCATCTTTTCAGAGTGGATCCCTCTTCTTCTTCAATGGGCTATTCATTCTTTTGGCTCTCATTTGAATCTCCTGGCTCCAACTGCCTCTGATATGCATTTATGACTATCCTGTGAATTGGCACCAATAGATTTATGTATTGTATTGTATTGTTGTCTTGCAACATAACACAAGTCTCAGACTCCCTTATTTACTTACTATCTTCACCATTCAATATTCAATATTCATCCTCCCCCTCTTATATAAACTCCCCTCTTTCCTCTCACAACACACGCACACAGCCTTCTAGTTAGTCTTCAATTCAAACCAATTGAGGAAATATATAAATCTTTTTATGGAGATTTTCTCATTATCGCCATTGTTGTTGTTGTCGGTCACTGGACTCACCTGCTATTTCCTCTGGTTTGCCTTCTTGTCCAAGAGTCTCAAGGGCCCATGTGTCTGGCCCCTATTGGGCAGTCTCCCAGGCCTGATCGAGAACGCCGACCGCCTCCACGACTGGATCGCCGATAACCTCCGCGCCTGTGGCGGGACGTACCAGACGTGCATTTGCGCCCTGCCCTTCTTGGCCCGGAGGCAGGGCCTGGTCACCGTCACATGCGACCCCAAGAATCTGGAGCATATACTCAAAACCCGGTTCCAGAATTACCCCAAGGGCCCGACTTGGCAATCGGTGTTCCGTGACCTCCTTGGCCATGGCATCTTCAACTCTGACGGCGACACGTGGCTGCTCCAGAGGAAGACGGCTGCTCTCGAGTTCACGACTCGCACGCTGCGCCAGGCCATGGCTCGCTGGGTCAACCGCGCCATTTACACTCGCCTCTGCCCCATTCTCAAGGCGGCTCAGCTCGAGGCGCGCCCTGTCGATCTCCAGGACCTCTTGCTCAGGCTTACCTTCGACAACGTGTGCGGCTTGGCTTTTGGCAAGGACCCCCAGACCCTGGCTCCGAGCCTGCCGGAGAACGCCTTCGCCTTGGCTTTCGACCGAGCCACCGAGGCTTCACTGCGGCGCTTCATTCTCCCGGAAGTCGTGTGGAAGCTCAAGAAATGGCTTCGGCTTGGTATGGAGGTCGGCTTGGCCCAAAATCTGGTCGAGATTGAGGAGTACTTGTCCGGCGTGATACGCGCGCGTAAGCTAGAGCAGGAGCAGGAAGACGGCAATAACAACGCCGATTTGCTGTCCAGATTCATGAAGAAGGAATCCAGCTCCAACAAATCCTTGCAGCACGTGGCGCTGAATTTCATCCTGGCCGGACGGGATACCTCCTCCGTCGCGCTCAGCTGGTTCTTCTGGCTGCTGATGCAGAATCCGAGGGTGGAAATGGCGATTCTAACCGAGATATGTACGGCCCTGATCGAGACACGTGGCCCCGACGTGGCGGTGGATTCGTGGTTGGATGAGCCATTGTCCTTTGACGAAGCCGACCGCTTGGTGTACCTAAAAGCTGCCTTGTCGGAGACGCTCAGGCTTTACCCTCCGGTGCCGGAGGACTCCAAGCATGTGGTGGCTGACGACGTTTTGCCGGACGGAACGTTTGTGCCGGCGGGATCGTCGGTCACGTACTCGATATATTCGGTGGGTAGAATGGAGTCGGCGTGGGGAGAGGACTGTCTGGAGTTCAAGCCGGAGAGGTGGTTATCCGCCGGCGGGGATAAGTTCGTTACGCACAGTGCTTACAAGTTCATGGCGTTCAACGCGGGGCCGCGGATTTGCCTGGGGAAGGAACTCGCGTACCTGCAAATGAAGTCGGTAGCTGCGGCGGTGCTCCTGCGCCACCAGCTGACGGCGGCGCCGGGGCATAAGGTGGAGCAAAAGATGTCGTTGACGCTGTTCATGAAGAATGGGCTGAAGGTTAATGTCCAGCCTAGGAGGAATTTAAGTTCAATTGTGGCAAGTATAGTGAGCAAGAAAGAATCTTGTGACAAAATTTGAAGATTCCGGCGAGGGTTGTAGTAGCCTAGCTGGGAGACGAGCGAATTGCGTCAATCTTATTTTTTTTATTATTATTTCTTAAATTCAATTTTAATGTAGACGATTTTCAGCTATTATCATTTTAATTCATTAGTTAATAAATTTGTTCTCACTGACATTTTGGGTACATGCAATGCAATAATTAAGCATAAAGTTTTTGTAGATGGACCAGGACCAGGCCCATGTCTATATTAGATAAGCCCATATTCGTAGTAGAAGCAATTCAAACCTCTTAACGACGTCGTTGGCTGCCACTTGGGAACTCTGTGAAAGAACATCGACCTCTGACGGCTGCTCCGGCGGCAAGTCCAAGTATACTTGATCCTCTTTGCTTTGATTTCGTTTCCTTTTGCTAGTTTTAGTTTTAGTTTTAGCTTTCCGTTTTGTGTTTTGCGTGTGTGTTGTTAGCCATTTGCTGGGGGCGGAACGGAAGTTAGTACGCCAGAAAGCATTTATCTTTAATTGGAGTTCGTGTGTTGCGTGGGAAAGGTTTGATATTGATTAACCTTGGTTTGGTTTGAACAAGCATATGTATGTATGATAGGAAATAGGAATGCCTTGTTCTTGATCTTGCTCTTTGATCTTTCTTTTTTGCGTGAGTCTTTGCAGGTTGAAGAAGGGATTATTAATTATTATGTTCGTTTCTAAGTTTTATCGTCTAGGAGTTCATGCAGCCAAACATTTGATGAAAGGTCTGTTCTGCCATTCCATTGATTGATGTAATTTATTCATTGAGATCTTCGGTTTCCTGTAATCTCTGTTGATAAATGGATTTAGTCGCTATCTTTTAGTTTAGTTGATTTCTATCCATCTCATTTACAATTAACTTCAAAAAAATTATCATTGTAGAATAGAATACAAAGCCAGGGCTGAGATTATACTTTGACATTGAATAGAATGCAAAGGGTCATTTCTGCAATACTCTGTCTATATATTGGGCTCACGCTTGATTATAATTTCTACTGTTGGAAATGTTAAATGGTTTGGAATATTTTGTTAATGGCATTTTTTGCAAGTAGTGTAATCTTTTTCTTGCTTTACTTTGTTCCTTGGCTTATGTTATAAATTGTCATTTTATTTTTATTTTTATTTTCATATTGCAGCTCCACCTCTTACTCAGAGGACTCCATATTTTTCTGTGGTTCATTCACAATACATACATGGCCAGGTTAGTATATTAATTAATTATCTTCAATATATCAGGTCAAGGTTATGTATTTTCAGAACTGTTCATTGATGTTTTGAATAGGCCATTTAAATATACTTGGATTGATCTTAGCAATTCAAGATTATATAATATGCCTAAGCTTAATAAGTTCCATTCTAAGTTGAGTCACTCATGGAGATTAAAATAGAAAGCAAATATGATTAAACACTGAAAAGAATCACAAATTTTCTTGAGATCCTTTTAGCTTTCTTCTATCCAGAGAAAGAGAATAAAATTGTATTGTCATCTTCCCTTCTCATCCAGAATCAGCTCTGTGCTTTTTCGCGAGGCCCAACCTTGGCAAATCTAATATGTTATTTTTTCTTTTCCTTTAGGGTTTGTTACTTTCAACATTAATCTTATCGTCTAATCATTTTTTAAACATATTTTTTCCCATGTGTATGCAGAGACATCAATTGTTTAGTAGTATAGCTTCAGAACTTGAATCCGAGGGTGTAAATGAAGAAAAGTAAGTTCATCAACCAAAGTATTACCTTTGTTTTTTTTCAGTAGAAAGGTCGAGTCCAGAATGACAGTTTCTGGTAGTGCATGACTCGGAAATGTAATCAAGATTCAAGATTAATATGTTACTCAATTCCATAAAGCTGATAGATTGAGCTGGCATGTATATTGTAAAGGCTCATTCATTGATCTTCTTACACTTCTATGCTTTTAAATTACAATTTGCAGAATAAATGTAACATTTGTTGACAAGGATGGAGAGGAGATGCACATTAAGGTCCCTGTTGGAATGTCAATGTTAGAAGCTGCACATGAGAATGACATCGAGCTTGAAGGTGATTTTACTTTTCTAAGGTGCTTTCATATGCAGTGATTTAAATTTGGCTGTTTAATAGATTATTTTCATGTGGCAATCCAAATTATACTGCCTGATGGAAACCAATGCTTCCAAACTTGTGATTCAAAAACATGTTATTAACTTAAAAGAGATCTGAGCGAGTAGCTATTAGCTAAATACTCTGGATCTGCTGCAGGAGCATGCGAAGCATCGCTTGCCTGTTCAACATGCCATGTTATCGTAATGGTAAGTTTCTTTCAACTCGAACCCACCCTTTTATAACAACTTATTTATTCATAGTAATTGTTCGTCCATATCCATGATCTATCTATAAAGTGAATGTGAATGTCTTATGGCAGGATATGGCTCAATACAATAAATTACCAGATCCTTGTGACGAGGAAAATGATATGTTAGATCTTGCATTTGGACTCACAGACACGTACGCCCGTTTCCTACTCCTCGTCTACCCATCGATCAGTCCTCTTGCTTGGTTTCTCACATGCGAACGTATAATGATTTCGTGCAGGTCTCGCTTGGGATGCCAAATTATTGCCAGACCTGAACTTGATGGTCTTCGATTATCAATTCCTGGTGCCACAAGGAACTTCGCTGTCCAGGCTAAACATTAGTATTAATTATTTATTATTCTTACAGATAACAAGAAAGATGTCTTGTTCTTAGACTAAAATAAATTTATCCGATAAATTGCCGAAGAGAAACAAACAGGCCTCTGTACTTTTTCATCATCAAGGTAACCTATTTTTGGATCGTGTTTACCAGTTGTGGGAGGATTGACTCATATCAGACACCGATAGAAGACCAGGAGGTACTAGAAAAAGGGCTATGAGCTGCAATGTAGTATATATTATGCCTTGTGTGTGCTTGTCTATGCAGACATAGAGGATCTGTACAAGCAAGCAAGCATTGAGAAAGTAAGAAAGCAGAGAGAGCCAGAGGGAAGTAATTTCAAGGTGTGTGCAGCCATTCTTGAATTGCAGAGCGAAGAGCATGGTTAGGCAGCAGATCGCAATGTGGAAGCTTAAGGTTGGTCATCGGGGAAGTATCGTGGCCGCTCTCCAGCCATCCCTTGAGAGCTTCTAACTCGTAGGTGAACCCGTCTGCTGCAACAACTGGATCTTGCATGATTTCCTGTAAAATGGTTGCACTTGTGTGAATGTGATGATGGTGTTACAAGAGAAAGAAGCAAAAGACCGGACAGATACAGACCTGGAAGATGGGGCAGACGAAATACGATGGGATCTGGTATCGCTGCTCTTCAGAGCCAACACGCCGAGATGAAACCCCACAGGAAACTTTCATGGGTTCAAGCACTTTCCACACCTCAGAAGCAAGGTCAGGACGATCCCTGCGCTTCATATCCGTGCAGCTGAGAGCTAAGTAGGCCAACTGCTTTGCCTGCACGAATGGCCAATCCCCAGCCGTCGCATCCAGTAGATCATTCAGATTTCCTTTATCTATTGCGTACTGAACTTCCTTCGTTATCCCCAGTGCAGGTCTTCCAGTTAGAAGCCTCAACAATATAATTCCAAAGGAATAAACATCAGACTTCGGTGTAAGCTCTCCCGATGAAAGGAACTCCGGGTCCATGTAGATGAGTGTTCCTTTGGGATCAGTCCTACAACATGGTGTTGTGTTGTTTTCTGAAAATTCATCTTTAGGGAGTTGTCGACATATCCCAAAATCACCGAGCTTGCATACAAAGTTAGAGTCGAGAAGCAGATTAGAAGGCTTAAGATCTCCGTGCACAACCCCGTGAGGAGGGCAAGAATGTAAGAACATAAGGGCAGAGCAGAGCTCCGCAGCAATACGGATCCGAGCTTTCCAAGACAGCGGGGGAGTGTTATTTCGGCAATTCAGACGGTCTTCAAGGCTTCCGTTCGGGAGATACTCATAGACAAGAGCCCAAGCTTCTGGGCAGGCTCCTATCAGGGTAACAATGTTTGGATGCCTCAGCTTACTTAATATATTTACCTCCTGTTGGAATTCAAAAGGTCCTTGCGAGCTATTCGGATGTAGCATCTTTATAGCCACCTGAGTGTGCCGTAGATGCCCTTTATAAATGCTTCCATAGCCTCCTTCGCCGATCTTCATGGATTGGCTAAAGTTGTTCGTTGCCTCCTCAATTTCCAGGAAAGAGAACTCTGAAAAGAACTGACTTACAGAAGAACTCGACGCTGCCTCAGTTTGTTTTTTCCTCAGCTCCTCGGCTTCCCTGAGAGCACTATCGCGCTCAACCTGCAGCTTGTCTCTTTCATTCTTATACTTCTGCAGCAACTCAACAGCAGAGAACATTTTCTGCTCCAATTCCTCTACCAACTTATCAGAATCTGCAATTTGACACTCCAAAGAGAATCTCTGTTCCTGAGCAGCTCTAAGGTCATAAATTACTTCGTTGAGTTGCCTTCTCATCTCCTCGGCTTCTCCTCTCCCACTTGCTAGTGTTTCTTCAATTTCTCTTCTCCTTCTTAGCTCCTCAGCATACATAGCTTCACATGCTTTAACCTATATGTGATGTCAGTTACCAGTGTGTAGTAAGAATGGAATATGTAGCAAAGGCAGGAGAACAGCCTCGCAATTCTTACTTTGCGAATGGCCTCGATGACATCCTTTTCAGCTTTCTTGCGCCTCATTGATTCATCGAATGCTTCTTTTTGGGAACTTTCTGCTTCAGCCACAAATTGCTCGAGCTTATCATAGAGCCCGTCGTTCATGCTCCCATCCTGCACTAGTCAGAAAATCATTCAAGGAACAACCATTGATATTAAAGAGTTGATAATTCTGTTCATATAATGGACTCCCACTTAAGTCCCCATTGATGAACTTACAATGCCACTGGAAGCCACAGAGGAATGGTACTGATCCTCATGGTCCTGTTGAATCCCAGGTAGCTCAGACACAATTTCATTACCTTCGCTGCTAGGTGTAATTAAGGCCGATACTTCACTTGAAAATGTTGAGCCCTGAGAACCTACCGACAGACTTCCCCTCGAATAAGTGTCGCAATCAGAATTATCTTCTGGATTCAAACTACCCTGAGGAAATGACCTTGCGGAGCCCGTTGATGGTGCAGATTGTTGCATCACATGATTGTCAGATCTGGCCCTACGATACTCTATCGAAGGACTTCGAACCCTTGTACCACGATTTTCTGCTTCTGCGACAGATCGTGATCTAATAGGTATTCCAGGCTGGGAATATGGACTGGGTTGGAATGGTGTAGCCTCTCCATCCAGATTGATCCCATCTGATTTACCTTCCCTGCATCACAGAACAAGTCACCAGACTGAAGAAAAAAAATAAATTGTTGCAATAAAAAATACAAGGCATAAAATCAATCAATGCCCGTCATGGGGGCTCATACTGTATTCACATCAAGAAAAGGAATTGAGAAGGATAGAGTTTCATACCTTGTGAATATAAGCTTGCCTTTACATACAAATGAGATGTGACAGAAAGAGGGTGCTTCCGTGCGCACATAGTTCGCTTTCTTCGACTTAGGTTCCTTCATTTTTCTGCAGAGAGAAAAATGATGGATGGAAACAGTCTGATGCAAACTTGCCAACACAAAAAAAGGAACGAACTAGCACTGATAACTCAAGAGAGCGTCCGAGGCTCTTCAAGTGTCTCTTATATAATCCTAATAGAAGATGTACCTTGAATAAGATCTGTTTGCTGCAGCTCCCATGACAAGCCACCTGATAGCATTATCCGATACGAGCTGCACTATGCACTTCTCAATAGAATCCGATTCTTTCCATAGTTTCTCCGCTTGCACCTAGATAAAATTCAAATATATCAAGAGAAACAACAAACCATATAATGCACATTCACTCTCCTTTCAACAATCAATACGAAGATGGTTATAGGTTCAACAAATAATTAAAGTATAAAACAAGAGGACAACTATAGGTATTTCTGTATGTTGTGTAAAATGTTGAGGAAGTGTTGTGTCTCATTGTGTATCCAATCACACGATCCTACAACAAGAACAAGAGATCTTTCTCAATCAATCCCTTTGACCCTCATTCTTTTGAGAATCAGAATGGTCAGTTGTAGGTTTCAAACCCATATGAAATGCAGAACATCTTAAAAAGTAAGCATGCACTCTGGGTAAAGATGCAGAATTTCTCAACATACCCCGGATTGGTTGCAGATATGGACATATTTGTCCAGTGTCTTGTGCATCTTTTTCCTCTCTTCTTCATGATACGCTTTAACTTGATGTTCTTCCATCAAGCTAATCGGAACTTTAGTGCCCACTTTAAACCGAGACGTAAGGGAAGAATCAGTATCAACATCATAATCAAATACTTCCAGAAAGAATAAATAAACGTGTAACAAGGAGCAATGTAAAGACTAATATTTCATGGAAATGCAGGTTAAAGGCAATTATAAATTGCTAATAAAGACACCACATGAAAGAAAGAAAAATCAGCTGATTCCTACATACAACATCTGTTTGGTCATCACTGAACGTTAGCATGGAAAGATGCATAAGTCATTACCAGTAACAAAATCAAAGCTTCAATCATCATCCCCAAATCTAATATGGCGTATACTCAAACAAACTTACATACACAAGACACACACCTCTCTCTCTCTCTCTCTCTCTCTCTCTCTCTATAGATACATATATATCCATCAAGCAAAACAAGAAACCAAACCCCAACTGCAGACCACACTTCTAAAAAATAGTTGAACAAACCAAAGCCACCCTAATCAAAACATTCACAGACAATATATCCAAAAAATCCCAAATTACAACATATGCAAGAGCTGAAAAAACTCTAAAGCAAAGACGAAATGAAAAACGAATAGGTACAACTCAATACTAACTCATGGGAATCTTCTGAGCAGGCTGATGGACATGAAGCACACAAATCTTCATCCTTCTCGAATTGTGCAAAGCCCACATCAAAACCGTCTCACCCTCCTTCACATCCTTCCCCAAAGCCACAAACATTACACCCTCCGTAACCACCGGAGACGACGCCGTTCTAGCCGCCACTACCTCAACAATTTCCCTCTCCGCCCTCATCCCGCCGCTGTTTCCCAAACCTAAACTCGCTAAATCGATCCCCGGCCACCTAATCCTTTACTCGGCCGTACGAATTTCCCCCATAATCAAAAGTCCAAAACAGATGGGGCAGGAAAGGAAGCAATACCAGGCAGCTCCGAAACGGATTTAATTAATTTCTGCGCCCCAGCTTTTGCTTGCGGTTGTAACTGATTGTGAAAAGGATTTACTTGTCACATACCAAATACCAATTTGATGGGGGCGGGGCACATTCAGTCAATGGGTACTGTTGGAAGGTGCAGCGAAAACGGGAAGATCAAAACATTGGAAGAATAACGGGGGTTTGGTCCGTCAGCTTTGAACAGGCAACATCAAAGTCAGTCAGTCGATTACTTTACTCCACGAATTGCTTGCTCGTGTGTCGTGGAAGTGGGACTTCCTCGAATGACCGACGAGCCGGCTGAGACGAGAGTCTTCCGCCGATGGCATCCCCATCCAATCCAATCCAATCCAAGAAAAGAAAATGATGCAAGAAAGCGATAAAAACTCGGAAACGGCTATTCTACCCCCAATATTTGAAAAATAGGTGATTCGCCCCTTGTATCGGGGTTTAGTGGAATAAACCAAAATGAAGTGGTTGAACTGCCATTTTGTTCGGATAAAAGGGTATAAAGGAAAAGTTATAAAGAGGATACCATAACATATACCAACCAACCTATGATAAAGCTCAGAAGAATATATTCATTCATATGTATGTCGTCACCGAGACCGAGACCGAGACCGAGGCCGAGACCGAGACCGAGTCCGAGCGAGCGGTTCCTTTATTTTATATTTTAAATTAGTTATTAAATAAATAATGGTAGACTAAGACCATCGATTGGGTCCTACTCCTAGGCCACGCCCATTCACGAATTATTAAATTGATTTTTTTTTGTTTTTTAAAATACTAATTAACAAAGTCAAGACGATTGGTGGATTGATTTATTAAATGATTGGTCGGTCCCTTGAAATTTACTATAGTTTGTTGTTTGTTTGACCGCATGCATTATTATTCTGTTTTTGTTAAGTATATTCCCTCTAACAAATCGTCGCTAATTTGTCCTCTCTCAACATTCAGTTCAGGTCAAGTTTTCAAGTTCAAGTTCAACCACTGCTCAAAGTTTGTAAATTTACATACATGATGGATTCAGATGAATGATTTTACTCTACACCATACCGATACAAACACCAATACCAACACCAACGTCCGTAGATATTTAAATTTGTCATCTTCTATTCTAACCTTATCTTTAATAAATTGTTCGTAAATATCGTGACTTCATCAAACTATATATATAAATAATAATGCAGAAATTATCTTATTCTGCCCACCCAGGACTGCGTCTGGGTTAAGCTCCTGGTCTTCCCGGTCCAACTGTAACAGTAAGTCTGTAACCGCCTCATGCCTTGCCTTGCCTTTTATATTCGTAAGGTTTCTTTGGACCCAAGTCCGGGGACCTTCCAAGCCACAAGAAACGGGGCAGTCGGGTTAATGCACGCCACATCATTATTATAGTATTAACCACTATAGTTATAATAATGGTTAATATTATAAGCCAACATTCGATATAGGGATGATTAATGAATACTTAATTTAATCATAATTAAATAATATATAGATAATATTATTAAAAAGTCGATAATATTTGAAAAAAAAAAAAAAACAACACACACAATAATTTAACTATAAATGTTCCTTTTTGTGTAACACATCACTATCCCTAACTTTCGACGTTGAATATCTCTCTTTATGTGCACTTTTACTTTTTATTTAGACCTAAAAGCCTTTTGCAAGCTAGGTTTTTAATTTTTTATTTGATTTTTGGGAGATGTTTTTATTTATGCACTAGTACTAACTAAGTTAATTTACAAACAAAAATCAATGAATAGTAGGCTTAAGCCCAATTTGAAAAACTAATGGGCTGAAATCAGCCCCAAATGATTATCGGCCCATTTACATGTGTCTACTATAAACTCCATTCGTTTCCGCTAAATTTTCGCTCCATTTCTGGTGGAAGTACCAACAGTCGTAAGAAGCGGTTGGAGGTGATTTCGGCAGAAAAAAAGTCGAAAGCCTAATTGATTGCTATATGAAGCGACTGTGAGTTGTTGGAGCTTCAGATTTTTGAGATTCTGCTTTTGCAAGAAATTGATATGCCATCGGTGGAAGATCAACGAAGTAAGCGACGTCAGTTGTACGTACTCTCGAGTCGAGTGTTTTGAAAGTTTTTATATCTTTTAGGTGATCTCAAATACTGATGCTAAAGTTGATCTATATGTGCATACGAGTTATAGTGATGTACAAATTAGACAAGTAGCTATCAACTGATACCCAACCTAAATGGTGGTGGATCTATAAGTAGAATGGGGATGAGATTCATTTGTTATTTAGAATTTAGTAGGTGCTAAAAGATATCTGTTACACATCAAGTTCTAAGATGGAACCATCGTACATTGTGCACATATATTATACACGATAGTCTAAATGTGACCTTGCCGTCCATTGAATATAGATGAATATGCAGAACAGAAAGTCAAGAAAATGACTGAACGAATCCTAAGGAAAGCCAAAGCATTGCATTACGCATCAATAACGTAAATGCAGACTATTGAGTTTGACATGTAATAAACTCTGTTAATGGTTCATCACATTTTGTTATACTCTGATGATCCCACCCACCTTATAATGCTGAAAGGGAATGTGCCTCAGAAAGCATGACAAGCATACTGATAAAAGTCTGCTATATTCAAGTTACAAGGTTTGTGTATTTTTATTCATTATTGCTCATGACTAAACCAAGGTGAACAATTTTGCATTTATATTTTGAAAAATGTCAAAATGCACTCATATTCATCTACACCTGCAGAAATCATACGATCTAATATGACTTCTGAAGTACACTACTTAATTCACTCATCAATTTCTGTTCAATTCACCTGTCAGCTATTTTAATGCTAGGCTACTTGCAAATTGACATGTACTTATAACCATACCTTGCATTTCACCTTTAAGTTGGTATAATATTTTCAGGGAAGAACACAAGGAACTTGGAGAATGCAGCTACAGTCGCAATATATTTTGATCATAGCAGAAAGAAATCTCAGCAGGACTTAAAGTGAATAAAGATCAGGTTGCTAGTTGTTCCCCGCACCATTTGTGCTTGGTCCCTCAAGATCTTTCTATCATCAGGTCCATTCTAATCCAAACCATGTCTCTCATTCAATCTTTCCTTTTATTCGAAACTGCAGACAATATATCCACGCAGTTATAACTTTTAATCTTGCTTAAACCTCTGCTTCTGACCACAATGTGCCTGGTTTGAATCAAATTTTAGACCACATCTGCATATTAGAATTTAGAAAGACTCGAATTGATTACACAGAATGGCCTGTAGGGATCAGTACATGAAATCATTCAAGAGAATATTTTCCCAAATGGTTGAGGCCAGAATTCTTTTACGGTACTGATATTACAGATGAGAATGGACATATCTATTGGCAGTAGGGCATTACATTATTAGACTGGGGACTTGGATAGAATTTCATTCAGGGCTGAGCTTAAACGCCAAAATGTCCTTTCAGAACAGGCTGTCAAATTCCCGTTGGATGATTTCACTTTTGTGGAAATTCATAATTGCCTCTCATCTATACTTGCTGGTTAGATACAAAGTAATGAGTTCCACATGCTAGCTCTTCAAATATTATTGTAGACTTTCCTTAGCTGGAAGGATTTGAATGTAACGACACATTATATCAACGAATTTGTTTCAATTCATAAGCTTATAACATAAGTAATTTCTTTAATGAAATCTCTTAGGAATTGAAAAATGTATATGTTATTAGATTAATTTCTCTTCTGAACATGAGCATCTATAGTACTTGTGATCTTACGGGAAAGTGATAGCAAGTGAATAATGATCATTTATGGGCCCTTTTATATCAAGTATTTCCCACTATCCTATGTTGGACATGGTCCTACTAATCCCATCTCCATTATTCTTGGGATGATTTTTTTTTCAAAATGCTTATTGCTTAAGGTCGTGTTAGCATTAAAGCAATCATGATTAGTTGGCAAGATTTTGCGTGTCTGATTGTTGATTTAATTTGAAAGCCCGCCTCTTCATTCAAGAGTTTGTACCGTTAGAGAAAGAAAGCATTCACTGTGTCTTGATTTCCAATGATTATTAGATTATACTTGTTTATAATTGTCCTTAGAGTATACGTAATAATGTTAACACAGATAATCACAAAAAGTTGATGTCCTTATATTCCGTAATCCTATTTGAATTCTTGTAATTATCATCATAAAACTTGTAATTGAATTCGATTCCAACTGCAATCTGGGACCAGACGACTGTAATCTAGAAATCAATATTATTAGGATACCACATACCCCTATTTTATGTCAGGTCAGGCTATCAGCTTGGCTCAGCTAAATTATGTTTGACTTGAACAATTAATGTTTATTCTGCATTTTAAAATCAATCAAGAACTTTCCGACATTTTATAATTTCCGCATTAATCCAAACCTTGCTTGGATGAACTCATATATTATTTATATTTGAATTACATAATTAAGCTCCCTCTTGGTTTTATTTGTTTTGTGCCTTTCATTTATTTTATAATAAAGTAATGTAGTGGCATATACTAACGCAGACCAAGTGTCGGCCAAAGTTGGTTGGTTTCCATTATTGTATGCATAATACAGTCATTGTCATGATCTGTTATTTCATGGTTTTCTAATGTCCAAACTCGTTGTCATATCTTTTTCTTTCTTTAAAAACTACTTTCATATTCTCCGTTATTTTCATACATACTGTAGTAGACATTGTGATATATATTCCCTACTTCTTTATTACAACACTATTGGGGTTTCTCAGTCCTTGTCAAGGCAAGAGTTGTCCCAAGGGAGCCAGCATCCTATGCCTGTGGCTGTATGGACCAAGTGTAGATGAAAATACATACGTAAGACACTTTTCCCTGTAATAAATAAAAGATAACCATAAAATGTATAGGATTGTGTCTGAAGCGATTAAAAAAGGGAAAAAATTTAATAATTCTAAATAAACAAATTAAAGGGAACCATCCTATAATTACTTTAGTGAATGAAGGCTGTGATGCTTGTATACAATTCACTTCCTGCCTGCAAACCCAAGTTAACCACACTAATTAATACAAATATGACTTGTTGAAAAAGTAGTTTTAACACACGAAAACATCTTTATCCAAAAGTAGTTAAAATCTTGGACTTTAAGCCTCTGAAAACTATATCGACCTTTCAACCTTTATATCTATTATTGGCTTGAAGTAATTTGGGGTGTATGAGCCATATTGGCAGTTGGCATCACATAAAGAGATAAGAAGTAGGTGGTGGACATGATTGAGCTTCTGTGGGCATCATTTTACTATATCTTTGTATAATTATTTTACTTTTTACTGCTTTATCTCCCTTCTTAGATAAGCAACACAGAATGAGAAAAAGTGTGACATTTCTTACTCCGGGGATAAAGAATCTGCCTTTCAGTATCGTGGAATAGTGCTGATGTAATAATACAGACACACACACACACACATTTACTCTAATATACTTTATATTCATTGTGTAGGTAGATGAAAACATAAAAGCCTGAAAACCAAACCAAACTGCATTATTCACATGTGACCGTACGAATGCATACAATTAAATTACATTGAAGTGTGGTTAATTACTTATATATTTAAGGCAGGCAAGTGCGTTGAAGGAGAATAAAGAGCTGTGCTGAAAGGTTCATACATTACATGGAACTCCCGGGAGCAGGGCTCCCAGAAGCCATGAATTAATAATGTTTCAGAAATGGTAACTGGTCACCCGGTTGAAGACGTGTACTTATACATCCGGCAGTCCAGGTGATTCTTGAAAGCTCCCTGGACCTCATCAGCGTACTGCAATCGGGTGATGTGGATCCATTTGGCAATGGAATCCCGGAGTTCTAAGAATCACCAACCCACGCTAAGTCGTGGCATCCACCTCTGCCAACCATCGCTGTCTCCATTTTCAAGAAGTTCAGTAATGTGCCTGAACAGAGACAGCACACTCACACACACGGCTAACTTAATTGACTCAGAGGTGAGACAACTTGTCTGGACTCTTCCTTGACAGCTTCATCGGTAACTCCCAAATTTAGGTATGCTCCGTTTCACTAATTGCTTCGTTTCTTCACTGTAATGATTCGGATGCATTTGTTTAATTAATAGTTTCTTTATGGAGCTATGGCGTTACTATACTTTTTAATATAACCCCACATGGGGTAGATGTTTATTTTATCGCATAATGACATCCAATTAATACATTAGGAGCTTAATAGAAAAGAAGATCAAACCTGTACTAATATCGTGGAGAATCATCGATTCCAGTTAACTTTCACCGTGTTCCTAAATCTATGAGCTAACCCTGCCGATTCAGATTTATTTATTGCAGGCAGGCAGGCAGGCAAGGAGACGAGCTGGAAGGAAACACACCCACACACTGTAAAGTATTTATCTTTCATGGTGAGTTGTGCCCTCTGACTCTCCCTGCTTTTTAGGGTAGTTGTAGTATAATTATTAAGGATAGTTCCAATCTTGATATGCTCCAAATTTTGCCATCTTATCCAAGAAAACCATTCTGTAGCGGCATGTTTATGTTGGCTCAATGCATCATGTGTGTGTGTCTACGTGTGTCCTAGCTGGTGGGGGTGAGATCTGGGATTGTATATTTTGAGGGTCCCACCTTTCCTACATTCAGCCGCACAGGTGGCACCGTATGCATACAATTCTCCCCCCCTCGTTCGTTGCATCGTTATCAGGACTCAGTGATCAGCACAATTGTCCCCGCTCCTCAGAAAAGCGACCCCCACACACTTTCTAACTTTTCCTTTCATTTTAATTATCAGCAATATATTATACTATAATTTATATCTGCGTTTCTGTCTTCAATGGCTGCCCCACGCCTAACTCCTTTGCTCCATTTTAATAAGTGGGCTTGTGATTTTCTACTCTGGCTCTCCCTCTTTTTGGTCGGTGTGGAATTGGATTCTCCTCCACCAGCGAGATAAAGTTTTGGTTTTCTTGTTCTTTCTGAGTTTTTTTATGCTGTCTTTACCTTCTTCCTTTGTGCACCTTAGTGCTTGTAAATATTCATATCAGGACTTGGGGTTTTGTGAGTTTATTTTTTATAGGAAAATATTTTGTGGGGTGATTTAGGATCTTGTCAGGTTTGTGAAAGATTTTTTTTCTTCTATTTTTTCGCAGTTGGTTTTTTCCATCTCGTTCGTCTGAATTGCCTGGAAAGGTTTGTAGTTCCTTGTGATAAAAAGCTAAACAGATAGACACAAGGGATTTCGATATGAAATTCTGATTAGTAAGGCCGGTTGAAGGGGAAATTTTGTTTTTGTTTTTTTTTTTTGGTTTTTGTGAAGGCAGTCCTGTGATCAGTTAAATCTCAGAAAGGTTGGGAAACCGATATCTTGTGATCGGATCTTTCGGAAATTTGTTCGTCATTTAATAGACTTTCTGATAAAAATAGTTTTGTTGAAGGGAAGATCACATTGCCACTGCCAACCACAATTCAAGGAGAGAAAAAGTCAAAAAAACCTTTTCCTTTACAAACAGAGGCTATCAAAATTTTCCTGTATTCTTGAGAGTGGATCTTTTGGCCGGACGTTTACATCAAATTTCAGGTACAATTTCATATATCCTCCCTCTATTATTGGATTTCTCTGTATAGATTTGCCTGTATTGGTTCAACCCCTTTTTTTTCTCGTTCATTTCTGTTTCAAAATGACCTCAATTGTATCACATTCGTCTACATACTCAGGTCCCTTTTTTTTCTGAAAGATAACAAATATCTGCAGTGTATTGTTAATCGGACTGGTTCTACTAAAAAGGCAAAAAATAAAATTGAAAAAACTCTTACAGAATTAGTCTGGGGGTTTAGATTGGCTTCTTCTTTACACTTTTTTGGACTGCATTGCAGATTTAGAGAAGAAGATAGATAGATGCGTACAGAACAATTTAATACATTGTATTTAGCATTTTACAAAATTATTTATTTTTATATTAATAGAATTATTTGTGTAATATCAATATATAATTACTTACAATTTTTAAAAATAATATATATTATTTGTCCTTTATATGCATCCAAACCTTTTTTTCAATAAAAAGTGGCATTTTCACGCCTCAATCCAATTATGTACTTTTAAATATATTGCTTAGACTCCTACTTTTTATTTATTTATTTATTTTTTATCCGAAATTCAATAGGCAAGTCACGTAAAATGTAAGACTAGTTTCTGAGTTTTGATACGACACATGGCAGAAATCATGGAACATTTAATCCTTAGAGAATTAGCAGTAAGGGCAGCTACTAATCTTGCCCATTTTATTTCAGTTTATGCACTTTTTGAAGAGGAGAGATAGATGAGATCTTAAGCATTCTGTAGATAACTTCTTATGGCAAAAAGATCACAAAGGCGTCCTTCAAGAGCCCAAGCAGGTTGCATATGGAGTTTAATCAGCATATTTGCATTCCGCAATGGGAAATCCACCAGACGATTGCTTTCAGATAGAAAGCGAGTGAGCAAGCAGACTCCTGGTAGTAGCATCTTCATTATAAAAGTTTTCATTATGTTATGTTTGTTCCTGATTAAATTTGGATTCATGGTATTTGACGCTCCCGCTGCTCGGTTTTCTAGGCTCTGGACCGTCAAGTAGCCAAATAATTCTCTCAGGCCAAATTGAAAAATGTGAGGATAACATGGTATGTTCTGGTGCAATGCCCAAACCTAATTTGCAGTTTTGTTGCCGACTTTCATTTTTTGCTATCTAATTGATTATCTTTAATTAATCAGCATACGGCAGTGACAGATGCTGTCAAAACCAGTGTGAAGGAGCTTATTGAAGTAGACATGTTCAATGAGCAAAGCTCAAGAACTAATCTACCAAAAGATTCTGAGTTAAGTCGGGAACAAATTAATTCGAGGCATAAAAATAAGACAAACAGCAGTCAAAAGAGAAGGAACAGAAGCAGCATTAAGTCATGGGACATGGATATCTCGGCACTTTTTGGTGCTGCAGAATGCTTTCCTGAACACTCTAACAACCTTCCAGAGGACAAGCCTCCAGATGATCTTGATCTAGAAAAATTAATGGATGAATTGTCCCAGATTAGCCAGAGTAAGATGAACTGCTCGAAGCATGATGAACTCGGTGATCTTGATACACCATCCAATCATGCTGCTATGTTAGTTGAAGAAAAAATAGCTGCAGCGATAAAAACAGTCATAGAAGAGCGGATGAGCGGCAGTCCGCACTTCGGGGAACAAGGGAATATTTTGTGCTCAAAAGATTTTGTGGATGCTCTGCAGACCTTAAGTTTAAACAAAGGTTTATTCTTGAAAATACTACAGGATTCAAATTCAGCACTGGTCAAGCACATCCAAAATTTCGAAGAAGCTCAGATGGACAAAGGCCGAACTCTCAGTCCTTTGCCTGGATCCAATTTATCGGAGGAGAAGCATACTAGCTTAAAATCTGATGAATCTAGTGGCCGTAAGCACCGAAATTTCTTCCGAAGGAGGAGCAAATCACTGGATACCTATCCCTCAGGGGTGGACAAGGACCCTCAGTCTCTAAATAAGATTGTAATTTGGAAGCCTTTGCCAGCAGGTTCACAGAGTCTGCAAACTGGTATTCCCGCAAACAACTCTTCGTATGATAAGATCCAAAATGACCGAAATGCATCCCATTTCTCTTTCACGGAAATTAAAAGAAAGCTAAGGCATGCAATGGGGAAGGATAGGCAGGGAATTTCTCCTGACAGGCTGATCCCGAAATTGCCTTCAAAGCCCCAAGTTGGGATCAATGGCAACAAAGGTGCCTCTGGAGAAGCATTGGCCTGGAGATCTCCAAATAGGAACCATTTCTATACTGAAAGATTTGCAGTATCTTCGCCTAAAAAGGGTGAAGCAGTTGATAAGGTAAAAGACAAAGGCTCACTTGTGGAAAATGAACACTGCCAATATTCACGACCTGGTGTATCTAATATCTATATAGAGGCAAAGAAACATCTTTCGGAGATGCTGAATAATGGAGATGATGTAGAGCCCATTGCCGGGCTTCTTCCCAAATCTCTTGGCAGGATCCTGTCTCTTCCTGAGTATAATGGTTCCCCTAGCTGCAGCCCTCGGAGGCGTGACGATGGAGTCTTTATTACTGCCCAGATGAGATTATCACCACAAGGCACATCTAAGAATAATGTGGGTGGTCTTTTTCAAGAAAAACTCAATGACCATCCAAGCCCGAGAAGGCAAAATTTGGAGAGCCAACCATGTGTCCCCAGCATTGTCTGTCAGGACAAGGAACAGTCTCTCAAAATGAATGCTGATGATCTGAAGTGTCGTTCAGAACTTCGATCCTTTACCCAAGATGCTACGACTCCTGAAGGTACATTCTACCATTCTCTTTCTTGATAAGTTCAAAGGCATATCTGTACTTGGAAGAATATTTTCTCAATCTCACTGTGCAAACTTCCATTTGATAGCATCTGAGATTGAAGAAAGGACAGAATCTAAGATTCAGGAAGAGGAATCAGTTAATGGTATTACCCCTGAGCCTTCCGGTACTTCATTGGATGGAGATTTGCAGAAAGTAGGTGCTAGTGAAGTAGATAATGGAGAAAATGCTTCAGCGACATTGAATGATTCCATCCCGAGCTTCAAATTAGTAAGTTCCTTTATTTCATTCTCATTCCGTAAAGACTCAGTTGGTTACACCCCTGCCTGCCTGCCTGCCGAATATGCTATCTATGGCTGTTTTGTTTAATTGTAATTTTCTCACCATAGTACTTCTCTTGTACATTCTCTTTCAAAGGATTTATATGGCAAGGATCAAATATCTCCTCCGCATTCTCCACTAAGCAGTAAAACCGAAGACTCCGACCGTGGATGTATCAAAGTGGAGCAACCCAGTCCGATATCTATTCTTGAGCCATTATTCACAGATGAAGATATCAGTCCAGCTAGCTCCATGTCTCGATCAGGTTAGATTGTGGACTTAAGGAAATGAAGCAGTCTCACATCTTTAATTTTGAAACACTTGTTTCTTGTCATTTAGGTGGGAAAGAAATTCAACCACGGCATATCAATTTTGAAGAGCAATCCTCCACAAGCGAACAGGGGATTTGTACCAGAATTTCTCAAGAGGGAGAGGAATCTGCATTTGAATATGTCGAAGCAGTCCTGCTCGGTTCGGGTTTGAACTGGGATGATTTTCTTTCAAGGTGGCTTTCTTCATACAAGATCCTTGACTCATCATTATTCGATGAAGTCGAGCTATTTTCCAGCAGGCCACGCCATGATCAGAAACTCCTCTTCGACAGCGCCAATGAATCCTTGAAGGAGGTGTGCGAATCTTATTTTGGATGCTTTACAGGGATATCACGTGATAAACCTAACAACCGACCAGTCCCAAAAGGGATGGATCTTATTCATGAGATATGGCAACGAGTCGAAGGACATCTATTTTCACATCCACAGCCTCCACCCCCTCTGGACCAGCTTGTCAAAATAGACCTGGCAAACTCTGGAAAATGGATGTACCTCCAATCTGATATCGAGCTTATTGGTTCTGAAATGGAGGAGACCATTTTTGATGAATTCTTGGACGACTGTGTTATGAGCTTCATCGATGGTGTTTCAGAGCTCGAGCTTTCAGTGTTTCAAACTGATCCGCAGTCCAACTACAAAGCCATTGAAGTCACCGTATTGTGTAGTGCATAATTGTCTCAATTCCATAGGAGGAACACAACACGACCCGACAAAACACTCCTTTGCGCAGAAGAAGATGTATCCATCCGCCCATCCATCGCGTACTGACTACATCTATCTGCAAACTAATTTCCAACCTGACATCAATCGGACTAAGGGTGAAGGAAGTTGTCACTTCGATGTGTTCTTGAGCAAGGAGAGTACAGGAGCATCTTCTTGCATAGAGTATGGATTGACACGGGGGGGTTTCTCATACAATAATCCAGTCTTGCTTTGATAGGTTTCATAAATAACAGATCCTTTTGCCTGACTCAAAAGCATCTGCGTGAGTCTACTCTTCAGGGGAAAGAGTAGAAGACACCATAAAAGATCGGTTTTGGTAGGTGGTTTGGTTCCGCAGACGATGAAGGAAGATCAATCATGTTTGCCTAGAACATGTTCAGTGTGTGAGTGAATGCTTGACATCATGTTTCTGGTTTGTGAACAAGTGTTCAATAATATCCTAAATTTAAATTTCTAGCTCATATCCTTCCAAATTGTAATAAAAAACAAAAAATAAAATTGCCCACGGATTGCGGGTTCTTGAACACACACAAGGGCTAACTGAATGAATGGTATGATTTTGTGAGAGTTAGCCTTCCCGCTTTAATGTAATGTGATGTAATATTTATGGTTATCGTCGGTTCTTTCTTTTTGCATTTAGAGGTGAGCTCAAACTCAAAGGTCTTCTCTTGGAGAAAGCTCTGGTTCTGCTTTCGGACTCATCTTCCTCGCTGTCTTCATCAACCTTTGCATTGGATGCCAAGTTCTCATCTCTCTTGTTTGCTTTCCTATTCTCCGTTTGCAGCTTCGAAAACAATTTTCTTTCGACGGGATTATTTGTAAGTGCAACCTTGGACTCTTTTGGAACAGTTGCACCAATGCCAAGCCTAGAGAAAAAACTCAAATATGAAAACTCAGCTAAAAAGTTAAAAGACTGTGTGTGTTTGTGTCTTAGCGAGCTCTTACCCAGCCGGACGCCCTTCCAGTTCCACTGAAGGGGACTTCTCGTCATGTGAGGAGGATTTGCTCATGTTATTAACCCACTGCTCGGCCTGTAGTGTAAAAATATGCTCAATAAAAAATTTAAACCCTCCCCTCCGGACAAGTAAGTATATGCTTATTGGAACCAATACATTGATGCAGCAATTCAAAATGGAAAACATGCTTTACCAATTTGAATGCCCTGTCCAACTTCACCAACTGAGGCTGTGATTTTTTCTTCAGGTCCTCTTCAGTACTCGCAGCCATTTTGTCACTCGCAGCGCACCGCACCTGGATCGTTAGAAAAGACTCATAATGAGAACGATTGCAATATAAAAATCAAGAAACTTGTATTCATCATGCAAGAATTCATTGAAGGAACTAAGGATTTTGCCATAGCCAAGAGCTCTCTTCAAAGAAATTCAAAACCCAAATAAGTATAACCAGAGTGACATTGACATATACATCTATAAACATGAAAGCTGTCCCTGGCATCAGACAACAGAAACAAAGCTATATGTTCCCTAACCAACCCCCCAATAACCAGAATTGGAGTCAAACCACCTACGAAACCCCACACTTATTATGCAAACAGTAAATACATACCGATTTCTTTACTCAATTAACATCCTGTCAACTAATAATTAAAAAGAGATAATCGCACACACACAATCGAGTTCTAGTAATTTAGATCAAACACTTTTTCGCCACATGACAGGATGTAACCAAAATCCAAAAGGGAAGCATACCTGGTCTGAGTGGGCACTTACGCTGAAAATCGATACAACAATTTTAGGGCTGCCGGTTGGAATTAAAAAATCTACTGTTTAAGGAATAGAGGGACAAAAACAAAAAGTTAGGGTTCCTAGAAGCCTTGAATCACAAAGTGGATGGCGATGGAAGAAGACGGGGGTATTTCGGTGAGAGACTGCAGTGCAGATCGTCGAACTCTGCGGTATTTATTTGATAGTGCATTTGTTTTAGGTTATAGAAGTTGCAGTAACGAGGGAGGTCCCATTCCTATGACTCCCAAATCCAAATTCCAGCGCCGGTTGGCTCGGCTCCTTGTTATATGGCGTACAAAGCCACTGGTGACAATAATTATTTATTATATAAATAATTATAAATTAAAATTAAAATAATTAATTTATTTAATTAAAATTAAAAAAAATAATAAATTAAAATATTTAAAATAAGATTAAATATGTAATTATTTGAAAAATGATATAGTATATGAAACGGATAGAAACGGCAACATCGATATAGTATCTGGGACGAAAGAAGTAAAATTTCAACGAAATTTGTACCCTTTAAAATCGATGGAAAAATAACTGGTGTAGTGTAGATTCTTCTTACTGGCAGACTGGCAGCAGGAGGCAGTCTAGTGTAGTTTCTTCAAGTTGAAGCTCCAGTCTGTCCCAATTTAGGTTAGATTAGTTGCTCTGCAATTGGGCCTTTTTCTGTCAAGTCCACCACATCCAGTTCTATTTGGGCTCTCTTTAGAGAATAAAATATAAATAGTAAAAAATTAATATAATAAGATCGATGCACAAAATCCATATAAGGCTGAGAAACACAAATATTATTTTCCAGACAATAGCCATAAATGTTATGATGAAGTATGAAAAATTGAAGGGGCCGCCCACTCTGCACAGAACATGTCCCAAGAGACATTTTTCTAATTATCTCCAAATGCTGATGAATATTTCAAACCACAAGACATAGATAAAGTATGATCCAAGTCTAATTTTGAGATCCCAACAGGAAAACTACACTTAAACTTTGTATATTATGGCCGGTTCTTCGACGATTCAAATATGGATGTAGTTAACAATGGCATCAAGTGTCTTACTCTCTATGGCAGATTCTTCTATCCATTGAGAACTTTGTCTGCGCAGAAGTTCATTCTTCTCTCTTTTCTTCTCTTGTATTTTCTTTTCTCTTACCCTCCAATATTCAAGCTTCTCTGCTCTCTCTTTCATCTGCAATTTCCAACAAAGGATTACCGCATTGCATGCAAATTTTTTATAGACAAATGAAAAAAAAAAAAGATTACAACAATGAAATGTAACACAAACATTTCTTCCGCAGGTGCATGAGCACACACATATAACTATGAAGATTGCTATTCTAACATTTCCAATTAGATGGGCAGCAGACAGCACTAAACTGTAAGAAGAGTAATACTTCCTAGAGAAGAAAATAACAATAGTTGTCTCAACAGATCCTTGATAGAAACATCCTGTTTACTTATCAGAATATTTCTAGCTTGTTCGGAACAGAAACATGTACTGTTTCTTGAAACTAATATAATTATATGCACATTTACGACAAAAACAATGGATACAAGCTTTTGAGGAACTTACTCTGCCAGTATGAAAACAACACTGTTGATTACATTAAAATGTGAATTCAAAACTGTCACTGGTGTTTTAATAATTGAATTTTTCATCCTCAAATGTTTGCTACCAAATACCTATCCTGATGAGGTAGTGGGGAAAAGGTTCATACAAGTTGTGCCTTCCAGCTGAGACATGATCATTCACGGAAACTGTTTCGGTGCCCTAAGTCCCATCAACCTGAACTCCCCTCTTAGAGTTGGAGGGAAACTCCATTATGAATACTTGGATGAGGAGCTAAACTAGCATACGCACTTTGTATTTCCTTTATCTATCCTTTTTTCTTTTTTTATGTGGAACTGGATTATAATCTCCCTGCTAATATTTTCTTGTAAGATTCAGGCAGACCTGGGTGCAACTATATTGGCAAATGTAACAAAAACATAGGAACACATGGGGGCATGTATCAATATAGACAAACAGAAAGGTGATGGTATCCACGATCCAGTATCACATGCTTTTTGGAGCTACCCGTCTGAGCCTGGTTAGCTTATTCACAGAACAAAAAAATTACAACCACACCACACATAATTAGATATTGGATATATAATGCAACGGAATAAATAATGGAATCAGCTGGTTCTACTTAATCTTTAAGACAATATTCTTTAGTTTCTTATCTGCATGAATTTCGTGAGACTTCTTGAGTCACTTTAAATAAAGCTTTAGTTTAAACCGAAGTCAATAAATTAATTTTTCCGCATCTCCTACTACTGGTTTCTACTAGCTTCACAACCTATTCCGTCAATCAACTAATAAAGATGATCTGAATCAGTACACTAGAAGATTTTATAATCACATAAAAATGCAAGACTTTTATGTGTGATACACTCAGATCATGCTCAGGGGCATAACTTAATTCTTATAATAAAATAGGCAAAATGTACTACTTCAACATATTTCCTACCCCTGTTAGTGGCTGAGAATTAGAACTAAATCAGGATCCAATTTTGGTTCGATTAAGGCACAAGCGCTATAATTCCCTGAGGCCACTCTGGCACACACAACTACCTAAAGCGGAAGTTCATCCTTTTGGGTTAAAAATCTACTATAATTAAAGTTATGAAATGAATGCATAATAGTGCCAGTTAGAAAAACGATTATATGTAACACATGTGATGTTATGAGCTACGACGTTTAGAAAATTGCTCGATACTTTACCTCAGAATGCATCTACCAAGTTAAATGAAAATTCGCGTGAATAGAAACAATACGAACTGAAACGAAACCAATCTCAAGATGAGCAAGGAAGCTTCACATACCAACATTTTCCGGAACTCCTGTTCCGCAGCCTCTCTCTCAATGGCCTCCGCTTTCTTCTTCGCATCCTTCGCCGCTTTCCTCTCCTCGTTCACGATCCTCAACGCCTCCTTCCTGGCCTCGTCCTTCCGCATCTTCTCGATTCTCAGAAACTCCATTTCCTTGATATACTCCTTGCGGATCTGCTTCACTTTGCGATCGTAGTCACGGCGGAGGAAAGCCAACTGCGCGGCCGCCTCCTTTGGAGTCCTAGGGGGATTCCAGGAGTTCGCGTAAGAAGTCGGTGGGAGGAATTCGTGGAGGCTACGATGAGAGTGAGGACGCTCGGAAGAGGTAGTGGTAGTGGTAGGAGCGGTGGAGAACCGACGGAGAGAGGCGGATCGACGGAGGAAGTGGCGTGAGAGAGCCATGAGGGTTTGTGAGACTTTTTGGGACTCTATGAACTGGTTGGGGTTGGGGTTGGGGTCGGAGATTTATGTGACACTTACTTCCGAGAGGCATTTCTTTATTTCTTTATATGTTGTTAAGCTTCTACTCTACATTTTTTGTCAATAAAAATTATACTAGTATTAATTAAAATATATTAATTATTATGTAAAATAAATAATAATTTTTTATTATTTATTGTGGAAGTTAAGATTTAATTAAAAAAAAAAAAAAAAATCAAGAATGGAATGCAAATTGCAATTTATTCTACATATATAGCGCCTGTGACACTCCAAGAGTGCTTGGCAATGTCGGTGATTAGAAATTTATGCATAGAAGAGCGATCTAAATAACAGTATATCTTTTTATTAAGAAGTGGAAACAATATAATAATAGCTACCATCTATCTATCTATCTATCTATATTGTAGCTGCTTGATGACATATCTATCTCTCTCTCACTGATCATAAACAAGTTAGGCAGGCATCTTCATTCATTCGTTCTGCTTTCCTAAGAACCAGACAGACCTAACTTCTAATTTGCTGCTTGGATTGAGTCAGTAATCCTGCAGGATTTGGCTTTGGCTTTGGCTTTGGGTTTTGTCTAGGGAAAGAACGTCTTCAATCCAAGCAACAACGTTGAATGCCAGGCCCTCCAAGACTCTGGAATAGCTCTCCAGCACTGCCTGCCCCACATCCTGCACCAACCCAAACAACCTTAAATCTTGATTGGATCGGATCCATCACTCACTGTTATACATATATATATATATATATATAGAGAGAGAGAGAGAGAGAGGAAACGACGTGCCTTGTTGTATTGGATCTTGCTCATGTCCAATGTGGTTTGCGAAAGTTGAGGATATCTTTGCTTCAAGCTGAAGAGCAAAGTTTCTGCTCTTTCTGCTAACACATGGTTCTTCTCAGAACCACCCTGATCTCTAACCATGCCACCCCATGACAACGAGGAGGAGGACTTTGACTGAGCCGCCATCCCCATTTTTCGACGCCATATCACCATCGAGGCTTCAACCCTGTCCGCAAGCTTGAGGGCTTCATGCTCAGAGCTAATGTTGAGACAGTCCAGCAGATGATCCGGCAAGAAAGTTTCCACGCTGTGCATGTGCCGGTAGATTGTGTCTCCCGCGCTCGCTTTTCCACTCTGTCATTGTCACTCATTCATTAAATATTTCAGCTTTTATTAATTTCAACTTCATTACTTGGTTACTACCTTGGGAAGGGATGCAATGTAACATTCTGGAATCTGCATTTCAGCAAGAATGCTGCTGTTTATAGCCATTGCCGCCTTGTGAATCTGGCTGGCGCAGTCGCGCTTTTGCCTCAATTGCTGCTTTGATTTCTCAGACAGCCCGTCAGGGGAGACGCATGGAATCGGCAGCCACCATTTCTCTTCTTTGGGCTGCGAATGAATGATCCTCCTGAATGACCCCGAGCATCGGGAGCTTCCGGAACTTCTTCCCTCGTCTGAATACCAGAACTCTGTCTCTTGAAAGCTGTCCAGAATATCCTGTGCCCATTCATGAACATGTGATTTTTATTTACACTTACTTATTGGAGCAGGAAAACTCACACTTGGAAAGAAGTAGGATTTCTTGACTACAATTCGATGTAGTATTATTATTATTTACCAGAAGCATTGCATCAAGTTTTCTCAGGGCAGGTAGATTAATGGATATATCTGATCTTATCGTACTTGTCATCACCTGCAGTTATGATTTCAGACATTGTAAAAAAAGTGTTGAGAGAATAAAAATTAGCCAAATTTGGATGCATGTATGTTGAATGTGGTGTGACCTCCAAAGCTGTTCCATCTTTTAATGTCTGAACCGTGGGAGTGAATTCAACAATGTAATCACATATTGCTAGAAGACACTTCATTTCCCTCTTCCACATTAGTTTGTTGTCTGAATGCAGGGGCTCTAGTTTCTGGTGTTTGCCAAATACAGAAGCTGCATATTGAAACCAAAACCTTGAAGTTTGCCATAAGAAAGGTAGGGTGGGGTAGGAGAGAGGAGGATGTCCACAATACCATAAAGGTTTGTAATGGCATTTGAGATGGTGACAGCACTGCAAACTCCCTTCCCACTTCCAGACATGTCCTCTCCCAGCAACAACTTTGAGAATCTCTCCTTCATCAGCTCTAGCTCTGCAATAATCCTTCATTAATCCACAAAACAAATAGGCAAAACAAAAAAAGTTCAATCTTGATGGCCAAATGAAATAGGTTAAGAAAAATTTCACCTAAATCTGCTGTGTCTTCTTCATCCATCATCTCATGCTTGTTCTGTTTTAGGCCTAGTCTCGAAAACTTTGCACAGATCAGAGAGTTGCGGCCCGGCCAGCAGATGGGAGAGGCCACCTCAGAATAGCTGTTGTCGTCTGTGTGCTCTGAGGAGAACCCTGAGGCCTCAGAGCTACTCCTGCAGTAGGCGAAAGAGTCGCCACTCAAGATGGAGTAACTTGTGATTTCTGTGAAAGATTGATCAGTTGGACATGCTGAAGAAGGTGAGGAGGCATGGCGTCCCATTTCATGACTATCATCAGAGTTTGATATGCTGCTCTCCATTTGCTGCTTGCTGTCTGATCCTCAGATTCTTGAGTCTGGTCTAATGCTGTCTCGAATTCCCAGACGAGATCAGAGATCAAGGACACAATGATGAAATACAAAGAAGGCTTTAGATTGAATGGCTTGGATGCAAGCAAAACTACAACGGAACTAAGAAGAAGGAAGAAATATTTGGAATGAAGAAAACTGAAACTTTGAGAATATAAAATTCAAATCAGCCAGCAGTTAAAAAAAAGGGAGCAACGGTATGTTACACTTTTTCCTTTTTTTCTACGTACCTTTTAATGGTGGAAACAGTTTGAATTTGAACAGTGAAAATTGAATGAAATGGAATACTACCGTTTGAAAAAAAAAAAGAAGAAAAGCTTTTGCCCCCTCCCTCCCTCCCTCCATAAATGGTCCTGATTCATCTCAGAATCATATTTTGAAATAATTGATATCAGAATCTTGATCCATTAATTATGTCATCTCTTGAGACAAAACTCGAGCCTTGGTGGTCGATCTAATGTTTTTTCTTTTCTTTTCTTTTTGTCTTCATCAATTTTTTTGTCATGAAACTTTTGGTAAGAGAGCAACGTGGTCAACTGATAGACGTGCACTCCATTACTTTGACTATGATAATAACTAAAGCTTCTTCACATAACGTGCACTTGAGTGGTGGCATATTTGTTAAGAAGTGAAGAAGAAAGAGCCATACAATACTACAAGTTCTTGTCTTCAATCAAACAAAAAAAACCAAAATGGTCTCACTCTATAAGAATGCATTGGTCAAATATCCACTCTTTATTATATGAGCATGTGTATTTTTGCCAATCTCCAAAGCATCGACTTTAAAACAAGAAAATTAAAAACAACTAATGAAAATTAAGGAGCTAAATCCATAATTTGTTGGTTAATATTAAAAATAAATTATGAAAATTCAAAAATTACATTGTATTAATCAAAATGGGTCATAAAAATAATAAATTCAAACCTAAATAATCTAATCTAGCAAAAAAAAAAAAAATGTGTAAAAATGAATGAAATTCGTGGTTGATAGACTAGGAGGCGAGCTGATTGGCAGAGCTGTTACCCGGCGCCAGAGGTGGGGCGTTCCTCAGCAAATCCCCAGCCTCGGCAACTTTAGCTTTCAGAGCTTCTGGCGACTCCAGCAAATGCAAAACCTCAGTCTGGTCCATCTCCAGTAGCATTCCCGTGATTTTGGCAGCATGATCGTGCTCGAGCTGATCGACGAGCGGGTACAAGTACTCGCCCAAGATCCTCCTCTTATATTCGGGCTGAGCACTTGCGAGAGCAGTCGAGATTGACACGGGCTTTGGGGCGACAACGGCATCTTGGGGAAGCATGGTGCCCACGTCAAATGGAACAGACCTCATCTCTGATGCAGCTGGCGCCATGGCGCCAGGAGGGTACCCGTACATCCTACCCTGAGGAACCGTTTGGGGCAGCATCATAGCCATAGGAACAGGTTGCTGATTTTGTTGTCCACATCTTCCAGCAGGGCGGGGGCGGGGGCGGGGGCGTTGGCCCTGTTGCCCCGGTGGGACTACAGGAACAAAGAAATTATGAATTGGAGCCCCACCTGGACACATTCCGGGAGCAAGGTGTGGCTGATAGCCGTATCCGGCCTGAGGAGGAACTATGGCCGGAGGACCTTGCCCAAAGTATAGTTGCTGCCCCATGGCAGCTGCAACAGGAGGATATATCGGCGGCATACGAGGACCAACGGGTGGAAGCATTGTCGGAACAGCTCTCCTTTGTGAAAACTGAGCCTGTAATCTTGCCGTCCGATCTTTTTTCCGCTCCGCCACTGCCACATACAGTGGCTTTCTGATCACCATTCTGCCATTCATCTGGGCAAGAGCACGAGCAGCCTCCGCTGAAGTTGAAAACCTAACAAATCCACAACCTTTGCTTACTCCAGTAGGACCAAGCATGACCTTGCAAGAAGTTATGGTACCAAATCCTGCAAACAGCTCTTTCAGCTTTTCATCGTCAATTTTATCGTCCAAGTTCTTGACATATAAATTAGTTCCTTGAACTTTGTTGCCAGCTTCTCGGGCAGTTTGATTTTGAAGTTCTTGCTCTCTCTCCGGCTTCTTCAGGGCTTTCCTAACGTACCACTCTTTTTCATCGAATTTCTTTCCGTTTAGAGCTTCAACAGCTTTAGCAGCATCATCAGCAATTTCAAAATTGATAAAACCAAAACATTTGGATTTTCCACCGCCGTCCCTCATCACTACACCACTAGTGACCTTCCCATACTCCCCAAAAATTCTCTTCAGATCATCATCTGTAGTAGACTCAGATAGATTTTTCACATAAACATTGTTGAACTTTGTCTCATTTATCGCCGTCTCCCTCTCCTGCTTACGATGAAAATGTCCAACATACACTTGTTTATCGTTGATAAGCATTCCATTCAACCTATCAATAGCACTTTGCGCCGCCTCTTGGGTATGAAATTGCACAAATCCATGACCCTTAGATTGGCCATTGGAGTATGTTGCTACCTTGCACGAAAGAATAGTCCCAAAACTTGAGAAGGTATCCCGTAACGCTTTGTTGTCGATTCCTTTGTCCAGATTCTTGATGAAGATATTTCCTGTGCCACTCCTCCGAATGCTTGGATCCCGACGAGAGTACATAATTCGAATCGGCTGGTTATTCAGAGGCGTGAAATTCAACTCTTCTATAGCTCTTGCCGCATCCTGGGGATGGTTGAAATTAACGTAACCATATCCAAGGCTGAGTAGAGTGCCAATGTCCCTGCAAATCCTAACAGACGCCACCTGGCCCACCTGACTAAAAAGATGGTAAATCTGCGACTCAATCACATTCCCATCCAAATCGCCCACATAGAGCGAAGTCGATTGATTCTGCGCCATAATTCCCCCAATGCACAATCTATCAATCTTTCTAGGGTTTTTTCAGTAAATAAGCGAAAGAAAGAAGAGAGAGGAATACAACGCAGATGAATAACAGAAGATCGAAAATCGGAGAGACGCGGGTTGTATATTTGAGAAATAGATCTCTCTGATAGTGCGTTATGTGTAGAAACAAATTATGAAAACGGGCATATATATACATACAGGCAATATACTCGAAATCTAAAATATAATAGCATCAAATCTAAATCTAAAATTAAATATATAAAATATCTCAGTAACTAATATATTATGGAATATTTGGCAATTAGATTATAATGTGATCAAATCTAATAAATTTAAAATTAAATATTTATAAGTATCTTAACAATTAATATATTAAGAGGATGTTTAACAATTAGATAATAGTGTCATCAAATTTAAATTTTAATATTTAAAATATCTCAATAAATAATATCTATAAAATGGTGTTTCACAATTAGTTATTAGTTGATTGTTAGCAAATTTTTAAATTTTTATTATTAATTATTAAAAAATAGAAATAAATTTAAATATTTATTTTTACTATTTTATAAAAACTTAATGTCATTTTATTGAAAAATATATGTTTCATTTAAAATAAATTTAATATAAAAATAAAAATTTATTAGTATATGTATTTTTATTAAAATATTTTTTAAATTTATAATTTTAAATAAATATATTTATTTTTAATAAAAAATTTATGTGATAAAAAATATATATATAAATTAATAATATTAATATTTTTATTTTATCTTTAATTAAAGAAATTTACAAATTTTTATAAAAGAAAAGTAACATATAAAAAATTATTATTAAAAAAATATTTGAAATTTTAATAAATATGTAATAAGAAATATATTAATATATATAAAATAATTAATTAATTTTAAAATAAAATAAAATAAAAAATTAATTTGAAAAATTGATATACACTGATATTTCTAAATTAATTTTTTGGACTAATTAAAAACATTAATTTATCAAAATTAATGTGAGGTCATGGGTTTAAATATTGACCTCTCTAGGTTCATCTACAACATATGGTTCGTCTAGTGTGACTTGTCTTGTCAGATCTTGTTTACAAAGTATTAGATTCGACCGAAGATTTATCCTGCACATTTTCGGTTAGCGGTGGCGGATTCTTATTTTATAAAAATATATATATATATATATACAATATAATATTACATTCCACTTAATTGGTCTTATTTTTTAAAAAAAATATAATTATATTTTAAAATTTATAATTTAATTTTTTTATTTTAAATAAATTATTTAATAATTTTAATTTTAATTTATAATTATAATTAAATACTTAAAACTCCGTACTTAAATTAAATAAAAGACAGAATGAATAATATTCCCTCTATCCCGGTGCAAAGTTGTCCGTAGATTTTTGAATATTAATGTTACAATGGGTTGAAGTGAAAAAGATAAAAAAATATTGTATGTAGTAGTATAAAAATAATAATATTTGTGTAATACAATATAAATTGAAATGATTTTGTTATAGATTAGAAATAGTAACCTGATGAAAATAAAAAATGAGAAGGGAGGGAGGATAATATGTATGCAGATGCAGTAGTAAATGGTTGGAGCCATACCTCAGAAGCATTTAGTGGTAGGCGCAGTCATTTCAAATTTCAGGTAATTTAAAAGATGGGATTCCACTCGCACAAGCTGTTGCGTTGAAGATTTCTTAATTAAATCCATTTGTAAGAGTGAATCAAATGAGCGAGGAGTACAAAGCTGGAATAATTTCAACTGCTGTTTGAAATTCGAATTAAAAACCACAATCTTGGTTGATCAATGAAGCTGACGGCTTTAGTCGTTCATTTTTAAATTCGAATTTGAATCACCCATGGCCTCTTTCTTTCTTTCTCGTAATCTCGAAATTATTTTCTTATATACTCATAATGCAATAATTAAACACGGAGGAGTCTTCTGACAGTTTCAATTAAGTTTTTAGACAGAAAGATGAGACACAGTGGCGGCCGCGTCGTCGCTCTTCCTCCACTGGGCTACCAACTCCGCCAGAAACTTAGTGGACTCTCCACCATCATTCTTCATATTATTATTGTCATCATTATCATTATTATCGTTACTCCTCCCGTCCCCGTCCCCGTCCCCGTCCCCACCACCATCAACTCTTTCTCCTCCAACGGCCACCGCCACCGCCGTCGCCGCCGCATTCTTGAGGGCCCTCATCCGATTCTTAATCCCTTTCCCTTCCTCCCCTTCCATCAGCCCCTTCACTGCCCTCGCCACCTCCGCCCTCCCCACCACCCCATCGCCGTCTTCTCTGGGCCTCAGCGCCACTTTGACCTCCTCCACCAGCATCACCGCGTTCATCCTCTGCTCTGCGTACAGCGGCCAAGCTATCATCGGCACTCCGTTCACCACGCTCTCCAGTGTCGAGTTCCACCCGCAGTGCGTCAGGAACCCCCCCGTCGCCTCGTGACCCAATATCTGCGCCTGCGGGGCCCACAACGGGACCACAACCCCCTGCTTCCTCGTCCTCTCCTCGAACCCTTCCGGCAGGTACGCCCGGGGGTCGTCGGAATTGTTGCTGTTGAAGTAGGAGGCGTTGGAGATGTTGCTGTTGGGGCGTCGCACCACCCACAGGAACCTCTGCTCGCTCAGCTCCAGCCCCAGGGCAAGCTCGATCATCTGAGCGTGCGACAGAGTCCCGCCGCTCCCGAAGGAGACATAGAGGACCGACCCGCCGGGCTGCTCATCCAGCCACTTGAGGAAGGAGGCACCCTCCTGATGCTGATCGGGCGTCTGGATCAGAGGCCCGATCGGATACACAGCTGGAATGCTGCAACTGTTGTCCTTCTTCTTCTTCTTCTTCTTCAGGAGCAGCGCCTCCACTGCGCCGGGCTCCAGCTCCCTGAAGGTATTGAGGATGATCCCATGGGCCATCCTGTACCTGCGTGCGTGATGGAGGACCCACTTATAGGCGTCGTTCCCTCGATCCTGAAGTGGGTCTAACAGATCCCTGCCGTGGATCGGGACGCATCCCGGAATCCGCAATTTCTCGGGAACCTGCGCGTACTCGCACGACACCGCCTCGTCCAGCGTGGGCAGGTAGAGGAACAGCGACAGGAGCATGGCGGTGGAAGGGAAGAAAATGTAGGGGGGGATACGGAGGTCGACCGCCGCTTGGAAGGCGTCGGTGCCGAAAAGATCGACGACAAGGGCGGCGGGGGAGGAGGAGGCGAGGGCGTCGCGGATGGAGGGCATGGACCGGGTGATGGTGAGAGAGATGCGGGTCTCGATTTTGACGTCGGGGGGGAGATCGTGGAGGGCGACGGGAGGGAGGAGGAGGCAGCGGACGGAGGGGGGGAGGGTGGAGAGGAAGGAGGACTGGGCCGGGGAGAGGGGCCCGTCGGTGGGGAGGATGAGGGTGGCGGAGATGGCGTGGCGGCGGTGGAGGGTGCGGGCGAATTCGACGATGGGGATGAGATGGCCCATGCCGGGGCTGGGGAGGAGGGCGATGTGGGCGTCCATGAATACCAGATGAGATAGAGAAAAGGGATAGTTGCAGTTGCAGTTGCAGTTGCAGAGCTGACAGAGGAGGGGGTGGAGGAAGAAACGAATGACTAAACAAGAAGAGCAGTTGGAGGGGGTGGGGGTGGGGGTGGGGGTGGGGGGATATTATATATAAGATGGATCACGGATGGATGAATGATATGGAAAAAGAGTAATTAGCCAGAGAGGCTACTTTTAAATTTTAATGGAAAATAAATAAATAATATTCGACCAGGAGCCAGGAGGTCATCAAAATCATAGTTAACCCATATTCTATTTATTTATAATTTCTAATTTTAAATTTTGGGATGGACACGCACGCCTCACGTCACACCTACGCCACCAGTTACCTATTACTCCCTATTACTTTCGTTCTACAGAAATTTTTTATATTTTTTTTTATCATATAATTTGTAATATTTTTTAAAAAATATAATTAAAGATTTTAATTATATTTTAAATTTTATAATTATTTAGATTTTAATTTATAATTATTTGTATTAATTACAGAATATATATATATTTTAAAATCATATAGTAAAATGACATATTTTTTTTGGACAGATGAAGGGAGCAGTACAATTACATTACCTAGGTTTACCTTTTACTGACTGATTGAGCCATTGAGTAGTGTGTCTTACCTTACCTAGGTGACCTGCTGCCAGCTGCCAGCTGCCAGCTGCTTTGGTTTGGCAGTACACAAACCCTATCCCGTACACAAAGCAGGTATCTATACTGATTTTCATGCTTTCGCAGGTGCCACACCACTCATGTGTCCAATTCAAAATATTCGTGTTTTTTATTTTTTTCTTTTTTATATATTTTTTTTGCAAAAGAGATAAAATTCATTTGTGATTCTATGAATTTATGCAAAATCTTTTATTCTTCTAAAATTATAATAAAAAATTACACAGATAGTTTAGTGAAAGTTACGAATATAGCTTTGTACAAAAACACAAATCAAACACATCCTAATTTTTTAAGACGGAATAAATATTACTCTAGCAACGTTTCAAGTTTATTATTGTATATATATATATAAGTAGACAAAATTTGGGGGGGCAGGGGCAGGGGCAGGGGCAGGGCGTTGGACCCCGCTCATCCTCAATGATTTGGCTTAGTTTGGTTACGTATGGATTGTGTCATGATGACCTAAGCATTGACGATGCGGTGACGACAACCATGTAATTGGAAAGGCGCGGGAGCAAGCATTTCACTCTAAAATAAAAATTAGTCAGATACAAGTCCGGAAAGGCACGGTGTGTTGGGAATGAACTCGTTAGCGTGACAATATGGTTCAAACATGTATTTTAGATATTGCCTCTCACATCAAATAAAATAAAATACATCTAATTTGCAAGCTATTACATTCTCGAAATTTATCATATCCCACGTTATAAAGAAAAAATAGTATAATAAAAAGTATGTACCTCAATTTATTCCTTCAAAATTTACTCTCCTATAATCATATAAGGCATTGCATTTGTCCAACATAATTTATCATTTCATTTTTTTTTAAATATAAATTATACATTTTAAATTTCATAATTTATCATTTTTTTTAATTTTAATTAAATTATTTAATTATTTTAAAAATTAATTATTGGGGTGCAAACTCAAATCCCACGTTGAAAATTGCGAAGAAAATTGCATCAATTATAAGTTCAAAGTGAACTCCACTTGAACGAGTCCTTTTGAAAAATATTCAAAACAAAATCCGTACGGGCTCATACTAGTTGGTCCAATCCCAACATTAATTAATAATTATTTTACTAATAATACAATCGGACAATTTATCTCAATAGCTATTAATTTCATGATAATAAATATATTCGTAAAATAATTAAAACTAATCAACATAATGTGGTTCTGTTCCGATTAATACATCACAGCTTAGTGGTGATATTTGTCATTTATTATAAATATATATTTTAATTTTAATTTAATGGTGATTATTATTTTTAAATATTACTAAAATAAAGTAGTATTTAATAAAAAGTAGTGAAGAGATAGTTAAGCAAAGTGATTAGGACGGTGAAACTAATGTTCCGGATGGCTCAAGAGAGGCCAACAGAATCTCAGAAGCTAGGAGAACTTTTTCGAATATTTAGGAAGATACCTTTTTTCCAAATTTATATCATTATTTATATTTTTTTGTATAGTCGTAGTTGTATGAAAAATACTTTTTTTAACTTAGATTAGATCCGGTCCGGTCTACTAATAAGAAAATCACCTCTAATTTGGAATAGATAGATATTAACAAGGTTTCGGTGAATGCCAAAAAGTTGCTAGACAATAGGAAGATGTTAAAAGATCATCTAACCCATACCCATTACAAAGTGATATCAAAGTTGGAATGATCTCGTAAGAGCTTTCAAGAACAAGTTAATCAAGCAGGGAAGGGAAGCCCCACAACATCCTCATACTTCGACTCTAATGGTCTTTGTCTTTCAATAACATCAAGCCTATCTTCTCTATCTAGTCTTGCGTGCCTCAGCAGAGCAGAGCAGATTCTCAGATAGAATTACATCTCCTCAAGACCGTCCCAATCATCAAACTCAAACGCTACCATAAATGCATTGATTCCAAGCCTGCCCAAATCAAGACAGGAACTATAATCTGTATGAATCCACAAGAATCACAGACCTCAAAGAATGGCATGGACAATAATGCAATTCTTAAATTGCGCTAGAGCCTGTAACTTTCTTCAACAATCTTGTGTCCATCCTCCTCCTCAACTTTTCAACTTCTTCCCATCTCCCTTGTTCTGCATACAAGTTCGACAGAAGCACATAGTAGCTGGCGTTCTCCGGGTCCAAACTGATGAGTTTCTTGGCAACGAATTCTAAAATTTCCGCAGGTCCATCAATGTTTCTGCATCCAGCAAGAAGCGCGCCCCATATCCGCCTGTCCGGTTCAATAGGCATGCTATTCACAAACTCAAGACCTTCTTCGATATTTCCTTGGCGACTGAGCATGTCCACCATGCAAGCATAGTGTGCCAGGTTTCGCTTAACTTGATAAACCGTTTCCATCGAATGAAACCAGCTCCAACCCTCATACTCTAGCCCGCAATGGCTACAAGCAGATAGAACTGATATGAAAACAACATCATTCGGCTTTATCCCCCTATGCAACATGTTTGAAAAGCACTCGAGAACCTCCTCCCCATACCCGTTAATCCCATACCCATTTATCATGGAACTCCAACATATAAAATCATCAGAGGGATTTTCTTCAAAAACGGTCTTACCTTCCCTTGTTCTTCCAAATTTGCAATACATATCAATCAGCGCAGACGTCAAGAATGCATTGGTCGAATATCCGCTCTTTATTACATGAGCGTGTATGTTTTTTCCAATCTCCAAAGCATCGACCTTAAAACAAGCTTGTAATAGACTGACCAAAGTGAACTCATTAGGGTTCTTGTTGGCCATTTGCATCTGCCTCAATAAGCCAAACGCAGTATCGGGTTGTGAGCTTTCAGCATAAACTGCAATCATTGCACTCCAAGCAATAAGATCTTTCAACCTAAGCTCATCGAATACTCTCCGTGCTGACTCTATGTCATCAAATTCAGCATACGTCTGAAGAAGTTCGGTGACTGCCGAAGCAAATTCAGTAAATCCCATTTTCAGAACATAACTATGGAATCCCTGTTGAATACAATTCTCACTCAGTTGCGAATATGCTCGAATCACTTCCTGTATTATCAGTTCATCTGCTTTATCAACACAACAAGATTGCAGTTCAAGAAAGATATCCAGAGCTTTCCTTGGGCTTCCATTTTCAACACAACCATGTATCATAATCCTCCAAGAAACAATATCCTTCTCCTGCATATGTCCGAAAAGCAAAAGCGCTGCCTCTATATGTCTGCACTTGGAATACATATCCAGAAGCGAATTATGAAGAATTACGTAGGAATAAAACGACCTTCGTATAGAATAACCATGAATTTCTCTCCCAAGATTCAGTGAAGCAAGATCAGCTGAAGCAGAGAGGGCACTTGAAATTGTAACGTGATTCGGCTGCATGCCGTAAATCACCATCGCCTTCAACAGCTTGATGGCTTTCCAAAACTCCCCATTGTTGGCACATGCTGAAATCATTGCACTGCACAAAACCAAATCTTTACAAGGTGTATGATTGTATAACCTAATTGCAGCGGTCATGTCCCAGCAAGAATAAACGCTAACAAGTGCTGTCACAATGGCTACCTCTGAATCAATGAACCCCATTTTTAATGAGTATCCATGAATTCCACGTGCCATATCCTTCCCACCAATTAACCCAACAGCCTTTATCACGCTTAATACCGTCACAAAGTTCGGCCTTTGTTCGCTTACAAGCATTGCTTTGAACAAACCTATGGCTTCCCGAGGCCGGTTTTCCCTCACCAGACTCGATATCTTCGATGTCCATGACTTTAAAACATCATCTTGAGCAAATAATTCATAGGGATCTACCATACTCAGCTTCTTTGGTTGGGTTCTGCCTTTCCATGCGGCGTGAGGAGCTAGGTATCTCTTAGTCCCTTTGTCGAACAGTTGGCGTGCGCTGCAAGAGCGAACGACATTAGACATAAGACTGTCGACGAAAATCAAAATTCCTGAGCCTGATTCACTATTCTTTTGATCTTTCTTCCTTAGATGCAGCTATATCAGTATTTTGAGAGGGAGCCATTATCCTCCTCGACGCCATTATACCATCGGAAGTTTTGAAGAACTCTGTGGCGGGGGAAATCTCGTACGGGGAACAATTTCTAATTAGTACCAATTATAAACTTTTATTATTCAGGTTTTAAATGTCAAAATTGCCCCTCACAGTAGTAGGTATTTTCTCCTGCTTGTATCTGAAGCAGAACATTTATTAATCAGTTTCTTGCTAACAGTAACAGCCATTTAATCATAGAAAGGAAGGAAGAAGAGTTCCATGGCAGGATGGGAATGGGATCACACGTTGTCTTAACTTGCCGTATGTGTTTGACATTAATGCCAAAGATTTCACTTCCCAGAATGTAATTAATATATATACTCATAGCATAATCCCACAACCACATACAAGGCTAGGCTCTTAATTCAATTAATTATAGGTATTAGTAGTATAAAAATGGCTGCTTAATTGTCCAGGCATCCATCCATCCATCCTACCTGTCATCCCACTTAATTCTTCTACGAACTACCAGGTCAAGCCTTTCTATACTTATTATTGATTAATTAAGGTCATTTACGCGCGTGCACCACGGAGAAGACAAGACAGACAGACACAGTTGAAGTCATTTGTTAATTTCATCATGTCTCATTCATATATATATATATATATATATAATCATCAGCCTGCAGTGCAGCCTACTTAAAATCAAATCCAAAACCTGATTGATTATCTGCATTGGCTTCTTAGAGGCAGACATAGCAAGCAAGGAAACAATGATTGACCTCTCCGAAAACCCCTTGCAACTCCCTGTCTTGAATGTATCCAAATGCCCGCTGGATTCGTCCTCTCTCTCCTCCCTTGCTGCAGCCTGCAAAGAATGGGGTTTCTTCCAGATCATTAACCATGGAATCTCCAAGGATCTCTACACCAAAATCTACTCCCTATCCAACAAGATTTTCTCCCTCCCTCCCGAGTCAAAGCTTAGATTAGGACCTTCATCATTAACCAAAGCATACACACCTCATTTCATCGCGTCCCCTTTCTTCGAGAGCCTTCGAGTCGCCGGCCCAGACTTTGCTGCCTCAGCTCGATCATCTGCCAATGCCCTCTTCGAACACAATATTAATGATTCTCATGACTTCAGGTGACTAGCTAGCTAGCTACCATTTTTGATTAATTTATAATCTCTCTTACATACATACATACATACATACATACATGATCAGAATTTAAATACGATTGGTTTAATTTCTTGTCTCTTATATAATTGGTGCACTGCAGTGAAATAGTGGAAGAATACGGGACAAAAGTGACCGAATTATCCAAGGCAATCCTCAAGCTAGTGCTGAGGGCTCTGGGAGAAGGATTCGAGACAAAGTACTACGAATCCGAATTCAGCAACTGCCATGGATACTTGAGGATAAACAACTACACCCCTCCGGACAACCTAGAACAATGCAATGCAGAAACGGAGGGGCTCGGAATGCACACGGACATGAGCTGTCTGACGATAGTGTACCAGGACGAAATCGGGGGGTTGCAGGTGAGATCCAAGGAGGGGAAATGGATGAACATCCTTCCCCGCGAAGGAACCCTTGTAGTGAACATCGGCGACATGCTGCAGGCGTGGAGCAACGAACGGCTGAGATCATCGGAGCATCGGGTGGTGCTGAGGACGACGAAGATCAACCGGCTGTCCTTAGCCTTCTTCTGGTGCTTTGAGGATGAGAAAGTGGTGGCAACGCCCGAGGAAGTGGTGGGACAGGAAGGAAGAAAGGCTTACAGGCCATTTGTTTGCCGGGAATATCTTAAGTTTAGGGAAAGCAATGAGAAGGGTAAGTTTGAGAAAGTTGGGTTTACAGTTAAGGATTTTGCAGGGGCTGTCGAATTCGAAGATCATCATCATCGGCAATTGTTGAAGTGATCAGAAGATCCTCATCAGTTGGCAGTTAGTTGTTGGTTCTTATCTTGCCTATGATCATTGATTTAATTCTGTCGGAACCTTAACTTCCTCTAGGGTTTGGCTGGCTGGCTGGCTGGCTGTAATAAGCCTACATGATCTCGAAATCCTAAGATAGGGGTTCGGAAAAAGTTGCATTTGGCGTTTAGTGAATTTGTCTTGACATGAATGTATTTAATATTATTAATTTGAATTGGGTTGGGTTAGGTTGGTTGTGTGTGTGTGGAATTATGGGAACGAGGGGGTGTGGTTTGACCTCTAAGGACAGTTGGAATTCCACTCCCAACTTGCAAGAAAAAAATATATATGTATATATATATATATTTGTGAAATTTAGTATAGTAATTAGAATGGGTGGGCGGGCGGTTTTGTATTGTCGTGTAAATGCAAGGTGTAAGGAGGGAATGTGTATTGTACTTTTGTGGGTTTGTGTCATTGTCAATTCTTGAAGCACTTGGTGTCTTTAGTCAACTTCATTTGTTTTTCTGGGCTTGCCTATCACATGGGATCTCTTCCATTTGTTAATTAAGTCTGTCTAGTTGAGTTACGTATTCCTTAAAATTGGGATTTGATCAATGTTGTCAGGGGGCTTGGGACAAGTTTCTTGCTTTAAAAATTAACCAACTTAATAATAATAATAATAATAATAAATGGGTTCTTGAAAACTTTGGGTCATTGTGGGATTTATACTCACCATTCATGAAACCAAAAGGGCCACCAAAATTGATCTCGAAAATGGGTTCTCTAAGCTTTATCTTTATTTTTTCAGAACTACTAGTGGAGATTTCATTGAGAATTATGGATGAAATGGTCACAAAAATTGAAGACATATGGGCATAAAATCCAATTATTCATTTGCAAATTGCCACATTAGTCAACCATGATAAAGTTGCTTTAATTATTTTGTTCACCTTTTATGGGCAAAATGTATGATCAATAATCAAAATAATTTGCCACGGCCTTTGACCAAGACTCATATACAGTATAATTTGTACAAAAAAAAAACAAAAAAAGGCCCATCTAATCATTGCTGTTTTGTTATTGATCAGTTTGCCATACATTTATATATATAATAATATTTAAATAAAGTGGCTTTATTTAGATTATCAAAAGTAAATTACAACCCTACTACAGTTTAGTGCGTTTGTTTGTGACTACATTTGTAATTATACCATCCTTATTGTTTTATAGCTCCAACACTCTTTCCAAAAAATAAAAATTCATTAAAACAATTCGAAAGATAAATATGCACAGGATTCCCTAATTGATTTTGCTGGACTTACAGGGAATCAAGAAACTACTAACAATTGTAATTTAAGGTTTGATAGACTGTACAAGATGGTAACTTTATTGAAGGAAAGAAGACTGATTGAAGCTGCCATAGTAGACTTCTCTGTTGTGCTTCCATGATCAAGAAAGGCTGGCGAAGAGAGCTTGGACTGTTGCAGCTGCCACTTCCATGACTATTCCTCAAAGATCTCCTCTCAATTCCTAGAGGCTACTTTCTGCTGCTTCTTGGCTACAAAACCTTCAGACCCCATGTTTGCTCTCCATGCTCATCTGTATCAGAAATGGGAAAGATCAACCAGGTACACTTCTTGAGTTCTCACCTTCCTCCATTTCTTGGAATGTTCCGTAAGAGGGCAAGTATGCGTGGGGAACATCCAAGGCTACTGCTCTTTCGATTGCAGCCATGTGCTCCTCCATGTGTTCCTTTGCAAGCGATGCTTTTCTCTCCATTCTCTGTGCCGGAGGAATGCCCATTATACGTTCCTTTTCCAGCATGGACTGAACTAACAGAAGTTACGACAAGTTTTATTACCACCATAGTATTATAACAAAACCTTTCAAAGCTTTAAATTGATCACATTGCAAAGAGGTATCATGGTAATAAGGACTTCTTATGGCTTCCGTATCTATGAATCAGAGAACTCACATCAAATGCTCTTTCAGATTCCTTCAGTATGCAAAGAATAGCATGGTCTGATGTTATGTTGCAGGAGAGAACAATGTGCTCAAATCGTCCATCCACAGGAACTGCGGTTCTAACTAGAGGGGTGATTTTTTTGCACCTGCATATGGAACCAACTTGAATCAGCCTCTACCCAGTGCAGGTTAATTTAGCTACTTGAATGTGTTTGTGTGTGTTTCAAATCATGTCACAAGATTTTGTCATCTTTCACAATTCATACAATTATTTGAATGCGTGTCTTCGTCTTCGACATGAAATGGTGAAATAAATGGAAAAAGGAATCTCTAGCATGTTATTTAGTTTGTTTAATCTAACACCTTTTAAGGCATATAGCAGCAACATTAAGGCACAAGGCAAGTATTGTAGCTACAGAACTGGGTAATACATCAAACATTCCTGGAATATCTTTGCACTTGGCTACAAAATCATCTAAGAAAAAAAATACATACAAAAAAAAAATAAAAATGCAGAAAGACGAAATAACTCAGGCAGGAAAGGTCACAAGATCAACTGTTTATATCTCTAGTAATACTCAAGTGAGCTATCTATTTTTATTGAACACCCATGTTATATGATTTCTAAGATCTTGATATCCAAAACTCCCTCAAGAAGATACATCATGCAAGATCATTCAATGCATACCTCAAAGGTTTTCTTACAATTATATGGTATAGGCGACCAGGTGCATACAGCCGCCTGGGATCTCGGAGCATCTTCTCTTCTAATGTGCAAGTGTCTTTTAAGCACATTATGCACAGCAAGCAAGGAAAACTGTGATTTAAAAGAAAAGAAAAATAATAATAAGTGTTAATCTCACCAATTTAAAATTAAATGTTTAAGCTCATCCTCTTCAGAAAAGCATATTCATAAAATGTGACAACCTAGGGCAAACAATAAAACTAAGAAAAAAAATACAAGGTAGCAAGACCTTCAATCTTTTACCAGAAAAGTGATTTGAAGAGATTTTCCAGTGCCACGGTTGTCCTAGGTAAGAAATCATCCTGTTTAAAGAAGTTGATAAACGGATTTAGATCATACTATCATAGAAACTGGTAGAGACAGAATTTCCATTCAACTCAACAATAGCTACCTGGAGCACCACCGAGTTAATAACATCAGCATATCTCACAGCCAAGTTTAGTGAAATACACCTTGTTGGCGCAATGGCAAAACATCGAATCCTTTTCCTTTCAATATGCGCAAGTTTCTCCCTATTCTTGACCACCAACATTGTTAGCAATGTCACAACTCCAGCTCCAAGGGAATGCCCGATGAATGTCAGAGCATAGTCTGGATATGTTTCAACTAATTCCTTCAAAGTATCACACTCTTCTTCGAAAACATAGTGAGCTGCCTTCAACAGCCCATTATGCACATAACCTCCATCATACGTTGTCTGCCCCAGTTTGTTATCAAGTAACAGCAAAAAATCACTCTCCTTCACCAAATTAAGACCCCTAACTGCTAAAACTATATCTGCATTGCTGTGATCAAGATAGATCATGTATGGGGACACTCTCCCTTGAGTGTGCACATAATCCTTTTTCAATATAATCCAATCAGGATTCACACCATATCCTCCAGGGGGAGCCCAAATCGGATTTCTAATGTCGTCTTCATAAACAGATAGGATATATCGACAAAACCGGGGAACAGGCTCAAATTCACTAGCTGTTGCAAGACCCCAATTCTCACTCTCACGCCCAGCAGTGTACAAAAATTTCTTCCAAACCCAACGAATGCAGGCTAAACAGGACACACATTCAACAAGTGGGAGGCAGCAGGCAACAGACATGGATGTCTAAAAGCTAGTTACACCAACAGAGATCACTTTTTTTACAAATTTTTTTGAAACCGACAAGCAGTAGAAAGCTGCACTGGATAAACAGGATTTCGATCATCTTTCAAAGGAAGCCAAACACCAAACATGTATGTAGCAACACAAATGGATCAAACTCGAAAGGGCAGATACACATTTCCCCAATTCACAATCAACGAAACGAGTAGAAAGAGGCTTCTACAGCAAGATCAAAATCAAAATCAAAATGGACTACTACTGACCTTCAAATAAATTACAGTACGCATCAACACAGAAGACTGGATAATTGATTTACGACGAAACTAATGCGACAACCTCAACTTTCCGAACAGTCCTTCACCGTGAAATTCAACTCCAACCAAAAAACTACAAAAAAGCGGGGAGAAGTATTCAATCCGAGATCAAATACGCGAAACCGACGCCTCAAAAACTGCTAAGAATTACAAGGCATAGTCATCAGCAGCATCAATTATTCTTCCCAGACGGCGTGATTATTCAGAAACACAATCATGCTCAGTCGTATGATTTTGGGAAACCACAGCCACCCGGTAAAGGTATCCGTCGAATATCGACAAGAACAAGAAACAGCTCGAATGTGCATAAAATGGAAATCCAGAAAGGAGCAGATCATTGTAAGTACAAAAATTAAGGAAAAAGGAACGAACTTTGAAACCTTGGTAAGCCGAAGCGGACGCGTACCGCTCCGGTCCGTGTCGAGCCGGGCCGGTTTATCCTCAGAATGTTCTACTTTTTATGCTTAGATTCCATTGTTCATTTCATTTTGTTTTATTTATCATCAATTATTGGAGAAGAAAATTGAAATATAATATATATATATATAGTTTTATTAACACTAGTGATGATATAAGATTTGCGTAATTATTGTGGTAAGTAAGTAAGTGGGGAGTGGTTATTACACATATGTCGTGTTCTTAGGGTTTGAATAAAATAAGGGATAAAAATATTTATAATAGATGTTTAAATTAAAAAAATAAATACTTGATACAAAATAGAAAATATAAAATAATTTATTCTATATATATAATGATTGTATCCATATATTAATGTGCAAGAAATATAAAACGTTGATGTGTATATATAAACTAAGATTTGCAATCAATGCTTCATTAAGAAATTAGATCTAAATAATTATTTGTGTTTGAAACTTTTTACTTTACATTTATTAACAAAAAATCTTATATATCAATAAAATTTGGATATTATATACATACTATTAATGCTACTTGCATGTATACGTACTAAACTTGCACGCACAAGTTAATATAGAAAAGCCCAACACACTCCTACATATTAAAGATGAAATAAAAAATAAAAAATAGTTTGAACGGTATGTTTTTTTATACAAATTTTTTCAAATTTTATTATTTGGACTCTGTATTTTCTGAAAAAAATACATTTTTTCTTCTCACAAAATATCTTATCAAATATTATTTTAATACCAAACTCAAACCAAATTTTTCTAAACCCAACTTGTTTCAATTTGCATTCTTTTTTTTCTTAATATAATATTTTTTAAGAAAGAAAAATAAAATATTAAATTTTAAAATTTTTGTAAAAAAAAAGTAATACTCCCTCCGTCCCATTAATAAGTATCTAATTACTTTTTACGCGTAATTTTAGGTATATTAGTATTATATTGGGATATAGTAGAAATAAAGTAGAAACGACTAAAATAACCTTATTAGTATGTGTGATATAAAGGTAATACATTTGTGTAATATATTGTGTAAGTTGTAAGGGTATTTGTAATGTTAAGTAGATAGTACCGTTACTAAATAAATACTTTGTTATTGGACGAACTAAAATAAAGAAATGAATACTTTGTTATGGGAGCGAGGGAGTAAATAAAATTCTAAATACACACACTTGGCTAATATTCAATAAGTGACTTATGGAACTTGTGTGGTGTGCTGCTAGCCTATAGATGGTTCCACTTGGCTTGTTGTGCCTATAAACTTTATAGGTTGTTATATTCAAATTGAATTTATTATTTTTTGGTAGAAACTGGGAATTTTCACGTTATAAAATAAATAAGTGATGGGTCGAAATTAAAATTAAAAATCATACTAGTCTTGGACCAAGATCCCTGGCTTTCCCAAACTTGAAAAGGCCCAAATCCAGTCCGGACAGCAGCCCATTCTGGAAATTCATTTCATAAATAAATCCCTAATTCCACAAAAGACAAAACCATCGAGCTCGATTCAAAAATCAGCTCAATTCGCATTCGGTCAGTCTCTCCTGCAAATCGTTCCCTCGAAAATAGGGTTCGGATTGCTGGTCGAGTGACGCAACTTCAGGCCGGAGTTGCCTAAGCCGATCACGGTCGAACCCCATCTTGGCGAGCGGTGAAGTAAATTGTGCGAAATAGCAACAATGCAAGAGCCGAGAGGTCTCACCAATAGCAGAAAAAGGCCCCTTGAAGATGCCACGACCGACGTCCAATATTCCCTTCGCTACAAAATCCGTGCTTTTGTTAGAGATCTTCGCCCCCAGTTCATCGAGGTTTGTTTGAATCTTTCTTGAATTTCTTAATTTATAAAAGGAAGAGTCTCCTTAGCTGCTGCTGCTGCTGCTGTTTTTGGAGGATTCTGTGATTTCTGGCACAAGCTTCGTTCTTGTGCTCCCCAGATGTGGATAGGGTTCTGTTTCAGTACGCCTACTGTGATAAAAATGGCGAAAACAACGCTGTCATCTTATTAGGGCTGTAGTTTTTCGTTTTGGGCTTAGGGGGCGATGATAGGAAGGGGCTGGTGCATTAAACGATCTTGTGTCATCACTATTGCATCATTTCCCAAAGGCATTTTAGGAAGTAGATAGCGGATTTCCCAAAGCTGGGTGGACTGGACTAATTGCTCATTATGAATCCATCCTAATTTCTCCTGTATGTTTTGAAATAGAAGAATGTATTCTTACTGTCTAAAAACTTATCATATGATGGAAAAACGGTATTGGAAAATTTCTACATAAACTCTCTCATGTAGCTTCGTGACTATTGATTGTATTCCATGAACTTTGGATGCTGAGCTGATAGGTTAAATTTACTTTGTCACAGGTGCTCAAGACCCCTGATTTTCAAAATTGCAAGGCTGCTGATGAAATCCGTGCAGGTAAGATCTTAATATATAAGATTTATTGCGAGAATTTTTATGTGGGGCTTCGATTCAGCTTTCTTGATGATTAGGTCCTTTATCAATCTTTGTCCGTGCTAGTCTTTTCACCGTGATATCTTTCATGTCTCCAGTATACGGCTGTAGCAAGCATCTGAAATGCTTTATATTCTACTCAATTTCACTCAATGATTAATGCTGAAAAATTTTGATCCCCACTCAAGACTCAAGACTGTAGAATATATACTATGCAGGGATGAAGCAGTTGATAGACTTGTATAGACAGTTGGTAGATGAAGCTGTTAAGCAGAATAACAGTAGTAATGGTGAGATCAAGCCCAGGGAGCATCATCGAAACGTGAAGCCAGTGGAGCATCAACAGGATGTGAAGCCTGCAGCAAATCCTCTCGAGAATGGAGTGCAGGCTAAACCTTCCGATCCTTATCCTCATCCTCAAGGGACGTATGTTGTTGGTGGTTCAGCTTTTGGTTGGAACTTCATAACATTCAACGGCAGCGATGCTGTATATTATGGGCAAACAAGAGAAGCATTTCGGATAAAAAATCCCAAGTCTGAATGATGAGGCAGCGACAACCCTTATCTCCCTTGTTAATTAAGTTTCTTGCATGATCATGCTATGCAGTGCAATTACATGGAAGGCTATAGCTGTAATGTAGTCCAAGGCTTGACAGACAGGTTTTGTTGTCGCTAATTTGTGTGTATTTTCTTTAATTATGAATGTTTGTAAGAAAAGCTTATAGGATTTCTCTAGCTACCTCACCCCACCCTTGGAACAGTTGTAATGTATTATTACGCATATCAGATTATCAGTTGACTACCGTATAAATACCAAAAATAAATATATCATTATGTTAGCTATTTATTAAGTTACTGTTGCATATGAAACAACAAGGGGTCCATAGCTCAGTGGTAGAGCAATTGACTGCAGATCAATAGGTCACCGGTTCGAACCCGGTTGGGCCCTACAAATAGGTTGTTTTCACTTCAGTTCGTGTTTTTTTTTTTTTTTTTTTTTCTATCTATTTCTGACTTTGAAATCTTGTGCAAAATTCGGAAAACTGATCCAAATTACACAGAGCCTCGTGCACCACCGTTGTTTGGATATAGTTTCGATAGAAGTGAATTTGCAATGAGTTAGGAGACAGATTTAGTAGCAGAAACATGGAGGGTACACACTTAACTACTTAAGCATCACACATTTCAAGATATCAGCTAGCTATCAACTATGAATTTTAAGATATAAGTAGATTTTACAAGTCACAACTCCTCTCTTTTTATCCGCAAGACAAAAATGAGTAACTCCAAGGATGCATTAGAAGCGGCGCATGTCTCTTGGTGGCTTGAAATGGATGGGATGAGTTTCTGGGGTCGCCGTCTCATCCTCCTTCCACATCTTGATTGTCTTGTCTGCTTCACAAGTAATAAGCCTGGAACCAGTGACGTCAAATGTAATGGAATAGATGCCAGCTTCACTGTCCAGGGATCCTGATAAAAAATTGCTCACAAGTGTTATATTGCTTGATACAAAGGTAGACTACGCAGATTAGAGAGAATAGATGTCTGGTATATGCTTTACCGGGCTGCACGATGGTTTGCGCTTGCTGAAAATTGTGACCGCTCTTCCAGTCCCAGAACCACAAGCTACCATTGTCACCTAGATGGATAAAATGACAGAAAAGTTAAAGTCATTTATGTTTTTCTTCATTTTTCTATGAAAAGAACCTGCCATTTTGGTCTCTGTAAATCCCCTCAAGCAAATAGATAAGGAGCAAAACAAGATTGCAACACACCTGCTGTAGCCAGTACGCCCTCCTCATTGACTGCTGCTGAATTAATAATTGTTTTCTGCTGAGAGCTGTGCATTCGAAAAATATCAGATAACATCGTATGTTTGAGATTCATTTGTTGCACAAAAGACAAGGTAGAAATATGAGCACAATTTCACACAGCAGAGCAAGAAGCCTGAAACATTAAGCAAAAAGCCTTTGCTGTTCTTCTAGGATAAAGCAAGTCTACAGAAGACAACTGGATTTCGTGTTCCAAGGCCTAAAAGGAAAACATTGAAGACAACCACTCTCCACAACAATTAGTCTGCAAGGTACTACTGACATTTCTATTACTTTAATTTTATTATTGCATTGTAGTTGTAGTTAGGAAAGCAGGATTGTTTTTTGACAATTTGTTTGGACACAGTAACAAATGCCAGTAAAAATCAATTAATTGAACAACTAGATATCTCTCAGAATATAAATTGACTGAAGAACAAATTATTCAAATTACTATTTATTTAACATTGGATTCTATAATTAAACCTAAAGAAAAATACAACGTTCTACTTTACACAGATCAAAAAATAATAGTCACAATGCAAAAGAGCATTTCCAAGCAAGTACAACACATAAGCACGTTCTGCAGATCACACAATCATACAGCAGCAAAAATTCTGGAGACTAGAACTTACAGCATGTTGTGCATAAATTCTCCTTTCGGAAGTTTGAACTTTTTTATATTCTCAGCAGATGCAGATACAAAGCATTCCCTGCAAAGTTGAAATTCAGTAATTACTAGAACTGATGACAAAAGTAAATCAGTCAAGTATGATGTTACCAAAATCACCCAAACCTGGATCATACACAACGCCGCTACTTACTCTTTAGGATGCGGAGCCATAGCACGCACAGATTTTTTATGGTGTGTGAGAGTTGCCATTGTTTTCCCTAGCATGTACAAACACTTCTACTTTTAAAAGACAACAAAATATTTAAAACAGCATTAAAGAACGACTTAATACCACATACCATATCTAAGGTCCCATAACTTAATTGTAGAATCATGAGATCCTGTTATGACTTGTGGATCCTGCATTTGACATAGAAGATAATTTATCCAGAGCACACCATAATATGTCATCATCGTTATAATAGGGTTCCTGAATGTAATGCCCAAGCATCTGATAGTAATAGTTAATCTAAATTCATGTGTAAGCCTCACCGTAGGACGAGTGAAGACCGAACATACTGTATTATCATGTCCACTTAGCGCATGAATTTGCATTTTGCTGCGAATATCCCACACCTGAAATCACATGGTCTGAATGAGCACGCAACCTGTCTGGTATTTCAGAAACTTCTTATAAGTCTATATGTAACTGGAACTACGATGTCTGAAAACAATTTCATACCCGACACACAGAGTCTCGACCGCCGGTAAGCAAAATGTCTATAGTAGGATGAAGAGCTAAGCAGTAAACACCACTGAGGTGACCATGATAAGATCGGATAACCTTAAAACATAAGGAACAGTATTACAACATTTAAATTCAGATTTATTTCAATTAAAGTGGGGTGAAATCATGTCACCAACCTTATTCTGCTCTAGGTCCCAACATTTGACTAATTTGTCATCACCAGCAGAAAACATGTATGTATGCTTGTCACTAACGGCCAGGCCTGAAAAAATAATATATCTCATAAATTGATTCAGGCAATAGAGTTTAATATAGGCAAATGCATGAAAATGAACTACCTCGAATTTGATCAATGTGACCAGTAAGTGTAAGTTTCAGCCTGCCACTTGCTAAGTCCCATATCTTGCACCAATGAAAGTAAGGAAAAAATGCAATAAGTAAAACATGATGAGAAAGATTAAAAAACAAATAATGCAGCAGCATGTGTTTGGCGTGAGGGTATCTTGAAAGGGAATATGACAGAAAATAAACAAAGGGATCCACTCTCTGTTTCATCCAACCTCTGAAAAGGAGGCTAGTCAATTTCATATATACAAGATAAGGTTCTAACCTTGATTGTCCGATCAGCAGAACCAGTACAAAACCACGTATTACTCGGGTCAACAGCAACAGAGCGCACCCATCCCAAATGGCCACTAATGACCTATAGAAGTGATACTTTGCAATGTAAGAATATTATAGAATATCACTATTGTGTGGGTGTCAAAGAGAAAAAACATATCAATTCTCCAAAGATATCAAGGAGAACCTTGTGAGTAGTATGTTACAAACATTCTTACAACATTACGAAAGTTGCATGATGTAAGCCTTTCCCTTATATAAGTTAGACAACTGTCGGTGACTGTAGTTCTACCCAACATAAAGAATTTTAAATTACCTAGAAAGTCAATATTTTTTTTTTAATATTGTGTGATCCTAGGGAATACAGATTTAAATTGCTAAGTTAGTAAGTGGCGTACTTGTTTGATTTCCAAATAATTTAGACACAATACTGTCCGTAATATGACCTGTGCACCAGGCCTCATTACAGAGTAAATACAATTTCTTTGTTATATGACAAAACCCTAGCAATTCAAATTTCAAGTCCAGTCTAATTTTTATTTTACCTCTGGATATGTAGAAGGTTTCATGGCATATGATCCCCAGATATAGTGTAATGTTGTGTTTTCAAGTATTTATATCTCATAAAATATCTCCACCACAGCTTTAAAACATGATAAATAAGATCTAAGTAACTTCTTCAAATTTGAGAGTTCATAGTATGGCAAAAACCTAACTGAAACGACATGAAAAAGGAAGCTCCATACTTCAAATAACTAGAAATGAATTTATAAAACTATTATACATGTAGTCATATGGTATCCATAATGATAAAGTAAGAATATTTATAAAATATTATGGCTTAAAGAGAGGTAGTCTAAAGGTCAAATGAATGCATCAAGACTGCAAACAATAGGTTTGTTTCTCACTCTATAATTCTTCCAGGGTGCATGCCAGACGGGACGTGGCCATCTACTAGGAATTCTTTCCATGATGGCAGAAGTTGAAAAATTCCTGAAAATCATCCATAAAAAAAGATTTCTATCACTGGCTAGTAATGCCTATTGTTACCCATGTTATTAATTTATTATAATCCTATATTAAATTAAGCAATAAACAGAAAATAAATATTGTCATGAACAAAGTGCAAAATACATATCTTTCATCCATAGTGTGCTGAAGCTTAAATTTTTTTTAGTTTAATTAAAATGGTTTGAGTGATTACTCCCTCAATTCATAATACCAGAAAAGACAAAAAACAAAAACAGAAACTGATGACGGTTGTGCAACTCAGAAAATATTTAAAAATCATGTGGAACTATTGTTAATATCAGAGTAACCATCAATTTTTAAGCCTGAATTCAGAAAAGATTGCGGTAACTAAGAGTTTCAGCAAAAGAAAACTGTAAAGATCAAAATGAATACCTTTCAGATGAAAGGTTAGCAGGAACAACTGCTGCACTCTTGCCTTGGGCACCAACTTCAGTACTGCATCAGGCATTTTCAAAGGGCAGTGAATTTCATTTTATTGGAGTAAAAAAGAAAAAGAAGCGTGTGATTAGATGTATATCCATTCAATTCTCATCTAACAATTCAATATCTCATACTCTAGAGATATATAGGGCCATGTTTTAAGAAATACAATTAACGTTTGTACTATTACCATTACATCATACTATAAATTGTTTACTCAAATATTGAAACAAAATAAAAGTAATACATACGCAGCTCTAGTCTGCCCTGCTGAGCTAACTACCAAATCTCTCTGTGAGGCACCTTTCTGATCATTGGATTGCTCAGGAACTGCACCAAGAACTCACTTGTTATCTTATCAGAACTTATTCATGCAGTAGCACATGCGTACATTGATCATATTTAAATGAACAACCACATCAAAATATATTTTTACTTGGCAAACAGTTGGTGATGGTGACTAGTCTATCAAGTTTCATCATTAACAGTACTGCATTACAACCACTACACACATGAATACACAACCCTAAACCCTAAATAAACTAACAGCTCTTAGGTGTTGAAGCTGACAAGCAGGAATACCTGGAAGAGCTAGAACATTCGAGGGTGTAGATTTTTGAGATTGGGTCTTTGCAGCAGCCTCATTTAAAGACTCCACCTTCACACTTTTCAATCCTCCATACTCAGCATTAATCTAGAAGATCAAACAACAATAGACAAGTAAACATATCAATTCTTAGATTTAACCATTTTATAATGAACTTCGCCTAAAAACTGAGAAGATTGTAATAATCGTTATAGTAACAAGACACACTGTATTCCAATAAATTTCCACCATACTTTCCAGCATATATTAACAAGAAAATTAAGCATTTAGCACCAACCTTGTGACTAACTCGAATTCTCTTGCTGCATAAAAAGCAAAATATCAAATAAATCAACTGAAAAAGGATGCTCATGGCAATGTAAGTTTACAGAATCATTAAAAAAAACCCATATAATTATCCAAATATATCACAGCCCCAAACAAGACGAGCTTAAATGAATTGAAGAACTTGAAAACCTCTCAGGGTCGGGTGGAGGAAATTGTCCATGTATGGGAGAGAACAGATCAAGTGCTCGCTTCAAAGATTTGAAGCTCAGCTTCTTCAGCGATTGCGGCTCTACAGCTAGCTCAGAATCCATCGTCGCCCCAGCCGTTCACAGACGAGCGTGTCCCGTAAGATTAATTAGCAAAAATAAAACTAAGATTGGCCAAAACAAAGCTACTATAGTGAAGTACAGCGCCCACAACGGAAGTCGGCGGCCGCACAACCACGATCCGGCGGCGGCGGAGCCGAATGGTTGGGAACTTCGGGGAGTCTTGTCGATGGGGTTAAAAGCCTGCTATGTGGTTTTTAATTTATTTATTTATTTTAGGTCTTAATAATGAGCGCGTTCTTTTGGAAATTTCTAACATTTCATTATTCCATCGCATTTATTTTATAAAAATGTTAAATTATATTTTTATTTTTTAATTAATTAAAATTAATTTTATATTTAAAATATTAGATCTATTCTACTAAATAAATTATATCATATCTTATCGTATCATACTATTATTTTAATTTATTTTTTTTTAATTTAAATTTTAACATAAAATTCAACTCCAAACAAACAAACCCTAAAAAAAAAAAAAGTTGAATATATATATAAAAAAAACACCGGCGGCAAATGCAATATTACAATTTCTGAGGGCATGAAAGTATAACAAAATTTGGTCTTCATTAAATTGGGGTTTCCGCTAGGGTTTTGCAGTATTCTCACGGCACAGCTTGCGCCAATCGAGTTGGAGGAGTGGAAAGATGTCAAAGAAGAACGATTTAGGTCGAAGAAAAAGACTGCACGATTTCGATTTAAAAAGTACACACTGCAATTTGGTTTGCGCCATCTTTGTTTGATTATTTTTTTGTGATCTGCGTTGATTTTTTGTATATTATCTGGGTGAATATCGTCGTGGTCCTTTCATTGATGCATGGACAGGAGAAAAGGAAGAGAAGGAAAAGAGGGAAAAGAAGCTTCAAGCCAAGAAAAATAAGATGAAAGTAGGTCACTGATTATTCAATTTTCATAGCATTGTTCTTCTATTACCATGATTTAACCTTTCCCAAGATTTTTTATTTTTTATAAATTGTTTTATTCGTATATGAGATGACGAAGAACTTGATGTGTACAATGCTCAGGTTGATGGCAAAAGTAAGAAGAAGAAAGGGGGCGCTGGATTTCAAGTAGGAAAGAAAAAGTTGAAAACAAAGTTGACACCGTTGGCAAAAGCTAAAGCTTCCCAAGCAATGGAGGTTGATCAATGAGGTTGATATGGACGCACTGATTACCAGAAAATAGATCAAATTTGACAGGAGTGTTTTTTGTAATGCAGTTATACACTTAAAACCTGACAGGTCTACAATTTTGGAATCATAAGAATGCACTTTGCTTATTTTCTTTGCATATTTTGTATGAAATTCTAGTCCTTTGTATGAAATTTTCTAGGAAGGGTTCTTTGGCCTTTGGGTGCTCCAAAGTAGAGGGATTGAAATTTTACAATCTATGAATTCAGAATTTATTACAGGCTGCATTGGAATATGGGGCTAGTTTATTAATGCCCCCAAAGTGTTATTAGATAGAGCTCCATTGCAGATTGAAGGATCTGAGAGCAATGCATGCTGTGGCACCAGTTTAAAATTGCATTGCTTGCCTACTTATAAATTTTGGCCCCTTTTGTATCCTCGTTTATGGCCTAAAATAATCTCTAGACGGGTATGGACAATTTAGAGAGTCTGCTTGTCCATAATTGAACATGCAGTTTAATTTTTTTTCATAGAAACGACATAGGAATGTTTTCAATTGGTCTTCTGTACTTGATTGATGATATCTAGCCAAAAATCTCTCATCAAACAAGATTCTTGATAATTCCAAGCTATTTGCTTCATGTGCTCATTATTAATGCTTATGTGAGACCAATTGAAGTTTCTACATCTAAAGAAGTTGTTTGCAAGTGACTGTACTGTTCAAATTAATGGTGAATGATCCAATCCATGCGTTGCCTGGCTTCTGAAGTAGTTTGAACTAAGTTACATTGAAGATAGTTTGTCGTATCATATGAACATATCTGATTGCCGTGCTATGTATGTTGGCCATGCCCCGAAACTTTCTCATTTACAGCATTTTTCATCCCTTGGTGTTTATTTCCATGATTCTTTGGTGCCATCATGGTTGTATATTTGCAATAAATATGCGGTGTTGCAATAATTGCCTTGGCATGGGTGACAACGCCCATTTAGGGTAGTGCTAATTATGCTGAAAGTGAGATATCCCAATTTGCCAATAATGTTGATACAAACAGGACCTACCATCATATGTAGTAGTAGAGTCACTCACTGTTCATTATCCATCTGAGGATGTAATTCACAACCCTTAGCTCTTAGCTCCAACTTATAAAGTGATGATTCCTTGATATATATCTCTCTCATGTTGTTAACCTTTGGCAGTTTGGATCCTTTTTGCCGTTCTTGTTTGTAGCTGCTCTTTGTGCAACTGGTTTCATGTTAGGAATAACCGGGCAACACATACTTTTGTTAGTCGCTTTTATTGTTGTCACAACCCGATAGCGTTTTTCCATTTCTCTATGTGGTCATAAAATAGCTGAGAGTAGTAGATCACTCTAAAATACTAGTAATAGATTGAATCAAGCCCAAATAGAAGAGGGATCATTCATAATATCTTTCATTGTAATGAAGCCCTTTTATAGTTTACCTCAAGTGTAGGTTGTGATAATCCTGGTATGAAAGTGAATATATATTTGTGAGATATATAAATAAATAATGGGATGAGTGCAGTTGGGGGCTTGTGGTCAGAAATTTATCATATCCACAGGGCAATGGGGGGTCCTAATGAAGTCACTATTAGACACACACACACACACACACACCCAATCACTCACTCTACATACAGTCCCCACGCGTCTTGCTGTGAAAATTTCCCCACTTGGAATTTTATGTATTAAGCTTTATGCACAGAGAAGATGTAAAACTCAGGGCATGAATAAAGGAGGCCAATGTTGACTCAACATCAAGATTTTGGTTCAAGTTGTGGGAAATGTCAAACAAAATTGAATTGTGAAGCTCCTAAAGCAACTGTTTTGACAACTACTTTTGTCTCCTAAGCATTGCAATGGTGGGGTGGGGAGTATTTTCATTTTCCTTCACTGAAAATAGTAAATCAAACTAAAATTAGGTCAAACAGTTCTTCCTGTTGGAATTTTCATTTAACATCCAAAATAAAAAGAAAAACCACTCGAATTGAAATGATATGGCTTCCATATTCGAGTCAAATACTATAATATGGCCTTGAAACTATTTCTAAAATAAACTTTTTTTCTTTGAAATGAAAAGACGAAAGACCCAATTGGGTAAAAGGGAAAAAGGTGATTATCAGTTGAGGTGAGGGGGATATATGTCTTGAAAATTGAAATTATAAAAATAAATAAAATATTAAATTGTAGTAGATATTTAGGATTAGATGTGTTGCATAGGTCCCAAGAAGCAAGAAGCCACAGCCTCCCAACATCACAGAAGCGAGTCACTTTGCAATCCTAAGTTACTGGTGAACGGGGAAATATCTATCCACTCACGTTCTGCACCAGGCAGCAAACAAAAAGGGAACTTCTCTCAGCAAGAAAAGGCCAACAAAGAGAGAGAGAGAGAGAGGCGTTACGTCCTTTGAAGATAAGCATACTTTTCAAGTTATGGTGAGTTCATCAATGGCTGCTGCTTATTCTTCGTTTAACTTTTCTCAATCCGAATTAATCCTTTCTTCTATCCACTCTTTTCGGTTTTCTCGATGTGCTGCAGCTCTTTGCATTCCTAAAGATTGAATCTTTCTTTGTTGTTGTGCTTTGGTTTCACCATTTTGCATGGTTAGTATGGACGTGGAAATGATGTTCTGTTTCTGTGCAATTGTTTTTGTTGAAGGGCTCTGAAAAAAATTCAGTATGAGAGTGTCGTCTGATGAAAGCAGAATTGTGGAAGTTTGTATGGTGAGAGTGAAGTTGTACATGAGAATTTTTTCGATCGGTTTAACCTTCTTTTTAGAAAAAAAAAAAAAATTAAATTTGCTTTCTATTTTGGACAAGAAGCCTTTCCTAGTTGTCTTTTTTAGGGGAGGCTAAAGGGTACTTTTTGTAATCTAATCTGTGTGAGTTATGAACTTCACTTAATTACTCTTCAATCTGAAACCGTTCTCTTGACTTTCTCGATCCATATAAAATCTACTTTGCATCTTCTTAGAAAAGCCCTATAGGTATATTTGAATCTCTTCAAAACCTTGCATTTTTTAGAGTTCTTAAATTTGAGCAAGCATTATAGAATTCTTGGATTTCCATATTAGATTTCTATTTTCTCCTGCAAGCTATTAGAGTTCTTGATTAGATTTTGCCTTGGAATGTATTTTCCTTTGCCCTCTCAAGCATTCTTTCTGAATATGTGGAGTTGCTTTTATAAATTCTCAATTGAATTTACCTGAAAATAGAGTAGAGTGTTTTTCACAGTTAGATTTGAGTTGCATTGATGAAATTTTGTGAGTTGGACTTTCATAGTGCAGAAAACATAGGAAGTCTTCAAGATTTGGTCGATGAATTGTCTATTTGACATTCCTTTAGATTTAATTTTTGGTGATTTGTAGGGAACTCAGCTGAAGTAAATGCATGGATCAAAGGGACCCTATGTCACTAACGGGCTCGGCTTCATACTATGTGCATCAAGGTCAAGCCGAGTCCGTCACTGGTTTACAAAGCTCACCTAACATGAGTCCATTATCTAATCCTGCTGTGCACTTCCAATCCAACACCGGGGCTGGCTTAGCAGTGCCAACATTGCCCTTGGATAGTTCATCGACAATGTCTCCTCATGGAGTTAATTTAGGCCCACCTTCTGCTCTGCAGCCAGGTGAACCAGTGCGCCGTAAAAGGGGAAGACCGCGCAAATATGGACATGATGGTTCTGTTTCATTGGCATTGTCGCCTTCCATGTCCAATCCTGCATCCGCCATGAGACCAGCTCAAAAGTGGCGAGGAAGGCCACCGGGCAGTGGCCGGAAGCAGCAATTATCTTCAATCGGTACTTCACACTAAATTTGGCTGTCTGAATCTTCCTTCATAGTTTTGATATTCTTTTCTTGATGTTAATATGGAATATCTATCATATGTCCGGTTTTTTTTATTTTACGAAAATGCTACAATTTCAGGTGCATCTATGTTTAATGGAGCTGGAACTATGACCCCGCACATCATCAATGTTGCAGTTGGAGAGGTACGTGCAGTCTCTTCGACAAGTCTAAATTCCATAGATCGTCAGTATGTACCACAACCATGGACTTTCTGCTGCTCGACTTAATATATATATAAACAGAAAAAGGCGAAGTTTTCATTTGGATTAGCACAATACTAGTTTTTGGTTGTAAAGCTATAAGCATCATTGCCCATTACGTCGTGTGTTTTTCTTCAGGACATAAAGAGGAGAATCCTATCCCTTTTACAAGGTCATAGAGTTATAGTTATCTTGTCTGGCATCGGTTCTATTTCATCTGCAAGCATCAAAATTTCAAGTTCGAATGGGAGGAGCGTTACATACGAGGTGTAAGCTCTCAATATTCTCGTTATCACCATAGTTTTGATTCCTTGAAATGATCAAAAAGGAAAGAAATTAAAAATCTTGTTCTTGTTGAAATTACCTGTAAAAATGCATTTGGTAGATGAAAAAGAAAGAACAGCCATTATTTATCGATAATGAGGCTTGCTGTTAATGCTTTTGTAGGGGCATTTTGATATGGTGAATCTATCTGGCTCTTACATTAATGACGTCGGCGGTCCTCATGGAACAACCGGAGGCATAAACGTTACTTTTGCTGGTCCTGATGGGCGTCTCATAGGAGGTCCGGTCGAGGGTGTGCTCATCGCTGCAAGCCAAGTTCAGGTGCCTTCCTTAAAGAAAAATTACGCCATTTATATTCGACGCCTGTCATGCTTCCGTTGATTAATATTTTCATCGATTTCTTTCGGCGTTCCTGCTCTAGGTGATTGTTGGAACTTTGGTGCCTTCGTCTTCAAAGTCAAAAAATAAGATGATAGAGGATCCAGAAGCTTCGGGAGACCATGATCGAAGTACAGTTGGGAATGCTGTAACATCAGCTAACATTCAGCCTAGTCAGAATATCAATCCGATGAGCGCCTGGCAGAGTTCGAGATAAATGGATCGATGTATGAACTATGCTGACATTAACTGATGTTGTGGGGTTTTATAGTTGGATGAACTATCACCGCAATGGGGGCGACCCGATTTTCTATCTTACCTTACATAGGTTGTCCGAATGTACATCTGCTTTCATTAAATTTTCAGCTCCTCGCCACACGGATGGTCTGGTAACTGTATTATGTTTTGAACAAACGTTTAACAGGAATCAGGTATGTATTCTTGATATCCTTGCAAAAAAACCTGCAGTTATCATTCGTCGAATTTAGTTTGATTTTTTAGCTGTAGTCCAAGTCTGTGTTTGTGTATAAGTTTAGTTATCGTGTGCTTATTACATGGTCTTGGAATTATATGATTCTTTTGTTGTCTGCATTTCATTATCACTTTAGCTCCATGTCTTTCTGATCTTGTTTAAGTTATATGATTAAGGGGCCCTTCATAGATTTTTAGCAAACTTCAAGACACTTCATGTAATAGAAATACCGACGATGTCGAATACAGTTTAGACTATAGTAAAAGACATAGAAAGATAACAGCCGGACAGACATAATCGAATAAGTACTAGGAACGACGAGCTTTAGTCAGACCAGAAGATGTCTAGTAGTCCCCAGTCATCCTTAGGCACTCCTAAGGCCTTCCAGACAGCTCTAGACGCGTCGACAATATTGTTACGGCACGGAGGCTGATAGTCGTGCTCTGAATCACATCCAACGGTCGAGTCGCACTCATCGACCACCATTGCTTTAACTCTCCTCCCATTACCGTAGATTGTGATATTCTTGAAACACCGTCTTAGGTTGTTGAACCACCCTGTCGACAGCGCCACCACCGGAGTATCATCCGAGTGGAAATGGCCGTCGCATTCTGACGGCCCGCCGCCGTCAGCGCCTGGACCAAACCCATTGAGTGTCAGGATAGCCTTAGTACGCGCCGTCACTCGCGGAGAACATTTATAAGTTGTGTAATGCTGTCCCTGGACACAGCATTCGGAGTCATTCCCGGTATTACATTCCCCCGGAGGCGGCTTTTTTCCGGTAATTCTGCCGCTAGGACTGCAGGACTGCGCGTCGATCCTCGACACAGTCGCTGCAGCACACAAGAAAATAAGGATTGGCAAGCTGGGAGGTATGTTCTTCCTCATTCTGGTTTATTACTTTCTTTGTAATGAAAGGGTCTGAGTGTCTGAAATCAGTGTGAATCTGATCACTATTTATAGTAACAAATGAACACTGTTTCGACTCCATGGCTGCTAAACTTGACCAAGTCTTCTGAGTTTGGGTGATTCAGCAATGTAATGGATTTAGCTCAAGTCGTTATGTTGGTGGAGTTCAGGGGAAGTGTTACTGTAATAAGAACAATTCGAATGCACGTATATAATGTCCTAACAAATCTGCTGTTTTCTTAACAGCAAGTTGCTTTTAGTTTGACTGCATCAAAGTTAAGTCAAGGGGTCTTGGTCTCTGGTCTTTGTTCTTGTTCCAGTGTAGTTTAAGAAAATTACACAAGATTTAATTCCTAGGGATTGATAATGCTATACGAGTAATGCAAAAAACATGTGTTTCTGATGTGGGATTAATGCCACTCCATGTCATATTAGGACAAGTTGCTGATCTAAATGTGATATATATATCTATATGCTTGTTTTGTTTGTCTCCCTTTTCCAAAATTTGGAGGTTCTTCATGCTGCACCTTTCAGGCGTTCGTTTCTCTTCCCAGCATCTTCAGTCGGCCCAACACGATTCCACCTGACCTGATCCTAGGAATCGATTATGTTATATATATTGTTAATAATGAAATTAGGGGCAGATTAAAGATTAATGATATAGGCAAAATTGTCCACTTCATAATCAATTAGAGTTGAAAATAAGATTTGCATTGAAAATATGACTCGTTCATATCAAAATTAGAGCACTCTCTAACAAAATTAAAGTTAAAACTTTTTCTTAGCAATAGAATTGAAAACTCATAACGGAAACTTACGCTCACAACAGAGTTAAAGTTAAGAAAATTTACTCTTTTGCAACGATCCCATGAAACTCATAACCATGTTAGATCATTTAATAATATAATTAGTTTGTTGATATTTAATTTATATTATTTAGACTAATCAGTTACTATTTGATTATGTTTATTAGATTAAATTATTATTATTAATTACATCTACCGATTGTGTGTGTTATAAACATTTGATTTGATTGATTATCATATATGCAATTATGAAAGAGCAAGTTCAATTTACTCTAAATTTCGAAATGACTGCAATAACTCGTCTGTCAAAATTTTCAAAGCCTTATTTTCGACATTGGTTGGTTTATAGGACTAAGCTTCTAAGGATGCTCGATTCTAAGATCTAACTTCATTGTGAGTAAATTTTTATTTTATCCATGTTCGATATTCCCTTCTTTAATTAGTTTCTACCTGGTTATATTTCCATTGAAACCTCTCTTGGACCATATAAATGGCACAAATTCATACAGCATTTTGAGTACAATATTGTCCTTTGCTGGAAGAGAACTTATATAAACCAGTTAGTTAGTATTCACGTTTAAGATCAAGAATTCCCATTCGATATGAAAAGCTTGAGCTTGGAGACAGTTGTTCTTCTGCTACTCTTTGCTCCTCATTTCTTACAGGGTGATTACAATGGCTGCAAGCCTAGTGGCAAAGTGAAGGGAAAGAAGCCGCCACCCGGACACTGTAATGAAGACGACAACATCTGCTGCATCGAGGGGAGGTTCTACACTACTTACAGATGCTCGCCAGCAGTGTCCGAAAGCACCAAGGCAGTTCTGAACCTTAATGGCTTTGAAAAAGGCGGGGATGGATATTCTCCGGCGAGGTGTGATCATAAGTACCATTCAGACAGCACGCCTGTTGTGGCGCTCTCGACCGGATGGTACAACAGGGGAAGAAGATGTTTGAAGAACATCACTATAAGTGGTAACGGGAAAAGTGTCGATGCCATGGTGGTCGATGAATGTGTCTCCTCTATAGGCTGCAATGCAGACAGCGACTATCTCCCGCCCTGTGGTAACAATATTGTTGGCGCCTCCGAGGCTGTCTGGAAAGCGTTGGGTGTGCCGGTCGAAGATTGGGGTGAAATCGACGTTGTCTGGTCGGATGCCTAATGGGAGCCATGCCCGAAGAACACAAGCTATAATGTAATATTGTTGAACTCAATTTCTCAAAATCGAATATCAAAGAAGACTTGTTCTTTTGTACAATAGATGTCATGAAGCAACATTCTTGTTCGAATCTTACATACAGAGGCAATATTCAAATCATGATCAAATACTACACACAAGTGTCGATAAAGTGTACAATCTTTTGACATGGTAACTCACAGCATGCTATCAGTTCGCGCAGGGAGCCGCCGGAAGAAGTTGAGCGGAGCCGGGGGCAACTTATGCCGGAATTTGGGGTGTCTCATCGCATACAGTCCGGCCATGACGATGAACAGCTGGAAAGGCACCGAATAGAGAACGGCGGCAGCCACGACGCAGAACGCCATGAATATAACGGTCGCGCGCGGGTCGCGCCAGCTCAGCAAGGCCTGAACCCTCTCCCCCTGTGAAGCTATGTCCCCTACCACCATCTGGATTCGACCGGCTACGCTTCGTAGACGATCATACCTCATTCGGACGAGATCCATGCTCCGACTGGTGGGAAACGTGTCGAATTCCTCATCGAGCTCGTCAGGGTGCACAGTGTCGGCGCAGGACAGCCGCGTGTTCATGTGAGGAGGGAACCTCGGGCGATACCGGTAGTTCCACAGCCCGATCAGAAACATGTAAAGGAAGAGCGTCGGGAGGATCAGCTCCGGGAAGCAGATGAGCATGATGAAGAGGGCATGGACCAGAACTGTTGTCACAGGGTTCTTCCACATGCACACTTCTTTGAACCACTTCCCGGCGGCGAATGCGCCATTGAAGACGGACATCAGCCGGAGAAAGTTCGCCTTGCTGCGCCGCATGCTCCAGAGATGCGAATCTGCGTCGCACATGTATTCGACGACTTCTTTTCTCAGAGGAGGCTCTGCCCTGTTCAGTCTCGCGGCAACGATGTTAACAGCTTGGAATCGCAGCTGGTCGAGCTGCACCATCGTCAATGGCAGCTTGTAGTGCATTTTTGGCAAGAGCGGCTTCGAGTACAAGGACATCATGTTCACCATCGACGTGCAGGAGAAGCGTATCGCCAAATGCAGCTCTCCCATTTTCTTTACGCCGGAAGGATGAAGCACGAGCAGCGGGTACGAATGAGTGTAAACTCTGCCCGTTTCGAGGGTTGAGATGCGGATCCGGACCTTCCCAATCTTCACGTCTTTATGGCCGTTCGGAGTTTTCTCGCCGATCTGGCCATTGTCGAAAACTCCAACTGTAAGAACAGTGGCTGGATCAAACACTTCCCAAGTGTACTGCTCATTGTACTTAGGATTCAAGCTATCGGTTATGGTTCTTGTTCGAACCCATTTCTGTCCGTACTTGGCGACGCAGTAAGTATCCGAAGTTCCCCGGCCATTTCTTGGCTTCATCGGCGTAAGAGCGTCTGCATTTAAAATTCCAAGCTCAAGAACACCTATCTGTGGCTTCCACAGCTGCTTTGCAGACGGCCTGAGATCACTGCTATAATAGGTAGATTCGTCGAGGACATGGTAACCTCCGTCGAGGCAGACACGGAGATGGACACGACTAGCGAACTTGTCTCTGTCTTTGTCCTTCTTCGGTTCCTCGACATCCGTCGCATTAGGCTTTTGCAGGTTAAACCATCTCGAGGGGACGATCCGGTCATCAGCACGCCTGTCGACCATTGTCAACGGTATGAATACTTTTCCGAGAGCCTCGTCTTTGTTCGGGGCAACGCGATCTTCGACAGTCAGTATCAGATGGTCTTCGAAAGGTTCGGCAGCTACAAACATTAGATCTTCATTCCATAAAGCGTTCATCGTCTGAGACTGCAATGGCTTTGTCTTCAAAACTTGGCTCCCAAGCTGCACCTTGACATGGACATTCGGAACTCGGTGTTTCTCAGTCGGAACCAAGTCTTGCGCCTCGATCACATTGACTCGGACGTACCACAGCCTCGGGCTATGGTAGACTTTCGAACGGATGTGCGTTGGAGGGATCGAGCTGTCGACGAGGCTCGCTGCATCCGAATGCCATGCATCCGCAAATGCCTCGTCCGCCTGTGTACCGATCCAGACAGCCAGCATCAGTTCGCCTCTCTTCTTCTCACCCTTCTTGTCCTCAAGACGATGCCACTCCGGTGCCAAAGGACTATCCGGAGGAACCCTTGTGGGAATCTCGTGGAGATCGATTCGAACAAGACCGGCAAACTCATCCTTAATCATGTCCTTATCTTTGACAACTACTTCAAGAACAGATGACTGAATTCTTTCCTTAGAGAAGGTGAAGACAGTGTTCCACTCTGGATTTTGCGTCTTCTCGAAGTGCTGCGTTATGCCTTTGTAGTTCCCGAGCCGGACTTCAACATATGGGTCGAGACTCCCGGTGACATCCTTCCAAGGAAGGTCGCGAGCTTTGACAACACGAACAAACAGGAACTGCATCGGTTCAACAAGATCATAAATGGTCGGCTGCTTCTCAGATCGCCTTACTCGTCCTCCGACAACCTGACCCCCTCCGAGGAAAGGGCTTGTTTCTCTAAGTGTAAAGTCATTCATCGATGGACCTACATACGACCGGAACATCTGAGATGCCTGAGGTTCAGAACTCATCGCCGATGCAAATGGTTGGTTGGAAGGAACAAAAGAAGCCTCTTGTTGTGAGTTGCTCGATTTTCCAACGCTGAAGAATGTGCGCCTCGACCCCTTTTTCCGACTAGGGACAACATCCGGGGCAGACTCATCCATGTTCTGAGAATAGGCGTACGAGGATGAAGCAGCCATATCAGGGGGAGGAGCTGAGGAGTTGAGATAAGGTGCATCAGTTCTGTATACTTTCAGACCGAGCTCCCCTTTGGCGCGCGAAAACAGACTTCCTTTCTCCAGAGGATAGTTAAACACAACAGCATCCGAGTAGGGAACAATTGAGGCACCACTTAACCGAACTTTTCCAAGAGATGACTTCGAGCTTGTGATTTTATTAATGCTGTAGACGTGAGCCTCGAGCGTGCAGTTAGGCAGGTTGCCGGTGTCGGATACATTGAAATAGAATGTTTCATTCCAGTGAGGATTCAGATCCTTGTCTTTCACTGTCGTGCGAAATTTCTGATCATCGAATTCGAGCTCCACGTAGGCGTTGGATGAGCCCTGCCCGTCTTTGGGGATGAGGTTGTATGCCCCTACAACATCCACTGCTACCTTCAGATTGCTCATGAGGAATGCCCAAGTATCTTATTATCCACAAAGGCTTTAAAACTCACAACCTGTCTGTAAGGAGACACAAAATTAAGCAATGGAAAGCTTCGACAGAGGACTAAAGATGTATGATAGCTAAGGTTTGTTAGACACCATACTTTATTCCATTGTCACATTTAGGATATCCAATGAACCAAAGTTCATCTAAATATGAATCCTTTTTCTATTTGTCCATGTATTGAAAAGCAGCAGCACTTCATCCTGATTTGTTTAGGTTGCAGAAGAATGGAAAGTATCCACACAGTTGTTGTGATTTCTTACACCATCTTAGCTCTTATAGTTTAACACGTTTTGCTAAGGTAGCATCAATGGATTGTGCATATTGCACTTCTCCAGAGAACAAATAAAGAAAAGAGATTGAAATCTGGAATTCAATTCTCCATACTTGTTCAGCAACATGTATATTTCAAACAAATGGCAGAATTATGACAAATATATTGAAATTAGCATGAAATCCATGCAGAATAATGAACTTAAAGAGCAAGTCACCATGAAAATGGAACAGATATTTTAAATAATCCACTAAAGAAAAAACTGTCACCATAGGAACAGATATAGAGCGTGAATTTCACCAAAATCCAGAAAATTAACCCAAAAAAACTCGAAACAGTACCTGGTTATACGACGAGCACACAAAATATTCCGGAATTTGGGATCAGACACAGAGATTGCCCAACAAGAAAGCGTTGAAGATGACGAATAACAACGAGGAGGAAAGCTTCAACAGGGAGAGAGACGAAGAGATGGAGAATCAAACATTGAAGCGTTCAAAGTAGTGTTAAAATAAATAAACAAAGAGAAACGCCCAACCAATAATAGTAGGAGTAGTAAACAACGACAACAGCAACAGCAACAAATAGAGAGGAAAATTCAAGGAAAAGGAGGAGAAGAAGCACAGAGCAGAGTTGAGGTGGAAAAGTCTTCGACGAGGGAGGGAAATGGAATGGAAGGGACAGCGGAGATGATGTCATTATCGCATACGTGTTTTCCACGTTTTATTTTAGACACAACCAAACGCGGCACAGTACAGTCAGCACACCATTTGGTCATTCCCTCCATCCACACCCTTCATATTTCCACGTGGGATCTGCACCTCCAACGGTTCTGATTAGCCACTCGTGTGGGCTGATCAAACTGCACTTTACGATCGCTAATAAATGTGTTGATGTGTAGTGGTTTGATGCATTGGTTCATCAGTCAGCATCACCGCTATTTTACCACACACTTATTATCCAACAAATAAAAGGCGCAACAAAATGGAGAGAAAAGGAAGGATATATCAAATCCATGCTACCTGCAAAATTATACGTAATATATATATATATATAATGGACGTGTATAATTTAGCAATGAGTCAGCCTGATTTGACCATCCACCAAAAATCCAATCATTATCTTACACGTGTCTCTAGCAAATTTTCGAATAACTAAGCGAGTAACGATTAAACTAGGGGGGAAATACCAAATCATAAAGGTATGTTTCTTTATAGTTTTTTTTTTTTTTTTTTTTCATATTTTTATATTTGATCTTTTACATTTTTTAAAATTTATATATGTATATATATTAAATCATTATTAAACAGTAAATCAATATATCTCAACATTAAGTAAATAAGTCAATAATGTTGTTTAATAGTGTATATATATATGTATAGTGTAGTTTATTCATTTTCCTTTTATTTATGATTACGCGACGACAAATTTTCGTCGGAAAGAATGATAATATTTTAGACTTAATGATTGGAGAAATTAATATATGAGGTCCTGAATTGACAACGGCACTCGCTTCTTGTCTTAAGAGTTAAGTTTCAGATGCATTCAATTTAATAATGAACTCCCTTCCCACTCAACTAATTTATTTTTAATAAATATATTAGGCCACATAGAATATGGGGCCCAAATACAACCCAAATTAGAAATTGGGCCGAATGAAAAGGTAAACAATGAAATTGGGCCCAAATGATGATGGATGGCGAGGAGAGAAAGGATGGGAGCCTCACGTGGAAATGGTAGGAGGCGATAGGCGCCTTGAGTTTTTCCTAGAAAAAGAAACGTCCCTGAAAGATCTCCCATCCATTGAACCTTTCTTCATCTACGAAACTTCTCCAATCTCCAATGCCATTTCCCTACCGAAAATCAAACGCCATTTCCCTTCCCTAGGAGGATCGCCTCTCTTCCCCATTCCAAACAACAACAACAAATTAAAGACAAAACAAAGCAATACATCATGGTACGTAACGTAAAGATCCCACCTTTGGATTGGATTGGATAGATTACTGTCTGAGAATGTATGTATGTATGTGTGAATGCAGGCGAACTCGGCTTCTGGAGTTGCAGTGAACGACGAGTGCAAGCTGGTGTTCTTGGAGCTGAAAGCGAGGAGGGCTCACAGGTACGTCCTGTTCAAGCTGGACGACGGTTCCCAACAGGTGGTGGTCGACAAGGTCGGCCCTAGCTCCGAGAACTACGAGGATTTCACCAACAGCTTGCCCATGGACGACTGTCGCTATGCTGTCTTCGATTATGACTTCACCACCGACGAGAATTGCCACAAGAGCAAGATCTTCTTCATTGCATGGTATGGTCCTACTAATCCAATAACAATTTCATTTTCATTTTCATTTTGATCGATCATCCATCATCCATCACCTACGAATAATATTAACAATTATATGATCTGATCATCACTGTCACTGTCAGGTCCCCAGACACAGCAAAGGTGAGGACCAAGATGCTCTATGCCAGCTCCAAGGACAGGTTCAAGAGGGAGCTCGACGGCATCCAGGTCGAGTTGCAGGCCACCGACCCCAGCGAAATGAGCTGGGACATCCTCAAAGCAAGGGCTTTTTGAAGCTCAACCATAATCAAGCAAGCTACCTAGCTGCTGAGACTACTCTTGCAGCATTCTACATTGTCTGTCTGTCTGTCTGTCTTTTTTTCTTTTTGTTCGTATTTGTGTTGGCTCGTATGCTACCGAGCTCTCGTTGCTTCTGAGGATTCATAACTAGGTAGGTAGTACGTAAGAGGGGATACTACTTACCATCCATGCGTTCTGTGTTTTAACACAATGCTTTCTCCTCTGTCACTTTAGTAGTAAATTTTGGTTGGTCTTTGTCTCTCATTTTTAGATCAGTATTGAAACACGAGAATGAATCGTTTGAATAAGCATATTTTGAAGAGTATATTTCTATTCTATGTATGTTCGATTGAATTAGCAATCTCCACTTCTTACAAATGTATCTTCATCACACACAAAAAATATTGCATTTCTTGGCACAAAAAAGAGAACCAACTCTGCGATAAATCCATCCCACTGGTTACTTGGAAACATTTTGAAATGAGAACACTTTTGAGACATCGAAGAAGATATCATAAACATAAGATTGCGTTCTGTTCTTCACAGTTTATGGAGAAAAGCCAACTCCTCTGAAAATTTCTATAAATACAAAGTTCATCGCCTTTCTTGTTCTTCCCATAGTTGAACTTGGTTCGTCAGATTTCTTTTTCTTTCGAGGAGGTTCAGAAGACCTCGAGGTTCATATGAAGGAGGCAGCATGCACGGAGGCGAATCCCCCGGACTTCTAACTGCCGAATGCTTCATGAATCGCTTCCTCCGTCCTTTAGTAGCGCAAACCAAAGTCTCTGAGCACATCTCGACTGCACCTTCAGGGACAGTAGGTTTATACTTGAGGAGCTTCGCATATTTGTTCAAGACATGGAAACTGTAATCATAGATGTTCTTCATTGCAAGGCTTTCTTGCACAAATCTGCTTCCGGCTTGTCCAATCTCGCGTGCTTTGTCTGAATGGGCGTTGCCCCATTCGACAGCTGATTTAATAGCTCTGCATTTGTCGCGTTCGCCGATAGGCCAGTAGTGAACTGAGGGCAGCAAAGCTCTTGTGAAGAAATCATAATAATGTGGCTTTATAACTAAAGTCATTGAATCACAAGCTGCGATATACTTTTGGCTAACGGACCACGAAACTCCTTCGACGTAGATCTTGTACCTACAACACATAAATCATAGAGTAGAAAATATATATACATACATGCTTAAGTTCGAAAATGAATAGTTCGAAAGATCATCTGTGTGTACCTATGAGTGCACTGACTAGCCAAATCAGAATTATTGAACCCTTGTTTTTTCTCCTCGGCCCATGTCTGAAATGCAAAACGACACATATCAATCAGTCCAAGTGTGATGACAAAAAATCATTCATTACATAATGAATGAAGCAGGTGATCTTTCATTGTCCAAACATTACAAAAAGTCACAGATTCTCTGGTTTTTGTTTGTTTTCTGTGCTTATTAGCTGCAGCAATTGATGATCTTTATCCAACAATAGCATACATGCAAACATACCGTGTCGTAAATTCGCGCTTTCCAGTCCTGTCCATTCGAGGCATTGCATTTGATCAAGTCCTTCCGCGGACCGAGCCTAGCATTCCCTTTCCAATAAGCATACGGCTCTCTATCGATCCATTTGATCCTTTCATTAGCTTCTTTTAGTTCCTCTTTCAGTTCTTCCCATGGCTTGATGTTAACCTCAGGCCTACAGAGAATGTTCAAAACACACAGAGACAGTAGCAATTCTTACAATCTGATTCACAAGAAACGCTTCATACAATTAAGGTTTATGATTATGACAGGATAAAATGTTTTTACCAACCCCAAAAGGACCAGTCAGGGAAAACAATGTCATAACTTGATTCGTCGCTGCAGTAATGGAACACCGGCGGAGGCAGTGAAGCGTTCCGGCCGTATTCGTTCTTATGGATAACCGTCTTGTCTCCAAACTCGAACATGAGATCCAAGTCGGGGACTCGGCCGGGGTACAATTTGAGAAGCTGCAGCAGACCCCATAATGTAATGGAATCTCGGGTTTGGAAGGCCTTCTTGTACTTGACGACATATAGTCTGCCGTCGACTATGGTGATCCGAACATTTGCGACGCTCTTAGCCGCCTCGACGATTTCCCTCGCGATGCCAGCGCCTTTCCAGGGGCTTAAGTCCTCATGGATCCATCTGAAGTAGTCAGGACATGATGGAGCAGCCGATGAATTGAAAACAAGGTTGGTTGTTGTAGTAAAGGATGGAATGTCGGAACAGTTTAGGGAACAATCGAAGTCGGAGGAGTGTAGCTGAGGTGTGTTGTTGAGGAGATGCAGTTTCTTCTGCAGAAGTGATCCTGTCACGATGAACTGAAACAAACAAACAAACAAACAAACAAAAACAGAGCAGATGATCAGAACTTGAGATCAATATTAATTCATCAATGCGACGAAGATAAGGAGGAGAGATTCGTACGAGGTCGATCCAACGTGTGATGAAAGCGAAGGCGACGAAGATGGCGAGGATTAAGGCAAGAGTTGACTGAACCCTCCTCGACCTCGAACTACTGCTCATCGTCGCCATTGATGATGATTGAGCTTAAGCTGGTTCAGATTTCAGATTAACGATTGCGTGTGTGAGAGAGAGAGGGTGTCCCCAATCAATCTGTGATCAATGAAACGAACAGAAGAGGTGAAGTGATGAGTAGAGTTGAGTTTAGGTTTTGGAATTGGTTGGTTTTGTTAGCATGGGACTATGACTATGTCCAATCAAAGGGATGAAGGCCACGTGGAAGGAGGAGACAGAAATATTAGGAAAACAAATGGCTCTCACATTTTTGTCACTACCTGCGAAGAAGAAAGATAGCAGTCATGTTCCTGTAATGCGATCAAGAATAAATAAATAAATGCTGCACTGAATCCTCATTTCTTCAAAGAAGGCCATTATTTCTATCTAGTATTTGTTAATAGTTTTTTAAACTGGTGGTAAATAAGCAAATATGACTCTTCAATAATCAATCATTTCAACCGGTTTTTTAGGTAATTCAGTAACTTTATATTTTATTCAATAATTTTGTTGACCGGTTAAACTGGATCAAAAGTTGACCTTTTTTTCTAATTTCATCCGGAGGTGTTGAAGAAATAGAAATAATCTTGAAGTAGATCCAACGAGAATTATTAATGTTAACAAAATTAAGATTAAGAAATAAATAATCGTTAAATAAATTAGGACACTAATAAATAATCTTTTTAATTATGAAATTGAGCCAAATAATAGGCATTTTGGCAGCATTTGTACGAAAATTCAAGACCATCCAAAGTTCCAGCACCCATAGCTTGATTAAGGCACACTCTTTCCACAAAATTATAATATTGGAGGATGGGCTGCTGCTGCTTCTTCATTGAAGATGATCCATGCATTATATCTTGTCGGTTTTGTCTGCATTCCACCCCAAACCAAACTGGATTGACATTCCCAACTCTAGCTTTCTAATTATAGTAGTCTTTCTAAACTTGGCATTGATTGATATGTTTCACATCCCAATTTTACTCTCTCCTTGTCTGTTAGCTCTTCTACTACATTATATCATATCCACTTTCAGACAAACCTCCGGCTGAGAGGTGGGGAGGGGAGACAAGCAAAAGCAATCCCATACATCATAATGGAAACGACGGCAGCTGCCGAGGAGCAATTTGTTTCCGAGAAGCCACAAGTTGCCGTTGAGGACGCAACGGCGAAGCCACCGCCGGCTGTGTCTGCTGTTGCTGGTAATGACACAACCCGTTTGTAGTAAATTAAGTTTACTCAGGCCGCTCGAAAGAATTTGACAGGTTCTTTTTCTAAATTCCAGGGACTACTGCTGCTAACAATCAAAGATCAGGAGGATCCCATGACAGAGGTAGGTGTGGAATGGCCTGTCCTGAAGAGAATATAATAAACATATCCCTTTTACAGTTGAAGCTATGTCTAAATTCATGTTACAGACGCTGCCCTCTCGAGGCTCGAAGGCGACAAGAAGCTGTCTTTCGTCAAGGCATGGGAGGAAAGCGAAAAGGCCAAACTGGAAAACAAGTAATAATAACACTCCCCTGTTTTAGCTAAGAACAAGTGCATTCGTTACTACCTTAGAGATCTCACCTGGATGATGTGTTTGATGATTCAAGGGCCCAAAAGATCCTGGCTGAAGTCGACACATGGGCGAACACAAAGAAGGCATCACTCGGACACCAACTGACAAAGGTCGAGGTATGAAGTGCCACTGAGCCAGAAATCTGTTAGGACAGTGATGAGCTAATTCCTGTTGTGTGTGAATGCAGGAGCAACTGGAGAAGAAGAAAGCAGAGCATGTAGAGAAGATGAGGAACAAGATAGCACTGATTCACAAGCAGGCTGAGGAGAAGAGGGCCGTGGTTGAAGCACGGCGTGGACAGGATATCCTCAAGACTGAGGAAATGGCGGCAAAGTATCGAGCAACCGGCCACCTTCCAAAGAAGGGTACATGTGGATGCTTCGGAGGGGGCTGAGCCTTCTCATCGTCACCGGCCCCAACTTTGTAGTTTAGTTTAGTCTCGCTTCAGACAAACCCTGTTAGAAATAGAATGGCTTCGTTCCACATGTTAGTTTGACACGAAAGATGCAATGTCTAGAACAAGGGATTTAAATACAGTAGAAGAAACCAAAAGAGTCTGTTGCTCAGCTTTTATTATCAGTAAAACAGAAGTGAAACCTAGAAAGGTAACTACGAACAAGCATGAAAACACACCTGGCTCAAACTTAATTCAACAGAAAAATTAAAAAAGATGTAGCCATGGCTCAAAAGTAAAGGCCAAAGCTCAATGCGCCGTACACATGGAATGGCAGAATTGTCCAAATACTAGAGTGAGTTATGAGGTCCCCTCATTCTGGGATATTCAAGCATCTTCGACTTCATTGTTAAAATACAATGTCTTTCATGACACCAATAGCAGGATTTCTAAAAACTCCATTGATTATATATATATATATATATGTCTGACCACACCCTCCAACTAGAACCAGCTACGTCACTGCAGTAGAAAAGAGAGACAATTATTACAAGGTCACAACTTAATGAACGTCAAAAACTGTCATTGGGTTTGTGCCAGTAAATCTAAAACTAGAAAGATTCCTCACCAGATCAAAATAAAAAATGAATCAACAAAAAAATATTTAAAATATTCTCTACAAGGATCAAAGAGGCATAAAATACACAATCTCGGCTAGGAAATTAGGTTTTATGGTGTAAATTTGGTAAAAATACGCATGTGTTACACATAACTCACCGAGGTTAACATTTCCATCCAAAAGAAAGTTACTTGGATTATTGGCAGTATATGGCCTGATCTATATGTGGAGGGATTTGCTTGATCTCTGTGCCAAGTTCTTGTTCAATCCTATACCTGAAAGACAAACGACCAAGAAGGTAGGCAGAATATAAGTATGCAAGCACAGCCAATTAAACTGCAGCTAGCACGAGAAACCCAAATATTTATGTACATACAAATTGAAGCGATCCTCGTATGTGATCAGATTCACAGCCAAACCGAGGTGCCCAAATCTTCCAGATCGACCAACCTACAAATAAGAAGAAAAATTGAATAAAAAATAAAGGGAAGGTGGATAAACTAAGGATCATGTATGTGCCAAAAACATTAGTAACATACCCTATGCAGATAAGTCTCCGAATTCTTTGGAAAATCAAAATTGATGACAACATTCACTGCTTGAATATCTATTCCTCTTGTAAATAAATCTGCAAATGTGTGCAAGGCACAAAAGATAATTAGTTTGCTACCAGAGATGTAGCATACGATACAACACAAAAAGATAAAAATTGAAAGAGATTTGACCAACCTCATACATCAAAACATCACAATTATGCTGGAAAGCAAAAGAGTACATACCAGTGCACACAAGATTCCTGCAAGCACCATTTCGGAAGTCATGAAACACCCTGTTTCGATGATCTTGAAGCATCTTTGCATGAATATAGAAGCAAGAATAGCCAAGCTCTGTGATTTTCTTGGCAAGAAGTTCTACTCGATTTACAGAATTACAAAAGATAATCGACTGGTTAATTTGAAGCTGCAGGTAAAGATGATAGACATGTCATGCTTAGAAAAAATGCCAGTTATAACCATTAATGTTGCTCATACACTAGAAAAAATTGCAGTTTAACATACAGAACCTTGGAAAATAAAGTGTTGAGGCAATGAACTTTTTGTCTTTCTTCAACAAATGCATAAAATTGTGTTATTCCCTTAAGGGTAAGCTCATCCATAAGGTTGATGACATATGGTCTTCGCAGGTATCTGTCTTTGAAATCTTTCACAGTGACGGGGAATGTAGCTGAAAACATAAGGATTTGACGAGTTGCTGGTAGAAAGTAGATTAAGTGCTCAATTGAAGGTTGAAACTCTGGTGACAGAAGCTTGTCAGCCTGAAATAGAATAAAAGAGAGTAAGATTGGCCCTTTTTATAATCATCTTGCATACATATTGCTTAAAGAGACCAAAAATAGTAATCCCAGAAATCAATCAGAAATATGTGATGCAACGGAAATGTAAAAAGCCAAATCCTGCCATGTAAATCATTTAGAACACATTTAAACTTATATTAAAAAACAGCATTCTCATACAATAGTTTCCTTGATTGAAAAATCAACCACCCCTGACAAATACACAAATTCACTGTGAAAGAATGATCTAATGGTGCAAAGCAACCACATGCATGTGCCTGTCAACCCACCACATGCATCTCAGCAATATATTTCAGATCTGCAGGCACTCACAGTTTCATTTCCCTCGCAGCAATGAGTGGACAATTGGAAAAATGGAAAAAATATCTTGAGAATTAAACGCCAAAAATAGGAATTACTAACAAAAGTTATCAATTATTGTTAAATAACCGTCTCACCTAAAAACTCTAAGAACTTAAGCTTAAAAAAGTACACATCAGTTATTTATGATATACAATAGAGTCAACCAACACGCCTCCTCACGTGCAAGGTGGATATATGCCCCACATGAATCTTACACATGAATGACAATGAATGGGTGGCGGTGAAACACACAAATACGGGACATCTCGGCTCTGATACCATTAAGTGACCGTTTCACGTAAAAGCTTAAGTTTAAAAGAATATACGTCATTTATTTATTTATATCAACAATTATAATAATCATTGAGCAAATAAAAATATTTTATACCTCGTCCATTACAAGCATGTTGCATTCACTTAAGTTGCAAACTCCTTTTTTGGAAAGATCAAGAATTCTTCCAGGTGTCCCGACAAGTAAGTGAACTGGCTGATAGAGCCGCATAATGTCATCCTTCAAGCTAGTTCCACCCGTAGAAACCATGACTTGAATTTTCAAATGCTTTCCAAGTTCTTTGCAAACTTGTGATGTTTGAAGAGCCAATTCTCTTGTAGGAACAAGAATAACAGCTGCAAAGATATATACAGTTAAGAAACCAAGCTATAATTTGAACTTTACAGAATGTTCCTTAGTGCTAAAACATGAGCAATCAGTTAATGCAAGTGTACACTAGGCTCCATGCATAGTTGAATGGACAAGTTTGTAGCTATTAACATGTATGGACTCCGCATAACTAGCTTGGCATAGGAAAGAAACCCCAAATTCTCATTGTACAAAATCAAACATTGAAGAAACTGGTTGAATGATATTATGCAGAGAGATGCAGACAATTCCCAATTTACCTCAGGGCAAACTATTGAGAATGTTATCTGGCATTATCAAGCCATTTCACATAATATTTAATAGCTCGCCAGCCAATTCACACTCCATATGTGTGTGGGGGTGGGGAGGATTTGAACCAATCTCACGTAATTTCAGAACACAAAATCCACTAAAACTAGTTTATCTAAGTATTAGGGTGGCCTAATTAAAACAAACACTTCTGAAATCATTAAGTGTAAAACAAACCTTGAATAACATTTTTATCTTGATCGATTTTCTCTAAGGCAGGAATACAAAAAGCAGCAGTTTTCCCAGTTCCATTTTTGGCCCTAGCTAAGATGTCACTTCCTGTTAGAGCAATAGGAATACTTTCTTCTTGGATTGGAGATGGCCTTTCAAACCCCTTCTCATATATTCCCATAAGCAGTTCACGCTTCAAAAAGTAGTCTTCAAATTCATTTCCTTTGGTCGCTGTCACATCCTGAAAGACAAGCAAATAGCAGTAAAGATTCCATTCTACAGTCTTTCAAAATGGCTGAAAGCAATAAAAAAAATACAAACTATAAACAAAAGAATACAATTACTCTTAAAGATGCAAAGTCTAACAAACACTTCCAAGAAAACAATCAGCAAATATGTTGGTTAAGGGAAGTCAAAAGACAATTCGCAATAATCCATGCCTATGTATTAAAAAATAAAATTAAAAATGTGAAACTGAAACAGTATATAAAAAAATTAAAAACCATAATTATTCCGGCAAGAACATGATTAAAGCTCTAAAGACATTGTTTCCGCTCAACATATAATTAGACATGCCAAGAATTTAACATTTGAAAAGATAGAGATCCTTATAAGGATAATACCCCCAAAATAATATTCCACAAAAGAATTTTCATGTTATCAGCTGTAGCCATGTGCTATAACAACCATATTCAAATTTTTGTAACATAATACATCACACCCCATGAAAGAAACGTGCAGATATAAAAAAATAAAATTCAGTAAAAGTACTACCTCTGTTCTGTAGCGGTTGTCTTGGGGAGGTAACTTCAATCTTTGCTTCCAATCTTGTGAACTATATGAAAGAAATCAGCAGCAACAAATATTTATTTTAATGACGCACAACTGATATAAACATAGTGCATGTATCACAACTTTTGAAAAACTAACCACAAATTGAGAACTAGATTTGATTGAACTGCATTATATCAATTTTAAGCAAGGTCACTAATATTTTAGGATGTCAATAGAGAAAAACAACAAAAATTGATGCAATAGGAGACGGACAACATTCTGCACGTCAACCACAAAAAAAGGACCAAACTCCAACAGACTTTAAGACCTTCAATCCTGCTCTTTGAACATGGAATACTCAGCTAAACCATAGAGTCACAGAACCATAAAACAGGAAAGCTCCAACAGAATGGATCTGTAGGATCATAACTAACCATACTAAATACCACCCACATGCTTCAAGACACCTGGCACCTAAACACCAGAATCAGTTCAAATACCATAAGATCTCTGGCATTCTTTGGCTTGCTAGTTAAGTCATGATACTTAAATTAGTGTAATCAGTTCATTGAAATTTTAGTAGTAGAATCTACTTATTATTATTACTTTCAAAGTTCATAACCCTAGTTTATAATTTTCCATCTGTCCTATCTTATGCTTGAACTCCCATTTAGCTAGCAAGGCACGGATCACCAACAGCACTACCACCGTCATTAATATCCCAGTGGCTTTTTTCCTCATTTTTTTTACTCGTTGAAATTCAAGCTCGTTTTGCTAGGAAGCTTTCACAAACAAAGCAAACATCCATTTAACAAGCTAACAAAACAAGAAGAAAGCAAACATCAGGCTATAAATACAAGGTACACCAACCACAAAGGGCATTGCTTCAAGAAATAGAAGAGAACGGAAAGAATATACCTCGAATCAGCAGCTTCGGATTGCACGGTCTTCTCGACCTCGTCTATGGTTGAATCAGCTGGCGGAAGCTGGGCCCTTGGCAGCCATTGCTGAGGCGGAGGGTTTTGAAAATATTGTTGATTCTGATTGTACTGCCCTGAACTTCTTTGTACATAATGTTGATTACCGTCTCTTGGTTGAAAATAAGGGTTTTGTCCCCCATGAGCGTTCATTCCGCTTCCACCGCCTCCTCGGCCTCCACCCATTCCAGGCGGCGGATATCTCGTTCTAGAATTCATCACTGAGCCTACGACCGACTAACCGACTGAAATTTTACACCAAATGACAACAAATTCGACAGAATTTAACTTTATATACAAATATGTACCAAGAAAACTATCAAATCTGAATCTACAGGATGTTTTCCCAGATGCAAATTTCCAAGGAAAAACGACCCACAAAAAAACACAACACAATTTGAACGCGAATATTTATAAATGAAATCAATGTAACAATTACAAATGTCGAGATTCTTCAAGAGAGAGAGAGAGTAAAGTAAACGTTGAAAGAGAGAGAAAAATGAAGAGTAGTCAAATCTCCGAAGGTGCGACAAAATTTAGGGCGTCAGAGAGTATTCCTCATTTTCAAATTTGGGCCTATGCCCAATAATATCATTTAAATGGGCCGAATATTGTAGGCCCATATTATTGACTATCCGGCCCAATATAGAAATACTCTGCTCCGGGTCACGACCCCAAAAACCCCATGACGTGGCAAAATGTGATTTGTTACAGTTTTTAAGGTGTTCGTGGACCCAAAAATTTCTACTACTCAAATTCAGCCTTCCTCTGTGACTCGTACTGTGCTTTTGCTGGAAGGGAAAGCTTCGGTTTTTTCTTCGTGGCTGTCAATACAAATGATATAGCCACGATTCGCGGTAATTTCCTTCGTAGAGCCATTGTTGAATGGTGATTCGGGCTTAATTAATTGATTCAATTTTAGAGATCGTCTGTTTTATTAGTGTTTTATTGGTGGCAACCAAATTTTTCCGATGCTACAAAACTAGATTACTCATGCATAGGTAATATATATTCTTCCGGTGCTGTTTGATAATGGTTTGGTTTCATGTTCTTGTTTGTTCTCTGTAAAGTATAATTTTCTTTGTGACGTTTTCAGAAATTTTGGTTGTATTTGCAATCCACGAGTGAGTTGTTTCCTTAACCTTTTCACTACAGAATCGAGGAAATTGACAACAGACAATAGAATCGAAGTTTAAACATGGTAAGATGTCAGAATATTCTAGTTGTGGTGATTGGTATATTCATTTTAGTACATAAGGATTGACACTTCTATTGCTCCTAATGGATTTCAGTCAGCACTCTTTAATTTCCATTCATTCTTGACGGTCGTGTTGCTAGGCATCTGTGCCTGTACGTACTTAAAGATGCATTTTCCTGCACTTCTTGAACAGAGAACTGGGTAAGTTTTTCATAGTGGCTTTTGGTATTGTAAACAATTTAATTATGAACATAAGGCTTTAATATTTAACATATAATGAGAAATTTATGTTATCAGAAGCAGGTCTTGATCTTTCCAATTGATTATCAGCTGTATAAATAATCATGTAGCTTCAGACAATGCCAAAAATTATAGGAAATTGACCGTAAGTAAAATAACACAGAAAAGCAGCCGTGAAGGTCCATGAATGAACAATATAGATGGAACAGTGATAGGAAGCTGCATCCATGTGTTGCAGACTAATTTGACTTGTACGCTTTGTATACTCATTTTCTTCAGTATCCCTAGTTTGTTAACAATTAAAATTGCCTTATTGTTCTGTTAAAGCAAAAGCCTAACCTTTTTTTCTGATTGTTTCCTATGGGAACACTCTCATATTCTTTAGATGCTTGCTTAAATAATAATAACATAAAATAATGTTTTGACAATTGTCATAAGCTAAATATATATATATATATATATTTTGTGAGGACCAAAAGTGTTTTCTCCTGATTTGTATAATACTGGATATAACTACACATGCACGATCTTATTATTGTTTATCTCATTTTCCTTTGTAACCCTTTTGTTATTTACATTTAGTTCTGTTGCTGATATGCAGATTTCGAGGGGTTTTCTGGAAAGCTGCTAGAATAGGTATCATTTCTAAGATCTGCATTCACCATGGCAATTCCTTGTGACCTAGCAAAGTGGATTGCTGTTTCTGATGCCTCTTTTTCGAGGCTTTACCTTCAACCTTTTGACCTGGGAATTACTTTACGAATATAATATGATGGACTGGATTCCCTGCTCCATAGTTGATTTGACTGCTTGCGATAGTTGAAATATTAATTGATGCTTGTGAAATATAAGATTTTAAAATATGTAGTTATCTTCCAAACTCCATCTCATTGCCATACTCACTTTAACAGGAGAGAGATTGAGCCCTTGGGTGGCCATTGGATGCTTTGCAATGGGGGTTTCAATAATCTTTTTCTGAATCAAGATCTTTGCACAGGCAGAAGTAAGCTTGATCTCTTTTATACATTCTAAACAGAACAAGACACCATTTTCACCATAGGCATCGGTAGTTTGTAGTTTCCACAAAGAAACACAATCATTTAACTGAAATCATAGCTGTAGGAGCTGTGAAAGTAATAGGCACACAGTTAACAGCATAAATCATGATCTTATGTTTGAACTTTCTGAACACCACAATTCTCTCCTCCCCCCATTGGATAACTGCAAATATTATCTTCTTCACTGGTTTCTTCCCATTCATTGTTCTATTCGTGACTTTTTCAGGAGGCACTTCTTTTCCATCATCATCAGCTGCTGCTACCACTTTGCTTTCTTCAGCTTCAGATTCTGAGCGCCAGTGAAGCGGATAGCTCCTCAAGAAAACCCTCCTGGTGCTGTAGTCTTCATATCGGAAGCTTCGAGCCCTCATCCTATCTCCCTCCATCCCGGTATTTCTTTTCTGCCTCTGAAGAAACTCTGAGCAAGCTCTTATAGGCGTGGCGTCGTGCACTAGGCAAACACTCTGTCGAATGTGTGTTTACGCCGTATCTTGGTTTAAAGACAATAGGCTACGTTTAGAAAATCACAGACTTTGTTTATATTATCTGTGTTGTTATCATCTCCTTGTTTTGTTATTTTCCTAGTTTGTTTAGACAAAATGAATAAATAAATCACGAATATTCTTGGGCAGGAAATGTACAGAATGGTGTACTCTGTCTCTATGCTACTGCATTCTCAAGGCTTATGGTATTTTTCCACCACCCACTCATAGTTTTTGTCCATACTACTAAGCCAAGCCAAACACTTCTTTTTATATTTCCCAAATTCTTAACCATATTTGTATGCTTCTTTGGTATCAAATTTCTGCCACTAAAACTTATATATTCACCACATAAATTACACGTACTATTTAATCTCCATGAATAATTAACATACACAGATTAAATAATATAGGGCCTAACAAAATCATCACCTTGACAGCTTGTCTAAGAAATATGGCCCTACGACAATGGGGTATATTAACTTTTATTAATATTTTAAGGATAATTCTCCAAATAACTTAAAAACAGAAAATCATCAATTATAAAAGATCATATAATCTTGGGCCAATTTATGTATACAATATGATTATACATATTATACAAAGTTATTGGCATGTATTCCTTGCTTATATAAATGTTGATTACATATACTACTATATGTAGGTGTATATGCTCAAGATTAATCAAGCCACATTTTACATGAATGATACTTACAAGAAATAATTGAATGGACAATAATTGATTCTGTATTTCTTACCATTCTCAGCAACTAACAGAAATAACTCAGAATAGTATTGGTGGAAAAAGTCTTGAAGTCATTGGTTTGTCCCTGTTTTTCTCCCCTTTACTATCGGATTGATTCGGATCGAATTTACACTGCGATATATATATATATATATATATAGTCTCCCATTCCCCAAGCAGCAGTGACAGGAGATTGATCTCTGCGTCAGTTCAACAATAGAATTAAGACAAGGCATTCTATTGTTGAGCTGATATATTATTGAATAAAACAACATATATATATATAGTGAATATATTCTGGTTTTGTCTCGTAGAAAAATAAGAAAATAATAATAATAATGGCAGCATTTACCGGGACTTTGGACAAGTGCAAGGCCTGTGACAAGACAGTGTATTTTGTAGATTTGTTGTCAGCTGATGGACAGACTTACCACAAGTCCTGCTTCAAATGCACCCATTGCAAAGGAACCCTTGTGGTAATTAATCAATATAATTACTCTTCATATAATCTGTATTCATTCATTTATTTTTTATTTATTTGGTTCATGATCATGAAAGTGATAATGAGATTGGTGACAATATTCTTGCAGATGAGCAATTATTCTTCCATGGATGGAGTTCTCTACTGCAAAACTCATTTTGAGCAATTGTTTAAGGAGTCTGGGAATTTCAGCAAGAACTTCCAGACTTGTACACACCCTTCCTTATCTTCACACATCATATATAAATCCCTAAAATTGCAAATTTAATTTTGTTTCTATTGTTGATCATCATTTTTGTATCCCTGATTCATTTCTTTTCTTTTCTTCTTTCAATATCTGCAGCAAAACAAGAACATTCTACGGTATGCGCCCCAGAATTCATATATGTATTATATATATGTATATACTGATATTGAAAACAAGAATTTGATATGTTGTATGCAGACAAAAGCAGCTCCAACCAAGGTATCAGCAATGTTCTCCGGGACACAAGACAAATGTGCTGCTTGTGAGAAAACTGTCTACCCTCTTGAAAAGGTATACAATCCAATTCATTTATTCAATCTTAAGTATTAATTAATTATACCAATGAACCAATTAATAACTAGATCACAATAATTTTATTTTCAATTATTATATCATATAATTTATATTCATATTAAAAATATTTAAATCTAAAGTACAATCAATTTAAAGCACGTAGAATCTAAATAGTAAAAAAATTGAAAAGAAGCATTCATAATGATCCCTTATGATGATTTGTTTTGGTCTTATTAATTTCGAATCACACAAAATATTAATGGTACGATATATATAGATGACGATGGAGGGTGAATCCTACCACAAGTCGTGCTTCAAATGCGCCCACGGTGGCTGCCCTCTCACCCACTCTTCATACGCCGCCCTCGACGGCATCCTCTACTGCAAAGTCCACTTCCAGCAGCTCTTCATGGAGAAGGGCACCTACCAGCACGTCCTCGAGGCCGCGGCCCACAAGAAGACCCCGAGCGGGGAGATTAATGTTGACTCCGAGGGCGGTGCTCACGAGACAAAACCAGAATCAGAACCGGAAGAAAAACCAGAACCGGAATCAGAAGAATCCGCGCAGGAACAATCTTAATTGGATCATGCATGCTAGTTTGTGATTTGGATCCAAAATTTTCCTTACATTTTCTTGACAAGTTTATCTGTTGAGTTTGTTTGTTGTGTCATTAGTTTGCTATTGAGCATCCTTCTGTACACTAAACTTTCTTCTACATGTTTGTGTTACGTATATGCTTGGCTTGAAAATGCAAAATAGAATAATTTGATTTAATTATGTGTTATTTCTTATAATTTAATTCCATGTTACTTGGCTATAGCTTTTTATTTTATCATTATATTTGTTGATTCACTTCAACATGATTTTTATATATATACAATACTAATATGAAAGATATATATATCCTCTAGTTACATTCTTTTGTGTGGAAACTAGGATCTTCCGCTAATACAATAACACTCATGTTTTCGAATAAAATCAAATTATATAGACAATAAGATTAACACCATTTTATGCCAAACTTGTTATTCTACTATTCTTCATACTACTTTGTCCCGAGAATGGCAATAATATCTATCATAGTTAATTTCATGTTGATGTTACATCTTCATCATTGATCACTTTACATTGAACTACTGAATGACAGTTAATAGATAACATTAACTATAAATTTTTTATTTTATTTTTAAAAAAATTTATAGTATACAATTATCACTATTTCTTATAAAAATATTTTATTTTGATAGAAAAATTACATGATTCACATCCAAACTATTATTTAAATATAAAATACAAATCAAACACACATGTCCTTTCTATTTTAGGCAAAACCAAGCCGTCAAAATTGGATAATGTGTACAGGAATATACTCGGAGAGTTGCCAACATTTAGCTAAAAAAGAAAGTGGTTGTTTCAGTCCTAAATTTAAATTGAATAATGTTCATACATAAATATATATTAATCATCACCCCCAAATATGCACCGTAACTTAACCAAAAAAATAATAAAAATGATAGGGACTTATGTATTTTTATTTGAAATATTATAGTACTAAAACTCATTTTTATTTAGAATATTACACTATTTTTTTTACATTTATGTTAAAACATTATTTCATTTTAATTTTAATTATTTATTATTTTTTATTTATTATTTTTTCAAACTTACAGTTCAAAGCAGTTGGCAGGCGCCCTATATAAATCTGCCGTCGGATTACTCGGGTCATGCTACAAGTCATTTCATTCAAGCATCACTTCAGCCTCAAAACTTCCGCTTCAATTCTCTACGTTTGTTAAGCTTCGGCTTTTGCTAATCGAAAGAGTTCTGCTCCACGTTTTGTCGTGCGCTCGGTTGCTGCAGTGAGTGGTCTCTCTCTCTCTCTTTCTATTGTACTTTTGTGTGTGTATGTATGTGTGATTTTTTTGTTCGACTGTATTTTGAATATCTATATTCGTTGTTGTATTGATCTTTTAATCCCGTTAGATTTGAGAAACGTGAGCTTGATTCAGTTATTTGTGTTTGATTGTGTGAATGTGTTTGTTTAGGCGATGATCTCTATCAGTTAACATTAGATCAACAGCAGAGAATGATTATTGAGAACTGAAAAAAGTACGTACACTGACTGGCTGACTGCGTATTTGTGTTTAGGTAGCCAAAAGCGATCGTCTGATAGCGCGTCGTCGTGGATGCTTTTTACATTCAGATATTGTGTGCATATGATATATGGTTGGATGCGAAGTAACTATTTACACAGGAAAAGCTGAATGGATCGAGTTGGATAACTAAACCTATTACAGTTGTGCTTAGAAGTATGTGGATGCATGCATGCACGTGTATTACGATATATCATGCATAGGGCATTTCGATTTTAATTTCTATTGTGGTTCAAGTCAGTATTGACCTAGAGGTAGCCTCAGAGTGAGAACTTAATTGCTTTTCATAGAGCTCCTCAAAGTTTTGTTTCCGCGTGCTGCCTTTTCTCCTTTCAGGTTGATAGTAGAACAAAGCTGAATGGCACAAAGAGTCTGACCTACTGCACCTGTCTACCTTATATTAAGATTTGTCAGTGGTGTTGACATGTGACGATTATTGATGTTAAATGTAGGTACAATGGACGTTGCTTCTAGCCTGTCACAGTCAAATATCTTTCATGTAGAAGAGGTTACTGGTTACAAGGCACTGAAACAATTGGCCTTGAAGCCAAAACTGAAATATAGTCACGATCATGGAAAATTTCTGGGAGATTTGAAACACTTACCAAATACATATTCAATGAGGAAGTTGAGGATCAGTCAAACTGCATGCTGCTTTGGTTCCGTAGTTCCTATAGTTTTCGATGTGGACAATTCATGGTTGTGGCCGTATGGTTTTTATGGTTCTCTTTGTGATGGTTATATTCTTAAAATGTCAAAGAATATAAGCCTTTCACAGCATCAGATGAATAGAACAGTAGCTCATGCAATGGAGGGTTGCAGTGATGAAGAAGTCATTGAACCTGTTGAGGATGTGACTGGCCATGAATCTATTGCATCTGAGGAAGTATGCTCGGGGAAAAGAACTGAAGCTCCTGGTTTGGATGAGTTGAAGGAAGCATTGAAGCAGGCAGCGAAAGATCTTAAAGATGCACATATTAGCCGTAAATTGTATGAGGAAAAGATTCAAAGTATAACACAATCTGCAATAGTATTATTGAAGGATATAGCAGCAAATGCTAGGAATGATGTGAATAGGGCCCTTCTGAGAGGCCAAAAAATTTTAAGGGAAGAGGTTATTGCCAAAGAAGGTGTTCAAGATGCAACAATGTCCCTTTTTTTGGCTACGGCAAGACTGAAAGAGGCTATTGATTCAGTGAAAACTGCAAAAGAAAAAAAGCAATTTGCTAAAGATGCTAAGGGAAATGAATTTACACATGGAAATGGAAAGGAAAATGCAAATGAATTTGAAGTGGCATTTGCAGCTCTGATGGAGATAAAATTATGTCAAATAGAATTAGAAAATCGAGAGGTTGACCTCAGAAGGATTCAAAGTATGAAAGAGGAATTGCAGAAGGAAGTGCAAATGTTGGATGCTGCTGCAAAGAAAGCAGAACTTGAACTTTGTGAAACTGAAAAAGCATTGGCAACCATAATGCTTGTGACAGAGAGACTTCAGTCTGCCAACCATGTCGAGGATGCTGAGATTGCACTACAGCCGGCACAAAAGGACCTTACAGATGCTCCAGATTCTGCAGAGGAGGACGCAATTTATATTCAGATGTCTGCAGGGAATTCTTTAGATACTGCAGTTGAGAAAGACAGGAAAGTGCTACATGAGGCTGCAAACTTAAGAGTGTCAGATGAGCATTACAAAGATAAAGCACAGTTAAACATTGACCAATTGGAAATAGAATCAGAGGCAGAGGTGTTGAAAACTTTTCAAAGTATGGAAAAGGAAATGCAGAAGGAATCACCAAGGAAGAGTTCACCTTTTAGTGCTCGAAGATTTCCTAAGAAGCAGTGGCCTAAGTTGTTTTTTTGGTCGCTACTTGTTGGGGCAGGGTATGTTAAATATTGTCTGCGTTACGTACGCCAAACTTCTCTTATTCATATGCTCAATGCTAATGATAGTTCAATGAAATGGCAAACTCTTCTTTTCTCGCATCCTAACTGCTTCCAAACTCGCAGAACCGCCATATATGTCAATCAGACTGCAACACTTGGTCCACTACATCAACAGGCACAAATAATCATAACCAAGCCTCGAGCCAGTCTGATAAGAAAACTGCCCATGAAAATGAAGAGGCTAATTAAAATGCTCCTCAATCAAAGGGTCTGACTTTTGTTTACTTTTCACTTGTCCAATTTAGGCAAAATTATTGTTAAAAGTTTATCTTAAATGAGATGCAGCTCCCAATCAACTTATTTGTTTGCAATTTCTTTTCATCTTCCAGGTAGCTGAGGAACCTTACCTTTGTGACGTATTGTCGTTGCTGCTTGCAAGTGTCATATTTGTCCCTATAATCCAGAAACTTTCAGGAGGTAAATGAATAGGATTATTTATATTTGTGCAGACACATGGTGAAGTCTTTTTCTGCTACAGGTTGTATGATAGTTTGTGTTTGCCATATCACTGTGCATAACAAACAGTGGAAAATATTTTCAATGGTTTTTGTTTCCGTGTTGGTTCCATTTCTACTGTTTTGGAAATATCCTTCCACATTTGTGTCAAAGATAATGGCATATTGAATAATGTTCACTTTTCTTCAATTATAGGAAGTCCCATTCTTGGGTATTTAGCTTCTGGAGTTTTCATTGGACCTTATGGTCTCTCTATTATCCGGAATGTACATGTAACAAAGGCAGTTGCTGAATTTGGGGTTGTCTTTTTACTTTTCAATATTGGCCTTGAGGTGCTGCCCTTCGAACTGTCAATTTTGATCTTATTTCCAACTTACAGAAATATCAGCAATTATGTAATACCTCAACTTGTTTTTTCATGGCAGCTCTCTGCTGAAAGGCTAAGTTCCATGAAGAAATATGTTTTTGGTTTGGGATTGGCCCAGGTGCATAGTCTTGTGAATTTTAAGAAATAAGCACAATCATTAGCATGTTGATGCATGAGTTCATTGGTGGATTGAGACTAATACCTGAATGGGTTATACAGTTCTTGGCAACAACTGTGGCTCTAGGCTTGTTTTTTCATTACCTTGCTGGCCTCTCTGGTCCTGCTGCAATTGTTATAGGAAATGGCCTTGCACTATCTTCAACTGCTGCCGTCCTCCAAGTATTACTAATCATTTTTTGTGTACTTCATTGTGGATTATAATTCATGTACTCTATTGACCTTTTTCAACTATTCAGTTCTATGTTTTTTTTTTTTTTTGAATTAACTAGTATGGAAAATGGACATATGTAGGTACTACAGGATCGTGGTGAGACAACATCATGTCATGGACAAGCCACATTTTCCGTATTGCTCTTCCAGGTATATTTGGGGGCTGTTTGATCAGTCTTTTGTTTGGGACAACTTAATATGAAGCACTCCATTTATGCTCTTTTATATTTGTTACAGGATTTGGCTGTGGTGGTTTTGCTTATTCTGATACCCTTTATTTCTCCCAGCTCATCCAAAGGAGGGGTAACAATTTCATTATACATATCTTGTTAAGCTTAAAATATTAGTATGGCATATTTGAATGGTTTACTAGTTGACATTGTATACCTTTGTTATACTTGATCCTCAGTGTAGCAGAAATATATGTTGTTGTTCATGAGGTTGTAGCTGTTTTAACAACCAATTGTGTTCTGACTTTCAGTTTAGTTTCCGGGCAATTGCTGAAGCTCTTGGTTTGGCTGCCGTAAAGGCAGTTATTGCCATCTCAGCTATAATTGTAGGAGGACGAACGGTGAGTGTTGTAATTTTAAGGCATCAACAGATATCCTCTATTTATGGTGGTGGAAGTTAAGCTTCGTTTGAGGCTTATTCATTATCATTTTTGCTTAAAGTTTTGTGTCATACTGATTGGTAATATAAGCCAATTTTGTACTTTTTGTTACAACTTGGTAACTTCACATCCACTCTGTTATTGCTTTTGTGTTATCTAATGGAGTGGAATTCCATTGTTTCTCCTTGTTCAGCTGCTTCGCCCAATTTATAAGAAAATTGCTGAGAATCCAAATAAAACAATGTTTACTTCAAATACTCTACTGGTTGTCCTGGGGACAAGTTTTATCACTGCTAAGGTAAGAAAAGTTTTACAGTTGTTAACCTTTATTTTCTGCAGATGTTAGTTACAACTCTTACTATATTGTGGATTTCTTTCATGCATTGTGCAACAGGCTGGCCTTTCCATGGCTCTAGGTGCATTTCTTGCTGGCATGCTTCTAGCAGAAACTGAATTCGCATTAAAGGTAGAATCTGAGATGGCTGCTTACCGCGGCATTCTGTTGGGCCTCTTCTTCACAACGGTAATACCAGTGCCGCGTTGATGTTTATTTTTGTTTGATACCTTTACTTCTCTTTTGATACCTTCATAAGATCTTTAATGAGTGCTCCTATGAGTCACATCATCTGGATTGATCCACATTCCTGGATGGTCTACACTGTCCTGAAAAAACGTTTATATCTCCATTAATTTAATCTTGTACCTTCAACTAAGTGGTGTATTGCCGATGCAATATTTTTAGCACTTAAATCAAATGCTTTATTTTGTTCACAGGTTGGCATGTCAATAAATCCAAAACTACTACTTTTGAACTTCCCATTTATTACCGGAACTATAGGACTCCTAATTGCTGCCAAGACGATGTTAGTTGTTTTTGCTGGTAGACTTTTTGGTCTTTCAATGATATCAGCTTTACAAGCTGGCCTGCTTCTTGCTCCTGGCGGAGAGTTTGCTTTTGTAGCTTTTGGTGAAGCTGTTAACCAGGTATATTCAACTATTTACACCTATCCCTTGGCTATGATACTATGTGGATATTTATATATTTAAAACATATCATTAGCTCCCTAACATATCAAATCTGAAGTGCACTGTTCGCCACTATTTAGAGGAACTAAATCAAAACTCCTTCCCCACATCTTTTATTTTTGGAATCTTACCTTCATATGTTTATCCAATTCTTACAGTAAAATGTCCATGCCATTCCCTTTATAAATCACTCAATGATAAGTCACCAACAAAAAGTTGTTGCCACTTATCCGTTTTCTTAGATGTCTGTACTAGCTTGTTAGCAACATGTTTCTTCTATGAAATATAGAATATTGACTGGTAAGATGATAAGAACTCGGTTTCCTTACAGGGTATAATATCATCGAAGTTGTCATCGCTACTTTTTGTTGCGGTTGGAATTTCAATGGCCATCACTCCTTGGTTAGCTGCCGGAGGCCAATACATTGCATCTCTGCTTGAATTGCAAGATGTTTGACATCTATTGCTCCATGAAAATGCGGTGAGCTGCCAAAACTATTACTTGCATGCATTCATGATTATGTGTTAACTTGGCACACACAATCATTGCTTTTATATAATCTAAACTACTGGACTGGACAGGCTTATTTGTGGAATCAGTAATCTCCTGCTCAATATCAGTTCTCCTTGTTCTGGATTTTAATCTAATCAGATCAAAGGCTAGTCTCACCTCAATCTGTTTCTCCCTTTGGCTTGTCATTTTAATATCGTGGATATACCCTGTCACCTTGTGAACTGGAAAAATGATGTTGTTTTATGGATTGTCAAAATTTAAGAAATTGATGACGTGTTTGTTTGGTTCTTTTTTTTTTTTTTTTCTTTTACATATCCTTTTAATCTAGTATTAATCAAATAATTTATATTATATTTTTACTTTTACTACCCCATTCTTCTTATTAAATAATTTATATCATATTCTTTTTATAATTATGACCGTTACAAGCTCAAAATTATACTGGTTAAAGCAATTCACTATTCTTCTCTCAAATATATTCAAAAATAAAGAATAAAAACCTTCTGTTGTTAAGCTGTGTTTCACATCCAGGATTCTCACCATGTTTTATTTTCTACAAATTGGATGGCTACGAAGTTGGAACTTCACTTGCGGAAAAGGTATGCATGATTATATTGTGGCAAAATTTGTAACTTAGTCCATATCGTGTATTTAATCCTAATAGATTTTTCTGGGGCTTTTCGAGCCTAGTTTGCAACTAGTAGGCCCTCTAAATTGCATGACCATGAACCTTTTTCTTTGCCGCTGAATATCTAAGCTCTTTTTGCTTTATAGTATTCGCCTTATTAATTCAACAAAATTGATTCATTCATTCTATTCAAGTGCATTTCAGACTTAGCTCTTGCAAGATATTTTTAAGAGACTGTAGATGACAAAAAGGCCAGGAGAGTAAAATATGATGTTAAGGAAGTATATGAAGACAATGAAGGAGATAATAAAAGGAAGGCAGGGATTAAGGGAATAGCAGTGAGAGTAAAAATGAAGTGAAATCAAGTTGGAGAAACAGGCGAAGGTTGGAGGTCTATATAGAAAAGAGGTGGTTTTTGAAAAATATAAAAGATCAATTTATATCACGATTTTTAGGATGTTCTTTACCTGACGATAATAAAGCCCAATAATTGAAGCTCCTTGGAGAAAAACACTAATGGAAGAATGCTAAACAGGACAATTTCTTTGATTCCATAAATTTTGATCCAGAGTTTTCTCCTGGATAAGGCAGAGTTTCAATTTCTTATGTGTAGTATAGTGTATTCAGATTTGTTGCACTTAGAGGTTCAAAGGATTTAGTGTAGATTGTAATATAATTTCCCACCCAAAAAAACAGCACCATATGAGGTCAGTTACACGGCATCAAGTAAGAGCCTCTATATCACTCTTCTTATTCATTCCTTCTAATTTAACTATATAAATGACACCTTTCTTTATAGAGCAGGGACAGGCTTGATGCTTTACATCCATCAGAAAGGCATCATCTGATGCATGTAGAAGAACGACCCTGAGGGCCCTCCATCTGGCGCTAGTGCCAGCGCCACTGGACCTTCAGCAGCCTCAGCAGCACTAATTGATCCAAGATTGTGGGTAAAATCAGTTCTAGCAAATCCGGGGCACACGCAGTTGATGCTGAAAGTTGGGTACTTCTTCGCCATAATTCTTGTGTATGCATTCATAGATGCTTTCGACACTTTATATGCTGCAATCTCAGTTGGCCATTGATTGATTCTCAGAGTTCCTTCTTTGAAGTTCTTCAGGAATTCTCCAACCACTTGATCCACTTTCTCCTCTGTCAGGTACTCTTCGTCCCTCAACACTTGTTTAGCCCATTTATTGCGCAAAAGCTGTGATTAGAAAGCACCAATTCAATGCTCTGAAAGTAGTTCTTGGATTAGATACACATGAATAAATATTGTCCTTACCTTTATGTTTCCCATCGAAGATGTCACATTGACGATCCTAGGCGAGTTGGATAACTGTAGGAGTGGAAGTAAAGCTTCTGTAACTCTCTTCACACCGTAGAAATTCGTGTTTATGCACTCTTCTGCATCCTCCAAGCTCTGTGTAATCCTCCCATTTATTTTTTCCTGATCTGGTTTTGTTTGTATGCCGTCTTCTGCACCCTCCAATGTCTCTGTTGTCTTCCCATTTGTTTCGACCTCATCTGCTTCATCCTGTACAGAAAAAAAAAAAACTATAATCTGTTACTTCCCACCATTCTTAGAACCAGAGATTGGAGCTGGCCAAAAAGACAAACCTCTTCACTTGCAAAAATGGCAGCTATTACTTTTTCGAGTTGCTTCTGAAGAACTAGAACATCACCTTCTATGGCTAGTCCAGTAAGACCTGCATTGTTCACCTGCAAACACACATGCACATACACATATGTAAAGTTTTAACTGATCACTAATCATGGCTATTAGAATCTAGAGGCTGTTAGATATGGATACCAATATATCAAGGCGTCCGTATTCATTTTTTATGAAGTCAGCAAGTGAAGCAATGCTGGCCGAGTCGACAACATCTAGCTGATGAAAAACAAGGCAGTCGTCAGACAGGTTAGATTCCTGTTTTAGCCTTTGTAGAGCTTGCATGCCTCTGTCCTTGTTCCTGGATGTGCATATGACAGTGATTCCTTTAGAAGCTAACAGCCTGCAGATCTCGAGTCCGATTCCTTTGTTGGCTCCTGTGACCATTGCATACCTGCAGAATTAAAGACAACATAACATAACATAGAAGGATTAATCCAACCAGAACTAACTGTAGGGACATTCCCAGCCCTTTAAAAAAAAAAAAAAAAATTGTGGTCATATTGTGTGTATTAGGATGAGGAAATGTTATTGCACCTCTTGGGGATGGATTCTGCCATTTCGTTCTTGGTGATGGTGTGGTGTGGTGTGGTGTGTTTCATTGTTAGATTGATTGTTCTTATAGGCTTGAAGACTAGAGTCTGGTCAGACACGCGATTTAATTTATTTATGGCTTCCTTTTTCGGCGGCTGCATGTAGGGGGTTTCGATTTATATTATCAAATCAATTTTCTATGCTTGTCACAAATAAACAAAGATGGTGGTTCTTTGCTGATACTTATATATATATATAAGTTCTTAAGTAGATTTACAGCAATGATAAAATTAAATCTAATTTACTTGCATGGTCCGTTGACAGAATATATATCCATATTTTTTTTGGTGACTTTGTAGAACACGCCAAAAAAATCAAACTGAATTGTTTGTGGCAAATTGCATGAATAAATTAAAAAAATAAAAAAATGAACACCCCATCAGGTTTGTCCTTGTAGCTTTTCTTTTATTATTACTATCCAATCTTCATTCATGCAGTAATCTGCCTATGTAATGAAAATCTCATTCACTAAGTATTATCACAACAACTTAACTATTTATTCTATATTCATATGTCATTCTTGACAAACAAGTTGCCCACACTCAACTGCTCCCCCTAGAACGAAGAAACTTGCATTCGGTCAAAGAACAACCCCGAAGGCCCATCATCAGGAAGCAGAGCCAGCCTCACGGCGCTTCTGGCACCTTCCTCAGGCTTCAGTGTGCCGGATCCGCCACTGAGATCGGTCCTCACCCAGCCCGGGCAGACAGCATTGATTAGCATTCCGGGGTTCTTCTTGGCTAAAAGCCTTGTGTAGGCAGTCACGGCTGCTTTTGACACGCAGTATGGGCCCCAATATGTCGGCCAGCCTTTGGCTCCATCGGACCCTTCCTTGAAGTCTTTGAGGAACTCATTCAGAACCTCATCAATCCCCTCTTCGGTAAGGTTGTCCATGTCACCAAGCACACCTTTGGCCCATTTGTTGTGTATGCCCTGGAATGGGATGCCATAGATGGTTGGTTATTCTTAGATTCAAATACACATTCCATTTTGCAAGTAGATGGAAAGCTGTGTGTACCACCCACCCCGAGTTTCCCCATTGTGGAGGAAACATTGACAATTCTTGGAGAATCGGATAGCCGGAGTAGGGGGAGCAGTGTTTCTGTTGTTCTCTTTGTGCCGTAGTAGTTTATCTGCAGACACTCTACTGCCAATTCGTAGCGATTGCTAGTGCTAGTGCTTTTGCTTGTCGACCCTCTTCCGAACTGTTTCAAGATGGTTGGTTAATGATTAAAAGGTTAGAACTGTAGTAGAGGAAGCAAGAATAATAGCAGTTGAGTTGGGAAATCTGATAGTCAGCCTCCTCACCATGACTCGACATAGGTAACCAAAAACCTGCTGAACCAAGGAAAGCACTGAATCTAACCAATAGATAGATAGATAGATGCCTTAATAGAAACTACTGAACTGTTTAAAAATGGAAACCAAACAAACACACACTTAAGAAGTGGTGGTTAGTGGGTACCCACCCCTGTATCTGACTCTGTTGTTCCATTCACCCCAGCATTATTCACCTGCATACACACCATGAAATAAAATGCTATTAAAAAAGAGCAATAATCCATGCGCACTCCACTTGTTTCCAAAACTAATCATATACAACAATGCATTACAGTCTGGGTGAAAACGCCTCACTTAAACGTCTTAAGTTACACAAAAAGACGCCATTCTTTATTCTAAAACATCATATCCAATCCATTACCAAAAAAACACAAAAACCACCTCGTTGATTTGCAAAAGTTCTTATCTTTTCCAAAATGTTTGTCATCTAAACTCAACATTAATCCTCATTCCATCTTTATCCTTAGTAATATTATTTTCTTAAGTCAACCACCAGCCATAATTAAGTTCGACTTCCTTTCCGGCAAGCTACACAATTAAAAAAAAAGACCTAGTGCTAATTCAAAGTCGAGTTTTACTTTCATCCCTGCGGAAATTTTAAGTATAGATTTTTTTAAAAAAAACAAGTGGTGAAGCACTCACGCTCATCCAAGTATTATTAATTACTTCCACTTCTTCCCCGTCAAACTAATCCTCCCCTTGAACACAATTTAAAATTGACAGACATTACCATTAAAAAAAAAAAAGAAATCAAGACTCCAATAGGGAGGTTGGGAGGGGAGCAACCATTAAACAAGCAATTTTTCCAAGAAAAGGGAGGGTGCAGCAGCCATACCAGGATATCAAGCTTTCCAATTCGGTTCTTAATGAATCCAGCAAGAGCATCAACGCTTGCCGAATCCACAACATCAAGCTGATGAAACATTATGTTGTCCGAAATATCAAACGAACTTTTCAATTTTTCAACTGCTTCGAGCCCCCTTTTCTCATTTCTTGCAGTCAACACCACAGAAATCCCTTGTGATGCCAACTGCCTGCATATCTCCAGTCCAATCCCTTTGTTTCCCCCCGTCACCACTGCATACCTGCAAATCACGCATACTCATAATCATAATCTTAGTGATAGATCAGGGATAAAACGGGTCAATCAAATAACGCAAGAAAAAAAGTAATCAAGAATGGGTAGGGAAAGTGTCTGGACTTCCTCGCAAAGTTCCCTACTTTTTAGCAGCACTACTTTTGGGGTGTAGTCCAGCCATGGTAGAAGCAGCTGAGCTCTTCCCTCCCAGTTTCAGTAGGAACATTTTAATTCTGCAAACCTTTTCTAGTGGGCATCTCAAACAAACATTATCGATCGGAGTTCGGAAATCAATACACGTGCAGTCCACGTGTCCGCAGTGGCATCTCCACTGAAGATTATTATTGTTATTATTATTCCAATTACTCTACCAATATTCATGATTCTTTGGGTAGATAATTCCCCAATATGATCTCATCGAACTTGCGAGATGAAATGCTCAAACCAAATAATAATTTGGGCTCAACGCCATTTGGATTGGGCTCTGGAATATGGACTCTATGGTTTGGGCTTCCATCAACAATCTGATCTTAATGGAAGAACAAGCCAGATGGTCCTCCATCAGGTAACAGGGCCAGATTGACTGGACTCGAGGCACCCTCTTCAGGTGTCGATGGCCCTGAATGGTTGCTGAGATCAGTATTCACCCACCCTGGGCAGACACTATTGATCAACATTCTTGGGTGCTTCTCTGCAAGAAGCTTTGTGTACTGAGTCACAGCTGCTTTTGACACACAATATGCACCCCAATGAGTAGGCCACCCTCTGGCTCTTAATGATCCCTCTTTCAAGTCATGGAGGAACTCTGCAAGTAATTCATCAATGCCCTCTTCTGTAACTGTAAGCTTCTCCAAGTCTCGGTTACTCTGCAGGAAGAAGTTGCTTGTTGAGTCTCAGTTACTGCTTTTGTTTTTGACATTGTTGGAGTTGAGTAGATTATTACCCCAAATGTCCCCATAGTAGAGGAGACGTTGACGATCCTCGGAGAGTCCGATAGATGGAGCAGAGGAAGCAGCCCTTCGATTGTCCGTTTTGTGCCGTAGTAGTTTGTTTGGATGCATTCTTCTGCTAGTTCATACTCAGTCTTCTTCCCGGGCTGCATTAACAACACATAATTTATATGTCTGAAAACTCTGCAATTCTCTCTAGACATGAACATGGCATTAGAGAGGAGAGGGGAAGAATATGAAAGGGAACTTACACCACTGTTTGTAATTCCATTAGCACCAGCATTGTTAACCTGCAGGAGAATTTCCAGTTCGAGAGAAAAGCCATTTTTGATGTTGAATCGAAGGAGAGAACTCCATACTCATATCTATAGACTGTAATCTTACCAAAATATCAAGCTTCCCAATTTGCGAGTTGAGATAGGCGGCTAGGGCATGGACGCTCGCAGAATCCAACACATCCAGCTCATGAAAAGTTATGTTATCCATTCCGAGCCTCTCAACAGCATCGAGTCCTCTTTCCCGGTTCCTCGCCGTCAAAAGCACAGAAATCCCTCGAGATGCCAATTGCTTGCATATCTCGAATCCGATTCCTTTATTGGCTCCCGTAACCACGCCATACCTGCAAAGACAAAAATTAGTATACAGCAGCCGCAGCAGAAGTGATGGAAAGCTCGGAAGAAATGAATAGTTGAGAATTACTTGGTGGGAACTGCAGCAGCACTTTTGATGGCCAGTCCAGCCATGGCAGCAGAGCTTCCCCCAACTCGTATTATCTTAGCTTTTCATTCTCCTCCACAAGGTTTTCAAGCCTCTCACTGTTGTCTTTTCCACCTGTAGCGTCCAAAAGCTTCTTTTATATTCTGATCACTGTCAAAATTAAATCCAGAGTAGCACTAAAATTCAATCTTCCAGCTGCTGCGCCACATTTAATCCACTCAATTATCACTCACAATTGCTGGAATAGAATAGATGGAGAGAAGAAGATTAAAAGTTAATGATATCTAGGTTATCAGAATTCGGAATAAAGGTAGAGATTGTCTGTTTGAATATAACAAAATAAATCTCAAGTTGGATCTCTCTATTTTCAGTTGGGTTCGATTTCTGTCATTGTAAGAAGTTGCATGAATTATTAATCCCAAAAGTAATAATGGCTGCTGCTGCTGCTGCGGCTGCTTCACTTTTCGTGTACAAGAGGGCTGTAGACAGGATACCACATGTTTTCTTTCACGTATTGGATCGTCTCTTCCTGCAGGCATTGAATTCAATCAGTTCAGTTCCTCCGCCATTAGAGGAGGTTATATTCATTCCCTTGTAAAGGATTTTAGATACCTTGGACATGTGGGATAGCTCTCTGGGTCCAACAATGTCATGCCCTTCAGCCACCTCTTCTGCAACTGCTGCCCTAACCACTGCAGCTCCAACCTCGGATGTAATGTCTCGTATACTGTCCACACATGCAAAGTGTGTGAGTTCAGAAGGAATTCGAGGAAATGAACAGCACGATTAGGCTTACCAGTTGATCGATGGATACAGGATGCCTCTCTGAATTTCATCGTCTGTCATATATGAAGCGAGGCTGCATAAACACAAAGGGTGGGTGTTAAGTGAAAGATGCGGCAGATTTATGTGAGATGAATTAGGACATCATGCACACTTCTTTTGCAAACTTCGTGCAAGATTCAATGAGGCCAACTATAGAACCAGAACGCTCAGCAGAGAGACACGGACGTCTTGTATTACAAGATCGTATATATAGAATAACAAAACATCATACCACTCAGCTGCAGCTTGCAGCATTCCATCAGTTATGTGACGAGCACCAGCTACAAGGCTTCCCAAGCCAATCCTAAATAAGAAGTTTAGGTCAGAAAATAGTACAAGTAGATGATGATAAATATGAACTTGGTAACAGGTTTCAGTACAGACCCTGGAAAGAGGTACATGTTATTTGCTTGATTAACATGACCCGTTTTACCATTCCCTGCCACAAATGGAATGGATTAGTGCTAATACTTCTTAAGATGCAATACTTTCATTACGAATAAGGAACCAGCTTAAGTGTTCAGACTGAATTTCCATGTAATGTACACAATATGAAATAATGTTATTACCAAGGTCAACATCATCAAAAGGGCTTCCGCTTGCAAAGACAATGTTTTCACCAGCATAATCAAAAGCCTCGACAGAAGTGCATTCAGCTGTTCCAAAAAGCATTTACTTGTATTAGTTTATGGATGCATGCCCCATTAGAAGAGTTTATCTCAAGGTATCGAAGTCTTAAATATAAACCATTTGCTGTGGGATTTGACATGGCAAAAATTGCAGGTTTAAGGGAATCCGATGCCCGCATGGCCTTTAGGACCTGATTCCAGATCAATAAGAAATCAAGTATATGCCTATTGAAGATTATGTGCAGGACATAAAAAAATTGCCAGTTCCTCAGATCATGGCGCTAAATTAAATCAAGTAGTCTTCTTAAGAGTGATGGAATCAAAATCATAAGACCCACTTTAAGGTGCAATCGTACAGATTAAATGAAAGCATATGAAAATGGGAATGAACCTCTTGATTAAAGACACCACCAACTCCAGACAAGCCAAGAAGCACATGTGGTTTAACTCCCTTAACCTGCATCATAGTAGGATTGCTGCAATTATTCTAGACTACAGGGCTCCTTCATAAAAAATGGAAGGACTAGACAATGGGCTGCCTAATTCCTTACCACTTCAATGAGACTTGACCCCTCATGAAGTCCGAATTTTTCAATTTCTCCTCTGGGTTTGGCAAAGGGAGCAGCTGCAGGATCAATGCATGTTCTCTCTTTGGTTATAAGACCCTGCAGATATATATATATATATATATACACCTACTTTATATAAATTGCATATAAAGTATTTTCCCCATACACGAGAAACTTTCGAATAAAAAATTTAACTGGACATTTATGGCTAATATGGATAAAACTTTGAAGAGAGCAAGATCAGTACTTCTTTGTCAATGAGGAAAAATTGTGGATCCACAGCAGATCCAGTCATTCTTGAAACAGCCTGTACGGCCATCTTAAGAACACCAATTCCTGCGCTGCAACACAAATTCCATTTAGTAAAACTACTGCAAACTTATGCAGACCACTTTCTAAACAACATTACTAAACTGGTTATCAGTTAAAACCAGGGCCACATATGCTACCTTCCAGCGCCCACAACAACAATCTTTTGATTTGGAAAGTCCGTGATTGGCCTCCCCTGTGCCCTAACAGCACCTAGTAACCCAGCCAATGCAACACCAGCTGTTCCCTGCAAATATGAAGAAATGAATAAGAGCATCACTTCCAAAGTTTCGGACACTAGTGAAACTCATCTTCAAACTATAAGTATCATAGTGTAGCAGAGTATCAATACAAATTTACCTGTATATCATCATTGAACATGCAAAATTTATGACGGTAACGTTCCAGTGTCTCAAAAGCCCATTTCATTTGGAAATCCTCAAACTGAGAAGATTGTTTCAATAAAGTGTTGTTAATATATACCAGGTATTGTAGTAGAAAAACTTAAAGTAGATACAGGCATCACTGTGACTTTGTATTAGTGAAGCGGGCAGAATCTAAAATCACAATACAATTCAATGCACCTGCACAACAGCTTTCGGCCACCGTGCATGAACGGCTTCCATGAACTCGTCAACAATCGACAAGTACTCTTCTCCTTCCAGTCTAGGTTGCCTGATTCCTAAATCTGTCAAACTAAAAATAGGTGAAAAAAAAATGCTGAAAGTCTCTTCTCGGTAAAACTGGCTAGACCTATGACCACACTATTCCAGATGCAAAATCCAGGTAAAACCACTAAAGCTTTTACTTGGAGTTCCCTAAATATATTTTCTTACAGCAGATATGAAGCAGTAAACAAATTTCTAAACTTTTATCTGGGGATCAAGCATAGAAAACATAAAGATATGAATGCAGAAACTCTACTTATACAATTGAAGAAATGCTGACAAACATTACCAAGCCTTTGCTAAAGAACATACAAAAAGGATGCTCTATAATCCAATTCGTGAAAGAGAACAGAACAGCACAACATAAGCAAATTAAATGAGTGCACACTCAAACAAGTTAACTCACAAAGGGGATCTTCAAGAAGCTTCTGATTGTTTGTTCCAATGTCAAGCATAACAGGTAGCACCTGGAGAGATGGGAATCATGAAACCAGGGCCCAGCAAATATACAGCATTATCAAGCACAGATGTAATTCTGAAAATAGTCTTAAGTACAACTAGACCTGAAATTTTGAAAATTATGTCACTTTATATAGAATTGAAGTTAGATTTAGGTTCTCTGAAGACCTAAGTGCTAAAAAGATATCTAACTGTTAAAGGCAGATACATAATAGACACTAAACCTGCTAGTCATCAAGGAACAATAGAAAAGAGCAGAGAGAGCTGAAAATACTCTTTGTGGGTTGATGCCAGCCGCTGCTACATACATGTCAAGCTTCCCAATTGGAATACCTATTCCCTGAACTCCCAAATCACCTAGACCAAGGATACGACTGCCATCAGTCAATACAATCATGTCAACCTGCAGACAGTAGTAAAACAGAACATTTCAATTCCAAAAAGTCATTTTCCTATAAAAATACATAATTAGAGCTCTAATAACAGGAATCACCCTGACTATCAGAAGCAAGGTAACAAACTTCTGGAAAGTGTAAAGGATTATTTGAACCTTTATCCTCCTGATTTCTAATATAGAAAATACTAGTGTCTGTTCAGTATTGTAAATAAATTTTCAACTAATACTTTATACAGCTGGCAAAAGAGCCACAGAGAGTAATCTCCTATGCATTGCTGCAACACAGAACAAATATTCACGTGCATGGTAGCATTTCAAAGATGAATTTCAAGCACGTGAAAAGGTTTATGACTTCATAATCCTATAATTTTCTGATTCACTTTTCTAAGTTTTATCACCCATCAGCGTTGTTAAAATGTAAAGCATAGAAACTAGTCTAACAGGACACTTGACAAATTCAATGCAGTTGAACAGTATGCAGCCAAATACACCACATATGCAATTTAAATGCATTCTATTTATAGAAGTTAGAAACTAAAAGTGGCTAATACCGAAGGATACAAACTTCACCTGCTGAGAAGGCCAATTATAGATCATAGACATCATCTCTCCCTTATCTTTGGCGCTGAAATACATTCCACGTGGACGCCTAAACAACCCAGAGTAGTTTTGACACACCAATCCCACTGTGGGAGTATATATTATGGGAGCAAAGTCCTTGATGTTATCAATCAGCACCTGAAAGGTGGTGTAAATGCTAACTTCAGTAATATAGCATTAACACTCCTTGATTCTACCTTGAAATGATGTAAGAACACACTTACTCTGTAATATAAAGTCTCATTTCTGTCATGAAGTCTATTCAAAATCCTCCACTTTGCAAGGGAAACAGACTTGATTGACTGGCCATGCGTATTATTTTCCAGAGACCTGTACGATTCCACTGACAACACAAGAAGCATAAGTAGGATCGCATTTACAAGATATCCTCATATAACAATCCAGATGAAAGAATGTCAGAAACAAGAACAACTTAACCCCACAAATATTTCAGAGAAGAAAACTCACTAAAGCGTTCATATTGTTGCTCGAACGATATCACTCGTGGAGGGAGTAGGCCACGAAGTCCCAGCCGATCTCTTTCTGTGTAAGGGAAGCCTGTATCCTGGTTTTGAAATGTCAATCGATAAATATTTGCAAGGTCTAAGTGTAATGCAAAAAAACCCGAACATGATTCAATTCCATACATCCTCAAAGGCACATCTATGCCTCCTAAAAAGGCAAAGCAAGTCAATATGCTCTCTTCCAAGTCACATAAATGGTGAAAAAAGCAAAATATCTTCAATATTCCTTAATATCCTCAAATCTATTTTTGCTCAATTAGAAATTGTAAGCCACCAGATTCAACTTAGAGAGGCCGTGATAAAAATAAAATAAATTTCTATTGAAATGAAACCAAAAACTCTTTCTTCCGTTTTCACTCATCAAATAAAATTGTTGAGTTTCAGCCATAATTTGATTCTTACAAAATGCTTGGGAGCAGGAGCATTGGTTACTACCACAATTTGATTCTCACCAACAGTATGTAGCAGAAACTTACAAGCATTTATATTTCTTAAACACCAGGCTAACAATCTGATAAGAACAATCAAGTAGATCAAACACAACAAAACAAATTCTAAGATAAGTATAAAGATAAAATTAGATCCCAAGGTTTAATCATGCCACACAATACCGCTGGAAACTAAACGTAAGTCCCGAGATGAACAATTTTCACAACTCGAATCGAATCAAGAAAACTACAACTATCTTCAAGAAGCAAGCTTACAAACTACCAAATTCAAGGAAAGAAAATCAACCTTATTAAACCATGGATCATGGAGAATATCGGTCCCGCGCTTGTGCACAATACACGGTCCAGGAATCGCCGTCGATAGTCGCCGCCTACACTCGCGAACACTCGACGGAGCAGATCGTACGACCCTCCACATTATTTCACCCCCTTGAATTCCAAACAGAATGGTTGTGATTCAACGAACTGTTAAAAATCTACGACCTGTTCCCCTTACTAAAAAAACTACACAATGTCGGAAAATGGCGTCACCTATATATATAGGTTCAGAAACAGTCAAAGCATAGATTCTATAATACAAAATGATATCCTTTTTTTTTTTTCCTGTACCTTCTCAGCAGTGACGATGGAGAAAAGGAAACGATATGGACTCTGAAAATCGCAGCGGCGTAGGATTGGAAGTGATGGAATGTTCAGTGGCGAATGAGAGGGAAGCTCTGTAGGGTACCCGATTCGACGAAGAGGCAGAAGCAGAAGCAGAGGGGCAGGTAAAGGGTAGAACCGTCGTTTCTTTACGGATGAACGCGTGGGTCCGACGCGTCTGGAGTCCACGGCAGCCGACAATTACAATTTACAAATCTAAAGCATCCTATTCCTATATTCCATCGTCTCTGCCCATGCATCTCACTCCTTACGCTTCCTTGTTGAGATTGCTCGTTAATGTTCGCATTCTCGAACAATTTTTTTGCAGAGAATAGCAGCAGCTACAACAATTTGCAGGTATATATATGGAAGTATGGAAACTTCAAGATGAACTCGATTTGACCGAATAATTTATATTCTAAAACAATAGATATAATCCCCTGCTGATATATTTACTAAGCAACGAATGGAAGAGGAAGAACAAGCCTGAGACTGATTCTGGAATTTCGAAATCTTCTTATCTTCCTTTTGGATGTAGTAGTAGTAAGCTGTAAGGCTGATGATGCTGTTTTTAACTTGCGGAAGTGAAGTGATATATCAAGGATCTCATGAAACATATAGATCGAGATTTCCATGATCGATACGGTTCCTTCCTTCCTTCCTTTGTCAGCATACATAAAGAGATTAATAGCAGCAATCGACGAATCCACCCAAAAAAACTGTTGAAGAATCTCGTCGTCGTGCAGGTGCAGCCAGCCATCCTCAAAGTATCAATTGTATGTATTGCTTATCTTATTTTATCTCTATCATATCATCATTCAAACGTGCATCGATCAATCGATAGATGCAGTTAAACATATACATGAACCCTAGCCAGTAGCCACTATACACAATTAACACACCCGCACGCAAGCGCCACATACAATCCGATAATCCAAAAATTAAAGAATCACTGAATCACCCTATCCTTAATTACCTACCACTACCAGTAGACGATATATGATCACGTCTGCTACTTTAATTTGAAATCAATGGAAGGATTAATTCCTGCATCTGCATACATGAGAATCCATCCCCACCACCACAACATTGAGCTTCCGAGCTATTTTACCTAAATACTTTTATAACGAATTGCTGACCATTCAGATAACTAATCCCTTTAAGTTCATCATCTTTAATTAATACCTAACACTAACAATATAACTCATGGATATATAACCAACAACTTACACGCTTTAATATTAAAAATTAATGAAGAAAGTAGTATAGTAAATAGAAAAATAGAAGTACGTCTCAAATATTCCTCAATATTTTTAAAATAAAAAATAATTAAATTTAATTTTTACTTACATTTTATATTATCACGTCAATCAAATAAAAAATATATATATATACATTTTTCTATCCTATCACATAATTTTTAAATTATTATGCTTAATACTATCCACTTAGCAAATATTACACTTTGTTTAAAAACGAGGGTATAACAATTTTACCTATACCATTGTAATTACATGATTTCGGCGGATAAGAAAATATTATTCTTTGTAATTATATCATCATAATTATTCTGACAAACGAAAAAACATTTAAAATTATAAATAGGTTAGAAAACAATTTTACATATATCTTAAAACAACATTTGAAACTAGTATGTAATGATTAGTGAATTATATTCCACCAGAAATGAAATACATGTTGATTAATGATTCTAACATATGTCACGGAAAGTCGGAAATGATATTATTTTTTAACAAAATACACCATTAATTTCATTGTAGTATTAATTCTTTTATCAATTACATTTTTCAGATATCTCATTTTTCGTAATTTTTTTTAATTAGTATTATTCAATATATATTTCATTTAAAACTTACTATCAAGCAACTGTTTTAAATCTAAACTATTACAAAATTTTCAAAACGTTCGAAAATACCCCAAAACTTTTAGATAATTCAAAACGTACCCAAACTCATATTATTCTTATTTCTTACACAAGAATATTCTTTTTCTTCTGCGAACGCAACGGACCAATCAGACGCCACGCTTTCTTCAAACTTGGGTCAAAGAAAATTGAACGCGCCACGCGCGTCAAGGCGAATGTAGCACACTTACCATAGAAAATTCCAACGTAAATAATTAACCACCTCTCCTCCGCCCCTCTCCAGCTCATCCTCGCTTGACGCTTCTCAATCAACAGATTTAGCCCTAATGGCTTGTTGCTTAATTTGCCCCTGATTATGCAACAAGTCATAATTTGTGTACACAAGAAGGCAGCCATCTCGCCAATTTCAGCAAATCAGGGGTTTTCTTCTGTAGAAACAATTTTTTTTTTCTGTTATTCACGTCTCCTAGGTAATGCATTTCTATATATATATGTTTTTCTTTTTTCCCCACATTTGATTGATCACGTGAGTATTATTTTGTGCAAATGCGAGGATCAATTCTATCTATCTATCGGTTTGCCTCAATTCGTGTTTGTATTTTATGATGAATTGTGGGATTTTGATTCTCGTTTACGAATGTTAATTAAGGAAAGGATGATGGATATATATGTGTGTGCATCATTTTTATGCTGAAGATCAAATTTTCTGGCTGGATGTTTTCTTTCAATCGATTTAACATGCTGAAATTCTGTTATACAGATATATACACACACAACTTGAAGCTTTTTCGTTTGAAACATAGATTTTTAATTGTTTGTTTGATATATAGTATCGCCAGGGCTAATCATCCTTTCATGCAGGAATCGGTTTTTTGTCCTGCATCAATTTAGTGATGTTTCTGCTTAAAAGCCTATTCTGTGACAAGGAACAATTTTTAAAGGTTTTATTTTTCGATGCAGGAAAGAAGAAGCTTCTTGTTATATTGTTGAAGTTGGTTGTATTATCTATTTCTTTTAGTGAACCATCTTCAAAGGGCTGGTGTCAAATCTCATGAATCTATGGATAAGAAGAGACATATTACGATATTTACTACAGCAAGCCTTCCATGGCTAACTGGAACTGCTGTGAACCCTCTGTTTCGGGCAGCTTATCTTGCAAATCTTGATGAAAGAAAAGTGACTTTGGTTGTTCCTTGGTTGAAACTGAAGGACCAAGAACATGTCTATCCAAACAACATCACATTTGATTCACCACAAGAGCAAGAGAACTATGTTCGTCAGTGGCTTCATGAAAGGACTGGGTTGAAATCAAATTTTGAAATGCGATTTTATCCTGGAAGAGTAAGTTGAGCCTTAACATTTTCTAATTTGTAATAAATTAATAATTTTGAAGTGTAGCTTGAGTTTTGCACAATTTTGGCATTTATTTATATTGATTGTTGTTGTAAGTGTTTATGTTTCATCTCCTATTGCAGTTTTCTTTACACAAAAGGAGCATTCTTGCTCTAGGCGACATTACTGAAGTCATCCCCGATGAAAAGGCAGATGTTGCAGTTCTGGAGGAGCCAGAACATCTAACATGGTATCATCATGGAAAAAGATGGAAAACAAAATTTCGACTGGTTGTTGGGGTTGTTCATACAAATTACTTAGAATATGTTCGGAGAGAGAAGAATGGCGAATTCCAAGCTTTTCTACTGAAATACATGAACAATTGGGTTGTCTATATATACTGTCATAGGGTGAGTCTCTGCGAGTGCATGCTTTTCAGGCACCATTTAATGTCTTCAGCACTAAATGCAAAACTTAATTGCTGTTTAAATCATGTTTGTTGTACCTTTTTTGAGCCTTGAGACAGTGTGCATTTCACATATTGATTGCCATGACCAGATTTCGTCAAATAAAGTTTGCAACTACTGGTAGAAATAATTGATGCAGTTCATAAGCTAAGATTCACTTGATATGTGAAGTGTATGTCTGTGTATCACATTACTATATTATCCTTCCTAGTATCAACAATAATTGCCATATTACTTGCTACTGACATCTCCAATCTGTAATGACAGGTGATAAGGTTGTCAGCTGCCACTCAAGAGCTTCCAAGATCTATAATCTGCAATGTACATGGAGTAAATCCAAAGTTTCTTGAGACCGGGGCGAAGAAGAGAGAGCAACAACAGGACGGAATTGAGCCTTTTACCAAAGGTGCATATTACATTGGGAAGATGGTATGGAGCAAAGGCTACAAGGAATTGCTTAAACTGCTATCTGACCACCAAAACGAACTACAGGGACTTGAAGTTGATTTGTATGGCAGTGGGGAGGATTCTACTCAAGTTGCGGAAGCAGCGAAGAAACTGAACATAACGGTCCGAGTTTTTCCAGGACGTGATCATACTGATCCACTGTTTCATGAGTGAGTACATTTCATTCTTTTGATATATTCTTACACTCACAAATCAAATATCTAATATTCTAAGAATCTAAGACTGACATCATTTTCATCTCACTGTATCATCATTGAATTCAAAGCGCACAAGCATTATTTAGCCACAAAAGATTCTACTATATTTCTCGCCGAGGTTCTTCACTCTGATTGAATCTAGTTACTTAAGAACAAGGTTAAACTCTTGGGAGGCATTCGGCTAGGAACTAGTGTTGAACGTCAATTTAGCTGCCATAAAACAAATTTTGTTCGCATATATATATATAGATCTACTGACTTGACCTTTTTATATTGTTCTCCAGCTATAAGGTGTTCTTAAATCCTAGCACCACTGATGTAGTCTGCACGACGACAGCTGAAGCACTGGCAATGGGCAAAATTGTTGTCTGTGCCAATCATCCCTCGAACGAATTCTTCAAGCAGTTCCCTAATTGCCGAACATATGACACCAGCGATGAGTTTGTTAAGGAAACATGCAAGGCATTGCAAGATCAGCCAGCTCCGCAGACAGATGCTCAGCTACACACACTTTCTTGGGAGGCAGCAACCGAAAGATTCCTTGAATCTGCTCAGCTCGACAGTGAGGTCAAGAAAATGGCGAAATCACCCTCAAAGAAGCTTTTGGCATCCACATCTATTAATGTGGGGAAGAATCTTGAAGATGCATCTGCAATGATACATCATGTAGGAACTGCTTTTTTAACCAAAGAACCCGATGAAGAGATGCTGCAAAAGGTGGGATTGCCTGTATCTGCTAAAAAACAGTCGAATCCTTCAAGAAAATGGGCTTTCTAAACTCGACGATTTCCTGCACATACTCCTCTTCAGAAGCATATTGTTCTGATTAATTTGATGTAGTTCTTGCCAGTTAACATGCCTTGAGCAACGACCTTTTATTTGTCTGTCTTGTATTGTCTTTCCCTTTGTGTTTGTCTCATAGTACACATTTCAGCTTTGTAATTCTCCCAATTGACATAGTTTAATAAAATTTCTTGACACTACATTAAGCACCAGAGAGTCAACTCGAACTCGAAAACAACATAACATAAATTATAAACAAATACGAATGTATAAAGGTTTGTTCCCTTATACTTTTTTTCTTACATAAATTTTAATGTATGTATATATTTTTTATTTTCTCAAAAAAGTCAAATTTTAATTTAAAATATAATTTTTTATATTATCTAGATAATTTTCTATATATCACATCAACAAAAATTCAAACAACAACACTAAACAAACAAATCCAAATTTCTTTAATAAAATTCAAATTAAAAAAAAAACTTAATAAGTACTAGAGCAATTTAAACTAAATATGGATATTTGTTTAGGGGTTTTAATTTTGTGTTTTTTATTTTAACACTATAAATTTGAATATAAATAGTCATACTAAATATGTGTTTTATTTGGAGTTTTAATTTTGTATATATTTTTTAAATAGTATAAATTTAAATTTAAATAATTGTTTGACGTAATATAAGAGAAATTGATATGATGTTTTGGTCATAAAATAAATTTTAAATTTAATATAAAAAAAAAGTCGGTATTTACTATTGTAATTTGATGTGTGTAGAACAAAAATTTTAAATTAAAAATAGGAGAAATATATTTATTCAAATATAATATTTAACAAACATATACCATCAAGTACTTGTAGTTTGGTGTCACTGGGGCACTTCACTGCAGTGTTGACCGGGGATCGATTCCCAGAGCAAGCGATGATTGATAGTTGCGCCGCTGCGACGGTTGGGTCTGTCGCTCACTTCAGATCACTGATGAAGTAGTTAATGGCGTTGCTGAGCTTACTTTTTTATCTATTATTATTTTTTAATTAAAAAAATCTGCATCGACATTTCCAACATAACATAGAATGAATTCATTTACACAACAGAAATGGCAACACTCTCTCTTTTTGCACAGGTTTCTGTCCAACAATCCAAACTGATTGTATGAATATTGTATGTTTGAAGCTCAAGCAGGATCAATCAGTTAGTATTTTGTGTGTGTATATATATATATATGAGACTAGTTTTTCGTCGGTTTTCTCGACTATACTTCTTCATCGCCACTCTGGTTTGTGGTTTTCAGTATATTGAGCTTGCATAACGGGCAGGTGGCGTTTAGCTGCAGCCACTTGTCGATGCAGGTCGCGTGGAAATGGTGGCGGCAGGGGAGCTCCCGCAGCTCGGTCCCATCGTCATATGCTGAAAGGCAGATGCAGCATTCCTACAAACCGACAAACAAACATTTAGACAATGTTATAATGTGTATATGGTTTCCCCGAAATAAAGATGTTCTTAAAACAGATTCATAGAGTCGAATGGAACATTACAGCATCCTCGAGAGGAAGAACGCGCTCGGAGGGCGAGTCAGTGTCACATTCAGTCATTACCCCTCCGAATGATTCTTGAGATTCGCCGTTTTGCTTCTCAAAGTCGCCGATTTTCCTGAACTTGTACTTGGGTAGCCTCTCTATCTCTTCCTTAGAAGCCCCTTCCTGCAGTACGGCCTCGTTAATCAATATAGAGTAAAACCACAGCAAAAAAAATATTCATTAACAAAGTCGATAAAACTTGTGATCCATGGCAGAACTGCTTGATTGATGACGATTATGTCATGGCACAAAACTTAGTATCAGACAAACCGTACCTGATCCGCCACTGCATATAAAATTGCGATAATACAAGGTAGACAGCAGCAAACTGCGATTCCAATGATGCACGCCACAGCAACGCATATGACAACAAAGAATACATCAAACGCCAAAAACGTAATGCAAAGCCTGCACGGGACATAAACAACTCATAGTTGATTAATAAAAGAGTGGAAAGAAGGTCAATCACCGTAGTAGTAGAATGAGTCAATGTAATTCAGACAAACCAATAAAGCTGAGGAGATTTATTCATTATATTCGGACCACCAGCAGATACCCAGTAAAACCCAATTATCCACCATATGAACGAGAACATAGCATTTGCCGACTCCAAATGTTTCGCAACACTGCCAAAGAAGCATATACATACATACATATATATATATATAATGCGTGAGGTGAATGTTATCAGGTAAATAGTTGATGACAAGTAAAAGAAATATGGTATGCCGGGGTATCATACATTCTTCCACAAGTTTGTATAAATGGAACTCAGCGACACATAATCCAACAGGTCGACTGTTACTTGACCATATTAACGGTTGTTTTAGAGCCCAAACGTCCTGCAGAACTATTTCCTTCAAAAATAGACTGCAGTAAATATGGTTGCTGACGATTTCTCTATCGATGAATTAAGAAAGCAACCAAAGGGGACATTGTAAGCAGGAGCAGAAAAGGTTATTTCCGACCTATAAGACGTGTCGGGAGATAGACCAACCAGGATTTTCCTAACATCCCCAATTCAAAAACAACCCTAAATTCCAAACCAGGCAACAACATCTGAGCCAAGTATAAACACAAAAATGCTGTCAATTGAGATTGAGGGTTCACTATCAAGTAAGTTTTTTTGAGATTATGTGTCCAACTGAGTTTCTTCGTCAAATGGAACTCATCATTACTGCCAATTGAATGCTTCATTCCATACAATGTAATTAAGCAGAAACACTAGTGTTCATCCAATGCAGAATAAGCCTTTGGAATTACTTACTGTCAGTGTTCATCTAATGATTTTAAAAAGTGGAATTGATTGAAAATTGAAGCAGAGGGATGAATGGACAATACCTAATTTCTTCATCATCATCACTCTGGCGGTGATCGGAGTCGTAATCGACAGCCCCCAATTCATCACTGCCGGCGCTGGAATTCACATAGTTAGGGCTGTAACTGAGCTGAGCTCTTTCAGTCCCCTCGGAATTTCGCCTCAAACACCTCCTTCTGTACTCGACATAAACGCAGGCCATGTGAAGAATGCACTGCAGGCCGTACCCGATGATCCAAAGCCTCAGCGGCATGGCAGGAGTCTCGTGGCGGCTCAAAATCAGAACGGCAATGGAGACGGTTATGAAGGCTGTGTTCCAGAGGAGGTCCAGGATCACTATCGGCTTGGAGTAGGCCCAATCGGTTTGGCGCTCCTCGATTTGCTCGGCGGCGGCTTCGCGGACTCGGACGGAGGGCTCGCGCATCGCGCGGCCGCGGCTGCTGGCCTGGCGGAGGAAACGAGCAGCGCCGCGGAGGCTGGGCGGGCGGCGGAGGAAGCGTGATCGAGGCGGGGTATTCTGGTCCGCTAGTAACGGAGTGGCGTCGGTGGCGGCGGGTGAGCTGCCGTTGGACGACGACATCTTCTGGCAGTTTCTTGAATCCGAAGAAGATCTGTTATGTGGCGACAAATTGACGAGTGAATTCGAGGATCAGAGCGTGTCCACGACCCCAAACTTGGATCGAACACAAAAAATTATTTACAGACAGAAAACTCGGAATGCCGATGAAACCGAAAATCGATCGTCAACCCAATCAAAACAATAATTTATTATTATTATTATTATTTTATTTTTTAAAAAAAGAAAGAATAGTAAACAGCGGTTCCAGGCTTATTCGGAAAGCCCATTATAAGGCCCAAATCAAAGATCCAATATTACTTACTATACATTATTTTGACCCAGATATAAAGGCCCAATTAAGATTATTTTTTATAATGATTTCTAGGCCCAAAATCCAGGAAAAAAAAAAAAAGAATGGCTGTGTAAGTTTAAATTCGTGCATTGCAAAGGAAAGCAAAATAATATGTATGTAAAAAGAATAACAATAGTGTAAGTTTTCCAATGACGAAGGCAGATAGAGAAGCAAATGGCTTGACTTAAATTGGGGGCCCTAGTATTTAGGGAGAAGAAAAAAAAGTCCCAACAGCTTTTTATGACAAGAACAAGCCTATGGGTTTGAGCCCAATTCCATCAAAGTAGCATTAGTACTACAGCCTAGCTCAGCTCCATCAAGAAAGTGGTCTACAAAATGTTGATTAGATCCAATAAATTGTGGGCCCACCCACCTGATATATATTCCTAAACAAGAAATGGGAAAGAAAAGAAGAAACTAATATGACATACATATATAATTAAATTAAACAATATATGTATATACATACATGCATACATATTCATGTGTTTGGCATCAAACCAGATTTAATTTCCAATTATATGTATATATGTGTTGTGTTGTTGGAATGTGTTTGATACTTTGAAGCTAAGGGAGGTAGTGGGAAGTCTCATGTGGTGTGGGGAGTGAGTTTTCTTCTGCTACCAAGAAACATATATGCTTTAATTGGGAAAAAGGGTTTGTGAATTACTTACTCTTCATAGTTGTCATCATTTGTCAAAGTCTTGATGATACACAAACACACACACACACATATGTTGGATTCTAAATAGCTTGTGCAAACAAGTTCATTTGTGTAAAACCAACTGTCCATCCATCTATTTTATTTTGATAGAATGTGGACAAGTTTTCACTTTGGAGTTGTACTAATTGCAGAATTAGTTCATATTCTTGACTCCTTTCACAAAGGGTTGTTGAAAAGTCTCATCAATCAATGCTTAGTTTAGGTTTTAGGTTAATTGTTCAAATAATTATTCATTCATTTATTCGTATTCATATTCATATTCATATTCATATTCATTGTGTTGAAATGTATTGCAGGGAGAGATCTCTATCATTGCAAGAATGAGGATGCTGAGAAGGCCCCCACCTCCATGTGAAGTGTTGCCAAGGCTTAGCTTTCCACAATATATATATATATATATGTATATGTATATTGCCTGTATATAATAATTCCCAACCAAGCTACCCCTTTTTTTTATTTTTATTCATGATCACAAAATTCCAATCTATGTCCCACTTTTGAAAAGGCCCATATTCAAGAATATTCTTAAATACCATAAAACAATATTAATATATATATATATATATAAAGAAATTGCAATTTAAAGCCTTTCATAAGCTCAAAGTTGCGTTATAATGTGGTATCACTCATCACTTTAATGTAATGATTGGGTGTTTAATTTGATGAACATAATAATAATAATAATAATAATACAACAACAAATATAATTTCTTTAATTAAGATTTATTGTGTTCGTTCCTTTTCTGAAGTTTTAAAACTATTTATGTATTTTAGTTTTGATTTTTTATTTAAACATTAATTTAATATAATATTTTACGACAAAATATAATCTACTTTTCACTGGAAATTGTGACAATTGGGTAAAATTTAAAGTGAACAAAACCTAAATGATTGCATATTAGAAAAGGGATATACATATATATATATGTTATTTGTTCTAAACTATATAAATTTTAAGTTTTCTAAATTATAATTTTTTTACAAAACATTCAATTAAATATTATTTTAATATTAAATTTAAATTAAATCTTTACAAAAGAAAGGCACACTTATTTTTGCTTTTATTAATATTTTAAAAAATATATATTTATATAATTTAGTTATACCATCATTATATATTTTTGTGATAATCGACCCAAATACAAATCTATAAAAATTAAATGCCACACATTCAATGTTAATTTGTTCATTAGTAATTATTAATCAATGATAATTTTTATTCTATTTTATTAGTATAAAGCATGAATATGATTTCAGATGAATTTCCATAAACTCATGTTCTGATTGAGTGACCTAATTTGTGTACACACACACACACACGTACATTAATGATTATATGCTTCATGAGCCTAATATATAACAGAGAAGAAACATTCTTTGAAAAAAATAAATAATAAATAATTAAGTAAATATATAATAAAAGTTAATAAAGTAAGCAAGAAAGGGTGTGAAATAATTAATTAAAATGAATGAAGATATACGAAGAAAGTACAATTTGGTCTTTCTTGTGTTGACTGGTGTTTTTAATTAGGGTTCTTATTTTATTTCTTTCTGAGGTGTTTCCTCAACGACCACTACAGATATCATGTAATTAGGGGTGATGAAGTCAACAAAAACAAATCAAATTTCAACTCTAAGATTCCAATTTTCCCACGTACATGCATGCATGCATGGGATCTGATCTTTTCAATTTCTTCACTTTTTCTTGCATCAGAATCAGTCCCATAGTAAGAAAAAAGGCTAAGGGATGAAGAAAAGCTGTCCAAAGTTGACCTTTTTGGCCGAGATTAGTCTAGACACACTATGCAAAGTCAACGGCCTGCTGAAGCAGTCTTGACAATAAAATAAATATAAAAATAAAAATTAAGCGAGATCTTGGAAAAGTTCAAATTTAGGGCTTTGCTTAGATGTGTGGAAAATTCTTACAAAATATTAACTATATCAAATATTCAAATTTTTATCATTATATTTTACTACACCAAAAATCTCTACATTTAAAGGAGCTTATATATGCTTTTGTTGATTAAAATAGATTGCTTGAGAGAAGACATATATGAAGAAGGCCCTTCAATTGGGGTTTTTTAAAATTATTTTTATGTTCAATTTTATTTTGTGGACCACATTGTAACATCCCTTTTTTTGACTATTAGCAAATTGATACAACACGTAATTGACAAGGTTAAGAAAGATAATATAAACATTGATTATCAAGAAAGAAAAGGTCAACATTAATGTGATAGGACATATGAATGAATTGATCATGTATCATCATCGATCCAGATTCATCATATACATAAATAAAATGGTTAATTTATTTCATTTCATTCCATTTATAACTAGTAAATGTATAAGTTATTATTAAACTAAATTTGTATAGAAGTACAATTTTATTTTAAAAAACGAAGCAATTAATGAACCCCTCATCTGTCTCCTTCCCTCTAGGTATATATATCTTACATATGTTTTTATTTTCAGACAATTAAACAAAATTATAATTAGGTGTGAGAAACTACAAATGATTAATAAAAAAAAATATCTAAACAGAATATATATATATATATATATGCATGCAGGCATAAATAGTGCAACGTCCTTTGAAGACTTAAGATCCAAATAAATAAAATCCCAACAAATTAGAGATGGATCAATTTACAAAGAAGAAAACCCTAATTTGATTGGATCTTTAATTTGCCTGTCCACTGATATGTAATGTAATACCTCGTTTTATCTCTGCTTCTGTCTCTATCTTAAGGGACATTAATTAATAATCCTATATACTATAACTATAATTATCCGTTGGATTAATTAATTAAATAAATATATATAATAATAATAATTAAAGTAATGTGTGGGGGACCTCCATTTCTTCCCAACCGCCATCCAAATACTGGTGTGATCTTGATATATACATTGTACTCCATCTGCTCAATTTGACAACTCCACACTGCTCATTCATTATTCATACAAACATCGATGGATGCTGCAGCCATTATATTGCTGGGTTATATATATATATATAATTAATTACAAAACCTATTAATTAAGATTAATCATGAAAAAAAAAACAAATTATTTTGCATATATATATATATTTGTGGAAGTAATTTTGAGAAAGAAAGAGAGAGGGGGGGGGGGGGGGGGGGCACGGGTGACTCGTGGAGCGTTTTGAAAGGGAATGCCGACGTAAAATGCATTAAATGAATGCTGACACCCAACAAGCTCTGTAATCCCTCAGTCTTATATTTAATGCATACCCTACCCCCTACCCCACCCATGCTACCCTATCGGCTATTATTATTACTATTAGTATTATTCAATATTCTTGTTCAATTCTTCCCTGTGAAATTTCATACTCCATTCATTCCAATATCCCATCCATCCTGTTGTTGTTGATTTCTATTTATCTCTTGAGGTTTTTGTCTTTATTTAGATTTATATATGGTGGCTAGTTGGGTTTGATGCCTACTTGTTTGAGTAGGGTTAAATTCTCTCATTATGGCTTTTGGAACTATAGTTTTCTGCTGAATCATTTGCCAGTATGGACTGGACTCAATTTGTCAGATCACCAAACTAATATCCATGCATGCATACATACATATATATATATATATTTAATGATCACTTTTTAACTTAATTTTGGTTTGCCAACTTGTTTCTTTCACATGAAAACTCAATCAAATAATTGAAGATTCTTGACAGTTAGTAGGTAATAAAATCCAACTCTCTTTTCCCTTGAACCATTCACTATTGATGAGTGAGAGAGAGAGAAAGGTAGAGGTGATACTAATAATTCAGCAAACATTACACTCACTGCAGACTCCGAAATAGTCATCTGCAGTGTTGTGATATCAATATCAATATCAATATCAATAATTGAGCTGAGCTTGCAGACAAAGGAAATTATATCCAAAGTCAATACAAATGCTGAAGAAGATGGTGATGATGATTCATATTCATAATAGTAATAATAATAATAGTAGTAATCCACACAGACAGAAAGAGTGAGTGAGTGAGTGAGACTGACTTTGGTTACCTTTTCATGGATCTACTTGAGTCAACTGAAGGGCGCCCTTGAGTCAATACCCGAACCACCACCCTAGCCAGCCACCGCCACCGCCACCGCCGGCCGGCTAGGGTTGCTGGTGGTTCGTTCTTGACTCACCCCCTCCAAGTTACCAACCCATACTCCTCAAGCAGAACCACCAATTAATCCATCTTCAACATTACATCATCAAACACACCCCCAAATCCCCAAATCCCAAACCCTAATTCTGACTGACTCTCCCTCCATCACTCTATATCAATATATATATATGTATGTATCACACATCGAATACAAAAAATTAATTACGATCCGCTGCAGCGAGCTAGCTAGCTAGCTCTCGCAATGGAGAGCTGCCTTGATTTTCTGGACGGTGCAGGAGATGAGATTGTTGACGGTCTCGACGGATTCCACCGTCAGCTTCGCCGTCGGTAGGCTGTTCACCAGGATCTGGAAGGCCACCGTCAGCAGGGACCCACTCACACGCCCCGGCCCACCGTTGCTGTTGGGCCCATTCGAGGATGGCCCGCGAGATCCGGGCCCATCAGGGACGATGGAAAATCCCGAGGGAAGGAGGGCCACGTAGGCCGAATCTCCACCGTTCATCACCACGTGCATTGCGGGTATGTCAACGGGCGCGTACACCACAAGCGCCCCCGCCGCGTCTATGCAGGTTTCCTGAAGTATCAGCATGCTGCTCTGGTTGGAATTCACCGCCTGCCAGTGAAATACGAAACTACCCCCTGGTTAGGTTTTCCTTCTCCGGTAGGAATTACAAAATGGGAATGGAGGTGGTGATCGGAGAACTTACGCTGGCGCGGAGGAGGGAGACGCAGTTTCCGTGGTCTTGGCCTTTGGCGATGTGCGCCATTTCCTGCATCGGACCGCCGTTGGAGAGGATGTCCCACTCGCTCCGCAGCCGCTCGTCGCGGAGGAAGTCGAACAGCCTCTGAGGAGTCACCGGCAGCCACACCGATGTGGCGGCGCTAAGGACGATGCCCGGCGGCTCGCCGGGGTCATCGACGCTCTTCCGCGTCATGACCTGGACGTCCTCGTCGACATTGTCCATGCGGAGCTTGTTCCATTTGTGAACCGACGAGGCGCAGACGCCGGCGCAGAAATTGTTGGTCATTCGCTGCGCTAATTTCAACATGCTCCGCCGCCCGCCGGCGGTAATCGCTGCTGCAATTAAGGAGGTCAACAGATGAAGCTCAATTGATCCAAAATAACCCAATTAAGCAAACAATAAATAGATTGAATAAATTATTTACCGGCGTGATCCCTGGCGGGGATGGTGGAGGACATGAGAATGGCGAGACACTCGCATTGGCGCTGGAGGGTGGCGATCCAGCGTTGGGCGCCGAAGCCCATGCCGGAGCTGATCAACGGCCGGTACATCTGGTGAACTGTACTTTCGTCATATTCAATGTGTTCCACCCATGTAACCTACACAGCACCATTGCAAGAAAAAAGATGACTTTTTGTTTGTTTTGTTTTTTTATCATTTTCTGATTGATACAGATTTAGGACAAAAGTCATACACAACACAGGTGAAGAAAAGCCAGCCTCACCCCACCCCACCCCACAGTCTGAAATGGCAACAGTGGCGTACGTACAATAATGAGAGACAAAAAATACACAAAGGGCTACAGTTTACCAAGTACAGGCATCACAAAATTTTGCAAGATTTGTAGGCACGAACGAGGTGGCCTGAGAAGGAGGGCTGACACAGTTATACATACACACGTACAAGTCTCTATCCATCTGTAAGCAGATAGAAGAAAGATAGATAGATGGATTGGTTGGTGGGGTGGTCACATGAGTCCGTGACAGCCAAAATACAGCCCCCTACTCAACCCCCAACCCCATCTAGGGATTTGACTAAATGGTCTTGATTGGAGCGGAAAGATAAGACCAAGGGACCATACCAAGAGGGCTGGAACTAATCCACACTCACATGATGTATATATATACACATAAAATAAAATAAAATAAAATAGAAGAGGAGGAAGAAGAAAACAGTGTATTGACTGACTAAGACAGCATCTGTGGCTGTGGTTGTAATAGAAGGAAGCATCAGATGCATAGTTTTATGCTACCAATGCCTGGCAGGAGTCACTTCCAAGCAAATCATATGATATTAAAGAGCAAAAGTAGGCCTAAGCTAGCTATAGCTAACAGAGGCTGGCAGCTTCCAAATTCAATATTCTATTAGAGTCAATGGGCTTCTGAAAATTTTAATATTATTAATCTGACGCTGTGCAAGAATCTGCACAACTTTAAATAAAACAGTTTAGGAAGGTTCAATTCCAGGTCAAGAAGAAAGAATCCCATAAATAAAAACTCCCTTGAATCTTGATTAATAAACAATGCAATTGGTATATATTGGGGTCTGTGATTCTCAATTAAATGTTCTCAACTAAGTCCCAAGTGGTCTGCCTGCAGTTTCTTCAACAAACTTTTATTTAGCTCAAAGTGATGATGACCGATGAGAGAGAGACTCAATTAATGAGAAGAAAAAACAAATAAAGAAGAAAAATATATCGAGTATGGAGATCATGTGTGCAATCAATTAATGTTTATGAATTAGGAAGTTGGGTGTTTGATTATTACCTTGGAATAGCCGTTGGGCATATCCTGCACCACACACCCTGATGGCAGGCGTCGGCAGCTCGGAGATTCCCTTACGGCTTCGATCGACACGTCCACCACCGCCCACACGCCTTCTGCGTGCTGCTTGCAGAACCGGAGGAAGTTCACCTCTCGAACCGGCACTAATGGCGATAGAACTTGGAGGGCTGCATTCATCTGTCCCATTATTGACAACAAGAAGTTAGCACCATTGACTCATTACAAAATTGGATATGGTTTGATTAGTGCAGTTCATTTAGTTACCAGCTGAAGTGCACCATTCCTGGTTCCTCCCATGCCGCCGGAGATCACATCTGTAGTTGAGGTTCTTGCAATGATACACGGGAACATTTCTGCCCATTTGTTCTATCCAAAACCAAATGATGATCGGAGTTGGAATACGAGATCCTTCCAATTAATTTAATGATTATTTATCTAGGCTTACCGAATCCATGAGAGTTTCGACTAGGGCCAAGCTGTTGATGATCACCATGCCCGTCTCCCTCGAGGCCTCGGAGACGAATCCATTCGGCTTCATGCCGATGCAAGGAGTGAATGTCCTGAGATACTCCTCATTGTTGAGCACTTCTCTCCCACCTTCCATGGCTCTGATCCAAAGGGGTTCATCACTCTGTGCTAATTTAACCAATTCATCCATGGCGGACAAGGCCAGCTCCAGGTACATAGACCTCTCGAACGACCTCTCCATCGGGTTCATGCCCATCGCCGCCGCTTTAGCCGGCGGCACCACCGGCAAAGGGCTTGAAATCCCCATCCCGAAATCAGCAGGCACTAAAGGGGCATCCATCTGGCCGCGGAAGCCATTGCTCCCAACTCCAAGCTCCAAGCTTGAATTCGGCAGTGGAGGACCCATGGAGGCGGCAGCAGCGGCCAGGGTGGATATGGGGCGCCCTAAGAACTTTCCGGCGAGGGTGCAGACGCGATCGAGCTCGTCTTTGAGCCTGGCGTTTTCGATTCTGAGGTGCTGCTCTTCGAGGGATATTTCGCCGATTAATGCAGGACCGCCGCAGTTGGTGCAGATTGGGTTCCTCATTGCCTCCCTTATGGACATGTTCTCCGCTCGGAGTTTGTCGTTTTCTTGCCGGAGTATAGAGTTCTCGTGGCGTTCCAGTTGTGTCTGGTGATCCAAAACGCAACCAAACTTGAGAAAGATTGAAATTTGGGAGATGAAGATGATTAACAAAATAAAGAGTAATTAATTACCTTCATCTGAGTTCTTCTATTCTGAAACCAAAACTTGACTTGTCTGGTCTCCAAGCAAAGCCTTCTGCTGAGCTCCAAGCGTTGCTTTTCATCGGGATGAGGGCACTCCTTGAAGAGACTGAAACACAGAGAATCAATCAAGATTGAGACAAACGAATTAATGGAAGAATTAAGGAAGGGAAGGGAAAAGGGATGCAGTACGCCTCAAGTTCTTGGATTTGCTGAGGAGTGTGTCGGTGGTATCTTTTCTTCCTGGGAGGCTTGTCGGCAGCATCTTGATCATCTCCAGAAGCACCCTCCATGTTATCACTACCAGATCTGCTCTCGTGTTCTTCGTCCCTGCTTCTCCTTCCCCCAATATTACTCAACTCGTAGTTCTCCGCCATTCTCCCTCCCATCTCCCCTTGACCCCCCTCCATGTTACTTTGCTGCTCAAATTCAAATAATAACAAATTATTATTATATTTAATAAGAACATATATATTTAGAGAGAGAGAGAGAGAGAGAGAGGGGTGGGTGGTGTTTACGAGGGCTAGAGAGAGGCCAGGAGAGTTGAACATGGGCTTGGTGGCTTGGGACTGAGGGACGAGGCGGGGATGGGCGATGGCGCCGGCGGGCATGGCGGCGGTGCTGCTGCTGCTGCTGATAATGTTGCTGCCGGCCGGTGGAGCGTTGCTGATGATGTTACTGCTGAAAGCTATGTCGGCAACAATTCTTGCACCGCCACCACAAGAATTGGTGTCAAGAAAATCCCCAAAATTCATGAAATAATAATGCCCTAATTCAGATGCTCTATTTCTTTCCCCCCCTTTACTTTCTTACTCGATAAGAAACCAGCAGACGTCGCATCAACACAAGACTCGGTAATCAACACTCATCCACCAAGAAATCGACTAGATCGATCATGGATACAATCAAGACACACGTATATATATCAGACACCAAAAATCTGGTTGCTTCAAACGTTAAAAGTAGAATGTTTTCGTTTTCGCACCAGAAGAACCGAAAATGGGTAACCAAAAACGCAAACAAAACAAGAAGAAGAAGAAGAAGAAGAAGAAGAGAAGAGGGAGAGGAGACAAAAGGCCGAAGTCCAAATGTCTCAGCACTACCTCTCCAGAGAAATTTGTTTTTTGGGTTTCTCAAGAGTTCAATATACAGCGAGAGAAAGAAAGAGAAAGAAGGCAAGCAAAGACAGACTCCTCTTCAAAAATAATAATAAATTAAATTTGGTGCTTAGCTCTTCCTTCTCTATCCCTCTCTCTCCTCCCCTACACCAAAATCTGTAAAGATTGAATCTTGAAGAAAAGCTGCAGGAGATTCAAGGAAATAAATAGCAAAGGAAGGAGAAGAGAAGGCAAGGGAAGGCTTCAAGAAACCCTAGTTCCCAATATCTGCTGCATGCCTGGTTCCTGTAAAGCCACTTTTCATATCTAACAAAAGCGAAAAAACAAAACACTGAGAGAGAAGGTTGAAATGGCTCAAGAGTTTTGGATTTTTCAGCTCAGAAAGAAAGAGAAAGAGAGAGAGAGAGAAAGAGGAAGAAAACAAGGCCGATAGAAAAAAAGGCAAAAGTGGAAGATAATAGCGCAATACTATGTGGAGTCAGGCAAGCCCACATATATATGTACGAACAAAATAGGCATAGGCACTGAAAAGGGGTTGGTTGACTCTCTCAATATAATTTACTAATTTATATTCACATACAAACACAATATACGTATACATATATATCTATATACATGTATGTATGCACTTGTTTTCTTTCAATGCGTGGCGCAGTTACAAAATTTTGACTTCTTTTAACCCCTCCACCAAGTGAAAAATAATAATAATAATAAAAAGTTTCATTAAAACTGGTTTCGTTTTGCAGAGATTGTCTCTCTTCGGATCCCCACCAGTTGTCTCCTTCCTATCCCTATTTTCACACACATTCATATTTGGCCCACTTCAGGAGCCCAACTCCAGCTACAATCCACACCATTCGCTCCACCAGAATGAAGGGTGTGGATCAATTCAAGACACTTCTCTTGTATTAGTAACGATCGCTTTGTTGTAGTTTTGTATGTATTACAGAATTATTATTATTATTTTAATTTTTATTATTGAAATAAAAGAAATTTTGTGTGGGCCCACAAGGCACAGGTTATTGTTATGACTGTGAGCTGTGTTTACATGAAGATTGTGGTGATACATTAATGGGAACTATAATAGCTCACATCTGCTGTTTGTTTCTTTTTTCATATTGATATATAATTTTCCTACTCTAATTTTTGGTGTAATTAATGATTGATATTTATTTTTAGAAATGAGACACTTTTTTGTCTCTCATTTTACAATGATACTTCTTTTTTCTCATCCATGAAAAGAAGAACCTCACCTCACCTCACATCACATATTTTTATATTCAATTGTATAAATGTCTCTCCCTGTGTGTGATATTAGTCTAAATTTAGTTATACTATTTGATATTTGATGGCTCAAAATATTACTATGAATAATTACAACATTGATAACAACTAACATAAATTTCTAATGCAAACTGAAATATTAGCAATTTTCCTCCATTTCATTGTATGTATAAATGGGCTTTATGATGGAATAAGGACTATTGATAGCCAATAAGACAATAAAATATAAAAAAATTATTCAACATTTAAAGTTACTGGGCTCCCTAAGTAGTTTCACCATATATATAATAGTAGTATTAATTTTGAACAATAATTGAAATATACTATCCATTTAATTATCTCTAATAAGATCCTAGAGAAGAAATTATTAATCATGTATGTGATCAGACAGGTCAACACTAATAAATCCATTCAATTCAAACCAATAATACAAATAATTGACCTATAGTCTACACACATACAAACACTAAAAATTATAATTAATTTTCAGAATGGATAACCCCATAAAACAATCAGGCAGAAACAATTACTAGATGCAATGTATTATGTATGGAATGGAACTCAACCAACCCTGAATAATATTCATAATTTTTGTTATCATCTTTCTGCAAGAAACACTTAAAAGCCATTGAAGGTCTGGCACTAAGTTCAGCTCCAATCTCCATACATATATGTATTGCATCTATGTATGTACAACAAATTTCCTGACACCTTTCAATTTATTGAATTAATTGGCAAAATAAATAGGGATCGCACAGTGCAAGCAATGAATTTGCATTAAAGCACTATACCTTTTTCACATGGTTAAGAGAATAATCCACAGAAAGTGAGAAACCCCATCAATTAAGGGGGGCATAGTTATGCAGATTAAATGAAAGCTGCAGACAAAAGCCCACCAATGGATGTGACAAAAGAAGCTTTTCCAAGTAATGAATTTAAAACCTGTTTTTTCAGGGATATAAATTTGTGAGAGCCAGCACTTAGCAGCAGAGTGATTGTTTCCAGTAAGTTCAATTAAATGTTGAGTGTGTGAGGTGTGATGGAGAAGGATCAAGAAAATGGGGTGGGGGCTGTCTGCAGAGTACCAATCACAATCTGTGTGTGTGTGTGCAAATACATACGTATGGACACAAAAGACTTGGGAAATAAAGATCATTCAATGGCTATTATTATTACTAAAGAGGTAGATCAGATCCAGTCACTCTGGTTTTCACCCTCACATTTTGAATTCGCCACAACATGGGATTTTCTTGGTTTGGTAGTAGTTTCATATTGTAAAAAGATCAATACTGTTGTGTCTGAACCCTGACATGTCATGTGGGATTAGCAAAAATCTGGTCAAAACTTTTGAATCTATGCAGATAAACCACGAGGATCAGGGCCCATATTAAGTTCAAAAGACCAAGGCTAGGGTGGTTGCACTTTAGACACCATATATTCATTCATCCTAACTCAATTACTGCCTTCTAAGATTCAAACTCAAATGGTTTCCACACAGCAGGCATGTGTAAAGTTTCTATAAAGCATCTAGCAAAGATTAATTATATCTTCAGCTCTAAATGATCGATCATATGCAATAAGAGAGGCTATGGGGTTGCCACTTTTAGCCTATGGCCACCATCTGTTCAAGTTCTAATCCTAATTCAAACAACCAGTCAATGAAGATAAATTATAGCATCCTATCATCATAGACTAATCATCATCATAGCTTCCAGCTGGCTTGTGATGTATTGAATCAAGATAACGAAGAAGAAGAATATCAGTAATATTTAATGGACTATAGAACTCGATCAGTTAGGTTGTTTATGATGATCTTTAGGTCACCATAAACATTGACTACGGGTCTAATGCCAAAATATATTTGACTTACGTAAAATTTCAAGACATTGTTGCATGCCTAGTGAAAGAAAACAGGCCATTACAGCTTTTTACACTTTTCTTCATTCTATCACAGTTGCTGCTTTTAAATAATAGAAAATATGAAAAAGACTCGTAGGGCTATAGTTGGGCAGAACCCATGTAAATATGAAACCAAGGTATAGGGAAGAATACCTACGTTACAAAGGACAGTATTGTTTCAAGAGGGTAGCTTCCACAGTTCCTTTCTAGCCACCAGAATTCGCTCTCTTCCATGTGATTCGGGTTCTTTGTCGTGTACGGAAGACCTCCATCTTATTGCTCGTGAGATGCGATCCACTTTATCAATCACTTCAGGTAAATCCCGGACTATAACAGTGCCTTCTGGACGCAATATTCTATCAATTTCCGCCATCAAATCTACAAGGTTACACCTGCAATTTGGCTCAAAATGTTAGCTATCAGAGAGCCGGAGTTTGACAAAGCAGCTGCAAGAAATTCACATACCTGCTCTTTCCAGAACTCAGATCCTTAATAAGTGTCTCGATAGCAGTTACATGAACAAGATCATAGGTACGGGGATACGTGGAGAAAGGCTCACACCTGAAAGCATTAGCCACGAACACCAGCAGTTCCATGTCACACATTAGTAAGACGTATATAACAAGGTTATTGTGCATCTCAACCAATGAAAATATGAATCAATAAATTATGAAAATATACATATGTGTATATATATATCATCTCCAGAAGCTTAATAATGCATGCGATAGAGAAAAAATATCACCACAGAAAAGATGGTACTTCCACTCACCAATCATGGTAAACGCCTATAAGTCCTCGATCATAAATCACATCAAGAGTCGAGGGCTTGCGAGGGGGTACTGTATTCATAACCCAAACGGGATCTGATATTATAGCTGCTGCAAAACCACCAAAGAATGCATTCATATCCATGACATTTCGTATTGATGGAGTCCCCAATTTTACATTTAATGAATTCTTGTAGTAGGCAACTCTCCTTGTCCATCTCCGGTTGTCAGCTTCAAACACATCAACCCCATTTTTCATCATAATAGCCCTTGAAGGAGCAGTTGTCAATCTCTCTGGCCATTTTGGAATTGTCCCGACAGCATATTCTCCCTTTACTGAGGACTTCCTGCTCACACATTTCGTCAATTTGGTGTACCTGCAATAAAAAGCTTCTGCAAAGTTACAATACAATCAATCACAATGACACTATCAAGTTTTAAGATTACATCTGAAAAAATATGAACAACTTGTGGTGCATACTACCATGCAGAATTCGGATCATCAGATGCATCACATAGGTCAAGCCCAAATTCATTTTGATTGGGAAAACAGGAATCCCCATTAGGCTTATTCCAGATGGCTGTGTTTCCATCCACAACGTTGAGCTCATAACACAAGGATCTGGCTACTGCCTGCAGATCGGCCCATTCCTTGTCTTGTTTAGGCCACTGGACAGGGGGGCCGGAGATAACTAAGTAGCCTCCTGGCCGAAGTATACGGTCAACTTCCAAGAAATATGTTGCATCTGCAAAGTAGCAGGTTTTCCTTGAGACAAATGCAATCCTATAACTTAAAAGAGATCTAAATAAAGCTAGCGGTACACCATTGCAAGGCCATTGACTTACTATATGCAGTGAAAGGAATCAGACATCGTGAACAATGAACCATGTCAAATGAGAAGGCAGGAACAGCAAGTCGGCGTGTGCCAAGCATGGCCACAAATGCTGGTACTCCTCTTTCCAATGCAAACTGTATCTGCGCTTTGTGTGAATCTCTTGGAGCAAACGAAAGAGTTAGAATACCTTCAGCAAGCATGTACCCCCCAAAACTAGCAACCTAGGAAAAAACAATGAGGACTCAGGATGTTGAAAAGATACACTGAACAGACAGCAGAAATGATGAAACTACGTAGTAATTCCTACCCCACATCCCATATCAAGAGCTGTCCTCAAAACTCCACCAGCAATGGGGATATATTGCTTAAGTTTCTCTATGTACTGAACTGCCCCGTCTGGAAACATGGTGCCTCCACCTGGAAATATGAAATATGGACCCTCTTTCTTCATCCATCCCTGGTGCCCTTTCCTATCTGCTATTTTATCATAAGGCATGTTGCCATGCCAAATCTACATCCCAAATAGAAGTTACAATCTAGGATGTGGGAACAATTTATAAGCAATTAAGCATCCAAGCCAAAATGTAAGTCCTAGATTGCATCAAGCTTACCGAGTAAAAGACAGAGAATTGCTGCTATAGATTGTAGGATGTACAAACTTACATTAGTCCGAGTGTAAATCAACAAAACACGTATTCATCACAACCAATTGCAGGACTTTGAAACACAAATTTTAACAGCCTACACAGATCCTCAAATGGCAACTTATCTAAAGCTCAAACCAACACTGAATTGAGAATAACGCATACAGAATGCCAGCAATCCAGTTCAAATATAAAAGTCGAGCTAATTATATCCTCACATACCAGACAAGCTAAACTAAGCTTCTAAGCTAGTATGCTTACTCATCTTATGTTAATGGCTTCTAACACAATAAATCACACTAAAGTAGTGAAGGCAAAAATAAAACAAACACAATGGAAGATCCAATCAATCCGGAGTTTATGCATAAAATCAGAAGGAAGGTGTAAATCATCTCACCTTTTGCAAACTTTCCGGCCACTGGACCGAAATCTTGTAACCCTGCGGCGGCGGGATCAGACAAAGCGGCGTTTCCTCCGGGAGGGGGCAATGCCTCTCCCTGTAAAAATTCATCTCCCTGCTAAGCTGGCTATTGATTTTGGGATCCTCACAGGGCATGTGATCCACCATATCGGCGGGGCAAGCATCAAGGACCGTCGCCTGCCGCCCCTGCTCGACCAGCGCCACCAGCCGGCCGCGGTGGCGGGGATCGGAGCGGAGCAAGGTCTGGCGTCCAGAGGACGCCAAGGAGTCACCCAGTGGAGTGAAAACTAAAAGGAAGAAGAGCAGGACTGCCCCGAAGAAGGCGGCGGTGACTATATCCAAGAGACGCCATTGCCGGGCATGGCGATTCTTTGAGGAAGGAAGATTTAGGAGGCCCATTTGATTTGAGCAGCTGAGAACAACTTCAGGAACTTATTTGGCACACATGATTGGAGAATGTGTACGCGATTTGCCTTTTCTTGAAGATCTCAAGTCAGATTCAGACCAGTGGCAAATGTACAACATCTACTGCTTATGGTACAACACTCGCTTCACTTTCGAGATCTCATTTTGCTGGATTTTCAGATGCCCAAAATGACTTTGTATAAGTATGTATTAAAAATATTCTGGAGCAGAAGAAGACAAGAAAGGACCCAAATTTAGAAAGATTTAAGACTGCATAATAAATTTACAAGATGCCCAACAATGTGCTATTTGTCCATTATTTATCCAACTGAAAGCCTCTATCATACAGACAAAACTCCAAATGTGTATATATACGTATCATTTAATGCTTTCTTGATGTTTTGAGGTTGTAATCATGCTTTATGAGGTTTGCTCTCAAAAGCATGGCTTTCACTTCGCGATCGAATACATTGCCTGTCTGCAGGACGCGCTGGAATGTGCCGTTCCTCTGATCAGTGTGCCGTGCATAGAGAATTTTGTTGTGGGAGTCTATTCGAGCCTGCATCATTGAGCAACACAATCATGAAATTAGTAAGCCAAGTGGCCCAAGTCCATGTGCTCAAGATCAACTAGCTGCCAATACTGTTGTAGATGTATGTAAGCATAATATTACCTGTATTTGGTCGTTGGTGATCAGTGTTTCGAGCTCTTTCTCCAAGCTAGTAACACTTGTATTGAAGGCACCGGCCATCATGCGAAGGTCAACAGAGACAAAGGGAAGCGTGTACTGGATGAGAGCTTTGCAACGTATTTGCTCATACAAAGCCTCCACATGATCATGTAAATGGATATCAAGCAACAAATTCGCCTTGAGACTGCCAAGATATTCCAGACACGAAGCGTAATGGCTGCAAAATTCACAAATTTGTATACCAAGTTAATGCTGGGAAATTTTAGGTCTACCAATTTTTTCTGGCTGTTTAAGCATGATAAGTTTAGGTAAGCTTCATAGTAGCATCAGCTATAGCAACAGATTGTTGAATCAAAATATTATATGCAATAGACAGTTGGAGAATATTTTTATGTGGTGCATTGCAAGCATAACTAGCGTAACGGTAAATGACAAACGGCACAACATGGCATGGCATCCAGTATAACAATTAATATAACACATTTTCGATCCTACAAAAAATTAATGTAAAACATATAACTAATCAAATAACTTCAATCTAATACTACTACTACTACTAATAATAATAATAACAAAAGACAGTTTATTTCAAAACGACTAGAAAAGTAGAGGGAAACAGAAGGAAGTTTGAAAGGAAAAAAATTGAGATATGAAAAACAGAAGCACAGAGGACAGCGGCTATGAATTGGAAAAACTTAAGACGACGGAAGATAAAATAGAACTTTCCATGCGGAGGCCGTGCCATTTACAACTATGATTGCAAGTGATTTGGTTTCAATTTTCTTTGCATATGACATTGATTTACCTTGTATAGAAATCATTTATGAGCTCCCTTATTTCAGGTACCAGCTCCAAGAAATTCCGGAAGTTTATGTTGTCAATTACTTTGCTCTGCCAAATAGAAATAATTCAAGTTACATCATAATTGTAAAGCCAGAAAACCTCAATGTCTAAGAAGAAGTCATGAATATCAAATAACAGAGGAGGAATTTTGCCTTCAGCTCCGATCGGTCAAAACTTGCTAGTGCACAAAGACTGCCATAAGTTGCAATATCTTGGGGTGAAATTACTTCTGTGTAGTTGTTCCCTAATTCTGGGCCAGTTTCAAGGAACTACAAATAACAGAGCGACGTCAGACAAAGATACGAAAGAAAAGCATGCCTGAGAGAATTATTTAAATTTTATATATCAGATACTTCAAAAACTTAACCTATCATCCACTTATAAAACTTCCACCCACTACAGATTAAAAGAAAATTTGTACGTTATCCCCTCCCAATAAGATCCAATAAAACTTCAACAAAAGGATCTGGCATATCATAGCTATAAGGTACAGCAGCCTAATAAAATACCCTGATCATTCCACAAGGCTTATGCTGCTGAATGAATCAGCATGGATTAATTGTACTAGATATTAAAAATTCAGAATGTATGACGGGGCGACTTTGTGAGCAAACCTTTCGAGCAGCAAGCTTATATTTTTTGCTTTCAAGGTGAGCCAATCCAGCAGCACATCTTAATTTTGCGATTGTAACCGGATCCAATGCTTCTTGGCTTTGCTCAGCTTTGCCAGCATAGCTTGTTACATGTGTAAATTGACCCATCTCAATGCTAACAAGAATTGCATTCAAACACATATGGATAATATGTTTTGATGTAGTGCAGTAATCGCGTGTGCGGACGTAATTCTTGAATGCTTCGCCAAGCTGGCCATGGGAGTAGTAGTAGTCTCCAAAGTCGTTGTATCCCATTCGAATGCTTTCTTTAATTAAATTTGTCTGAATAAAGACAAGCCACGACAACGACAGGTAAGTAAATGGATCGTGAGGTTCAAGAATCTTGAAAACTTACTCTATTTCAAATTAGAACATAACAACAATTCGGAACTAGCAAAAGCAAGCATGACATCATTATTAAATATTAAGATAACATAAATAGCCTTAGAAAAAGCCGAAATTTTAAAACCAAAGCCAATATGAATTCTTCAAAAATTGTAAAACCATGGCCTTGAAACATACAATAAGAACTACATTTTAATGATAAAAGTGATATTTTCAACGGGCAAGGAACTATGCAATATAAGAGATTAAGGAAACAAAGAAACCAAAGAACCACGTTTCCACTTTCCCTAGCACACAATTAACAGAGCAATTAAAGCTCGTCAAAGTTCATCAAATTAGATGTTCTGGAGTTCTTAAAGGTAATCCTTAAATATTCATGAAAACACAATTAATTTAAGCAATTCTCTGTTTGACAGTACGTACTGCGTACACACAAACAACTCAAAACCATACTGACAAATGCATAAAGCATTTGGAAGTAAATTCATAGTCACAGTAGTAGCAAATTCATCAGGGAATTCAACCGATAATCAGCCTACCCGGTATGCATTGAGTTCGCTTTCAAGCTTCTCTTTCCTTATCTCGGCGCGTCGGTCCACGACATCAGCCCAAGCGTTATCAGGTCCATATTTCGGTCCTAATCGGCCGTCAATCTTCGCAACGACCTCTCTGAAGAGCTGCGTGTTCTCCCCCTTCTTAATCTCATCGTACGCCATCCGCAGAACCTCCAGCTGCATCGAAGGGACGCCGCATTTATCGGCAATGAAAAGGAGGCGAGTAATCTTCGTGCGCCCGGTGTACAGAGCCGCGTACGCCTCAATATCGAGCTGCTCGCCGCTGATGACGGGGCGGTGCCGCTGCTGCGACTTATCGCCGTCTCCGCCGTTAACGCGTATCTCATCCTCGTCAACGATCGTCCCCGCAGCATCCTCTTCCATCGCAAAACTACTACTGACCCTACTCTAGGGTTTCCCCCGATTCTGTCGCAAGAATTTCACTTTACCTTCGCATACTATACACAGCAACCGCTTGTAGTAGACGCTTTAGCTTCGAAAGTCCGGGATCTCAACTCCCGTAACGGATGCATTCACGAGCTGGGCCGAAAACCGTATTTGGACTCACAGCCCAATCCAACTACTATTTCATTATTGGATTTTTCCCTTTTTTTTTTTTTCTCTAAATATTTATTTAATAGTAATTAGTAGTTTTAATAGAAAATTTATTATTATTATGTAATGATATAATATGATACATCATTGGGCCGAAGTAGGATTTTGTAGTTCCCGACATGACAAACCCCATGATTGCCTCTTAATGGAATTATTTATATACACGAGGTCACGAATTATCCAATCATTATTACTCACTGACAATGTTCCTAATAATAAAAATTAAATTACTATTATTATTTTTTTTATTAATATGAGTTGATGAATAGAGAAGCAAAGGAAAGAAAGCACATGGTGTTGGTGGTGCGAAGATGTGTTTGTCAAATGATGCACATGAAAATTGGGTGAAAGTTGGTGTCTCTGGACTCCCTAACCAACTAACCTTATTATTATTATTATTATTATTAATTTAATTGAACTAATAATTTATTGATATATTATTTTTTAAGTAGTATTATTATTTAATAATTTACTTGTCACGTTGTGTGACATATACTTAATGACGAGTAACCAGCACGAACCGAGATGACAATAATTCCTGCATATAAAAAGAAATTAAAATAAACTATTTTTGAGAGAGCATTTTTTTGTTGGATTAGGATGTATAGATCTGTGCTAAATTAATAAATTATTGGAACTTGTGTACGAAAATTTATGGCATTCCTATCCCATTCTAATTAACTTATTATTATTTCATTTAAAATATTGCAAAATCAAATAATAATAATAATAATACTCTGGGAATTGGATTAGATTTCTACTGTTCATAGCATTTTTTTTCAAAAAAACATCAAATCAAAGACTTATTTTTCATTTTTTATATTATACTAAAAATCAATTTTACATTTAAAATATCACATCAACACCTATTTATATCACATCATACAACTATTTAAATTCAAAACTTTTACTATTTAAATTCCAACTCAAAATCCAAACCCTCAAACAAACACACCTAATGTGTTCCGATGATATTAAAAAAAAGTGTGCTTTGGTCTTGGTATATATATTAGTATTGTTTTTAGGTTTTAATGTTTTTAAAATAAAGTAATTATTGAATATATATATATATATATAATAATTTTTGAAAAAAAAATTTAGAAAAATATAAAATTGGAAAACCAAAAAAACAGAAAGAAAAAGAATACCATAGACATATCCTTTTACATTTATAAAATATTAAGGTTCTTTTTGGTTTATGAAATAGTCTGAAATATAAAAAAATATAAAAAATTGTAAAAAAAGTATATTTTTCTTAAAAAAATAAAAATTATATATGAAATATTTTTACAAAAACGAACACTCCTTCAAAATGATCTCTTCTGTCAATACGTTGAAAGTTGAACAGATTCGAGGGAGAGGGAAGATTTTTAATAACTAAACTCTACCTAATTTCAATGGGCAAGTAGTATTTTCATTATTATTTTTCAAATAAGGTAAGAAAATGGAGAGCCATCTTCTTGCCAAACTTTGATTAATATTATCTTCTTCAATCTCGGAGCGTTTTTAATTGTCTGAGCTCACGAGAAAGAGCCTCTGCAATCCCTGCTACACATACACACCTATACATACAGACAATATCCAATACAATCCAATTCATCAAATACTGACCCTAATTTGTTTCAATTTCGATATTCTTAGCTTGTTTGGGGAAGAAAATGGCGACTGGATTCAGTCTGACACACTATTTGTCTTTCAAAACGAAGAAAACCAATCTGTATTTGGCCGCCATAGCCGCCGTGCTCTTTTCAATTTCCTACCTTCTCGGATTCTTACAGCAGGGTAGCCGCGGCGGCGCCACCGCCGCAATTCCATGCAGTAGGCCGGCTATTAAGGGCAGCGCCGAAGCCAATCCGGCGCCGCTCGACTTCACGGCGATCCACTCGGCGGAGGATTCCATCCGAGTGGGACAGGCGGCGGCGCGTGGGGTTGAGTTCCCGCCGTGCGGCGCGGAATTCTCGGAGTACACGCCGTGCCAGGACGCGAAGCGGTCGTTGAAATTCGACCGGAGCATGCTGGCGTACAGGGAGAGGCACTGCCCGGAGAAGAGCGAGGTGCTCAAGTGCCGCGTCCCGGCGCCGCCAGGGTACACGGCGCCGTTCCGGTGGCCGGCGAGCCGGGATCTGGTGTGGTACGCCAACGTGCCGCACAAGCATCTGACGGTGGAGAAGGCCGGCCAGAACTGGGTCCGGTTCGAGGGGGACCGGTTCAGATTCCCCGGCGGCGGGACCATGTTCCCACGTGGCGCCGACGCGTACATCGATGACATCGGGAAATTGATCGACCTCCGACGTGGCTCCATCAGGACCGCCATTGACACCGGCTGCGGGGTATCCTCTGTTCCTTCATTACCACTTCATTAATAAGTATCCAAATTTTGTCCCATTAGTCCATTTTGGCCCAGGGCGAACGATTACGCTGCTGAATTGGAAAAATCAACAACATCTGTAATATATACAAACAACACACACCTTATTATACAATAATTATAGCATATTGTATAACAGTATGTGTGGTGTGTTGAAATCAATTAGTATTTGTATTGTATAAGACTATAGTAGATCTGTATTGCCGGTAACAGCCGCCTTGCCAGGGACATAAATACAGTATATGCATATTAATCATTTCAATTGAAATTATGTAAGTTGTAAGAACAACTTAGGAGCTATGTTCTGTTCCAATCCAGGTTGCGAGTTGGGGAGCATACCTAATGTCTCGAGACATCTTACCGATGTCTTTCGCGCCAAAGGACACACACGAAGCGCAAGTTCAGTTTGCTCTCGAGCGGGGAGTTCCTGCGCTGATCGGAATAATGGCCTCCGAGAGATTGCCTTATCCATCCCGAGCATTCGACATGGCTCATTGTTCGCGCTGCCTCATCCCCTGGGGCCAGTACGGTAATAGCAATCCAATTCCCCATCTTTATTACATCTTCATCATTAATAACAACCTCGTTTCGAAATGTCTCGATCAGACGGGCTATACTTGATCGAAGTCGACAGGATTCTTCGCCCCGGTGGATATTGGATCCTGTCCGGGCCGCCCGTGAACTGGGAGAATCACTGGAAAGGTTGGAACAGAACTCGCGACGACTTGAGCGCCGAGCAAGATCAAATCGAGGCAGTCGCAAGAAGCCTTTGTTGGAAGAAATTGTCACAGAAAAACGACATAGCCGTTTGGCAGAAGCCCACAAACCATCTCCATTGCAAGCTCAACAGGAAAGTCTTCAAGAAGCCTCCTTTCTGCCAGGGCCAAAATCCAGACAAAGCCTGGTAATAAAATCACCAAACATCGTAATACCCGAAAATGTCGATTTTCCTCACATGTTTTCCAATTCTTACAGGTACACCAAGATGGAGCCCTGCCTGACTCCCCTCCCCGAAGTGGCCGACGTCAAAGAAGTGGCCGGCGGGGAAGTAGCCGCCTGGCCGGAGAGACTAACAGCTGTGCCGCCGAGAATCCTCAGTGGGAGTGTAAACGGCGTAACGGCTGAAAGTTTTACAGAAAACACCGAGCTTTGGGAGAAGAGGGTAGTGCATTACAAAGCGATCGACGGTCAGTTAGCCGAGCCAGGAAGGTACCGAAACATTCTCGACATGAATGCCGAGCTGGGAGGCTTTGCAGCCGCGCTAGTAAACGATCCCGTCTGGGTCATGAACGCCGTTCCCGTCGAAGCTGACGTTGACACTCTCGGCGTCATATATGATCGCGGACTAATCGGAACATATCAGAGCTGGTACACAAACAAACCATCTCTATGTTAAATAATCGCTTCACCTAAGTGCCGCATTATTTATTTATTTAAGGGCGTTTGAGTTACACATTCCTTTCAGTCTAATCGTCTCACTTAAAATTTTAAGACAAGATCAAATATTGCTCGAAATCAAACTACTACACTGTAATAATAACGAGTGACTATCGCTATGTCTTGATTCGCAGGTGTGAAGCCATGTCGACTTATCCGAGGACCTACGACTTCATCCACTCCAATGGGGTCTTCTCGCGCTACAAGGATAGGTAATAACTTACAACCGATTCTTGTTATAACCAAAATGACCGAATCGAATCGCTAAAATGTTGGACAACTTTGTAGATGTGAAATTGAGGACATCCTGCTAGAAATGGACAGGATTCTTCGGCCGCAGGGCAGCGTAATTATACGGGACGACGTCGATGTACTGACAAGTGTGAAGAGGATAGTAGATGGGCTTCAATGGAACAGCAGAATGAGTGACCATGAAGAAGGCCCTCATGTAAGGGAAAAGCTTCTTATTGCAACAAAACAGTACTGGACAGCTCCTCCTCTTCAACATGAACACACGTTGTAGTAACCATAACTGCATATATATATATATATATATATATGTGTGTGTGTGTGTGTTCATATTTCATTTTCTTAATTAATTAATGTGCATCTCTTTCTCATCAATTCTTTTGTTGATATCTTTTAAAATCTATAATTTTGAAAGGTACGTTTTTCGTAGCATCAATGAGGATCTTGAGGTGGATTGGAGTTTGCTGTAGTTGTACCTCTTTCAATTTATGACTACTATTTCTAAAATTATGATATTTAATTAGTTAATGATAATGAATTATAATATTATTATATTATTTTTTTAAATTAATAATATTTATAATTTTAAAGTAAATTCAATATATATAATTAAAAAAATTAAAATATATGTTTAAATATTTAAAATTATACAACAATTAAAAACAATATGTAATATAGATATTATTTTGTAAAGAATAAGAATTTTTATAATACAAGTAAATAAAAAAATATTTTTATTTATCTATAATTAATATAAATCAATTTTATAAAAATATTTAGTTTTAAATATATATAAAAATATTTATTTTTTAAAAAGAAGATTTAAATAAAATTTTTTTGAGTGAATCCTAATTATCATAGACAAATAAAAATAAATATAGTATCAATTGTGGTTATATAGAAAAAGTATTTACTTCTTGATTGTTTTGTCCAATTCCACTCAATACAATATATATATATCTAATATTTTTTGTTTCAATTATTTTATTATATATATTTTATTATTTTCGATTGTTTTATCCTAAATTATTCATTTTTTATTATACTTGAAATAATAGTATATTAATATTAATATATATTTTAATTTTTATATAAATTTCAAATATAATACTATTATACATCAAATTAGTTAAAAAAACAAAAGATATCAAAAATTATCCTAAACACATCCATTAACAAAAAATATTACTTTAATTTAATATTATAAAATATTATATTCAAATATTATTTAAATATAAATCAAATACATTAAAATAAATAAAAGAATATAGAGTATTCTAGATAATAATAAAATATATAAATAATATTATTGGTGTTTTAAATATTATATTTTCATATTTATTTATTAAAAATTAAATTAATTTATATTTATTAAATATATTTAGATAAATAAATTTAATATAAAAAAAAAATATTTTATTGAAAGAAATAACAAAGAAATAACGCCTGACGGAGGAAGCGTAATAGTTTTTTTTTCTCGTATGAAATGATATAAAAAATTAAAACTAAACAAAAAATGAATTAAACTGAAAATATGGATTAAAGGGCAATAACAAAATTTAACATTTTATTTGTCTTACAATTATTTTTGTCTGTTTTAAGACAAGACACTATTTTTACGATTAATCCTCCATCTTTGTGTAGGAGAACAAAGTGTATTAAACTATAAAGTGGATTTGATTCTGCTCGGTTCAGTTTTAACCCCGAAGCCTCGACTGCCTCTCAATCTCTAGGCCAAATTGGAAATCTTTATTCTCCTCAACAAAACGTCTTACAATCCCGTCAATCCTCTCACGCCCTCTTCCGATTCGTGCATGTAATCGGCACTGACTTGGTGTATTTGCTCGCCAGTTTCTCTGACAAGGTGTGATTCTCTCCCCCTTTTCGTTTTATCGCTTGTTTTTATCTGCCGGTGCGTATCGTTGATTGATTGCGATTGGGGATGTTTGTTTTGGTTGGGCTGATGCGTTGAAGATGGGTTTCGATCATGGGATTTGTGTTTGTATTCGAAATTTGGTTTAATTTCTAATTGCTCTGTGATTATTGGTAGGTTTTTGTGTTTTCGTTTTTCATTTTTGTTTCAATTGTTGATTTTTAGGGTTTGATTTATTTCCCTTGTTTTTGGGGAAAATTTCTGGCTAGGGCTTAGCATGCGAAACATTCGATTATTATTTTTGAGTAAGCTGGTTTTAAACTTGTCGAATTTCATTTTTGGGTTGAGCAATTTTCAAGCACATGCTTTATTGTGGTTTGCCCAATCTTTTTTTTAAGTAATTGTAATGTTCCATTGCAGTAGCCTCAGATTGAATAATAGCCTTAATGGGGAATGAGTGTTCTCTGTTTCTCTTTACAGAATTGAAGTTTACAAAAACTGTATGCAATAATTTGTGCTGCAGGCGAAACATTGACAAGAATGGATCAGCAGAGATTGGGACCTCTGATTGACTTTTTGCAGTTCCTTGGGACAGATTTGTCCTCATACATCATGAATTTCTTAGATGATCCAGCTGATGTGGTTCGGGCAAGCGCGGTCTCGTCCTCTTGGCGCGAGTTTGGTGAGTGATGCTGCTGTTTACACCTTATGTGTTTGCTCTTTTGCTTGTTTCTTGCAATTCAGAGTAGATGACAATAACCACTTCTTTATGGTCTTGGCAAAACTTTTGATGATTTGGGTTACAAAGTATATGCAGTGATAAGTACCTTGTTTGAGAATGCTCTTACCTTATTCAACTGTAGAAAAGAAAGAAAAGAAAAGAAAAGGTTAGACAAAGAATGTTCCTTTTTTCTTTTAGCCTCAATACAATTATAATGATATTTCTTGAACACATTTCTCATTCTTTTTGGATTCTCACCAAGGTTAGACAAAGAATGCTCCTTTTTGTATCTACATAGTGTAGGAACATTTGTTGATGCTTTAATTGAATCTTATGGTTCTCTGAATTGGCATGATTCTAATGACTTAGCTGATCTTTTGGGTTGAGATTTTCCCACCTTTTGTTTTCTTTTTTTGTTCCTCACTCTCTGCCTATTACATGATGTGTGTATTTTTTGAGAAAATGTATTGAAAGAATGAACAAATTATAATCAGTTAATATCAAGCAGCCGAAACTCAATTTGGGATAAGCCAGCAAATGTGTTTACTTTGTATTTGGTTTTGTGATTTGTATTTTTCATGAAACAGTTGCTTTGAATGCAAAATGTTATGTTTTTATAGGGAATCGTGAGGCTACTTAATAAAGAAATTGAAAAAAAATTGCAAAGTAAACAGAGCTTAGGCTTTGGATAATTTCCGGCTGACTCTCTATCACAAAACTCATGAGGCGTACTGATGAAATTATACAATCTATAGTGCTGTAACATCATTCCTTCTTACAGTGATTTCGAATGGATTTGCAAAAGGACTGTGCATAAAAGCATTCCCCCAACTCTCCAGTGTTGTTTCTATAGTTAAAGGAGGCGAAGGGGCCGAAACTTCATCTGAAGCCGAGACTAACAATGGCAATAACACCAGTGTTCCTGAGAAGGAACACAAGGTGTATGCATCTCTGCTTCAGGCCCTCACAAAATCGAAAGTTTCTCCCAGGGATTGCATAGCAACTGCTGTTAGCGCATCCAGCACCGACAATTATCCTGATGAAAGTATCGTCAACACTCTGAACCCGAGGGACAGGTTCATTAGGAGGGCTTCATACTGGTCAAGCAAGGGACACAGCGATCCAGAAGTGCCTGAGTCATTGATATATAAACTAAGAGCCGGACTTTGGGTTCTTACTGAAATTGATATCCAACCATTTGAAGGTAATTGTCCAATTCCTTGGTTTATGCTTTCGATCCTTAATTTCATACATACTTACTGGTAATATCGAGTTATTACAACCCACTGTCTGTTCAGCTTTCTTCCAGCCGGGGAAACCTTTATACTCTCCAAAATCTGTAAGATTCCGCATAGGTCATCCTAAACCGTCAAGTGAGATTGGCAACACCCTCGATCACTTGCCGTTGCAGAAACCTGCCGATGACAAATTTGTGTGGACTTACACATCGCCAGAGTTTCCAATGATGCAGGTGATGTTCAACATTACTTCAGTTACAAATTCCAAAACCCATTAACAGTGAAAACAATTCATTTCACAATTTTTTTCCCCGCAACAGGCGAATGTCCTGCAGCCTTTCAAGCTGCCAGAACCAGTCCTCTGCATCGGTGGATACTTGCAGATTGAGCTGTTGGGAAGGGTTCAGAGGCAGGAAATGGACGGGCTGTTCTACATATGGTAAGCCGGATTTCATACCATCGTTACAAAATTCAATAATGTTTAATCTAAAGTTGATTCTACTGTAGTGTGTGCTACGTTCGAGTTCTTGGGCGACCCCTTTTTCCGGCATTTGACATAGAAATCCAGGGGCCAGAGCAACAGCTCTTGCTCAAGTACTGTCCGGAAAGAATTGGGTTGGTGCTGGAGAGCTCTCCCAGCTCGCAAGTTCCTCATTTTCGGCACCTGGAAGAAGAGATGCTGTGGGAGCGGATAGGGCTGTTGGAGGATTTGCTGCGCGGGATACAACAGGGGCCTAACAACCCCTTCAGGTTGGATGACGACAACGAGGATGGAATCCACGACGGCGGCGTTGCTCTGTAATAACTCTGCTCCTCGGATGTGTTTTTCCCGATCATCACTGGAACTTTTAGAACTTCCCATACACATATATATACACTGACTGCTGCCTGTGTTCATCTGAGAGAGAGAGAGAGAGAGAGAGAGAGAACGTCTCTATTAACGATGAACCATGTTCTATCCTTTTTTTCTTTGTTATTTCCCGTAATTGGATGAGTACGTTCATGTGTAATTTCTTCATCAGTCTTGGTTCGGTTTGAATACTCTCTCAATTTCTACTCATTTTATGCATTTGATTCTATAAATTGTATACATTTTTTTATTATGTTGAAGAAAGACAAGACTGTTTCTGTTGAATACTCCTCTCGAGTCGAACGCAAAGGAGTTTGGGTTTTGTCTGCGGCGACTAACACTGGAACAGCGTCGAGTTTTCTAGGGTTTAATTGGGACGTGCTTTCTTGTATTTAAAATATTTTAATATAATTATTATTTATATAATTTTGATGGATTAATAAAATATTTTGTATTTATTATTAATAACAGTATTTTTTAAATTCATTAAATACCAATTGATACAAAACATTAGTATATATTTTCTTAAATTTTCAAAAATATCTAAGTATATTTGAACACAAACTCTAGCTATGACCCAATTCAAAATTTCTTACAAAACATTAATAAGATGTATTTTTTTTTTTGGTTGATTTTGAAAAAATTTCATTAAAATGTATTTAAATTTAATATTAAAATATCTAATGAGAATTTTTTTTTTTTTTTTGTTTTTTTCATAGATCAACTGCTTAGTTGATTGGATTAACTATACAATATTAATTGTATAAATTAATATAATATAAATGAACAGATAAACTAACATTATAGTAAAATACAACACACATTTTAGTTTGCAGGGGTATTAGGTTCAGCCGAAAATTTATTCAGCATGCACTTTCGATTAGCGGCTGCAGGTTCCCGTCATAAAAAAAATTAAAAATACAATACACATTAATTTTAGCATATGCCATATTCTTATACAGTATATATGTAATTATGAATAAACAATACATATCTTTATTAAACACAACTCTAGTAAGAATATTGGTTGTGCTGATTTGCAAGGTGCTGAAATTTTCAAATCTTTGTAATAACCATTCTCATTTATAATACAACATATTATATTATAACTCATCAATGCTGAAATACACATCCTATTTTAAATACAAAATACAAATTGTAAAATTTAAGAAAAGTTGGCAAAAGGAATTAAAGGAAAGGAGAAATGAAATGAAAAAACCTGAGAGTGTTGTGACGCAGACCGTCATGTGAGTTCACCTGAGAAAGTTGGCACCCTTTGCCCCTGCTGCTTTTCGAGCGTATCCGCATTATCATGTCTTCCTGCCCTGGACCTGGAGGAGAGAAGAATGTTGGTAATTTGTGCTATTTCTTCTCTAATTTCTGTTCCTGTTCCTGATTTTTTTTCTTTTATGCATCAACATTGGTGTTAGGATGTTTGATTGAATTGTTTCGGTTTCTATACGTTTTGATTGGAGGAGGAATTGATTCAATTTAGGGGTTTTGAAAAGCTAGGTTTTTTGAGGCGATCGCAAGGCATAGACTTTCGGGGGTTTATAGATAATCTATATATTTAGACAACTTATTTTGCTTAAAATTTTATACTTTCAATCACTGATGTATTTCACAATTCTAGAGAGATGAGATAAAAGATGGGTTTGTCAATGGAAAGATGGATTAACTTGTTAGGGTTATTATTATTATTTTTTTAATTCTTTAATTTTTTTTTTTTTGGTGTATATGATTTTTATGAAGATGAAACTATATCATTCAGTTTTGCTCGGTTCTACATCATTTAGTTCATACTCATGTTTTGGATTGTTGGTGAACCTCTCCAATCTTGTCTTACATTTTTTAGAATTTCAATCTTTTATCTTTATCTTGTTTTGTTTTTGTCTTATGTATGGTGCCTTAATTAGAGTTGTATGTGTGCCTTGAGATAGGTGCTTGGAAGATTCAATTCCTTTTGTTCTTGTATCTGTGATAGGGCACACTAGGCAGAATGTTGGTAAGATTCGTTATTTAAGTTAACTTAAAAGTTGTTTTTTGTCCGGCATTGTGGATTTGCAGATTTTCAGAGATTGTGTTGATTGTTGTATATAATCTATTCTCTCTACTTATATCTTCTCGTGCAATAAAAAGGTTAGATTTTTCGATTGCTTTCGTACAAGTATACCTGTATTCTTGTTTCTTTCTTCTTTTTATGAATATGCCGCAACAACTGTTCATATATGTTAAATAAAACACAAGTCATTTTGCGTGGTGGAGTTAGAATTAATCAATATATTTAAAATTTCACGTGCCCGTTGTACTTATTGTTTTAATACATATGCAGTATATATATAGAATGTTCTACTTCTTCTCTTATTGGTTCCAAAACCAATTCATCTTCGACATGACATCATTAAATTTCTTTTGGATTTATTCGCCGATTATTAAAGCATTTTCCATGATTCATCAGATCATCCCATCTTGTTCTTGGCTGGCCATTTTGTTGTAAAAGCTTCATTTGGATGCAACCATTGTATGTTGTGGGTAGAGTGTGGTTTTTGAATGGTGCTTTGTCTTGATACCTATGTATTAATGAAACTTGTTGGGATCTCTTCCTATTTTAGCGAAGAACCTTTCAGCTTTGGAAGCCTGGAAAGTGATGTCATTATAGGAACTTTCTACCAAATGCCAACTATAGATGACGCCAACAATTGGTCAAAGGTATAAACTCCAAAGTATTTGTTTTGGTTTCGTTCAATGTAAAATTTCATTTTAGTTGATGATCTGGATAACGGTGACATAAGTTAATCCCAATCAGATTGTTTTGCTTATGTTTGTGTTGGTTAATCAATGTGATTCTAATTATTCTAATTTTGCTTGGAAATTTATATTCCTCCCTTGCCAATCACATAATATGCTTTATGTACAATACTTGTACTATATTCTTCTATGTTTTTAGACAGAGGTGGATCTAAAAATATTTTTTTTACTGTACTGGTATCACAATATATAAATTTAAAAATAAAATAAATTAGAAGGATCGATTTTATCAAAGAATTATGAATGAATTATTTTATTTTTAATTAATTGAGTAATATTGACACTTCAAATTTTAAGTTGAACACTATTTTTTTTTTTTTTTTTGTTAATTATAGTCAAATTATTGAATCAGAAAGAGTTTTTTTTAGTAGAGTAAAATCATTGGTGCCATGTGCCACCGGTGATTTAAGAGTGCATCCGCAACTGCTTTTAAGTTTTCCAAATATTTGTATAGATGTGAGTTTGCTAGTATGATTGTGAAAACTTGTCATTTCTTACACGTACTTTTTTGTTTGATAGTCATTAAATATTTGCATAGATGTGAATTTGCTATGTATGATTGCGAAAACTTGTCATTTTTTACATGTATTTTTTTTGTTTGACATTCAGTAATGAGCATGCCATTAATTGCAATTGTGGATATAGTTAACTCTTCTACGCTTTACCAATGAAACGGGACTTAATTAAATGAAAGTGGCTTAATTGTAGAAAAATACCAACTAAAATAACGATCGTATCCAAACTTAATTAACTACTCCTTGTTTTATTCAATAAAGCCAAAATAAACTTTAAAGTATTTATTAGTAAACATTGATAAATTATTTTTGTCTAATTTAAGCGTATATATGAATATTCGATGTGCCAATATAATGTGTTATTTTAAAGTTCCTTTATGTACCAACACTTAGATTTGGCATGCATATATTATGTTTCCTGGCTCTATTTTCAAGAGCTCAGAATTATTTTAGGGATAGTTAATGTGCTGATTAGCTCTGATTAGCACACAGTAATAGTATACATATCACATATGGCTAGAGTTAATACCATTACCATGTATTGTCAATCGGTGCTATGTATTGTGTTACGTTAATATGCGATATGTGCTAAAATCAATAGTGATATGTGCTGTCAGTATTTATACATTTTAACATGTATTCTTGTGCCGCGAGCAATTAGATATGCTGTGTGTGTTTTTTACGATACACTAATTAGTGTTGATCATCACGGTGCTATTTAACCCTAATTCGAATCGTATCTGTCACCATTTTAAATGCATCAGAAGAACTAATACAAATTTAAGGTGGTTCTAAGAAGTACCAGATTGTCTCATATTTCCCTAGTGTTTGCAGGAATGTCTTTTGCTGGGGTTTTTTACAAGTTGAACTGCTGGATAAACGGAGACTAAAAATGTTTGCCATCAGTTGCTATATATAATAGGTGAGTTCCATAAACTTGTTGTGACAGACTGATGAATGATTCGCGTCAATATAATGTTTGGAAGATTGTTGTAGTCTCCAATCTTCGACAAGTCTTGTGCATGTATACTTAGTTTAAGATACAAACACATATTGCCAGTTCATACGCTAATTTCTGATTATCATCAGATATTATCTTTCAGATTTTGGCAACCAGGTTATGATGCCTTCCTCATCCTCATGGAATACCAAGGCCACTAATACTAAAATGGCGATGGCGCATGCATTAAAATTACTTCAATTCAGATTAATTACCGCGCCCTAGATATGCTTGCATTCTTGATTCAGAATGAGATGTCAAATTTTATCTAGCTATGTCAGTGTTGTTGAGTTGTATCTTTTCATCAAGTTTCATCAGCATTGCATTAACCGCGATGCCTAAATTCACACAAAGATAAAACTGGTTCGAATTACGCCAAATGCAAGATGGATGAAGATTTCTTGTGAAGAATGCACATCAGCAGACAGTTTTAATGATACATAATTCCCCATGAAGCTGATTTATGAAAACCCTAACTTTTACAGGCCGTTCGTCCGTCGGAAGGTTTAATTTGTAGGTTCCATTAAATCCTTCGTTAATCTTCTACAGCAATGTAAAATGATATCTGAATCTTCCTAGCTCGCTCCACCATCTTCCTATCATCAAAGTACAAAGGCACTAATCTATATATATATATATGTATAGAATTATACAACTAGGATTTGAACCTGTATTCTCATATACAACCTCTACAAAAATAACCTAAAAACAAGCAGAGAAAAAAAACTGAAATGGTGTTTCTTTTTTTTTTTTTTGCAAGAACTGTCCAAGAAAAAAAATAAAACAAATAAGGAGAACTAAAAGCCCAATTCGAAACCCTAATTTAAGAGAAAGGTGTGTCGCCCTAAATTAAAAGAAGAGATGCGCAGTTGAGGACAGGCAGAAAGGGAAACAGGCGGCGCGATAATTATTACAAATATCCTCCCCGTGACGAACGCATACACGTCACTGACGTTGGCCCTCTCTATAAAACTGCTGCCTCCATTACCACTCTTCTCACACTCTAAACACATTTGCTTTGTTTGTATCGCCGTTGCAATACCGCTGCTGCTGCAGGTAATAAATCCGCCTAAAGGTCTGCCTACAGACCTATATCTATATCTATTATCTGTATATAGATTTATAAACATGGTTTTCCTTGACGATATACACGTGAGGAAGTCATTTGAAGTTTCTTTTCTTTCTGTAAAACTGTTTATGTGACCGTAGAATTGTTGATTTCCTTCTTCTTCTTGCAGATCTCTTGAGTCCTGCTTTAATTCTCCAGATCCTTAATGAACTGTTCATTTAAAGGTAATCTATGATTCTATGTCCTGCAGAATCTGATGTCCACCTCCTTCTCTACTCTATTCTTTCTATTTTCACCATCGGAATAGTTTTTCATAGAAACCAAAACTAGGGTTTTGATATTAAATTTGGTGGATTTTAAATGATATTGTTTTTTTTCATCAATCTAGGGTCTTTTTCAACGAAAATAAATTAAGAGTTTTGATTTTTTGATTGATGGGCTTTTTAAATGATTTTTTAATCAAAAGTTTAGAGTAAATGAGATTAACGTCAGATCTAGTTTTAAAATAGTCAGATCTAGTTTTAAAATAAACAGATCTGATTATTTGTTTTCTTGTCTTATATTTTTTGTTCATTGCTTTTATTTTTTTCAAATCTATCGTTCTTTTACAGATAATAGAATCACATGAATTTGGTATGATATTTATTCATAAATTTAAATCATAAGAAATCAAGGCTACTTAGTTATTATTTATTTTAAATCTTCACATATAATAATCCATTTTTAATAAATAGTTAAAAACACTTCAAAAGAAAAGTCAGAGAAAAAAAATTCTATCAAATTTAAAAAAATTTAATTTAAAAATTTATAAATCCTCAAATTGCCAAAAGTAAACAAGCACTGTTGCTTATCTATACGTAAAAATATACTTTAGTTACTAAAAGAATTCAATATCTTATAATTTGTATTTTCAGAGAATAATTTTATATCATTTCATGCTTGCTACTTCTTCTTTTCCATGACCCTAATATTTTATTTATATTTTATAGGTATTTTGTCCTTTTATTTTATTATTTTATTTATTTATTTATTTTTTTAATGATTGTGCCAGCTTGCTATATATCTCAATTTTAAAAATTATTTGTACTATTAACCTTTTATTTTATTTCTAGCTATCACTTGTTATAAATTTGTTAATTTTCAAAGAAAATGTCAGATTCGTTCTCACTCTCCAATCATAGTTACCTACATGGTTTTGTTTTTTTTGTTTTTTTGTTTTTTTGTTTTTTTTTTTTTAACAAAAACCTCTTGTAGATACAAGATGTCATAATGTGTTGATGGAAATTTATTTACCCAAATTGATAGAAATGTTTTGTGTTTGATTGCAGTGTCAAAAAAAAAAAATAATACAAATGATTGGTTTATTAGAAATATTTCTATTTGATCGTACAAGTTACACTAGGCGAACCATGTGTGGTAGACAAAACCAAGTGACGTTGAGGAAATTTGAACTTATGAAATTACGGTCACAATTTCAACCCTCACACCACATTGGGTCATCATCTCTTACGGGACATGTTGCGGATAATCCACTCGGCATCATTGGCCTATTAGAAGTGCTGCATAGGTGGGTATAATTTTGGTGAGATATAATATAATTTTCTTATTTTCTAGTAGATTATTATTATTTTTTTACTAACTTAATCAAGCATAGAAAAATTTTATTGTTTATAATTGTTGTCATCTCTTGTTTTCAGCATGTTATATTTTTATTCATCTTTTGTATACATCGTTGTAAAAGTTTTTTTTTTTTTCGTTAACACAAATTCAATGAAAAAATCATCTTATAGGTAGAAATTAGGCTATTTTTATTATTTCAAGATTATAAATAAATATAAACCATCTTTTATATAAATCATCTAGGAAATGTCCCAACAGCGGCGGGGGTGGTGGCGGTGGAGGAGGAAGGTATGGAGGCAGAGGTGGCTGTTACAACTGTGCGGGGGAAGAAGGCCATTTTGCTCGGGACTGTCCCAGCTCCACTCGCTGAGGTGCAGTGAGATGGTACATACCTCTTTCCGGTGATGAATTTATCGGCTAGTTTAAGTGGTTTAAATTTGACAATAAAGATGTGGATCTGGTTTTTGTTATGAGAGGGGCCTGCGTGTATAAAAAAAAAAGAAAAAAAAAAAGAAAAGAAATTTATATTTTATTTTGAAGTGGTCCAACATAACTATGGTAGAAATCGATGTTTGAGGAGCGCTCCAAATGAAGAGTATTCACTAAAATACTTCAAGCTTTGGTCATTCCAAGGATGAACACCAAATCCGTGATTGAATGTCATTGGAGGATCGTCTACATGCTATTATCCCATGGAGAGTATTGTCAATGTTGAGCCATTGTATTGGTCTAGTGTTGGTTGCATTCATATTGATGCATGCCAGTGTATAATATTCAAATTAAATGACAATTAGTATTTTTTCCCATTAGATCTTTATATATATGTATGCAATTATTTCATGATAAGTGTCTTTACTTGACTACTCTTTGTTTATATGAATGCAGCATGCATGCTGGATCAGTTAGATTTAAGAAATGCCATACACCCCAACTATTACACCATAGATGCAAACAAGTTCCCTGGTCTATTTAGTGGACAAAGACTTTATTCGGGGTTATACATTTGATTTGATGAATATTCCATGGAGCAGATACCTATAGTTATTAATTTAGGATGGGAGAACTATATTTTATCTCCTGTCTATTTGTTCCTATCGGAACATATTTTTTTATAGGTCTATAATTTACAAAAATTCACAGTGCCTGAACTATTTCTATGCATAGGAAGTTTCTATAAGATTGAGTTTATAGGAATGATGGAGAGGGACCCAATTGATAACCTATACTATCATCAATAATTCACTAATTTATTCTTTAAATCTAAAAATGTGTGTTATTGATAAATTTAAGACTCTAAATCTAAAAATGTGTGTTATTGGTCAATTTTGTGAGTGTTGGGCGAGTGAACATCAATGGTCACACTCTCAACAGTGGCCGAGCAAGGACCTTCTGATTGGAGGGCGGGAGGTTAAAGCAATTTCGAATGAATTTACTAAATTTTATTATGTTAATTATTTTAAATAGTCTATTATTTATTTTTAATTCTTATATAATAATATAATTATAGAAAAAAATTGTGGAGTATGGGTTTTAAAAAAATATTAAAAGATAAATATTTAATTGATATTTTTTAAAATAATAAAAATCTTACCATCAAATACAATCATAAATATATTAATCACTGTTTATTATATATATAAATAATTTTTAATTATTTAAAAATTAATTTATGTAACCCTAAATTTTTAGTTGTCGCCCTCCACATGCTTTCTGTCTCTTCTTCTCCTATTTTTGCTTCTTTCTACTTTCTTCCATCTTTTTTTTCTATTTTCTTTTTTTTTCCATTCTAGTTCTTTCTTTCTCTTTATTTCGTCTTTGCGCTGCAACTCTCATCTTCTCTATTTTTTTTTTTTTTTCCATTCTTTTCGGTTCTTCTTTTTCTATCGTCTTTGTTGCTGTTTCAATGCTGTAGTTGGGGGGCTGCAACTTACTTTTTCTTCTCCCAGCTCCAGCTGAGGTTGAGATTCACCAGCAACCACCGGATTCGGAGGGCAGCTGACCCTCGGGTTCCCACGTAGCTCCGCCCCTGCTCTGAGACCAGCCATTGATGAATTCTGGGATGTAGTGTTTTACTTACAATTTATCAAACTTCGATGATATTTTGTGGCAGATGCAGTTTGCAGCATTCAATCCGAGGCTTGATGACAATTTTCACCTGCTGCTCCTGGAAGACACCTTAACTCAGGGGATCAAATCAAGAACACGATGGAGCACATGGTGTAGGTTGACAAATTCATATTAATATTGGATAAATGGTGTTGATGGCTTGGATATACTGTCTTCACGTTCAGGTATCAATGCAAAAACTGTATATATAGTATCAAATATATATATATATATATGTATATGCAAATGTCAGTTATATCTAATTTATTTTTTAAAGAAACATTGACTGATACATCTATATTGATGTATCTTTCAAGAACTGTATTGGAAAATTTAGCAAATCTGAGCAGTAAATTAGCAATGTTTAGGGCTTGTTCTATATACTCAACCTTAGTGCATATAATTAAGCATGACATAACATTAGGGTTTTCTGAAATATACACACACATATACATATATATCTAAATATCTGAGAATATTTTATCTTAAAACAATAGGTAATATATATTATTATGACTAAAACTGCATATGAACTTTAAATTATGGTTCTTAGAACTATCATTAACTATTTTTCATATATATAGAATTTTCCAGGTTCTAAAGCCCCTGAATTTCGCAAGTTGATTGAGTTGTCTCAAGTAGGGCATGAATCAAAACCCAATCTACAATTTTGTTGAGAATGTTTGTAAATATCAATTTTGTATATTAAGATGTGAAACTTTCTATCTCATACAAGTTATCTCTGCTATTACTTTACTTTTCTCCCATTGTTACTTTCTTTCTTCATGCAAATGAATGCACAATTTATAGTGACTTCAACTTTATGAGTCCAACACTTCATCCTGCATTGTCTTCTAGATTTGCGACTAGGTGTTTGTGCATGATGGAATGGACATAACCATTGTTTGTTGTCGTTGCTATGTTGGCTTAAGCGGTATAAACTATTTGGAGTATTTGGGTCCGCGACCCTCACACATTTAGGCCTCTTATTTCTTTAGGTTTTTAATTTCTTAGTCATGTATTTCATGTAAGGTTTGTGGCTAGTTGTAATTCTCTATATACTTTTTTTCTTTCAAGAAAACAAAAATACATATATCAAGCACTTAACCAATTGAGAATATCTCTTAACAAGCTGAAGCTGTCTATACTAATAACAGCTACTTATTCATTCACACCCAAACCACCTGCTTGGCAAGATAAGCTTCATAAAGCTCTACTATGAGGCGAGGATCTTTCTCCACAAGTTCATGTATTGCTCCATTTGGTACTTCTCTGTCAACACTATTAGATCACAAGCACGACAGGCACTTCATTTTCCCACTCGCAGCCACACAGCAGAAAGATCATCCTCTAATTCTGTCTTCCAAGAACATTGTCATCATCGTCCTCAAAATCCACCTTTGAATCCGACGAGAACCGCTGCCTGTGCTCTCGAAAATGTGTTATGTTTGAACCCTAACTTTGCTGTCATGGAGTGTAAGTTATATTCACACAATAATGCAAGTGGTCATCGATTATATTGCTTGAAGTCAGAAACCCTCCAGAAGAATCACAATGAAGAAAACTCTAAATTTTAACGGATTTTTTGGAGGGTTGTAGGGTTCATCAATCAACATTAATATAATTCTCTTGCTGCAAATAAGAATGATTAAGCAATTTTTAAAAATAAAACTGTCATTTCAATTCGAAAGAAATAACAAACGAAAGAGAGACATGCATAGTAAGGCTGATGCTCTCTACGATTAATTTCTTCTTCTTAAAAGCAACAGTTAGAACAATAGAGCATGTATATATTTTTTCCATAGGATAGAAGCCCAATTTGAAAGCCCTAATTTTAATTTTTTGCAGGCTGAAAGAAAAACCCGTTTAAATTGTATTGTTGCCCAATTATATAAACCCTAGAAATTGATGAGAGAAAGGGAACAGGCGGCGGCGCCATTATTACAAATATCCAGACATCCTAATTAAGCACCTACCGACTTTGCCTTTCCCCCTCTCTATAAAACCTGAGTCCATTCCTCTTCTTTCTTCACACCCGAAAAGTTTGCAGATTTCAAAGCAGGTGCAGACACACACACACACGAAGTCCTCTGGTGTTTCATTTTTCATTTTTTTTTTTTTTTTTTTTCTTGTGTGTTTTCTCTTTATGTTTCTGAAGTTGATGCATCTCAGATCGTGTTTCTATCTTGCAGATGCTTGGAGTTGCGCCATTTCTACTTGATTTTCTCATCTTAAGGTGACGATTCGAGATCTGCTTCTTCTATCTGATCCGTAGTCTTCATTTCGAAGTTGATAGAAAGGAAATTTTAACGGTTTTCTTCCGTTTATTTTTTCTTTTTTGGTCAAAACAGGCCATTGAATTTTAAAAGACAGGTTATTGTACATATCTATTTTTTACAATGTTAGATTCGAATTTCCTGTTTTCTTTACATTTTTTTTTTTAAAATATTTTTTCATTAACCTTTTTTAATTACTTCTATGTAATTCATTCGTCTTACCAAATTTATGGATATTTCTTTTGTAAATTATAAAATGTCCCTAAATTTGACGGGAGGATGAAATAGTATTTATTAAAAGTTCTAAACTCATGAAATATGTTAGTAATTTATGAATGGATGTGTCTAATATAATTTAAATTATAAATTCAAACTTTGATTTAATTGAATCAATACATCATTTTATTTTGAATTTAAATTAATATTTGAATTAAAACAATACACTTATTCATTTTGAAATTGAACAATTGTGTCTGTTCAATTTAATAAAAGATTACTTATAATTTATAAATAAATTGGTTGGTTGGTTGCATAAGGTTACTTATAGCCTCCATACTTATTTTATTTTCTACGTTCACCTTGTTTCAATATTTCTTTTATCAAAATTCAAGATCGAATTTTATATTATCCCGATACAAATTTTGTGTAACTCCAAGTAGAAATTATATCAAAATATCGTATTCGAAAAGTGAGCTCATCGCAATACAAAGTTATATGCAACTATTTTTGTTGTTAACCCTATAAAATCCCCAACAAAATAGAGGTAAATCAAGTCTGTTATCTTTTTTAATACATGAAATGTTCATACCCTTTTATAATTTATAATATATAGATATTTTATAAATTTTAAAAATAATAAAGTCATCAATTTGATAAGTTTCAACATAAACACGTAATTTAGATAATATGTGTAATGGACTAGTGTAGTTTATCATATAAAAATCTATTTTACATAGTAAACAAAATTTAGATTTTTCTTTTTAATGATTTTTTTTTCTTTATATCTTTCAATTCTTGATTTTTTGTTCTTTCTTCGTTTCTATTCTATTGCAGTGTAAGACAATTACAATGGCCAATATACTTGATTATCTTCCATTTGAGGTCATTCTCGCCATCTTTTCATTGTTGGATGATCTAGATATCATCCGCCTTTCAACTCTCTCACAAGCTT